TACTATGCTGTATCTTCATAGTACAAAGCAGTGTATTCATAGTACGATGCCATATATTTATAGTACGTAGCTCCCTATTTCTCAACCCAACTCGCTCTTTCATCACTTTTACCGAGCTGTAACGACCCGTAACCGGGTCGAACCTACGTTAATTTCGGATGTCATTTCCGGTCAATTTCTGGACCAAAAACCGCTTCACGTCAAAACGAAATTTTAATTTTTCGGACATCTGAAGAGCCTTCTTTATCGTCGTCACTGGGTTGTAGCATTTGCACGTAGATACTTGAGTCATTGCGCAGTGAAATTCTTCTTTGCACGGTAGGGCTAAAAGTGTAGCTTTAACATCTTGATTTACAAGGATATACTGTTTTATAGGTGTCATAGGATTGTATTGCCTATAGAGTACTGTACTGCTGAGGAATTGTCTTGAAATAAATTACTGTAACTGAGGACTAGCTTTTAAAAGCCTAAAATTAGCCTTCAAAATCCTAAAGCTAGGCTTAAAAAGCTTAGAACTAGCCTAACACAGCTCAAAATTAGATTTACTAAACTTAAAAGCTTAACATTCATCTACCTATGCCTACTACAACATACCCTGCATCAACCCGGTTTTAAATCAAGCTATGATGTGATATGTTCAAGTAGTTCCCAAGTACCTTCTATATATACTATGCTAACTTCATATATAATAACCTACGTAATGACATCTGATGAGCACGAAGAAAATAAAGTTGAGCACGTCACTGCCGATAAGGATAATCGTGTTTTGGTGAAGTGTTACTTTGTTGTTTACTTCCGCAGTAAACAAAATATTTGTGTTTTTAATGTCAGCTATACTTAACGTAGGGGAAAACACTGTAGATTATGTCATCAGATTTCGTAACCTACAGTACGTTTGATGACATAAGTGGAGTATGAGTTTCGTATTTCATTATCTACTGTAGTAGTTAAAATTATGTTTTTAAAATTACTGTAGAATTTTATTTTGAAGGATGTTTTACTATAATGTTGTTCAAATAATTCTGTGCCCCATATCTCTAAAAACTTTCTTTGAGATGAAGCACAGAATTATGTGAACAACCAAATATTACACAGATAAATATAAGGTTAAAAAAGTTTTTTGCACTTAAAATGACATGTACTATAACAATATCTATTATTTCCATAACAATTTAAACTCTTAACTTTAATTTTGTTACATTAAAACAATGTCACTACTTAATTTGTCATCTTATCTACTGTAATCTATTGTTCTTGTCTTCCGAAGATTAAAAGTCTTTAAGTGATGTAATCCCCACGTTTCTTTAACATGAGTACTTAGTACTTCTTGTACTTTTGACAAACACGGTTAAATTTTAAGTAACATAGTTGTACTTTAAATTGACATTTTTTTGCTACTGACAGTAAACTTAAGTTTGTGTGGGTACAGAGCTGAAAGCCATGGGAGGGGGGGGAGGTTGTGGGTTGAAAGGGCACGATGGATTGGTTGGAAGAATACAGCAGATTCTTTTAGATCGAGTACTGGCAAAGCAAAAATTCTTTTGTAAGGCATCTAAAGTATATGCTGTGTAATACAGTCAAACCTCTTTAGTATGACATTCAAGAGCTTGTTCCAAACTTATCAATTACCAAGTTGTTACCTACCCAGATGTTTACTTTTTGATTGAAATTCTATTAAAAGAGACAGTCAAAAAGATGGCATTATAAAGAGGGCTTCATACTACTAAAAGTCATACTGAAGGGGTTTCACTATACAGCACATACCTACACGTTGCGTGGGTCAATCCTCCTCAATATTGTCATTGAAGTTGCAGGAAACGCAAGCCCACTTATTGTTTTATTTTTAACATTTACCGTAAGCGAAGAAAACGGGGTTAAAGGGGCGTGACCTTCGTTTCGCCCCCCTAGGGCGGGACCGGGCGGGCTCCGACTGAAGGCGAACATTCCACATGCGAAGGGAAACATTCTCGTCTGTTACGATCCGCTTGCAGCCTGTCATTTGCATAAACATTTTACTCATTCATGTTGTTGTTTTGCGATCGTCTTTGATCGTTTCCGGTGCATTCTTGCAAGTACTGTGCTTAAAGAGGGTAGTTGTTTTTAGTATTGTAGTAAGGGAGGAAATAGTAGCTGTCTATAAAAACGGAGGAGATAGTAGTTATGGTTAGTAAGATTGATACTATGCTTAAAAAGATAGTTGTTTTTTTAAGAAGATCAAGTAGTATAGCAAAGGAAGAGGTGGTAGGTATGATTGATGTTGTATATGATACTATAGCTTAGTATGGCAAGGTTAGGGAACAGTAGTTCTTTATAGTACGAGTAGTGAAGGGTGAATCACTTCTAGGTGAGGTAGCGTATGTTAAGGTAGCAGTAATTGCTGTGTTTTACATACTGTATGTTTATTTATATTTTGTATGCAGCTACAGTAACTCTGTGTCAGTTTGTATATCGTTTTCTTTTTCACCGTGTTTTCTTATACCTGAATTACTAATATCTTTTTCAATATACCCTAAGGCTCAATCAGATTTTCTTCTTTGCTCATTTCCAACTTATGCTGATTACCTTGTACTACTCTCAATATATATATGTTGCACAGTGCAAATTATATGTTTCTTAATCTTTATTGATAAATTATAAGCACTTCTAACCTCCAACTAGCTTCCTGTGCTTCCTTAATTATTGGTTTTCTTAATACGATGTTTTGAATAATATAAACGGGTTCTGGTAGTTAATATGCGATTAAATGGTTATACTTGTGTTATTGTTTTGTTAATTACTTATTACATCACATGGTTATTATTTGTAGTTTTATATTGTCAGATAGGTTTTTTTTGACTATATTGATCTACATAGTCTTCTTTTTGATATAGTTTTAACTGATTGAATAGATAGTGTCAAAGTTGCTTTTTATAATATTTTCAAAATTGTTTTGTCATTTTCAAGTTAAAATTTTTTTTTAATTTTAGACTGTTATTACTGCAGTACTTCCTACTGTTTCTCATCACCACCTTCCCTACCATTATTCTCTTCCCTATCACTCTAATTAGCTACAAACCACTATACCAATTATTGTAGTACAATTGTTATTCCAACGTCATTAGTCGTAATTTGTAGCATATTGACACAGCAATTACCTATTTACACTTTTGTAGAATACGAAGATGATCTTCTTTTAATGAGCGGTGTCACAATTAAAGTGGCAGACCATTGGGAGTTACTATAGCATTGTGAGGTTAGATGAAAAGGCTGGCTTTTCTATCTACCCTGCTGACTTGTATATCGTATAGACCATGCTTTTGAAGTATAAAGGATACATGTATAAATGCATGGTCTTTATGATCGTTGTAGGTATGGTCTATATGATTGTTGTACGTACAAAAAAATGGTCTATACAAACGTTTTGTAGCAAGATTTTGACATTTTGGTTAATATTGTAATAGATAATGCCGTTTTACTTAAGATTTCATTATAAAATGGCATTTTAACAAAGGTAGTAGTAAACTATGTCATTTTAAAGTCTTTTACAAATCAGTTTTAGCAATAGTAAAACTTGGACAAGACTCGATGAAACACAGCCATTTGTAACCTACTCCAACTTAGTTTTTCAAAATTTTTAAATTTTGTTGAAATTTTATTTTTTTTTTGAAATTTAAAATTTCAAAAGTCCAAAAAATATGTTTTTGACGTCAACTGATATTATTACGACCTTTTACCTCGTAAATATCATGGTTAATCTTTAAAGTTCTAATGACTTGTAGGAGTCAAGGGATAATACTGTGGTATATCCACGGTTTGTTGTCGGATTTACACTTTTACGGATGTGTCATTACTCTGTATCGAGTCTTTATGGTAACGGTTAGTCATTTATTGAGAGTTTACTATATATATCGTGTTCTGGTGGTTGACAACATTTACTTTTTTTAAATTTTACTGTTATTTTTTAGGGTTTTCTTGACTTTTTTGATTGTTTTTTTAAATTTTTAGGCTTAACTTAATTCTTTTTATAATCATCATAGTAATATAAAGGTTTTTACTTTCCTACGGCTCTTTTTTAACATATACATTTGACTATGTACATACCCAAATATGTTTAATAAAATCCCATAAACGTATTAGTCTATCAATACATGATAGCATCAGGTATGAACTTCCTAACGTGCTTTACTCTACTTTTTTTACTCTGATATTCACCATACTACTACGACACTTTATATAATGGCGTTTCCTTGTCATGACAACATTACCTCTTGACCTTTTTTCTACTATACTATCTTACTTTAACATATATAGACTGTAGAGTTACAGCCAGCATAGTTACTGTCTATCTATGTCATTTTTTGTACAAATATCCAAAATACATTGTAGTACTTGTTACAAAAAGCGTACGGTAACTACGTACTAACTACTTGTACTTTCCCGAAGTCTAGTATAGTTAGCTAAAGAATAACATTGTGTTGAAATGTAGTCAAGGTTTAGCTAATGCACTCAAGGTTTATATGCAGACATTCTTGTACAATACCCATTCGTTTTGGCAAAACATATTGTAGTAGGTAGACGTGTACGTCTGTAGTCTTTGGTTATTTAAATTTGTACTAGTTTGGAGGGTATATATAGGTGAATGAGGTCATTTTCAAAGTCTTTAAAGGGATAGGGGTGTTATTGGATGGTAGGATTAAATTGATATTGTCTTACATTAACATTTTTTTAAAAATTTAGTACTTTTAAGTTGTTCAAATAATTCTGTGCTCTCCCTGTCATTTTTTTTTATTTTTTAAAATTTTTTGAAGTCGGGGGCACATAATTATTTGAACAACCTAATATAATTGTAGTCACTTTTCTACAGTACTAGTACTATTTTTATGACATAATTTGTCGTGTATAACATCGTGCTAACCATAAACCTTAACTTTGTTACCTAAAACCCTCTAATCCTCTCCATCTTTCAGCTTAGTCGAACTGGTGCCCCCATTGCCCTCAGGTACAATATCAAAACAGAAAGCATGCAGTTACTAGGCAAACTCAGCACGATACCCCGCTACGTGTCCCTGCTCCTGCTGACGATACTCCTGGTGACGGGCGCCGTCATGGACGACGGACTAGACGTACTCAACGACAAACCCACAGACCCCATCAACAATATCGACCTGGGGAACGGGTGCAACATCTACACGAACGAAGGTCTACATGTGGTGCTGGATAGGATCTGCACTTTATGTCATGAGATGTACAGCGATACCAACCCCAACATGAGGTCACAGTGCAGGTAAGGGTTTCGGCTAGCTCTAGTGTGATAAGTACTATTATAAGTAGTATGATATAAATCAAAAAATATAGTGTAATGCCTACTACAATATAAAGTTACATTCAAAAAATACATTTTTTAAATTTTTTATGTTGATGCAAAAAGAATGGCGCGCTAAATATCCAAAGAATGTTTAAAAAAGCATTGAATTAATAAGAAAAAACTTTTTTTAAATGTTGCAATACCAAAAAGACCGTTTTACATTACAGTAATAGTATTAGCAAACCCGGACAAAACATAACAATTTCATTACCGCGTAGTAAACATACAACATCTGCCGGTACTATAATATTAAATTATTCATAACGTACTTTATCTAATCAGCTAACGTCAATGTTACTCTATGTTTTTGTGCTCTACTACCTGTTTGTAATCATAAGCAGGCAGTAAAGTAACATAAACAGGTAGTAGAGTCAATTTACTATAACAGGCATTATAGTAACATAAACAGGCAAGGCAGTATAGTAACTTGATTAGGTTATAACTAACAGTGTAAGGCTAATTTGATCATATTATGCCTGTTTGTTAACCTTCAGTGCTTTATGTTACGGTTTATAGTTCAGGTATAGCCTAAGATACAATAGTATAGAGTATATAGACAGTATTAACATTACAGTACTAAAAGTACAACTTTTTCTTCAAAAATTTGCAAAAGAAGTACCAGTAGCAATATTTTCTGTAAAAACGTAAAATTTATCGATATTACAGTACTGCGGTTACCATGGTATCTCTACAGTACCATTAGCACCATTTCCTACAAAAATATGAACTTTAGTACCACCTAGTACCACTTTTTCTAACGTCTACTAACAGTACCATTCCTTTCAGAATGAATTGTTTCCGGAACGAGCAGTTCAAGAAGTGTCTTCTGGTGTTCAGGCCGGCACGATCGTTACATCGCCGTGATGTGCTCAGACAAAACTGGTAACAGTCCCCCCTAAAGCAAAGTATTCGAATAGTGATAACGGGTCGATTTCATTGTTACTTTCCCATGTTTGTTACTGTGTTTTTGTATATTAGAGTTGCATATATAGCTATTTATACATATAGGAGTTTCCATCTACAATATCGTATGTAGAGGTGTCTTTACATTGTCGTATGTTTGTGGGAACATATCATAGATAGCACTGTTGTCTGTAGGTTAACATATGATGACTAATATTTACCATATCATGGCTTATATTGATCTATAGGCTGAGGTATGATTAGTAATACCATCATATGTTAACACACTACATTAGACAACGCATTTACCACGGTATGTTCAAGAAAACGCAAGATACGACAATGCCCGCCCCCAATTTGCACTTAGTATGTTTGTTGACCTCGACTTCCTTGATCTCTCCCTTCATCTCCATTAACCGTCATGTACATGATATAAGTGTGACAGCTACGTATTTACAGTAAAAAACGACATTTACTGCACAGCAACTTTTTTAAATGTAAAAAAAAGTTACAATAAGTAGCTTTTTCAGTATTTAAAAAAAATTTAAAACGTTCTACTGTAGAGTAAAAGCCTTTAAAATACAGTAAAAACCCTTTACCGTGCAATAAACACGTTTTACAGAGCAGTAAAACCCTTTCACAATAAGAAAAAACCCTGTAACTGTAAGACATGGTATCCCACGCATTATTAAACATAATAAGAGATTATATGTAAATACACACAGCCTAATACGATCATAATAAGTTAGACTACTCTGCCTTATCAACTTGTATCATGTACATGACGTATGTCTCATATAACACGCTTAATACGATGTTATACATGTTAGGTATAGGTTTTGTGATATGTGTATACCTTATCGTATTTCGTATGTTGTAGCCTGGAGGTCTTCTTGTCGTATCCCCATCGCTCACTTTACCGTTCCCTTTGATTACACATCAGCAGAACCCAGTGGATACTGAACCTTTTTCTTATTTATTTCGTATTTAAATCAACATGTGTATACGCTTTTTAATGTTATATTTAATTATATATTAAACTTATTAATATTATCGTATCGTCGGAGAGATTTATCGCCTTTTTAATGCAGTAAAACTCAAGATATTGACAATATACATAAGCAAAGGTACGGCAGAAGACTCTCTGGTGCTATATATTAGTACGTACTATATAGTACCAATCTATATCAGCTAATAAAGAATACTATAGTAAACCTGCAATACCAAAAAAGTTACCGTAGTACCCGTAAGTACCAAAAAAAGTTACTATAGTAAAGCTTTAATACCAAGAAATTTACTATAGTACAATTTCAGTGCCCAAAAAGCTACCGTGGTAAACTTGGAATACTAAGAAAGTTACTATTGTAAACATTCAATACCTTACCATAGTAAGCCTTCAATATCAAAAAAGTTACTATAGTAAATCTTACATACCAAAAAAGTTAACATAGTAAACTTTAGATTTCAAAAAAATTACTATAGTAAACCCTTATAACCAAAAAAGTTACCACAGTAAACTTACAGTACCAAAAAATTTATCATAGAAAACCTTTGATATCTTGCCATAGTAAAGCTTCAATACCACAAAATTTAACCATTACTTTATTCAAATACCCCCCAGTAAATTATAATCCCCCAGGTAATGTCAAAACCATTTTGCACCTTAGCGAACGTCTATTCGTATCTTTTTGCAAGTGTAATATAACAGCCGAAGGCAGTGAGTCAGGAATTGTCCTAGATTTATTGTTTCCGGCCCTCCAACGAAAGGCCATTAATCAAGCCCATCTCTTCAAATTAAACATAATTTGTGACGTCATTCCGAATAAACAAAATACTGTGGATGTCATGGTGGTAATCGGTGGTATAATTACTTATTTCGAAATTTGTTTATTCGTCTATTTTTACAATTGTTTGATATTGTTACGGTGGAGTCATTGTTACTGTAGAACAATGTAAAAACAAAGAAAAAGAAGTGATACTACAGTACAAAACCCAGCATAGAGTAAATTTGTTTTATGAAACGTTACTACGTTAAAATACAGTTAATAATTCAAATTGTATTATACAGTAACCACTACATATTTAGAACATTTTTGTATTGTTATAAGCCCTAGTTCAAAGAACTTACTTCATTAAGCAAATCATATTATCGTAGCCTAGACTATCAACAAGCGTACGAGACTTTTGTAAAACTTAAAACAAGGTGTTCAATGTCCACATGTACGTATGTTGTTACGTATTGTTTTGACACAATATAGTACTGTAAGGTTTTTAAGAAAAGTATCAAAGTCAGTTCAAAAATCATTTTTAAATGTCCCTAGATTTTACCTTATATATTAGGTTGTTCAATTAATTCTGTGCTCCTTATTCCCAAAAATTTGCTTCAAAAGAAGGCACAGAATTATTTGAACAACCTAATATCTTTCTTTTGTAATAACAATCTCTGTTCTTGCTCACTAACCAACCCATATGTCTACATAATCACCATGGTAAACATAATCACCATAGTAAACGTAATCTACATGGTAAACATAGTAACGATAGACGCCTACTGTAGTTGTTACAATGACAAAATAACCCACGCAAAGAGATTATGCAAAACTACGTATGTCATACGCAATATGTGTACAGAAAGTAATTGTTCTAGTTATTTGCATTAGCCAATTACCGAGAAAATGTCATCTTCGTATCTTTGATGAACATATATGAGCAAAGTAACAGTTTCTGTGATTGTTCCCTCTTCCAAAGCAAATTTTTAGAACTAAAGGCACAGAATTAGTTGAACAACCTAATAACAGCTTGATACTGTAATTTTGACAGCTTACAGTAATAATAAAAAACAGTTTATGAGTTTGTCCAAATAATTCTGAGCCGATTCTCAAAGAAAATGTTTGAGGTTAAGGAGCACAGAATTATTTGAACAGCTTAATATATTAAATGAAATTCTCAACTTCATTCTTTCTAGTACGATACTATATTGTAAATGACATCAATATACATTTTGTGCCATTTCAACTGTAATTCATGACATTTTTAACAATTACCTAATTAACTTTTACCTTTTTGATCAATTACCTAATTATAGTTACCTATTTTAACAATTCCTTCATACTATTAAGTACGTTGTTACCTTTTAATTGTTTACTAATATACCTATTCGGCAACTACAGTAAAAGCGGACGTCATTTCAAACCCAAAAATGTAGTTGATAACAATCTTTAATTTAATTTCATTTACAGCTTAGTATGTTTACAATAACATCACCGAGTGTCACGTTCAGGTCCCAAAATAAACATTTAACGTGGTACATCATCAATATGCATACGATAGTAGAGTCGGAATTTAGTAAAAGCCAAATTTTTACCGCTATAGTAAGAGCCATGTTTTAGTCCGAAAAACCTTTTTTACTGTACTGACTTCCAACGGTAAAAATATCATAATAAATATCATATATATTACTGTATTAGCCTATTGCACTTACAGTAAATCATAAATCTCTCACACTACTACACCAGACTAGAAAACCTTATAATACGATAATAATGCTATCTATTACAGTAGTAACCGACAGTAACTACTCTATCTTTTACAGTACTCCACTAGAGTTACTACAGAAAAAATATGTACCATATACCATAACAGTACTACAATAAAAAACCAAAGTTTACTACTATTATGAGTACCACAATACCAAGTCGTATCACAGTAGCTTTCCGTACCAAAATTTACACTGCGACATAATTGTAGTTTTATTTAATTTAAATTCGCCCCCTTGTTTCAAAGATACCATCATTTACAGCGTCGTGTAATTCAATTTACAACGCCATTTTTTGTTAGTAAGAGAGTTTACTGAGCAGTATATAGAGCTTACTGCACTGTAAATACTCAACAATAAGAAACACTGTCTTGTGTAAAAGTTGAGGCACAATATACGACAGTATACTATGTTGTACAATACGATGGTACATTATGTCTTATTATACAATAGCATAATATGTTGTATTATACGCTGGTATACTATGTTTACTGCTTACTTCCTAAGTAAAGATATAGTTATCCTCTTAACTATTCCAAAATTTACCAAGTAAAAACACAAACGTACACGAAGGAACCCTCTGGAAACACCACAGTAATCGAATATTGTGGTAGACTTTGGTATGTTAGGTTATTTGATTATGAAGCAAGGAAGTTTCTTTTACATTTGTGCGCAAATTCTTGGTCCAGAATAAACAAACCGGAAAGGATAACACGTTTAGAGAGGTAACATACGTCATCAATTTGTCATGTTTTGGCAGAAAAAATGTCATTTTTTGTCCATTTGGTGTTCATCCTTCCTTAACGTAATTTGCTCTCACGTACATTACCTTGCCTTACAGTACCATTCCGCAAGCTTACTTAACCTAGCCTGTTTGACTCTACTTTGTAGTATCTTGCTCTATCTTGTAGTACCTAGAGGTAAAAAATGGGCCGTGTAGGCACGATCCGGCCTTACAATTTTGCCGGACCAAGACCAAGCCCGGTCCGTATTTCCTTCTAGTAATACAAAGTTCAAGCTCTACATTAGCGGAACCATACCTTCATAACGTACCCTACCCACCCTGCCCTACCTTAAACACAAGAGCAACCCACTCAAATGTAATATAACATAATATAGTCGCTACACAACATATTACTGTACATAATCAAGTTCAGACTATAACAAAATCGCTTTTAATTATTTTTTCCACTTATATTACCCACCATAATATCAAAATCAGACCAACTACTTAAAGTTTACGTATTTTACGTCAAACTTGTCCTTGTTAAAAACTACCTACATCATGATAGTCGTATTCCCTAGAGCTACATGAATACTCCACTTACTTTGTCGTCTCTCACTCTTATACACTATTTTTCTGTCTCAAAATAGATAAAACTTTTCAAATTAATTAGGTCATTTTGTGCACTTTCACACTACTTAATAGTACGGCAAGTGCTAAATGTTTTTGTGCTGCCAAGAAGAGTATCTTGTAGTAAATACTGCTTTTGTTGGAAATGAAACAATGCTACATTGTAGGAGTTATAATCATTTAAAATAAGGTATTTTAATGGAAAATTATACAAAATCTATAAAAATAAAACCAAAAATATTAAAGTTCAAGAAAGTATTGTCGTCAGTTTACACTATTATAGCCTTGTAAAAACGACAAGACTTTATGAAAACCAATCTTACTTTAAACATCATCTATGTTAACATAAAACCCCTAAATGAAAGCAAAACAAAAAACATGTATCAATAAAACCCCCAAATAATCAACAAGCCACAAAGTAAATCTCAAAAGTATTGTGTCTTAAGATATGATAGCTAAAACAACTGTAAAGATACAATAGCCAAAATTACTGTAAAGCTCAATTTATTAGTAGCGAAGATCATGAAAAAACTGATAATTTATACAAACATGCACACATCCTTTCCTACAGTAGAATTAAACCATCATATTACTGCGTTTCCAATGCGAAATCATGTAAATATTGTCGTAGATCAAAGTTGTCGTCTTTTGTGTTCGTTTTCTTTGTCGCGTGCTTCAGGAACTCACTAAAACAATATCAATTTAAATAAGCTAGTCTTAAAGTAGAGTCTATATATAAGGCAAAGTCTGTACCTATTATAACATATTTTATGTTTAAAGATAATAAACTTACTCTTTGACCAAGTTAACATAGTCAAACGGAGCTACGCATCTAAACTTGGGAATTGCTACATTGTGAATGTCCGAAACCTTCTCCAAGTGGCCACGATGTAAAAGGAATGGCACCTAAAACAAGAAAAAACTCAACTATCAAATATTTTTACAAACTTTAAATTTCTTTATAGAACACCGGTGTAAACACACCCTGTCTCAAACAAATAATCAAATCTCCATCCATAGTTAAACTCCCTCCAGAAAGACTACTTACATGTACTCTCACATCTATATCACCACATTCAGCTATCATAGCAGCCTTCAAACTCGTGTATAATGAACATAATCGCTCCAATGTGAATGGTTTTGGCCCGGTCTCATGGTAATTCTCTCTTACTACTGTTCGTTGCGTCGCTCGTCGTTTGCAAGATGCTTTCTGTAATAAAACATCAGATTAATAACTCAAAATTATGAACATTTATACAATCTCAGACAACTCTACAACAACACTTTAGAACCTACCTCACCAAAATACCGCTTATCAGTACTCGGAGGATTGTAGCTGGCAAAGTACGATGCTATCAGTGTAAGCGCCGCTATATGTGGTAACTTATCATAAACTGGTTGAGCGGTCAACTGAGCTTTAGGTTTACTGTCAACAATCCTCTTTACAATACTATTCCATTGATCGTTTTTAACTATCGACGTTACATCTTCTATTTTTGCTCGTTGAAGGATCTTTATCAACTGAAAAATATAAAGTATATAGCTTTTTAAATCTGCAAATGCTGTAAGCTAGTCTATACTCTCATATTCAAAAATAATAACAAAAATAACTTACAAATCTCTGCGCCACAAATGGATCCAGGTTTTTAGGTAACAAGCTCAAAACGTATCGTATAGTCTTGATGTCGTAGTCCAAGCCATTCTTTGTCACACCCCTCATACAATAAATTTCCAGCATTTCTAAACAAAAAAATATGTTAACAAAGCTATAACCTACGTGTTGACATTGGCTCAAACTTGTAATGCATTATATTGTGATAGAATCTCTCCTTTAATCCATCTGATATCAACTTCCAAGGGAAACAGCCCATCGTTATCAACTTTACCTTCCCTTTACGCTAAAACAAAATAAATTAAATTACAAACGTATTTAACTGATGTTCTAAATGTTTTACAAACTGTTACTATAAGTAAACATCATAAAGATAGTGTAGATATATAATACAACCAAAAGAATAATGTAAATACCTCTTTGCACGCGAAAAACAATTCTTTCAAGAATCCAAACCTAAATTGATTGAACTCTTCAGCATCTCGAATCAAAATGAGAAGTGTTGTCTTCGGATTGTCACCAAAATACAAGTTTAAGACTTCATCAAGTACCCGAACTGAAGATACCTGAGCTCCGAAATGTTCCCCAATAAATTGAAATACTTCCTTTTCGTTGCCCAAAAATAAACGCAAATGCAATGTCACTGCTGCCTAAACATATATAACAACAGACCAGATAAAGTACTTACCAGAGTGTCCCCGTTTCCGTCCTTCAGCTCATCCGTTAGGGTATCTAGATGAATTTTCTGACCGTGTACATGAAGATGAAAACAAATCCCCGAAGAATCTCGTGCAAAACGTTCAACAACCTCCATAAATTATTCCGATTAGTTAGAAAACGTTGCTAAAGTATTTTTACAACGAAAAAGGTAAGAAATTGAAGAAATTTCAATTACTTTTTTCAAAATATTTTTTTTGCGCCGACAAATGCGTCAACTCTCCTCGTGAACGAAAATTTTGCGTCAAGTCTTTTCTAAAAAAATAATTTTACAAGTTTTAATACCAAGACTTTGTAAAACAGATAGTTCCTTAATCTACGGATTAATGACTCTCCTTTGGAGGCGTTAACATCATGGACGAGACGGTTGGTAATTCTGCAGTAAAGTAAGTGATGTCATGTACAAGGTTGATGGTTTTTAGACCTGCCGGAAATCAAAAACCGATAACGCCTGATAACATTCGTCGCCGAAACAGTGTGGTAAGACTTATAAATGTTTAGTACTTTGTTTTTAGAATGATAAAGCTTCTGGCAGTGCAAGAAAGCCGAACAACCCGATAAAGGACGATAAGTAAGTTATCAAACGGTCGATAAATGATGTTTTTTTTTGTTTTAGTGATTCAGAAAGACGAAGCTCTTGGCAGGATTCAACAAACTTGTACTTGAGTAAGTTTTGAAAGTTAGTTAATTGTTATTTAATTTTGTTTTAGCGTTAAACGGTCATTACCACCCAGTAGATGTGTCTGATCGCGTAGCTCGTATGTACGACAACCCTATGTTTGCTGATGTAGCGTTTTTGGTCGGAGAATTTGAAGAGGTAAGTTAGGTTTATAGGTTATTATGTTTTTAGAGACATACAGCACACAAACTGATATTATCCTTGAGTTCGGAAGTGTTTGGGACAATGTTATACAACGACAAGTTTGAACAAAACATTGTAAATGGCTGCCAAGAGATCAAAGTGCCAGACATTGACTCGGAAACTTTTAAAAAGATGTTGCAGTTTATGTACACTGATGATATACAACTAGACATGGATTCGGTTATTCATGTTTTATATTGTGGTAGGTAAAATACGAGTCGGATAGTTGCGTTTTTATGTTCTTATCGTAAAATTCGTGTAGGTGTATTTTATCTGGAATTGTATGGAAAATTATTTTTTTATATTTGTTAGTTGTTTATTTTATATTATATTATACATGTATATAAAGCTCCTGGAAGAAATAATGTGTTTTCAGCTCGGAAGTACGCGATTCTGAACCTAGAGCGCAAGTGCTCTGATTACCTACAAGAACACCTAAATCTGGAGAATGCTTTTGCCATTCTCAGCTTGGCCAAACTATACGATCAAAGTCATTTGGCCAGAGTGTGCTTCGATTTGATTGATAACGAAACAATTGAAGTTCTGAAGACGGAGACCTTCTTGGAACTTAGTCAAGAGATCCTGAACGATGTCTTCCGAAGAGATACGTTGAGAATTATGGAGTTGGAGTTGTTTAATCTGGCAGTAAAATGGGCCGAATCTGAATGTGAAAGAAGAAAGTGGAATATCTGTGGAGAGAATATCAGGAAGGCTTTGGGTGACACCTTGTATTCTATTAGGTTTCCACTGATTGACTTTAAAGATTTTTCGAATTTGATTAGTGAGTTTTTAAATTTTGGTTTTTGGGGTGGATTTTGTTTGAATTGGTATAAAATTAAGCTTTTCTTTTGCCAAAGTTCAATTTTTTCTAAATAAAAAAAAACCTAATCAAAATGACATTACTGGGCTAAAACTAATAAAAAAATATGTTTCAGCCAAATATCCAGGCCTATTAACCGACAGGGAATCGTTGGACGTCTTCCTCTATAAACATATGGACCAGAAGCCAATGATTCCTTTCACAATTCGAACTAGGTACAGAGTGTTGGGCAAAGAATTGGTAATAACTCGCTTTCAACGCATCGAAAGTCGCTGGGGTTATAGTGGAAGTGCTGACAGGATAAAGTAGGTTGTTTTATGTTATGACAGAAGTTTAAAAATAGTTTCGTTTTAAAATGGCATACAAATTTAGTGGTTGATTGGATGGCAGAGGGTTTCCAAAAACTGAAGTTTTTAGCTTTTTTTGGCTTTTTGAAAGTTATTTTTATTCGTTAAAATTCAAGTTAAAAGTTACGGTAAAACAGTTATTTACTGATGGTAAACAGTAATTGTGCATTAACTTTTGATACCACAAAATATACTTATATATGTATACCTTGTGACTATTTTCTTTACTGAAATGTACTCAAAAAACTTTGTTTACATACACTGAGGAAGTTTATACAAGAAATACTTTTATAATTCAGCTACCCTACTCTTTTTTTTATTATTTTAGTTATACAAATTTCGTATAAAGTTCAAGGCATTGTGTTATTTCAGTTTCTTAATAATATAATATATATACGCTATATATTATGTTAGGTCTTTTGTGTATTTGATTTGCAACTTTTAATTGAACGAATTCGAAAAAAAAGTTTTTGAAAAAACGGATTAAAAGCGTTGTGCGTCACCGCCTGAATATAATAAAATGCAAGTAAACGTTTGTATCCACACTACAAATCATTATTGTTCAAAGTTGAAAAGGTCATGACATTCGACCGGGAAAAAGTTGTGGGTCATAGCAATGTGGATTTTAAATGACTATAACCATTAAGGTAAATGATGGTAAATATTAGAGACGGGCTATGAAGGTTTATTGTAGATTAAAAAAAAGTTTATACACAAACTATACAAAGGTTAATACAGTAATGTTGTTTTAAGGTCGTTTGTAATGAACTTTTAACATTAGATTAAAACAAGCAATGAAAATGTTTTTGAATCAACTTGAAAAAAAGTTAAGAAAAAATGTAGAGAATTAATCAGAGATTAGAGTACCTGTTTTCAGATTTACAGTAGATGCGCCAATATTCATCACGGCTTTGGGGCTGTACGGGTCTATGCATGGGCCATATCAATATGCGGTTAAAATGGAGGTAAGGGCTTATCTCTTGGTTTGAATCAATGTTTTTGGGAGTTTAGTCTAAAATTCAGTTCTATATAGGCTAGATATACATGTTTATGATATAGCGACAAAATACAAAGAATAGATTGGATTGGGGTTAAAAGGGGGCTTGCTAGGATTGGTCTGGCTCCGGGCATGATTAGGCCGGGAGCAAGTTTTAAAGAGGTGATACTGGCACATAATGGACCGAAGGTCCAGGCTTAAACTAAGGTTCAGCATGTCCAGGCTGATACATGGAGTTTGATCAGGTTCTTTTAAAGGTAAAATAAAAGTTTTGGTATAGACCTGTGTGGATAATTGCTGAGATAAAATGATATGGCTAAAGCTAGAAATTCTTTTTTAGATAACTGACTTCTCTTCGAACAAGCATATCGCTGTAAATGAGACTACCTTTCAATGTGATGGCAGTGCTGGAGTCTTCAGGGTACCTTTCAAAGAACCTGTTGAGATTTTGGCTAATGTCACTTATGAAATATCCGCCACTATTAAGGTTGGTTTTTGCTTATTGTAGCAACATGTTGAAGGAAACAATGCCGTATTTTACACTAACAAGTCGTGTTTAATATAATTTTTCAAAATCTTCAGGGTCCGGACTCACATTACGGTGCGAAAGGTCTTCGTCGTATATCACGTCACTCTCCGCAGGGTACTATCACATTTCAGTTCAGTTATGCTCATGGTACGAACAATGGCACATCAGTTGACGATGGGCAGATACCTGAGATCATATTTTGTTTGAAGGAGGGGTAATATAAAGTGAGTTATTGTTCTTATCAGAAGATGCTATCAACAGGAGTTGATCATGGTAACTATGGTAATAACGCTAACCATATAGAACAAACGCTATTTACTACGTTACGAGTGTTAATGATAGTTACAATAATACAAATGCTTATTATGGCACTATTTGTTACTGTGGTAGACATTATGGCAACTACTACAATATACACATATGGAAAACTACTACAAAACATTACTTATTTGATGAAAGTGACAAATTTTATTTTTGAAAACTACTACGGTAATTTCCTTCTAATTATGATAACACTTATGTTAGCATCAGTTGTGGCTTCATTTGCAAATGTTGATAATATATTAGCCATGGCAACATCCATGTGAGACATTCTGATATGATTCAAATAATTCTGTGCTCTTTAACTTTGGCTATTTGCTTTTTAGAAAGAATTGGCACAGAATTATTTGAACATTGAAGACAATACATTATTTGGCATACGGAAGTTTTTCAAGCCGTAACACTACGTTTCATACCTATATTATTATTGACAGACACTAAAAATAGTAGTTTTTTACATTCTTTTTGCAACTATGATCCTGTTTGTTACCCAAATCTTATTACAAATCTATTTGTAAAAATACAGCTACAATTACTATCAATATGTATCTGGTCTTTTTTTACCGGTACTCTTACATATAATTACTGGTAAAGACGTGTAATTAATAGACTTTGAACTTTTTTGTGAAGAAAACGAGTTATTTAAATGTGATTATTAGTGAGCTTGTACATGTTATTTGAACTGTGTTACGGGGGTTGTAAAGGTTGTTATAGTTGTTTTTGAACTTTAGTTTGTTGTATGGTATTTTATCACAGTACAGAGGTATGTAATCTTGTATGGTATGGTACTATATGATTGTACGAAAGGCTATGGAAGTACTATTTCAATGGTTTTGAAATTGATGCAAAAAGAATGGCGTGTTTAAAAAGATAATTGTTTTATAGGAGCTGCTATTCTTTTTTGTATTATACTGAGAAATAGTTTCATACTACACCATTTATATCGTACTACAAAGCTCTGATATACAATGCTAGATACTACTATGACAACCATTTCAACCCTGAACACATTTGTATCACCAATATCTATAGATCTATCCAACTTTGTACATAACTTTATAGTAGGTATTATTTGGTCGAATAAAACTGTACATACGAAGTAGCGGTCGGTAGTTGTTTCCTTTTCTGTTTACATTAAAATCTTTTTGTATTTCCTGCGAAGTTTGGTTAGAATCCTCTACTGTGAGTAAACAAAACCGTATCCTTTACATGCAACTTTCGAACTTAACTCACCGCTTGATATGTGGGCGATTTGTTTGCCATTTTGATTTAATATCAGGTCTACAATGACTTTTTCAAACCTTTGTTAAGTTTTTGGACTTGAATATTGATTTAATGAGTAATGAAGGGTGGTATGGTAAAGGTCATGGTATTTATAGGGCTTAAGGGGGGGGGGTGGTCTACTTCTACTATAAGGTCCAGCTCTACTACGAGGTTTGCTGGAAGTGAGGGGGATAGGTTTTAAAATGAAATATTTTTTGAAAATAGTTTTTAAGGTTATGATGACGCTATAATGTCATCAAATTCTGATCTTGGTCTTTTCAATGATCAATATTAGTCATTTCAAACGTCATACTTTAATGGTTTTTACTGTATTATGCATTTCCTTTTTCTTTTCTCTCTGTAATATCATGCTTGTCTCTCTTAGTTTCTCTTTGTAACATGTTTGTTTCTATTGTAAGATAAACAAGCTTTAACAGCTTACACGGTTTTTCATGATTTCAAACCGGAAGAGGCATCTTTTTGGATATTACACTTGGTTTTTGAGGGTTAGAACTGAATATTCTCTTTTTTTATAGAAAGTTTTAAAATCTGCCGCTTTTGACATATTATGTCTGATATGTTTTGATTATTTTACAATCGTATTTCACTGTGTAATTTAGCTGATATCTACTGTTTTTACTTTCAACTTAAAACTGTTAAAAAAGTTTTGTCGTTAGTTTATATTGATTTACATAGTAAAAAGCGACAAGAATACCAGGTTGTTCAAATAATTCTGTGCCTCTTAAGCCTCAAAATATGTTTTGAAAGGAGCACAGAATTATTTGAACAACCTGGTAAGTAGTATAACTATTGTCGTATGCTTTGTACATGTAAAAATATGTTGGAAGATACGTTATGGCACGAAGATTTGTGATGTTCATATATTGTAGCTCAAATAAGTCATTTTAAACTAAATTTTATTATTGTATTTCAACCCTACAACAACATCATTTCAATCCAAACCACATGTAAACGTTGTAATATCTAAAAACCCCTTTTTCCTTCTCTCTCTATATTATCCATGGATTTATTTTCTCTTTCCTTCGATTTCGATTCGACACTTTTCCAAATGGCCAAGGGTTTAATTTTTGAAACGACCGCATTAAAAGAGGGGGGGGCTGAGAAAGTGTCTGGGAGAAGTTAGGCCAATTAATATTAGATGGAATTACAAAAGATTTCCGCGAAACAACTTTTCGCATTGTTTTTTGTTATGACAGATCTGGGGTCTTTATTATGTATAATATATTATAGTATGTTGGGATGAATTTTATATTAGAGGTGTGGTAATTTAGTATGCAAATCATCTTTTTATTTCAAGTTTTTGGAAAAATGTGGAACATTTGGGGTCTTGTAACTATGGTAGGGCAGGGTAGGGTAGGATAGGGTAGGGTAGGGTAGAGTATAAAAACTTACTATAATATGACCCTGCTTACAATAACCTTACTTTCCATTTTGTTCTCTTTTCCTATAAACGTAGTGAACTGCGCCTACAGTTCTTTGTATTGTATTATTACAAAAAGTTTTTAGAAACACTTTTTTCACTTTTAAGGTCAGACTGATCTTTGTATTGTACTATAACATCATTATAGGTAATAATATTACTTATGAGACAAGGTAACATTGGTGTTAAGTTAATTTTCCTTATGATTTGTACATATATGGTTTTAAAGATTGTTTACAACAATATTTAAGACTATTAATTTTGTTTACATAAAAAATGAGTGACAAGTGACATTTTTATTAAAAAATGTTATTTTCTGTAAAATACTAATGTCATTTTAACTGAAAACGTATCTAAGATATTGCAATACGCCTTACAATCCCAGAAGCCATAGTATGATAAGAGCAAAGCGTTAATCTGTAAGGATACGAAGGTGTAACAAGATTGGGATTAAAGAATTACCTAGAAGTGCTTAGAATTTCCACAGATCTTTTTAATTTTAATTTGTAATTTGGTTAATGATTAGGCTAGATTAACTTTTGTATTCCAGCTAACCAGCAGACAAATTGCTTTTTAGTGGTAAGGTGTGGAATCTTTCCCAGGGACAAAGATTCCTTATCTGATCAGGCCGATCGGCCTTCAATCCAAAAATGTCTAAGATTCGTTATTCCCGTTTCCATCCCATCTTCAAACAGTCAGGGATATTAAATAAAACGGTAAGTAATATTATATATTATATAATTGTTTTCTCAATCTCCTTATATAGTCACATTTATATTCAATTATTGTAATTATTTAGGGAATCTGGTATAACCAAATAAACTTGATATTGATCAACTGTGGTAGGATTGTTAAAGTAAATCCCTATATGGTGCATGATAACAAAAGTCACCGAACCACGTCAACTGAACCACCACAATGCTGAAGTCGAATAAAACCTCTGTCACAAAGAGTATCACAAGTCTCAACGAAGTACTCACCAAACTCCAAGAGCCAGTCAAATGTGCGACAACGCGGCTGGCTGTGGTCGAACTGTTAAAGCGAAAGAGTAGCTTGGAGGACGCCATCTCCAGAAGCGAAGCCAAACTTCAACTTTTGCTTTCGTGTGAGGGAGTCGACAAGGATGTAACCATCGACGACTACGTCAACAAAGCAACAGAAGCCATAGAAGAAGGTTTTAGTGTCAACAGAGAATTGAAGGCATTAATCATCGAAAGAGAACAACAGGTCGCCGAAGAAAACGAGGCACGAAGGGCCGGTAATCCAACAACCGTCCATCAAGAAGTGCCGAAATTGCAATTTCGAACGCCAAAGTTCAATCTACCTGTTTTCGATGGAGAAGACCACACGAAATGGCCATCCTTTGCACAAACGTTTGAAGCCTATGTAAAATCAACAAATTTTACACCCTTCGAAAAAATAACCGTATTGAAGGAATGTTTGCAAGGGAAAGCTCGACTAGCTTCGGAAGTGGCTACACTGGAATGTAATAACACTGTAATAAATCAGATATGTGAACCACACATCTGGTCAACAAAGGAATTAAAAATAAGTCAAGATTTACACTGCAACGTGACCTGTGGACAGAATCAACAGTATCTTCAGCTACATCATGAAGTAGGACTGGCCCACATTATGAATGACTACTTGGTTCCAAATCAGTCGATGGTACAAGAAGAGAAATCAAATATTAATATAATATTCTTTGGTATTGTATTTATGGTGATTATTCTTTTCTTATTCAAAACCAATCTTGGTGGATTTGCTCTTAGTCTAATTGTCAGATTACTCAAAACTAAAACACTGTAATTGACAACGTCCCCCCGCAGTGTGGAATCTTTCCCAGGGACAAAGATTCCTTATCTGATCAGGCCGATCGGCCTTCAATCCAAAAATGTCTAAGATTCGTTATTCCCGTTTCCATCCCATCTTCAAACAGTTTTTCTGCAGGTTGGTTGGTGTAGTTGGCTTTGAGTGGGGAATGTGAAGATATAGGGCATTCATTATAGAAGGTGTTTCAGCGGTATATTGTTTTTAATATTATAATATTAGTTTGTAGATTGATGTGTGCTTTCGAAAGCGTAGTATCAAAATTATATAGTACTGGGTTAAGTTTTTTTTTCAAATGAACAGGGAACGGCAGATCAGCTTGCGACCGATCTACTCAACTTTTTTAAAACAAACATGGATATCGATATTGCCTGATATATCAACGTTGTGCAATGAGTTTTCGTGGTTCTTTAACTTGTTAAGCTGTTTTTTAGGCTTAGGTTGTTTAATTATTCAGCCTGTTTGTGGACTTATGTAAAATTTCTTTTCTGAAAATGTTTTGGTTCAGACAAGCCAACAGGTTTCGTGCTTTAAAGTGAGAATATGAATGACCATAGCTTTGTCCGAGTTTAAAAGCTCAAGCTTGACACTCAACTTGTATTGTAACCAAGGGTCACCATAATGCTATTTTTGCTATATGTTGGCTATGTCTTATTTTTTCGGGGGAGATTAATACACTGTTTTTTTTTTGAGAATTGGCGTGGCGTAGAAGATGCTTTACTGATAGAGAAAAGATGTCTATTTTTTAAAATTTTTGTTTTTATTGGTTATACAGGCTGTATTATCGGCACACATTATATTATATTATGTAGTCTGATCACCTTATATACATGCTATTATATCTTCTTGGTACACATCGATACATTTTTAATGTAATTGAAGTGGGCTTTGGGTTAAAACTGATCTACTGCGCAACATTTACATTACTCATCTAAACGATTAAAAATCTCTATTTATAAGTACAAATCGTTTCTATTTTGTGTCACAACCTTGTTCATAACTTTTTAAAATCTATGATCATATCCATCTCATTCCTATTAAAAACCCCTCTGTAACTAAATAACCTATGTAACTAACTGAACCTATGTATCTACACTTTCAAACAAACCACGTTACCTACCCACTCATTCAAACGAGAAATGTCATTGATCCTCCATCTTATCTTGTGTTACACAGTTTGAAAGGGAACTACTATGATGGGAATTACTCTGGTTTTTGATATTGTTTCATGTTTATTTTTAAAAACAACCAGACGTTGAGTGTAATATGTTTTCCGTTTTAAACACTTTCTATCATAATATGGCTGTTACTAACTTTATATGGTGTTTATTAAGGTTATATGGTAGCTATTAGTCTGTAAACTGTTTATATGTCATCGTTTTGGATTATGTTTAGTCTGGTGTGGGAGGATGGTAAATATTGTTGGGTGGGTGCTGTAGTTTTACTTTTGTGAGAGGGTAAAGGTTAAGTTTTGAGAAAAGAAGTTAACATAGGGGGTATCTGTGATTATAAAATATTTTTGCTTCTTTTATCTTCATTAGGCCTTGCTTTGATTAAGCTTCTTGAAACTTTGTAAAACTAAACCTAATCTTTGGTTGTTAAAATAATTTTGTGTTCCCCAACCTCAAAAAATTGCTGAGATAGAGCACAGAATTAATTGAACAATCTAATATTATAATAGCATTGTTATTACTTAAATGTTTTTCTTATAAGTTATATGACTCCAAGTTATGAAATAATTTGTCATATTTCAGTTACGTCTAACATATTGATGTCTACTTACTCTTTTTAAGAAAAGTTTTGGAAAAAACTAGATGATTACTATGTAATCAAAACATAAGTAACTATAGGTCTGCTTATTTGGTCTTTGGAGAGTTGCATTTCAGTTATTTTTTGATTTTTTAGAGCTTTCTGTCTGGAGGTAGTGAAGCTTCGTATATCATTGATACTGTAATTTTTTAAAAATTTTTAAGTGTTTTTTGTTCGAGAATAGTGAAGTTTTCCTGTGTCTTTAGAATACTATGAAAACGTTTTTATTCAGAAAAAAAATTATTAGGTGCCGACATAAAGAACCCGCCATTTTTGCAGGAAATTACAGGCAAAGTATGGCGGGTTCTTGATGTCGGCACCTGGTATAACCACAATAAGACTTTATTGAAAAACATGGTTTACCTTTGATATGATTACAAAAGGAAGTGTTTGACGTTGATGTAGCATCATAATAGATTACTTTTTAAAAGATTGAGAGGTTTTGCAGTCAATTGAAGTTTTGTTGTCGTATTGGGTATTGTAGTATGAGCTTAGTTTAGTCAATGAAGGATGGTAGTGCTTGGCTTTGTGATTTGTTGATAACTTGCTACAAATTTGTAAATTAGGTATTGGCCACAGTTTTTCAGTTTTTAAATTTTTTTAAACTTTGTGGCTTACTTTTGCTAATCAACTTTATCAATGTTGATTTTTTAGTTTTACTTAGTGATGACATTTTATTGAGTTGAGTCATCATATTCTCCTAAATTTTACTGAGTTTGCCTATCTATTCTACTAACTTTTAAAAACATTTTTTCCCATGCTGTAACAGTTCAGTAACACAACATGTCACTTCAAACAGTTTGAGTTGTTGCTGTTTATGATAAAGAAGGAACAGGCACCATTGTGTACAAAGCTGCTACTACAAATGTGTTTTTTTGTATTTCAAATTTCTAAATTTTTATTTTTATTTTCGAACATCTGAGATGTGTAAGGCATGTGGTTCGGTACGGGGTACAATTTTTTGTTTTTAAAGATAATTTTACAAAAAGTTTTGTCATATTTAAAGTTTTTATAATTAATAGGGTCTTGCTAAAGACGTTCTTGAAAGGTTTAATTCATTAGAAGGTGCTTACGTACATAAACTATAATTTAAAATTGTATCAATTAACTATAACGTTCTTGTACTCTTGTTATTGCTTGTTCCATATCTATTAACCAGCTCTTTAAAGAATATGTAATACCATTTGATAGGCTGATATTAAGTTGTTCAAATAATTCAGTGTCACATCTCAAAGCAAATCTTCGGAGTAAGGGGGTATTATAGCTTACTTAAGCCTAGCCATGATGATAGATACCTATATTTTACTGGAAAAATGGCTAGATGTAGACCTGAAAAAGGGGCTTGTCAGGCATGGCCTGGTCTTAAAAAAAAGTCCCAGAAAAGTTTTTTTTTGAAAAAAAATTTTTCTGGTGGTGAGGGGGGGGGGGCTCCCCCCCCCCTCCCCGTTCGCTTCCCCTCCCAGCGCATACACATATGGACATCTTCTACTGACGGTTAACCAATTGAACGTTTGCTGACACTGCTCAAACTTATTATTACAATAAGAAGTGTTTGACATTTCCTTTAATCAAAACCTTGATAATTGTTTTAAAGCTGATTTTTACTTTGTAAACCGCGCTTTTTAAAGAGTAGAATATCGATGTCTCTGACGTAGTTATTACATTTTGTTCGTTGATCTTTACTTGTGTTTTCTGATTGAATTCGGGCAAGAGATGTTTGTTATTGAACTTAAAACAATATCAGGGTGTACGGTGGGGGCTTTAAAGTGACTTTATAGTGCTTGTGTTGATCTTGTATGTTGTCTGGGCTTATGGGGTTGTGATTTATATCATTTTAAGGTTTATGTATATCAAGATGTTTATTTAACTTATTGAAGTTTAAAAACGTCATCTTAAGGCTTTACAACCTATTGATGATCTAAAAACCTAAAATGAAGGCATTGAAGTCATGTAACTATTAATGTTTTACAAAATTACCATTTATTTTTGTTCGTATATTGCGATGCCAACAATTACAAAAAACACATCCTTCGTTATTAATTATATAGTTGTAGTTTCAAAATGTAATCGAACATATAAAACCACTATTTTTAGTTGCAGCCGGCTGTCAATAAGGCTTCATTCAAGACCTACAATTCTCTGATGGTAACAAACAACTATGTACGACAAAGTCCACGGTAAGTGTTCGTATGTTGGTGATTTTTAAGTTTGAGCGTCTTGAAGCCTTGAGGAGCTTAGAGGGTGGGAGGGGTAGTGAGACTTTGAACTTTAAGGGTTGGCAAGGGGTGGTATGGCTTCGAATAGTTAATATAGGCTATAAGGTTGTTCAGATAATCCTGTGCTCCCTCTTAAAGCATTTTTAGGAGTTAGAGGCTCAGGATTATTTGAAAAACACAGTAAGGTTAAAAAGGCGTTAACGGAGGACTTAAACTTAAAAAATTAGTTAACACGTATTTAAAATGGCATAAAATACAAAAAAGGCTTCACAAGTTAAAAGTTTTAATAAGGCTTCAAAATGGCTTAAAATATGTTTTTTTAAATTTATAGTTTTGTCTGTATTCAAAGGTATTGTAACATATAATTATGTTCTGACACGTATACAAGCTACTGTAATATATAATTTTAATTAATATTTTTAAACAATAACATAGTTATGTTTTGATACGATAATATATGTTATTATATTCTACTGATTTCTAAAATGGATGATATTACAGCTGTCGAGAATGGACTGACCACTAAAGGAAAGGACACCAAACTCGACCAAAGGTAAGCAAAGTTTCATTTTCAATTTGAAAAGTTGTTTAAATAGTGTTGCGCCTTTTAACACTGAAAATTTGCTTTGAGAGGGAGCACATAATTAATTGAACAACTTAACAAAAAAATATTTGTAAAAATTAAATTTTTTTTAAAAAATGTGCAGTTTTGAGCGTTCGACTGGTGTTATTTTATGAAGGTAGCTAATATTTTTTGGCTAGAAATTTCAGTTTCATATAAAAAAATTTTAGGTAGGGATACTTTTCTTCCTGGTTCAGGTATATAAGTATGAAAGTAGACAATAACACTCCTTTAGGTATAAACATGTCTGTCCGTTTCTACGCATAATATGTAAATAAAAGGGCATATTATGTTCCCATTAGCATTCTTGTAACTTGGCTTCTAATTACCGTACTCTTTTGACTCTTTGCTTTCGAAAGGTTCAGGTATATAACGCTTGATACTTCTCTGTATGTTGAACATGGTTTTTCACTTCCTTATAAAAACTAATTGTTGTTGGGCCTTTAATAATAAAAAACTATTTTCTGGTAAACCTTTTAGTATTCTGGCAAAACTGGTAACATGGCTATACCTATTGAAGATATTAAAGCAATCTTCACTAAACCTGAAGCTACTAAAACTTTGAAATCAAGCAGTACAAAGGCTATTTCTGATACTTTTTCTATAACAAGTTATATTAGTTGTAAACACTCAAACTGCAACAACCTTACGCCTTCAAATTTACTGCCTTTAACCTCTACTAAACCTACTGTAACTTTTAGTAATGGATGGTCAAAGCCAACAGACGAGAAACCTCAGACTGAGCACGATGAAAGCCGTCTGTCTTTTACCTTACAGTCTTTTTTCCCATTTTTACTGGCTGGATTTGGCATGGTGGCAGCTGGGATCTTACTGGACAGAGCTAGCAGTTGGTACTTTTTAACTGAAGTGCCTGAAGCACTAATCATGGTACCGGCTTTGTTAGGGCTAAAGGGCAATTTGGAAATGACTTTGGCTTCACGGTTGTCTACTATGGTAAGTTTTGAGGTTTTTGGTGATTTTAAAGGATTTTTTGACGAAATGTTTGAAAAATGACATTTTTAAATGAAACGTAAAATATAACTTTCATGTTTTAACTTACAGTACACCTTGTTATTTTAACAATCCAAAAATGTCACTTCCAGGCAAACCTCGGCTTAATGGACACAAGAAAACAGCAGATAATGACATTGATTAGCAATATTGCACTAGTCCAAGCTCAAGCTATTGGAGTATCTTTGGCCGCGTCATTCTTGGCCATAGTAACAAGCTTGATCGAAGGGTATACGTTCAGTTGGCCTAGGGTAGTGTCCTTGATGTTGATTGCTATATCTACTGCTTCAATCGCTTCTCTGATATTATCTACAGTCATGGTTGTATTGGCTATTGTGGCTAGGAAATGGAAGATCAATCCTGACAATGTTAGCACACCTATCGCCGCCATGTTGGGGGATATTACTACGTTGGCTTTTATGGTATGTTAATTGCATAAACTTGTAGTAGTACATATACTTAGAACTATATTTACATTTAACGTTGTAGTACAATGTATGTTTATACGTACGTTTATTGTACTAAAATATAGCTTTAGATAATAAAACCGACTTTTTCAGATCCTCCTCGGCACAGTGCTAACTCAAACCTCAGAAAGCCTCTTCATTTTCCAACTCATCCTCCTAATAGTATTCGTCCTATCTACAGTAATATGGGCCCTAGCTGCCTCTAAAAACCCAGCAACATACGAAGTACTAAAGCATGGTTGGTATATCATCATATTGGCCATGGTCATCAGTTCTTGTGGTGGCTATGTTCTAAAAATGGCCATGACTCACTTCAGTTCACTAGCCGTCTTCCAACCGGTCGTTAATGGCGTGGGCGGGAACTTGGTAGCTGTGCAGGCTAGTAAGATATCTACATATCTTCACAGGCATGGTAAAAAAGGAGTGTTGCCTCAGAAAACGGTAGCCACTTATGTTTCACCGCTACGGACTTTTGCTTTGAAAGGTGGGTTTGGGTGGGGTAATGTTGTTGTAGATAGTAAAAGATATTATTTGTTGGCAGTTTGTTGAAAAATTAATGAGCCATGCTTTATAGAAAATTTTTTAAACTTAATATGCAATATTTCAGAAGAAGAATCCGTTCACGCTGTATTGTTGTTGTTAATGAGTATTCCTGGACATTCCATCTTCCTTACCGTAATCTCCTTTGTTGAACTTGGTGATACCTACGATTGGCAGTTCTACATTGCTTATGTTATCATTGGCATGACTCAGGTACGTTTGTTTAAAAAAATTTAGCTAAAGTATTGTGTCGTATGTTGGCATGTTTAAATTTACATATTATGTTGTTCAAATAATTTTGTGCCTCTTTTTAAAGCAGCTTTTTGGGGTTAAAAGCACAGAGTTACTTGGAAAACGTACATATTGTGTAATTGGCACATTACACACACTAAAACACAATTTTTCGTTTTTTAATATAATATTATTTTATGCATATCACGACATAAACTTTATACCTATAACAATATATAAATGTAACTTCTATTTTAGGTATCAATCCTCTTGTACATATGTCAGCTATCTTGTAGATTAATGTGGCGATACAAACTGGATCCCGACAACAATGCCATTCCTTTATTGACAAGCTTGGGAGACCTGATTGGTACTTCACTACTGTTCACAATGTTTTTAGTTCTAAATCATATCGTTCCTAACGTGATTTTGTCGCTTGAAAGTGAGGAAATCCCGCTGAATCAGGACCTCATGGTAACATAACATATATATCTTTGCTGAATGTAACTTTTTTGTCTTACTGTAATTTTAGTGGCCTTACTGTAATTTGTGTGGTCTTACAGTAATTTTAGTGGTCTTACTGTAACTTTTTTTATACTGTTTTCACCATTTTTATTATATTTTTCATTAACATACTTCTACAGTATTTTATACAATGCTATATAAGCATACTGTGCCTTCTTTAGTAAAACTCTTATCACAGTATCTTTTTTAACATAAGTTAGCCTTATATCACCATTCTATATAGCTATTAATACGACTTAAGTATACAAATACATTGTATCGTTAATATTCTTTACCCATCTACTCTCCTTTACATACCATGAAACATCAACATTCACCAAGTGTAATTAGCATAATTATGTCACTTAGTATGAATTACTGGTTGTACCGTAACCCGGGTTACTATTCCAAAGTGCATTAGTTTTAAACAGTAATCTTGATTTCAAAATTTTCAGTAATAATTCTTAACTGTCGTGTAAGCACTTGATTGTAATGTAATGTAAAATAAACATATCATATTGAAGATGAGAATTACTTCTGTAAATCAAGGATAATATTCGTAGACCGAGTAAAGTAACAAGTGTAATAAGGACGTTAAATATAATATAGCAAATAAAAAAATGTTATACTGTATGTCACAGAACCAGCTCTATCACTCTTTCAATATCAACATATCACAAGAACACCAACTCCAGTAACACAGAAAATTAACTCTGTTGCAATTCATACACTAAATTATGTAAATCTGTAGCTTTAAAGTACTTTTCTGTTTGAAAGTTCGAACACAAATAGTTGCCGATTTTAAGATTAGCATATCGTTATCACTAACAAAAAGCAAAAACTCAAAAAAGTAATCCAAAGTCAAGGCTTCTAGACAGTATATAAGGCCTGGATGAAACTTGAACTACATCAACATTTGGTTGTTTCTACTACAACCACTGTTGCCCTACTGGTCTAGGAAGATGAGTTTGAAAGTGGTGTCATGTCTTCTCTTGGCCACAATGATTATGGCCGACCTGAGCGATCTTATCCTTCCTGAAGAGAAAATGCCTGCCGTAAGTTGGTCATAACATGACATACCATAAGTTCTTGTAATTGAATAATAAGTCCAAAGCTATAAAACAGCAAAGATGACTTTAAATCATGATTTCAGATGGAGCTGATCGAGTACTGGGGCTACTACGGCGAAGAGCACATCGTGGAGACAGAAGATGGCTGGATTCTGCCAATGCACCGTATCCCCCGAGGCAAGAACGAGACCAAGAATACTCCTGGAAAGCCAGTTGTCATCTTGCAGCATGGTTTGGAGTGTTCGAGTGACAACTTCTTGCTCAATCTCCCTTCTCAAAGTCCTGGTTTTGTCTTTGCTGATGCTGGCTTTGATTTTTGGATTCCAAACACTCGAGGTAACAGCTACACATCCAACAAGTACTACGACAGAACTGAATCTGGATTTTGGCACTTTACGTGAGTCTATAGCTTTTACAATCTTTATCTTAAAATTATCTTATAGTAGGTAAAACAAACTTACACTGTAATATTAAAGTAAAAAATATTATTAGATATGAGTTACATTTCAGAAGCGACGAAATGCAAATGTACGATATGCCAGCCTACTTCGATGTGATCGAGAATGTCACTGGCTTGCCCAAGTTCTACTACGTCGGCCACAGTCAAGGTACCTACATCATGTTCGCCAAGCTCTCTTGGGATCCTTCCTTCGCTGACAGAGTCATCAAGTACTTCGCCTTAGGCCCTGGAGTAGTCTTCAAGGATCTCCAAGGTGTCTTCGACATCGTATGTGACACCAACAACTTTGCCCTCGGCCAGAGCATCTGGGACTTAGTACCATACACAGAATTCAGTCTGGGACTCCTCAGCCAACAGTCCGTCGACTTCTTGACCGACCTCACCTGTACTCTCGAGATCGAACGTGAATACTGTGCTCATGTGTACTATCTGTTTGGAGGACCTAGTACTCAGACCAATGTCACCAGAATGCCAGTCTTTACCACTCACATCCCAGCTGGTGCTTCTACTGCTCTGGTCCAAAAGTACTGTCAGACTGAACTGAACGTGACTGGAGGCTTCAGATGGTACCGTTACCCCACTGATGCCGAGAACATTGCTGCTTACGGATCAGTTGACCCTCCCTTGTACAACTTGACCCGAATGGAAGTTCCTCTCTACCTCTACAGTACTCCCGATGACTGGCTGACCACTTTGGCCAACTTGGAAGAAGACATTCTTCCAAACTTGGCTCCAGGAGTGCTCCAAGAAGACAACAGATACCCTGGATTTGCTCACATGGATCTGATCTGGGGATTGAACGCTACTGATGCCATCTTCAACAAGATCATCGCCACCATTAACAAAGACTTGTAGACTGTACATATATATTATACCACGACACATGCTTGTTAGATAATGAGTAGAAATAAACTGGCTTTTCGTATGAATCATAAACATCTACCAAAATGGTAAATTAACGCACTAAATATATACATACTATGAAAATTACACAATATATAATTTTATTGACCAAATACTATATATATTTGTGAACTAAGTATCAATTAGTACTAGATATAAAAGTAGAATTGATTTGAGAACTATAAATGCCTTGTTCTTTTTTCTTGCCAAAACTAAACCACTGTCGATAACACTTGACAATGCATATCACAGATACTGCGTTGACAATAGGCGCCCATATCACAATACATGTTCCAATGTATGCCAAGTAAGGTACGTCTATTTTTACCAGCGAAGCTAGGGTGACACATAAAACCGGGCAAGAAAGAGAGATAAATGGAAATAAAGCCTGAATCGAGGTTATGTTAATATAAGAACCAAGTGGTAATTTAAGCTTTTTATGTTTAGTTCTTCTTTAAAAAAAATTCTGAGGTAGGGGAACGGTGGCTATATAGCTTGTTTGTTACCTGTATGAAGAGTATTTTAGTCAACTGATTCTGGGTTTCCAACGTCGTCGGTGTCATAGCGTAGCGCATTCTTTTGAGAAACATGTAGGTTTTAAGTCCACATACTATAACAATAATGTAAGAACCATTTACTAGGACAAAGCTGCATGCAATATGTAGAAAAGAAACTAAATTATTACAGTCCGCTACAAAAAACATTGGAGTGTTATCTTTCCACACAGGATCTGCTCTGAAAGATCAGTATAAGTTATTAAAAGCCATAGTTTTTACATGTACTGTACGTTTTGATTTAGCTATTGTTTTGTTTCATACTGTAAACACTTCTTTATTTACTATAGCTAACTTTTTTGCTCATTAAATTTTCAAAAACGTTTTTTACCGTCATCATTTACAATTTTAACGACATCTTTTGTTTGTCAGTTACATAATGTCAACTTTTATGTTAAACCTACTTCAATAACGGCAAGTGAGACGCTACCACCTCATCAGACGGGTAAAATACAAAATAGCCAGTTACAGAATGTAATGATGTCACACATGTAACAAGCAAATATACTGTTATGTATTTTCGTATTGACCAAGGACGACATCTGAATTACAGTAATATTTTAACTTTTAATAAATTTTTTTTATTTTTAAATTCAAAAAAATTTTAAAAAATACAATATCAAGCATAAAAACTTACGAACAAAGCGCATAGTAACGGTATATAAATTGCATTGGCAAGTTGATCACAGTAGTAAAAATGGAGTTGATAGAGATCATCAATATTACACCCAGTGTAGTAGTATCAAGCAGCTCGAACCGACCACCGAACATGAAGAAGATGTTGCCTTGTTTTATTTCTACTATCTAAAAAGGTTTTAAATTAGTTAAAAAATTTTTACAGTATATTTTACAGTTTCTTGTAAAAATATTTCTTATCAAAGTAACATTAGTAGGAGTTAAAATACGGTAACCTTTAACTAGATTTTTTGTAAAAATGTTAATTTAAAACTGAGATTAACTTGTAAATTGTAGTAACATACCGGTGCAAATATAACAATAAATAGGTTGTATACCACATCTATTATGCAAGATACGATGAGTATTATACTGTAGTTTTTAATACAAGCATCGCTCTTTTTCAAAGCCAAGTATAATAACAGAAGGTTGCACGCCATAGATAGACCGCCAACTACATGATCGTATTGCACGTGAAGATCTCGTAGATGAGATGCAATCATTTGAGCTAAAAATGGGAATATAAAAGTAGTCCGTTCGAACTTCGCAGTCGCAGGTCATGCACAATTTTAAAAGTATGTCACAGACAACAGTCGTTAGTTCAATCTGGCTAAATCAGTTCGTTTAAAGTCAAAAATTTTGTAGAACTAATACGAATATGAAAAATCCAAAATTTTAAAAATTTGTCTAACCATTGATTACTTTAAGACCGTACTTGATATCTTTACCATAAATTATAATAATAATATTTAAATAGGCAAAAGCAAAAGTGTGAATATATATTTTTTACACTAGTACAGTCTATCTACAAAAAAAAATTAAGAAAAAAATGACCACAGAAGGCCGAGCAACACCCTTCTTATTTGTTGCAATGTTAAACTTAAAAAAGTTTTTTTTGCACTTTCTATTTTCTTTGTAAAATACAGAAAGATGTACAAAAAACAGTCTGCGACCTATAAACATCATTAGCATTGCTACATTACCTAAAAAATAAATTATTAGATATAATGCTACAAGGTGCGCCAAAAGTTCTGTTACAAAACTTTTCCGGTCGTTTTCTCTATGTTGTAAATAAAATTTTCATAAAAATAAAAATTTATTACATGTATTAGTTTTTACCTATTCTAAAAACTAAAATAAAATTTTATATAATTGCACGTATTTTTTAAAACAGTTAACCAATTAATACCACTAATTTTTAACTATTATTTTTGTTTTTTAGAAAATGCTTATTTGCAAATGTCATTTAAACAATTAACTATCATAAATAAAAGCAGTTTATTTCTACTCATTATCTAACAATCATGTGTCGTGGTATAATATATATGTACAGTCTACAAGTCTTTGTTAATGGTGGCGATGATCTTGTTGAAGATGGCATCAGTAGCGTTCAATCCCCAGATCAGATCCATGTGAGCAAATCCAGGGTATCTGTTGTCTTCTTGGAGCACTCCTGGAGCCAAGTTTGGAAGAATGTCTTCTTCCAAGTTGGCCAAAGTGGTCAGCCAGTCATCGGGAGTACTGTAGAGGTAGAGAGGAACTTCCATTCGGGTCAAGTTGTACAAGGGAGGGTCAACTGATCCGTAAGCAGCAATGTTCTCGGCATCAGTGGGGTAACGGTACCATCTGAAGCCTCCAGTCACGTTCAGTTCAATCTGACAGTACTTTTGGACCAGAGCAGTAGAAGCACCAGCTGGGATGTGAGTGGTAAAGACTGGCATTCTGGTGACATTGGTCTGAGTACTAGGTCCTCCAAACAGATAGTACACATGAGCACAGTATTCACGTTCGATCTCGAGAGTACAGGTGAGGTCGGTCAAGAAGTCGACGGACTGTTGGCTGAGGAGTCCCAGACTGAATTCTGTGTATGGTACTAAGTCCCAGATGCTCTGGCCGAGGGCAAAGTTGTTGGTGTCACATACGATGTCGAAGACACCTTGGAGATCCTTGAAGACTACTCCAGGGCCTAAGGCGAAGTACTTGATGACTCTGTCAGCGAAGGAAGGATCCCAAGAGAGCTTGGCGAACATGATGTAGGTACCTTGACTGTGGCCGACGTAGTAGAACTTGGGCAAGCCAGTGACATTCTCGATCACATCGAAGTAGGCTGGCATATCGTACATTTGCATTTCGTCGCTTCTGAAATGTAACTCATATCTAATAATATTTTTTACTTTAATATTACAGTGTAAGTTTGTTTTACCTACTATAAGATAATTTTAAGATAAAGATTGTAAAAGCTATAGACTCACGTAAAGTGCCAAAATCCAGATTCAGTTCTGTCGTAGTACTTGTTGGATGTGTAGCTGTTACCTCGAGTGTTTGGAATCCAAAAATCAAAGCCAGCATCAGCAAAGACAAAACCAGGACTTTGAGAAGGGAGATTGAGCAAGAAGTTGTCACTCGAACACTCCAAACCATGCTGCAAGATGACAACTGGCTTTCCAGGAGTATTCTTGGTCTCGTTCTTGCCTCGGGGGATACGGTGCATTGGCAGAATCCAGCCATCTTCTGTCTCCACGATGTGCTCTTCGCCGTAGTAGCCCCAGTACTCGATCAGCTCCATCTGAAATCATGATTTAAAGTCATCTTTGCTGTTTTATAGCTTTGGACTTATTATTCAATTACAAGAACTTATGGTATGTCATGTTATGACCAACTTACGGCAGGCATTTTCTCTTCAGGAAGGATAAGATCGCTCAGGTCGGCCATAATCATTGTGGCCAAGAGAAGACATGACACCACTTTCAAACTCATCTTCCTAGACCAGTAGGGCAACAGTGGTTGTAGTAGAAACAACCAAATGTTGATGTAGTTCAAGTTTCATCCAGGCCTTATATACTGTCTAGAAGCCTTGACTTTGGATTACTTTTTTGAGTTTGCTTTTTGTTAGTGATAACGATATGCTAATCTTAAAATCGGCAACTATTTGTGTTCGAACTTTCAAACAGAAAAGTACTTTAAAGCTACAGATTTACATAATTTAGTGTATGAATTGCAACAGAGTTAATTTTCTGTGTTACTGGAGTTGGTGTTCTTGTGATATGTTGATATTGAAAGTGTAATATAGCTATTTTTTGTGGTTATTTCTACGGCCATTATTAAAATATTACTTTTGTTGGCTATGTCATGCTATTGGCATTTGATTGTTTTGTAGAGGGACACTTATGCCTTTGGTTGTGTAAAATTCAATCTACTTTTGTCATATGATTGTTTTGTTTTTTGATGTTAATTTAGTTTGGATAATCATTAAAGCAAATAAACAGTGTTTTTAGTGTATGATTAAAGCTTTTAATATTGTTTTTTATAGGCTATGGTAAGATTGTACATCTTTATCCACACAGTAAAAATATGCATTCAAAGATATGTGTGTATACGTAATAAATGCTTGTCATCACATGTATTAAATCGTTCAAATAGTTCAGTGCTCCTTAACTTTAAAAAATTGCTTAGAAAGGGGGGTGCAAAATTATTTGAAAAACCTAGTAATAACAAAAAAAAGGTTCCTACCTAAAACATTTAAAAAAACAGAAAGCAATACGAAGACTACAAGTTAACAACTCTCTGACAATCATATACGTATCTTTTGGCATTAAAACAGTATTTTTCTCAGTAAATGTTCGTATCTACTTGCAAGAACACCTTAGTTAAAGTTCGTATCTACTTGCAAGAATACCTGCTTCTACCTCAACCCTCACAGCTAACAAAGTACAATGCGACTGTATGGTGTTTGTTCGGTGATTAATTCTCGAGTACTTTCATCTGTCGAGATTGCCAATTGATAAGAATTGTTTTCCGCCCCTATCACAAGATTGCGCAACGTTTAAAATCAACATATTCAACTTGTTATTCTACATTGTTTTGATGCTCATTTTGACAGCTGAAGAAGATGAAACCACAACGAGTGTTAATGGCACGATATGACAAAGGTAAGGATATTGTAGTAGTGGGTGAATATAAAAAATAGTTTTTTCACTTTTAATTCTGCGTTTAATAAGTCTTGTCGTTTATTTATATATATTTTCATGAGAAAAAACGACAAAACTTTTTTAACTTTAAAATATCGGTTTAAGGGCTAAAAAATGAATTTTAATGTATAAATTGTCATAAAATTGTCTAAAATATTTCATAAATTAAAAAAAAAAGTTCTAAAAATAGTATAACAAACTGCCCTACCTGCAACCTCATGACGTGTCACTGTTTTTTTTTCTTATTCTTTGTTGGCCACACGGCTGTTCGAATAATCAAATTCGAAGACTGATTTGAGTGTCTGGCGCTGGCTTTAAGTCTCATTCTTAAAAAGCTATCAATCCAAAGTTCAAGTACTTCACGTTTTTTGAGTAGGTTAGGAAAGGTCGGCCATATTATACTGCTTTCTTTATACTTTTCGTATGAGAAGACGAATAATTCTTGATGGGTGGAAGTATTCTTTGTATAGAAATGAAAATTTTTAGGTTTTTTTTAAGTTTTTTACTTTATTTGTTTGTATTTCAAAAGTTTTGTCGTTTTTTTGCATTTTATTATATGCATTTTGGCGACAAAACTTTTTTACATTTTAATATTTTACTTATGCTTTCATTTCTTTGCATCTTCGATAGTTTTTTGCTACTTTAAGTATTTTTTCTCATACTTTTCTATCTACTACAATATAAATCAGCCAAAACGTCTCTTTCTTTTCAAAAGAAAATGACCAAAACATTACACATAATAATATAATATGATGTACAAAATTACAAATGAGTTTTCTCGTGACCAGAATTAATATTTTAGATATCAGATGGGACAATTCGTCCATCTATTTAAACATGAGCGAAGGTGTTTGATTAACCTTTTGGAAGTGTACAAACTTTAAAAAATTTAAAGTGTTTGGTCGTAAAAGATGAAAAATGGTCTAGGGATTAGTTTTGGTTTGAGGTAGGGGGTTTTTATCAAGAAGGGGGAAGAAGGGGTGAAAAGGGTGAAAGGGTTGAGGGGGTAGAAGCGTGGAAGGATAAAGGAATAGAGGGGTAGAGCGGTATAAAGATAAATGAGTAGAGGACTAGAAATGTAGAAGGTTAGAAGAATAAAACAAATAGAGTAGAAGGATAGAGGGGTAAAGGAGTATAATAGTAGAAATGTAGAGAAGTATAGCAGTAGAGGTAGTGGGGTAGAAGGGTAGAAGGATAGAGGAGTACATTAATATAGAAGTAGAAAGTTAGAGCAATAGAGCGGTATAAGGGTTGAAGAATTAAAGATTAGAAGGGCAGATTGCTAAAGGAGTAGAGGGGCAGAAGGGTAGAGGGGTAGAAGCATAGAGAAGTAGAGGGGTAGGCGGGTAGAGAGGTAGAGGGATAAAGGAGTAGAGCAGTAGACAGATATAGGGGTAGAAAGGTAGGGAGGTAGAGAGGTTGAGGGGTAGAGAGCAAAAAGGTAGAGGAGTAAAGAAGCAAAACGGTAGAGGAGTAGAAAGATGGAGAGGTAGAGGGGTAGATATGAATCGGGAGTAGAAGAGCATTTACGGTTTCTGGAATAGGAAAGGGTTTCTTTTTTTTGCCTTACAGTATCCTTCTATCTGTCCATGCTGATCTTTGTAAACTTGAACTTTCCTCTTCCATCTCGTGAGCACAAAATTGTCACAGCATAGATCATACTGGTCTTGTAACTGCGCTAATCAGCTTTTCGTCTACCGTTCCTTGCACGTGAAACCGAAAGTTTTGTTTGAAAAACAGACGGTTCCACTGGATTTGTTTAAGGAACGGCTTTAATCTCTCGGATTTGTTTAAGGTTTTAAAAATGAAACTCGAGGTAGCGAGGCCAAAATTTAAAGTTCAAGTGTTATGTTGCGTCATTGCGAGGTTTGTTAACGTTTGTTTACTGTGGGTGGTTGGGCATCGTGATGAGCAGTTTGTAGTTTTTAGAAGGGTAGGGTAGGGGCAAGGTTGGAAAGGTGGTTGATGCTATTTGGAAGGCCAGTATAGGTTTGGCATTAAAATTTTTTTAAACACAATATTATAAGCGTTTAGGATAAACCTACAACGTTTTTTGAATGTATTTCCCTTTCTAATTTTTTATTATCATTAACTTTATCAGGTATTACCTTAATTAACACGTTTTTCCATTAAAAATTAAGAAAATTTTATAAAATCGACCTTATAATGCCAAGACACTGCTTAAAACCTACTACTTCAACTACCACCGCCTTTTCTTTAAGCCCTAGAAGCCTACGGAACAAACAAATTCTATCATTTCAAAATGTTTTCCTCATCAGAATTCGCGTTAGAATCCCTCCTCGTGGGCAGAAGAAAAGGTCTGGCCACTTTCGACCCTTTTTTACTTCGTATGTTCGTAACAACACACTCTAATCGCTAGTATTAATTCCTAATTTTACTAATTCAGCGAGTTTTGGCTTGGAATTGGCTGTTTTTTGTATGAATTTGGTCTAAATTTATAGTTTTGCTTGAAGTTGAAACATTGCCAAAGGGTTTTATTTTGAAATGTGCCAAAATTTGTTTTTGTTTATCTATAAAAGTTCGTAAAAACTTGGAAAATTCTTTTTGCAAACCAAAAATCATATATATTTTTTATTAGAATAGTTCAAAATGTAAATGTTAAGTTGTTCAAATTTTTTGGGCTTTTTAATATTGAAAAGTTAAGTCGAAAGGGGGCACATGATTTTTTTAAAATTCTAATATCACTTACTTTTGCTTTAGTTTTTCAAATGTTTACTCAAGGTACAAGAAGTTTTTTTTCATTTTATCTCAAAATGAGGATTTTTTTCAAAACATAGCTTAATTTCAACTTTTTTTTCAAATTCAGTTTGAAATAAAGTGGCTAGACTGAATTTCTGAGATAGTTTGTTTGTTCAATATATTCGATTTAAATAACGAAATTTGAGTTGGAAACTGTCCCGAAATGAAGTTAGAGTGTTCAAGTTTATGGAGATGTTTTTCTTTAGTTTTTCGAAGGTTTGAGGGTCATAAGGGAGTTTAAATGGTACTGTAGAATCAGTTAGGTGGCTTATGGAATAGATATACGTATTTAAACTTGTTTAGGCTAAAAATTAGGCTCATTGATTGCAAACTGTCTTAACCAACAATGTAAACCACAAAATCTATAGTTTAGTACCAAAAGAGCTATTCAGTATTTAGTTTTCACTACACGTACTGCTACTTTTACAAAGTTTTTAATCTAGAGGTTGCTACTTTTACAATATATAGGGTGTAAATAGCTCCGATAGTAAAAAATCTTTTATCTACAACAATATAAGAGCTAGTGCTGGTAAAATACGTAAACTCACTGAGAGAAAAACTAGAATTATTTCATAATCACGCGTTCAAAAGTTCGTATGTTGTCATTCATTTTTGACCTCACAACATTAAGCTATCAGTTTATTTGCCCTTATGTCTCAACTTCTTGAGATCTCCATTCCTATCACACTTTGACATTTATCAGCCGATTATGAGTGTAGCATATGTGACGTATTATCTTCTTCTTGTTATACTCTTGTTCTCTCTTCTTTCCATACCTTTTCTGTCACTCTTTTACCCTTCTCCTACCTCTTTTCATTTTACTCTTCTGCTCTAGCTGAGATGAGTGACACGTAGACCTAAAAGGGACCAACCCGGCTCGGGCAGGCCTGGTTTAGGCCGAAACAACTTTGAAAAGGCCGGCCTTGCTTGACCCCACAGCCGAAACTTAAAGTAATCCATAAGACGGGGGTTTAAAAATTGTTCTAGCTAGGTCCCGCAACGAAAGATTTGACTTGGCTAGGCTTAGGCAACTTCAAAAGAAGCTCGTACTAAAACACCGGCCTTTACAGATCTAGTTATATCAGTTTTCCGTCCTTGTCTACTCTGCTCTCTTTTATAGCCACCATCCCCCTCTGCTTCTCCTTTCCCCCCCCCCTCTTTTTAAAAAAAAGTTATGTCAGTACGAAGGACTATGTCACGTGCAAACTTTTTGTCGCGTCATTTCCTGACACTTATTTCCAAACACTCTTCCTCGTTCTGGATTGATGCATCTGTGCTCGTCTGGCGAGATGTAAACACAAAAGCTGCTGGTAAATCTCGTGAATTACATTTCATGGCCGCCTAGTAGATTTAGAGTCCTTTTTTATGATTTTGTTGTTAATTCAGGGGTTTTTTGAAAGATTTTTTTTTGTTTTTTTGTTTTTTTTTGGGAAATTGGACTGTTGTTTAAATAATTATGAGCTCCTAATCCCGCACATTTGCTTTGAGAGGTAGCTCAGAATTTTATGAACAATCTAATAAATGGGTCTAGGCGCACTTTGATCGGCTATAAATAGAAGAAGTTAATGAATTTGTAATTTTTAAATTTTGGTAATAATTTGCATGGTATAGCGTGTTTAAAATGGCATATTTCATAACTTTTGGTTTAACTGATTTTTAGTTATGGCTTGATGAAGTTGAGTATTATTTAATTTCAATTTTTTAAACTTTCTTTGACTTTTTTTAAAATTTTTAAAGTATTTTTAGATATTTTATACATGTGTTTAACATTTTGAGTAACTCAGATTTTTTATATTTTCCGATTTCACTTCTTCATTGTTACCTAAATTCCAATAAATTTCAATTTTCAGTGCCCGGAATGAATCCGAGCCGTTTGGGATTGCCTGAGGCGCCTTCGAATTCCACATTGGCTGGGAATGTGAGCTCGACTCAGAATATTATAGAACATGACCAACTTGGTGCTGAATTTTATACGACCAGAGTTGAAGGGTGGAGGAAGGTGGTGCTACTACTGAAGAATCTGAAGAAACCCATGGTGATTGTGTTGGCTCCAATTTTGTTCTCAGTCTTGTTACAGTATCATAGGAAGGTGGGTAATGTAAAAAAATGACCTAAAAGTTAAAAAGTCTCAAAAAAAATTTAAAAAAATTTATTTTAAATCAAATTTATAATATCTTTTTTAGGACTACGACTGTGCCTACGTAGTAGCTGTAATGGCAGCCTATTGGGTATTAGAAGTTATGCCATTACCTATCACAGCCTTAATGCCATTATTTATGTTCCCCCTCCTTGGTGTGATTCCAGCCAAAGCTGTAGCCAAAGAATACTTAAACGACACCAACTTTCTCTTCATTGGTGGCCTTATTATGGCAGTAGCTGTTGAGAAATGTCACCTCCACGAGCGAATGGCCCTAAGTGTACTAACTTTGGTCGGATCCAAGCCCCAGTGGATTATGCTTGGATTCATGGTAGCTACAGCAACATTGAGTATGTTCATCAGTAACACGGCTACTACCGCTATGATGGTACCAATTGGAGTGTCGGTGATTGAGCAACTGCTCCATTCGAAGAGTCAGAGAAGCATGAGTGACACTTCCAAGACCGACCTCTTGACCATGGAGCGAAAACCCAACAAAGGAGAGACACTGATGGCCAAGGGATTGATCATCAGTATCTGTTTTGCAGCCAACATTGGTGGTACTGGTACCATCACTGGTACTCCGCCAAATCTGGTTGTGATTGGCATGTTATCCACCCTTTTCCAAGACGCTGACACCGGAGTTCATTACCTTTCTTGGGCCGCTTTCGCAGCACCATTGATGATCCTATGTCTGCTAGCTTGCTGGTTGGTTCTAGTAGTACTATTCATGAGAGATGCTCCTCCAGCTGACCCAGGAGTGACAGCATTGATGAAGAAGAAGTACGACGATCTTCCGAAGATGAGTTTCGCCGAAAAAGCGGTTGGAGCCTCGTTTCTGGTACTACTGGTACTGTGGATTGGTCGAGATCCACATGTCATCCCTGGCTTTGGCTCTTTCTTTCCTAAGGGCTACTTCACTGATGCGACAAGTGCTATGGCTATTGCTGTGTTGTTGTTCTTGATACCGGCAGAGATCCCGACCTTGAAGGAGTTGACATCGTTGCCTCCAGAAGGCAAGAAGAAGAAGGACGATAGGTTGATGGACTGGAAGACTATGAACGCCAAGTTTCCATGGAGCGTAGTACTATTGTTGGGCGGTGGTTTTGCTTTGGCTGCTGGTGTTAAGGAGTCCGGTATGTTGTTTTAGATAGAAATTATTACCTAAATATATCATTTACACCAACTTTTTTGTATTTTTAAGCTATCTTTATAAAGGCCTTGACATAGTTATTTTAAAATCTACTTCCCATTACACATTCCTTATCTGAAACTATAATAAATGAAATACAGGATTATCCCATGGCATCGGACTGCTTTTGTCACAATTGGCCGGATTACCCACCTTCGTTCTGCAGCTCATCTGTCTTGGAGTAACAATGTTGGTAACAAACATCTGTTCGAACACGGTAGCGGCCAGTATCTTCTTGCCAATCGTTGCTGATTTGGTAAGAAAATTTAATTTTTAATTTCGTTTTTATAATATTTTTGTGAAAAAAGAAACTTTTTGGCTGAGTGATGCAAAAATAATGGCGTTTTTTTCTTTTTCGGCCTTTTTGACAAAAATATTAAGTTATATTATAGTTAAGCATAGCAACAGAAAAAATATTTTTAACCTTTTTGGCTTAAAAGCTGCTTTTATTTTTACATTGAAAAGCCATAAACAAGCATAATAAGCCTTAAAACCTAGTATAATATTACCCAAGATCAAGAGCATAAACGAACATTATATTTTACAATTTAAAACATAAAAATAAATTAACATTGTGCACCTTTACAATTATGAAACAACAAAATTTCAGGCCCAACAAACTGGAATTAACCCATTATGCCTTATGTTACCAACAACATTAGCATCGTCGTATGCCTTCCTATTACCGGTTGGTACACCTCCAAACGCCATAGCTTTTGCTAGTGGTTACTTGAAGATTCCGGATATGGTAAGGGGTTTTTTTAGAGACAATATAATTAAAAAAAAGCCTGGACTGGTTAATAAAACTAAGCTTGGTCCAACTATCATCTTTATCAATAACATATATTTTAAATTCAAACTTCTGAGCCAAAAAATTTCAGATAATTGCTGGCCTATGCACCTCAATCGCCTGTACCATCATCGTGGTTGGCTACATGAGCAGCTTTGCCCTACTGGTATTCCCTCTGAACGAATTTCCAGCCTGGGCAGCTCTTAACCAGACGATGACATCGTAATAGACATGGTACTACAATATTATACTAGAGGCACTGCAACATACACCATCGTGTATATACAACAACGTTTTAATTTAAAACAACATCGTATATACGACAAGATTGTAGTCAAACAACAACACCAACGCCTACAACAACATCGTAACTACGCCGAAGCCTACAATAACGTCGTAACTAAGCCAATGTCTACAACAACGTTGTACCAAAACCAACATAACAATAACATACACATAAGCAAAGCGGGTTTACTGTAATAAACAAAACAATCAGATACTGTAGTACGTTTTGATGAAAGTTTCAGCCGAACCATCCAGGCTCAGGGGGCTTGGTGTCGCCAAACATAAAGTCGAGATACTGCATGCGGAAGGCGGTGTAGAAGGAGACCATTGAGAACACCACGATAAACAATACCACACCCATCTTGAGTAGCGGATCGGAATGATTTTTCAAAATTTAAAAATTTTTGAAAATTTTACAAAATTTAACATTTTTTTGAAATTTTTTGAAAAAGTTGTAGATATTTAAAATTTCAAAATAAAAATAGTTAAATCTGAAGAGAAGTAGACCTATAAAAGGGCCGGGCCGACCGAGTAATCTCTCATCCAACTCTGTAGACAACGCAAGAATCACGTGTTCCAAAAAACGTGTGAAACCCCCTTGAAATTACACCCCCGAGTTCAATAGTGACAGTTTTTTTGCGAGTCACAAGACCCTCGTTTTGTCGCTGAAACTGGTAAACGGCGACCTCGAGCGACGACGTCGAAGAAGACAAGGTGCAGATGGGTCGGGATTATCGAGAGAGCGATCTTCCAGCGTCTTCTCCCCCCTTTTTCTCAATTTCGGACAACTCAACCAAATTCCATCGCTCCATAAAGTTTCTATCAGGGTTTCTGGAGCAATTGCACGTCGGCGGGGATTCTGGAAGTCTTGGGCTTGATAAGTTTTGAAGGCGACGATTTTTTTTAGATGTTTTTTTTTATTTTAAAAACCTTTTGATCCGCTTTTTAGCCTTAAAAGTTTTTTAAAGGTTTCTGAATGAGAAGTTTGTCTTTTTTGGGCATGATAACGTTTCAAGGCTAGACATGGGGAATGGACCCGTCGTACCGCCCAAGATCGACTTTGTCGTCGGGCTAGGCTTGAGCAGAAACAATCAGCCGGGCTTGAAAAGTACGCCCGGTGCCAAAATTTTTTAAAAAATTTTTTGTTTTAATTTCCGTTAGTTTTTTTTTAGTTTTTTAAGTTTTTAAATCATAATATTTTTATTACAACGAGCCGAGTCTGACCTAAGAATTTTCTGATCAGGCCGGGCGAGGCCTGATTCTAAAATTTTGTACTTTTGAAGAGAATTTCATTTTCAAAATATCTTTTTCAATTCAACACATTTTTAACTTGAAATTTTTCTTTCTCAAAACGTTACTTCAAAATCAAAACTCATTTCCCCACCCAGTAGCTTAAAATCATTTTACAGTCCCAATAAACACTTTCTTTCCACTGCCTCACCATAAAAAGGCCTAGAACTTTGATCGCGACGGTCGATAAGAGACGACTCTTTGCAGACATTTTATTCTTTTTGTCGTCTTCAGAAGCCTGATCGGTCATTTCACGGAGAAAAGTTATTCTAGGAACGGTAGACAACAGCCAAGTCTGAACCCGCTTCTCCACTTGACCGGGGCACGTTTGGAGACAAAAAGGAAGGTATATTAGAAGAACGTGACAAAGATAGACAGGGGGAGAGCTTCATTGTTTCAAGAGAACTTTTGGTTTAAAGATTGATGATTTACTGGGTTCAGAAGGCAGAATTTTGATCTAAAGTCAAGGATAATATAATTCGTCGTCGCTTGTTAAAAAAACAAAGATTATAGTACTAGTTGAAGTCGGATTTACCAAGCCAGAAATCTGCTTCCTCAACCAGAAGCCTACTCCCAACTACCTTATACAATCCCAACCCCGACTACCTTATACAAGCCCGACCCCCGACTACCCCGCTCCCCTCTTTGACAGAAGCCGGGGGCACAGCACGGAACGATCGACGGCCTTCAACCGGCTTTTTTGGGGGTTAAGAGAAAAGAGAAGCGATGAACCTGCTCAGACCCATCCACGACCCCACCTTGCGCATCATGGTAATGGATAGTGCAGACGCCCAGCCCTCCTCGGCTCCACAAAGCCCTCAAAACACCGCCGACAAAGCCGTCAACAGCCCCATGGTAAGTTATTGTAGTTTAGTATTGCAAAGATTTTGTAAAGTGGATTTTACTGCATAGATAATTTTTGAGAAGCTTAAACATAATCAATATTATGTTGTTCAAATAATTATGTGCTCCCTAACCCACAAATTCTTTGGCATATATAGTCCCTTCTAGTCAAACGCTACCCAAAACTAACGTCCTTTTCCAATTTTCTGCCATTCTTTATACTATATACCTTTATATTGTAATATCCTTGTTTTTATTGTAATGTCCTGTTTGGGTTGTGTTTTGCGAAAAGCCCGTAGGGAATTTGTTGATTCATAATATTCAAATTCGAAGTGATTTGTTGATCTTTAAAGCCGTTTTCAAAGGTTTTTCGACGGTTTTCTAGCCGTTTTTTAAAGTTTTTACCAACTAATAGTTATGAAAATCTACAACGTCTATAACAGAGTAAGATTTAAGTAAGATTATGATTAAACTTAGCTATGAACTTTTTAAAATAGTCTAAAATGAAGTCTTCTACTATAATTGTTACCTAAAATTTGAAAATGGACCAAATAAATATAGTAAACGATTTTTTTTGTAAGTCTAAGGTGCTATTCGTAACAATATATAATTGAAAACACTTTCAGACATCAGACGACACAGATGAAGACACGATACTGGACTCACCGCCAGTACGGCGGCGATACCAAGCCTATACTGTGATGCAAAGGAGTGGTTTTCAGCACACTGAGTAAGTTATTTTACTTTGCATTATTTATCACTTAACTATTATTAAAAAATAAAAAAAAACTTAAGAAAACATAGCCTTGACAACCGTATTTTAGCCTATAAAGCTATTTGCTTCGGTCATTCTCACTTTAAAATTTGTTTTTGTTTTTCTGACGTCAAGAACTATATTTTTGTTATCTAAAACATCATTTTGAGTCGAAAATACCGTATTTTATTATCTAAGACATCACTTTGAGAAAAAGTATCGTAAAAACAAACTAATTTACTTTGAACATGGTCTATTACAAGGAAAAGGTCTATAATAATATAGAGATCAAAGATTATTAGGCAATTATTCGTATGGTTTAATAGAAAATCTTTATTATTTTGATATTAAAAATAACTCTGTCTATCTATACCTTCAATTAGGTAGTGCTAAATTAAAGTTTTCAAAATTTAAAATGACTTAAATTTTACTTTTAAAAAAATTTTAATTAAAAAATAATCGATATTCATCTTCTTTGCCCCAGATTCCACTTGATGGTAATAAAAAACATTTCAAACTTTTAAAATAAACTTCAAATTCAAAACAAACCTAAAATGAAACTTTGTAGGTATGTCCAGATAATTACCCACTTGTGCAAAGCCGAGATCCTTATCAGTATCATCTTTATGTGCCATGGTCTCTCCTGTCCAGGCTTCCAAACTGACACTGTATATCAATCAACATGTCATATTAATGTACTGGCAGCGTTAGTAGGTATCTTCACTGGTGGCGTGGGTCTTGGGGCTGTTCACAAGTTCAGGTGGAAGAACATGCTCGTGATGTGGCTGATCATGTGCATCATTTCGTCTGTAGCCAACCTTCTGGCCGTGATTACGACCGGGGTGTGGTTGGATCACCTGAATAAGATCAAGGAAAGGACTGGCATAGCGAATGGGCTGAGTGGAATGATGTTGTTGGGATCGGTGCTAGTAGGAGTATGCTTTATATTGACGGCTGTTTTGATATGCCATTATTGGGCTTCGAACTCGTCCAAGTATCAAGCTGTGGGAAGAATGGCGGTAAGTTATATTGTAGTAGATGGAAAACGCATTTAAAATGCCACAACTTATTAAAATTTTTAAAAAATTTTAATCATATTTAAAAAATTTAAGCCAATCATTATACAAAGCTTAAAAACGCAAAATATATTGAAAAATTTTTAGAAACGTACTCGCAGTGTTCGCCGCCGTTCCAGCCGGAACAGTGGAACGGACCGTTCCGGCCGCAGCTCGCGTTTAGAACGAATGCCATCGATAAAGCAATATCACATTGTTTGATCCCGTTTTTCGCTTTCAATTTGATCTCGCAAAGCCTTAGCAGGATATTAATTACAGTGAGCATTGTACATAGGTTAATAAAAAATAAAGTTTTGTCACAATACTTTAATTTTTAAAATTTCTACAATAAATTACTATTTAATACCTTATTACAACTTCAAAACGTAACAACAACAAGTTGCAAGTAGAATTTAAAAGTGAGAGACTGTTCGTTTGAGTTCAGTTATGTCATCCATGATTTGAAACCGGCTGGATCCAACGTTTTTGGCAAAGTCGGCCTTCTCCTGTTGACTCAGATGTTGGTATTGGAATACCAAGTTGGCATCGATGATTAACCTGGCCAGTCCTATCATTTGGTTGTGAGTTCGTAGAGGTTTCAGAGCGAGAGATCCTTTTGGGTTTAGGCCAGCCGGCTGTGGAACATGCGTGGACATGATTTGTTGCAACATCTGAAGCCTTCTGAAGACCTTTTCTTGAATCGGACGTATATAACCAAAGGATCCATCGAGAGTGGCAAAGATACAGGTGTGGGTTTCTCTTGTGGTGTCGTTGTCAAGGAAGGGCTCTCCAATGTGACCTAAAACAACGTAAATTAGCGTTTCAACAGCCATTTTAAGCCAATTCCCAATCAACCCCTTACCTTTAACCCTAACAAAACCAGTAGCCGTCGTTCCAATGTTCAAAGCTGCCTTCAGAATCAGCTTCTCTCCTCCGTTACTCTCGTTTGTCTCTGGTAAATGATTGAACACCAGTACGTTACCCATGTCATCAGCTAAAACAAATGCCATTTTTGTTCTGTCCAACATGAACTGAGCTGCCATTGGGGATGAAGCATTGGATCTCAAGTCTCGTCCCACTAATGATAATGCTTTGAAGTCTTTTTGATATTGAACTAAAGATAAGGATTCGAACAAATCACAAGTTAAAGCCAACGATCCGAAGCCGACCAGACTGTGAATGTAAAAGTGCATATCCAAGAATGACACTCCGTTCAGCATGCCGTCTTTGAATTGCCAGATAAAGATCTGAAATGAAAGGTATAATAAGAGGCTTTTTAATTGTAATATTGTGCTAATATGCAGTATAATATTAGAATCAAGACTAACAGGATGCCCAAAATCATAAGAAAAAACAAACGTTGCATGTAAAAAATAAGGTCGTCTACCGATCGTACATATTACCCAAACCTCAGCTCTTACAATAATGTAAAAACTAAAAATTCCTTACCTTCTGGCCCATTCCAGTTAACAAGAAGCCATTACAATGACACATACTAGTAACTGGCCCTTTCTGTTCCTTATCGTACACCATTTTCAGTTTGTGCCTTGTAGTTGGCAGACCCTCTTCTGGGACAACTTCAATCATTTCGAAAATCAGGATTCGTCCTCTTACATATACCTAAAGCAATATTATTATAACATACAGCTAAAATGTCATCATCACAAAATATACCCAGAATAGTATTGTCTACAAATCTACAGTAATATTAAGTTGTTCAAATAATTGTGTGCCCCTAACACCAAAAGTTTGCTTTGAAAAGGAGCACAGAACTAATTGAACAACCTAATAGAAGCAGTGCTCTAAATTCTGTATGTTATCAATAACAAACACAAAAATCGTATTTTACCTCCTCTCCATAGTTGATAGCCGTCCCCAATGCCAAATAACTCTGCACTCCCCACACCGTACTCTCCGAAGCCAGTAGCACTTCTTCAGCACATGTCACAACTTCGAATTCTTGAAATTCGACCAAACTATTCGGAACAAATTTCCAGTCCTCAGTCGAGAACAATTGTAACTTGTATTTGGGTAGCTCTGGTATGATACATTGTTCGTCTCTCTCGTACTCTTCCACATGTTTATCTTCGTTGAGTACTGATATGACCTTGGTATTGTGTTCGCCTACTGATGTTATCACAGCGAACACATCCCAATTCATTAGGTATACACAATGGCTGACGTTCTCTTCGAAATCCACCTTTCTCACCGGGTATGAAACGTCGTAGTTGAAGTCGTTCTGTAGAAAATAAATCAGATTCTTATGCATACAACAAATAAAACATAAACCTTGGCAAATACTGCCCAAAACTCAAAAGTGAAGTCATATAATAAAATATAAAAAAAGTCATTATATAATAAACTACAGTAAAAACCCCTAAAACCGTACCTGTAATGTGACTATCCTCAAATTTTTGTCAGTGCCATTGGCTGCGATGTAAGCAAAACCATTTGGTGCATTTTCCGAATTAAAAGTGCATAATGACAAAATGAATCCATCGATAGTCATTGGGTGAAGATACCATCGACCTGCCGCAAATACCAGCAAAGATGGGTAAGATCCGTTTATGAATAATCCATTTTTCTAGAAAAATCGGATTTAAACACAAAAAAAGTACAAAAACTTTCTTTACAAATATTTAAAACGACTAAGAAACTTGAAATTGCAATAACTATCTTTCCAAATCCAAAAAAAAACAAAAGTTTAAAAAATTGTGTCAAAACTTACCAGCTCCCCAATTTTGTCGTAAAATGAGGTAAAAGTTTGTTGTTGATCCATTTCTCGGCCAGTTTCCACCGGATTTCGTCCACTTTGTCCCACAAACTTGGTCGAACGTACCACAACACTATGAGGTATCTTTTTGAGTCTTATAGCCAGTCTACCTAAACGAGCAGCCTTTTAATTAAATAATATCAAAACTTGTAGAAGTAAAAATGCTTATAAACCTCAAGTTTTAATACCTTAAAAAGCCATTTTAGAACCAAAAAAACTCAATTTTTAAAAATCTTCAAAACTTTATTAGTTTATTAGAAAACCTTATAACCTCACCCACAATAACCCAAACTCTTACCTTTTATCCCCTCATCATATTGAAACACTTCATAAAACACCACAGTATCATCAATAAGCAGCGACATTACCGGTCGACCTTGATTGTATCCAAGCCCATTAAATTGTATTTCCATCACAACTTCTTCCGGCTTTATGGCCACGTTATCAGTGTGCAGTTGACCTTCTTGAGCTTGAAAGTAGGAATCCGTATATAATGGGGCTTCTTCCTCATTCTGATATTGATCATGACTTAAAAGTTCTGGCAGGTTGTTCAGCTTTTTAATGAAATACGCTTGTTCCATAGTCTCCAAGTTGTAGATGAACATGTGACCATTCTCGTGGACTATTGTTATCCAGTACGTTGTAGGTATGGTTTTTGGGTCCTGCACGGAAAAAGTGAATGATAGTTCTGGAGCTTCTTTGACTTCTGAATGCTTTCTTTTCTTGGCTAAAAAATTAAAATTAGGTACACATAGTAACTTAACGTTTTAAATTTTTTATTACGTCAAACCTATTCTTACCTTTAATCTGCTCAACAACAGCCGACTCCCCATACAATAGAGCATCTTCATCATCAATATCATCGTCAATGGCTTTGCCAGCCTCATTTGCATCGTCTTCTTCTTCACGATGATCCGTGTATCCTTCGCCGCCTTCTGATAACCTGAACAGTCCACTTTTGTCCTTGTAAACACATGCTGATGTTATAGCACTGCTTTCTTTTTGCTCCATGAAGTTGACATTAATTGCCTCCAACTTCTTCTCCTCTTTTTTGTACTTGTACATCAACAACTTTCCATTTTGAGTCAGTAGGAGTATATATGGGTCTACAATTGATGCTGACGCTACTGGAAAGTTAGAATCTAATTTTACATATTCGAATTGTTCATCTTCTTCATCTCCTTGAGTTCGGCCGACAACTATAATACTGTTTGGACACACTTGAACACAGACATGACCATCTTGAAGTTCACCAACATTGATTGTGTTCTCTTTGGTTGTGAAGGAACTTGTTTCATATACGTTGATATCATCTTCAAATACTTCGTGAACTGTTGTTGTTGAACTGTTTGAAACAATCAGGTACTTTTTAGATCCATCCGGTTTTCGACCAATCGTCCAACATTGTGAGGCTTCTGTGTTTAAACTAAAAAGCTTTTTTTTTATTTTACAAATATGCAATTTGTAAAAAATATTTAATAAATTATGTAAATAAAACCTATCATTGTACAAAAACAAACTCACGGTAATGTATTCTTAACTACAGGTCTAACAGAACGTTGAAAAAAGCACAAAGCTGAGTTGTGATCGTATCCGGATATTGTTACCAAATCAAACAACAGATCCCTCGAGTTTTCTCTGAATTCATTTGATATTCCATTAGCATTACAAGATCGGATTGCTTTACAAGGTCCAACATTCAACAACTTGTCCAGTATTTTCACTTTTAGCTTCAGTTTCACGTCTTCTACCACTTCCATGTTCTGAAAATATCAAAATACCTCTTTTAAAACTACTACAATATTAAAAAAACAAAGACCTTGCCTACATTAAAGTAAAGCATCAAAAAATCTACAGAAATACTAACATTGTTTCCAAAAAGCAAGATTGTTACCTAAAATATTCAAAAAACAAAGTAAGCATACCTTAGTGTCATCAATTTCATCCCCAACATATAAGAAGTCATCATCAGCAGTATCATCAACTTTGGCCAACTTCAAAGCCGGTCCATCTCCATTTTCAGTGACTCTTTCTCGAGTATATTGTAGTAGTTCAGAATTGCCAGCCCTTGATCCCAAAAACAATATTCCTTCCTCCCATAAAGTCAAGCAATGAGGAATTGAAACATCTGAAAGAAAATAGTATTAACAGAAGTATAAAATATTTTAGTTAGTATTAGTTAACCAGTGTTTCATGTATTTTAAGTTTAAATTTACTATTTCATCTTTCAAAATATTTTTTTATTTTAAAAAACCAACCGTGTACATGTTCAAAAGTAACACTCCTCACAGCATTCGAAATGTCAATATCCAACTTCAAATAGAACATCTTCCCCAATCGTGACACAACCAACACTTCAGAAGCACTGATCATACTAGCCGAACAAGCATCCAACGTCAACTTCATCGACTTCATATCGCTCAACGGAAACCGGCAGAACTCATCAGCATTCGAATTCAAAGATATTCCACATGGCGGCACAGACTGATTCAGGTAAATAATTTCATTCGCTCCAAACAAACAAACACCACCAACTGGTTGAGGCACAGACACTGCACTTGATATTGTTGTAGGTAGACCAGCCAAATTCCAAACCACTGCATGAACTTGATCTTTCAGATTTAATGACACTGCCAATATACTTACTGTGTCGTATCTTATCACTGCTCTGAAATACGTTACATTTTTGAAAGTTTCGAAATTTTTTCAAAAACGTTACCTAAAATAGGGTTTCCTTCAATTAAAGTTTTTTAAAAACAAAACAACACTAAAAAATTCTCCCATACCTTCCCGCAGTCGTTTTCAACGGCTCGTATACCAACAATAACGTTGGCTCGTAATATCCATGTAGAAACACCATGTCAATAATATTATCCAGCTTTACATCCAAACTCTTCAAAGATATCGTGTAACTCAGTAAATGCTTTGATGTATTTTCAACAAATGGTAATATAGCCAAGTGCCTTCCATATATTAACATTGCCGCACATCTATTCAACGGATCCACTCTTACAATCGGTGTTGAAGCCACTTTTGTGAATCCATCTTTCAGAATCTCATCTTCATATGAATGTAGAGATATTGTGTTCAAAGACTGTGTAGCCACATTAAAATTCACCACAGAAAGCTTGGCATCATCAAACGAAAGCAGCAAAGAGTCGGACTCAGGATGGGACGGTAACCTAAACAGTAATAATAACTTTATATTAACACTTACCTTGTAACAGCTACCGACTTCACTGCAGTCATTAAATTCGTGCTGAAAATGCATTCCAATCGTGTAGCACGCTCAATTTCTTCATCCTGCTCCACAAACGGATTCAACCTGAACATTTGAAGATGCTTAGCGCCTACAGTAACCAATTGTCGGTCGTTGGTCGACAAAAACTGGGCAACTACACTAGCATTGACTGTAGTAGAATAGTCTGTTTCATTTAGTATCGAATACATTATGTTGAATTACAAAAGTATATATTATTATTGTAATAACGAGCCAGTAGAAGTGGCTACATCAATGCCGCGCAAAAATCCAGAAAATTTATTTATAAATTAGGGCGCGAGTAGAAATGCAAGCCGCAGGATATTTTTATACGATGAAACGTGTTTTTTAAAACAAATTTTTGTTTTTTCGTTGGTTTGGAAATTCAAGATGATTGTGTGTGTTTGTACTATGAGTAATACTCGAAAGTTATACTCAAAATGTTGAAACAGTGTTGTTTTTAACTATTTAGGTCAGTTCTTCAATTATTTTTTGATTTTCTTGCGTTTCTTGGGTGGTTGTTAAGTTTACAAGCGACTTTTTAGAAGGCTGTTAACTTTTTAAAATCAAAACTAACTTAAAAAAAACTGGCTTCTTTTTGATTTAAACTTAAAATTTTAGGTTTTCCTATAGCAATCACATAACAGTTTGTGCGATCAAAGTAAATTTTTAAAGACCAAATCACGCCTAATTGATCTGCGCACAGTTAGTGAACTTTTGAATTGACCCAGCGATAATGGAAGGCATCAATCAAGCCGAACTCTTTAGTTTGTTTATTTTATTGTAAAGTTTATTTACTTTGACGTTTGTTTGGTCACATAGTTTTCCGGAGACGTCAAACTCGAAGCCAGCAACGTTGTTAGGGCTACTGGGATGTTAATATTGTCAAAATGTAAAGGTCTTGCTAATATTTGTGTTGGAAATTAACTTTGTAAAAGGATAAACCTTCCTTTCCATTTTGGAAGGTAAAGTTTCAGTGTAAATTCGCCATTTTCTCTTGAACAATATTGATTCTCTGAAACGTTTATGGCTGTAGATCAAAATCTGAAGCCGGTTTGAGGCGTATTCGAGCAGATGTATCACGCAGATGTTATTTATTTATTTTCCTAGCATAACCACAACATAATGATAATGAAAAAATAATATAATGTGAATTATATTACTATGGTTCCATATTTTAATGTCTTTAATGGTGCCAATGGAGGTCTTCTACTGCTCCATTCGATCTCACTGCTTGCCTTCAGCTCTTCTCAGATCATTTTCCCGTCGGGTGCGCGGTCTTCTAGTCTTCTACTTGATGTGATCTCTACAGGTCTTTCTTAGTTGGCACAAACGTGCTATACTAAGGCTTTAAGATATAATGGTGTATTTTTATAATTTTAGACTGATGTATTATTATTGAAAAAGTTTTAATAATATATTATAGTTGTTAGTGAATGCATTAGACTTTTTGAATGACGTGATTTTTAATGACGTATAATACCGTTTGGACGCAAATTTTTTATTTTGTAAGTAAGTACGCTAGTCTGAAGCAGTTTTTTTTAACATTATACAGTAAAAGCTGCTATAAAAAAAAGTTTTCACAAATGAAACTATTATCTTAAGGTTTTACATTGAAAAACGTTCTTTTTCAACAAAGAACATTTGCAACAACGTCACGTTGTCACAAAAGACTCATTAAAACGGGCTTTTTCGAAAAAGACCAACTACAACTTGCGTAACTGAAAAACCGTGTGAAGCCGGTTAACACGTGAAGCATTTAGACAAAGGGTAGTGAGGGAAAAGTTCAACGTCCGTTTTTTTAAAAGTGTAACCGGCTTGGAGGAGAATGCCGGCTGGAATTCCACCAGCTCGCCCCGATTCTCTTTTTGCGGGGCGAAAAAAGAGTGCAGACGGGAGAAAAAACGCTTTTGAAATGACCAGTGGCCGACGAGACAGTGGCGGTGCGAGGAGGAGACCAGCCACCCCTCTCCCCGCTTCCTTCATCTCGCTCTGGTACGAGGTGGTGTTGAAGAGGGAGAAGACGGGGGGATAAGGCTCATGGATAATACACCGAAATACCTTGGGTTGGAGGGATGTTTTAGGTTGATTTATTGGAATATGGGGATGTTTTTTGAAACATTTTAGGAGATGTAGAGAGATTCCAATGAATTTTGGATTTTTAGAGCAATCTGACGGGATTCATTTAGATTCTGAAGGCATTTACTTAAATATATAGAGTTATATTAGCGTGCAAAGGGTATATATGGGATGCACAACTTCTAAAACACTCAGGACTTATAGGAACTTGAATTAGATTTCAGAAGCTGTGGCTTAAGGTAGAATATTGTTACAACTATCACGTGGGTTATCTTGGGATATTTTTTATTTGAAGAGCGTCTTTTAGCTCGGCTTATTACAGCTGTTTCGAGCTATGTTTGAAGTAACGGTCTTTATAAATACATTTTTGACACTTTATTGATCATGTATTACATCCTAGTGCTTACAATATTGTCTTTATTGAATTGCAAAGGTTACTATATCAAATAAAAATTGATCTTGTTCCAAATGATCTCACAAAAATCAGTAATTTACACCGATCGCAACCCGCTTCGCGCCATGAATTTAAGTGGGTTACTTAACGGACGATGCACTTTTTCAGATTGTTTTTACACCCCTCGACCTTGACTTGAATTCGTCCCAGTTTTCCGTTTTTGATGTGGCCTTTGTAGCACGGTAATCACGGTTTGAAGCGTCGTTTGAACAAATGGAGCCCTTTGACCAGCCCGAGATTGATCGGGTTTCGTTTGAGGTTAGTACAATATTTTTCAATGCTTTTTGGGTTTAGGACACTACTTTTGATATAGTGAAGGCCATAGTCTCACTAGTAATAGCATAGAATAAAGATTATGGCCAGTACATGATGTTATACTAGGTTGTATTTTGACTTTTTGCCATTTTTTATTAGAATCTTACTCAAATTCTAAATTATTTTCTAAAATTAAAAGTAATTCGAGTATACTACCTAAAACAAAAAAAACCAAACTTTACCACACCTAAAACAATTTAAAACTTTGTTTTGCTGACGCAACCCATGAGTAATATCGGTTTAATTCAAGGACTCGGAGCGCTTCGAAGACGATTCCATCAGCTCGTTTCAGTCGGAAAACGAGTCGTTGAACCAGAAATGGAGCGAATGGAACCTCAGCGGATCAGGTGAGGGTGTTTCTGATAATAATGACGTCGCTCGCCGGTAGCGAACGAATTTGTTTGTTAATGAATCACAAACAGGTCATCAACATGCACTTGACATTCATTAGAACTCAATTAAGTTTGTCATAGGGTTTTAGGGGTTTTTTGGATTAAGTTAGTGTTAAAAAAAGCTGGTTTAGGCTAGCCTATTATCTTAAAACAAAACATTAGCATAATTTTTTTTGTTTATAGAAGGAAATTAAGCTTAAAGACGTAAAGATAAGTTATGTTGACTGTAAAAACTTATAGTTATCATCACTTTAAGACTAATGTCTAAATATTGAACTTGTAGATCTCCCCGGCCCGTCCACGTCAAACAGAAGGCGTGGATTCCGAAGAGGTAGGTTTTTTCTTTTATTTCTTTTTCAATCTTTAGAAAAAAATGTCATCAATTATTGGCTTTACGACACTATACATACCTCTAAAACAATCTACAATCAAAAATATTCCAATAAGACTTACAAACTTCATTACAGGAATGACAATCCCCTCATTACGTGAAATTTGCGCCAAAAAGGTGGCGACAAGTCTAACCTTCGAAGAGATCGAAACAGTGTACCAATCTTTGCATCGCAATACAGTACCATTTCCAATTTTAAAACAAGTCTACGAGTTCTGTTTTCCCGCACATCCAGAAAATATAAAAACGTATAGTTTCATCACGAATGGGTCAACACAAAACTTTGAAGCGGGCTACAAGTTGTTCAACGGTAACGCGGTTTACAATGTGTTTCAAATCGGGTATCACATCTCAGCACATGTCAGTGATCTGGAGACGACAGGATTGGAAAAGTCGAGAGATAAGGGCATCATGCCTTGTCAGAAGGTGTCGGTTAGGGTTGATCGGTAAGGATTTTAGGGGGTGATTTTCGGGAAAATATTGAAAAAATTTTATTTTGAAGGTTTTGTAGTTTTTTTACAATTTGATTTTAAGTAAAAAACACCCTTTCAGATGCCGAATAGTATCATGTATATGTTCATGCTCATCATCAGCAGCGTGGTGTAAACACATTATTGCCGTTTGTCTGTACCGTATCATAAATGCCGACAAAATACAGTATCGATCACCGATTTGGGACTCGATTGCCGTTTTGGGTGATATGCAATTGAAAAAGTTCGCTCAATATTTCATCAACGAGTCGCCGGCTGAGGTAGGTGAATATTGTATTAAGGGCAGTCAAATTTAGGGATTTCAGACAAAAAAATTTTTTTTAGAATTTTTAAGAAACTAAATGTATAGGCTACCTTTATACCTTTACCCTGTTTCAGTTCATTGTAATTGCCCAAAAACTTCTCGACCAGCTAGCGGTCGAAAAGTCCGAAATCAACCAGACAATGGGAGCTCCGGACCCAACGGCCGGCGGCGATTCCGACTATTCAAATTGGTTTTTGGATGAGAAACAGTTACACGAAAATATCAGGAAGATCCTTATCAGCTTCGTCAAACCCGTCCCTACCGTGTGGTAAGTCTAAGAGTAAAACAACAAATCATCTTGAAGGGTTAACGGGCATCTTGAAGAGTAACAGTCCACAAAAAAGCTACAGTATTCAAAAGTTAGTTTATGAAAAGTTACAGTATTCAAACCAGTATAAAACTACAGTATCCCGATACTGTTTCAAACTTCTGGCTTTGGGTACCAAGCAGAGATGGTGAGGCTTCTGTAGACTCTTCCGTCTCTGATAAAGTACTTGGAGATCAGTGTTTGGCCACGGGAGATGACCGGGCATTCCATGTCCTCCGAATTCTCAGTCTTTTGCTCGCTCTTGGGCTGAAATTTTCAAATTTAAATTTTTGAAATTTTCGAAAATGTTTGAATTCAAAAACATTATGGAGATATTGTTTATCATTATATAAATCACCGAAGATATGAAAAAAACTTACCATTTCATCCTTGGTCGTCTCATTCTTTTTCTTCTTTCCTTTATCATGCCTTTTGTTGCCTTTCTCTTCTTCATCATCATCATCTTTCTTCTCTTTCTGTCCTTTACTCTTCACTTTCTCATCCTTATCTCCTTCATCATCATCCTTCTTTTCTTTCTTCTCTTTCCTTCCTTTGCTTTTGCTCTTATCTTCTTTATCATCTTCCTTCTTCTCTTTCTTTTCTTTTCTTCCTTTGTTCTTTCCCTTATCATCTTCCTTTCTCTTCTTGTTCTTGCCGGACTTCTCTTCATCCATCTTATCAATGTCATCATCCGTCTTTTCCTTTTCTTCATTCTTCTGTTTTTCCTTTTCTTTTTGTTCATCTACTTTTTTCTTATCCATTTCTTCTTGTGCCGGACTCCTAACATCTTCTACCTTCTTTTCGTTCTTTTTCAAGTCATCCGAGTTGCTCTTCTTAGCCACAAGCTTTGGTGTTGTTGGAGTAGCTTCTTTGATGGAGTCGGGAGACTTGGTTTGGGCCAGAGGGGTAATGTCAATGCTTTTTGGAGCAACTGGCGTTCGAAGAGACGGCTTCTTCGATGAACTGGCCGACTTCTTCTTGCTTCTGCTGGACGGGCCCTTCCTCCGAGGTCCCTTGGGGCCTTTTTTAGTCGACGGCGGTTTTTTTGATGCTGAAAAATTTTATTTTTAGATAAGTTATATTTTAGGTCTAAGTTAATCATAAAAACCTTAAAATATAAAGTTACTCAAATAAAAATATGTAAGCCAAAGTTTTATTAGACAAATTTTTAAAAATAACCTACCTTTATTAGCCTTTTTTCTGCAACAGCATGACAAGAAGTTTTTCTTTTTCTTCTGACTCTTCTCCTTCTTTTTGATCTTCTTATTTGTCACCTTCTTCACTGGCTTCTTTACCGGTTTTTTTACCATCTTTCTTCGAGCACGACCGACCAGTTAGTTGTTGAACATGAAAGTTAGAATAAATCGGAGTTGAAATAACTAAAATTTTTAAATAATTAGAAAAAATACTTTGAATTTTACAAAATTTTAATATTTTTTTAAAAAATTTAAACTTTTCACCATTTCTTAAACATTGTCCTAACAAACCTTATTTTAGTGATTTGAGTTACATGTCAGTGAGCTCACCTCAAGCCTCGACAGAGTTCGTGTTCCTTCTTCGAAACCACTATTCTCGAGCTCCCGAGCCTCTATGGAAGCTGCTCGATATTGTAGTACACATGTTTAAGCGTAGCGATGAGAACGCGACCACCTTACTCCATGCCATAACGGAACATTGTCTATGTGTAGATCAGATCTTGAGTTGGTGGTACCAGACGAAGTTGTTGGAGACTGGTCATTGGTACAAGGGGAATGGAAACCAATCTCAAGAACAACAGAAAGTGCCCAGACACAATGCGAGTTCCTTGTGTGAAGAGATTGTACGACTATGGGGGTTGTGTGCATTGAATCCAAAATTGACGAAGCACGAAAAGGAACAGTTGTATGCTTTGTTGACGTTGTACCATGAAAGAGCGGTCAAAAAGATTTGGGAAATGTTGGAGACTTCGGTTTTGGATTGTGTAAGTTGATGAAAACGCTAAATTTTTGTAGTTAGATTAAAAATAATCGTGTTTTCTAACAATTGTAAAACTGAAAAGTTGTTTTTATTGTGTAGAATCTAAAATTATTTGAAAAAGTATAAAATTTCAAGAAAATTAGTTCAAAAAACGAAAAAAATATTAATTTTTAATCTATTTTTGCCTATTTACTTTCTTATTCATTCTTCTTACCAAAATTCCAATTTTTCAGTATCTTCAAGACGCCAAAGGGAACCGCCTCTCAACTGAAAATGCTCCATTTTCCGTCGAACACTTCCCCGGCTTCTTCCCAGCTCTCCAGCTTTGCTTCCTCGATTGGAAAAGCGTCTCAATCAAAGGTCTTCAGAACACCGTGGACATCTCGGAGTTCATGGGCATCATCGCAGAATCTGCTGAAAAGTCTGAAACCCGATGCTTCAACATTCCCATTCTAAAACACAGTCCAGACGCTTTATTTTTGGAGTTCATTGACACCGAACAACGGATAACATCGACGTTGAACTACCACGAGCTGGCCTGTGGGAAAAGTCGATCGAAAAGGTATTCAAGAAGGAAGAGGAAACGACGTCAAGCTACACGGAATGCTCAGATGGCACAGCACAATATTGGAAGGTCGCTAGCGAATCAATTGAGAAGGCCACAGCGGGCGGACAGTGACGAAAGTGCTACGGAGGATGTTGATCAACCTTCGACTTCAAGCCAAGCCACAAAGTAAGTCGGAAAGAGTTGATATCAATTATTTTTTGCTAATTTTGGGTGTTTCTTTGATTGATTTAAAATGTCAAAGTTCGACTTGTTATTTTTTTTAATTTTGCATGATTTTAGACAAGAACCTTACCAAGAACAAATCAACCACCTTTTCGCTCTGGCCCATGAGGAAATGGACAAAACGCTTCAGAGATTCTGTTGTTGTAAAGCCTTGTACTGCTATGGATTTGAAGAAGAAGCCCAAGCTGTAGCCGAACTTTTAGCCAGCGAGTATTACAACTCCATTCCCTATGTGATACAACTGGAACAAGTCGAGAGCTCCTACTCCAACACTCGGCATGATCTTTCCCAACGATTATGCAAACATTCGAGGAAGCAGGTCAACTGTAAACACTGTAAATTTATCCCAGCAAATCGTGCTACGAAACGCACCGTGCATCCGCCACCTCCGCCTTTGAAGAGGTTGGAAGCGGTCAAGTCGAGTATTGAGAGTCTGAAGAACGTGCTGTTTGTGTTGAAATGCCTATTACAAGATCAGCCGTTGTCACCGTTGGGTTCGGTGGTAATTTCTGAAGGAGACGACAGGAAGTTCAGCTTCGAACAGGACAGTGTGGCCATGAAGTTGGCTTTGAGAGTGTTATATGAACCTAGAGGACCTGCGCCGACAAGGCAGATGGAGGTTAATGTGGCATTTTTGGTAAGAAAATTTTTTTTATTTGAAAAATCTTGGTTTTTTACAAAAAAAACGTTAGAAAACACAAATTTTTGAGAGTTTTCTTGATTGTTTTGATGTTAGTTTTGCTTTTTAGCTTTAAAACTGTTTTTTCCAGGAGCTCCAACTCTTCAAGCTCTTAATGTCAACTCGTCTCACCGTACCACACCTCGAGTTAATCCGTGAAGCTGCTGAAACTTTTCTAAAAAGTGATGCAAAGTACTCCTACACCTCCCAGAATGCCATACCTCCGCTTCTTTTTGCCCATTACGTGTTGAACGCATTGTCCTACGAGTATCACAATAACTACGAACGGAATACGAAAGTGTTACCTCCTTGTAACAATCTAACGAATCAAATGCGACGACCTTCAGATGAAAATATGGCAATTTCAGTAGCATTGACGGTGTTGCAGATTCGGCCACAGTTCAAGGAGAAGGATCATCCGATGCTGATGGAGTACGTGAGGAAACAGAAGGGCGAACTGACGCGAGAGCTGCTACGGAGGAATTCGGATTCGAAGGAACGGCTGAATCTGATTTTGGATAAGTTTCTGGATGCTGAAGTGCATTGCATCTATAGGTAGGGAGATTTCTAATTCGAAGTCATTTTGCGATTTTTCGACTAAAAGATAAAATTTTAAATTATTTTTGACTTTTGTACAGTAAACTTAAAAACTTTTTAAAATTAAATTTTTTTAGTAATTGCCAAACCAATGCGATTCTGGTCCGAAACTGTGGAATCAATCACAACTCAGCGTTCTGTTTGTGCTGGAAGCGCGAAGAGTCTGCTTTGCTATACTTTTCCAACGAAACCTCATTGTCAAGCTCGGAGAATGCTTCACGTCGAGATTCAACCATGTCTATTCAAGAGATTCTGGAGCAATCCACGTCACGACTCAGTAAACTAACTACAGAAGACGACGTTCTGGTACGAAGTGTTTCTGGAGAACAGTCGTCAACGGAATTCAAAGAATCTAAGAAGACTGAAAGCCCTGAAGGCAGTATCCCATCGTTGAATCAGTTCAGCGACTCAAGCAGCTCCGGAATCTCGAATAACTCCGTAGCCGAAGCCGAAATCATGCCATTGCCTCAGCTACGGCGTCTAAAGGATGAAGTTCAGCCTCTGAATGCGTGTGTCAAACCATTGTGCTATGGGTTCATATCAGAAGACCATGCTCATTTCTTGATGGAATTCGCCAAAAGGCTTCTAGGAGATGCTGGAGCCCACCCTCCATCATTCTTCCACCCAGCTCCGAACGCGGCTCCAAATCGGAATCTGCACATGTGTGCCTTCATTATTGGATTATACTCTATCGGAGTCAACAATCAAGTGTCGGATATGTGGCGTTCCAGAAACTACAGTACTATGGTCAGTTGGCTACAAGCCCAGGCACTCGAACTTGGTTCTGACGCCATTCAGATTCTGAACGATGTTTGGGAAACGCATATGACGCCTTCTGAAATCGCGGATCTAGCGGGAAAGGTGAAGCAGAACGATCAGCTTCAAAACGCCGCCATTCAGTTGTACCTGAATGTTCTGAAACGGGCGTGGTCGTTGACGTTGGGAGAATGCCAAAAGGCCTTGAACCAATGTGCTGAGTTTGGAATGGACAAACTGGAAAAAGCGTGTTTGGCGGTGGAAGAGTCGGCCAAGCACGAAAGCCTGAACCCACATGTGTTATTCCAGGTCTCTGAGTGTTGGTACAAGATGTACAACTCTAACAGTAAGCCTGATAGCGTACCATCGTCTTCTACAGCTTCGTACAGACAAAATGATCCTTGGCAACATCTGAGTGCCAACAATTGGAGTGGATTCAACCAACAACAACTTCACCAACAATCTCAACAACAACCTCAGCAACTCCAACAACAAATCCAGCAACCACCTCAACAGCCATTGGTACCAGCTTATCCACCACCTCCCCTACACCCTCAGTATCTAGCTGGTCCACCTCCAAACGGCTTCCAAGGAAAGCTACACATCAGTCATTCAGCTCCAAACCTACAGCCAGCTATTGGTCCCATCAGATGTAATGCGCCTCCGGGAATGCATACCAATAGGAATCAGATGGCTCGACCTCACGTTATACCGCTGAGAAATGTCCACATCCCTACGATACCACGTAATCAGTACAGTAAAATGGGCGTGGTGAATCCTACTCCACCGTACATGTATCCATATCAAGATCAATCGAAATGGAAACTTCTGAAGGCATTTGAGATTGGGATATGGGCATTGGAGCTGGTGGGACCACCAAACTTTGAGGATGCCAACTATGGCAAGTTCTCCAAGGTAAAAATTTTTATTTTAAATTCGTAATTATGTTATGGTTAGAAAGCCAAAACCAAAAACTTAATCTTTTCAGGAGTTCGAGCAAGAGATAAAAACCCTTCTGGCGATTTCCAAAGACCTCGGCGCCATTTACGTGCATCAGTTCTGTGAGAAAGCATCTTGTCGTATCGCCTCACCCAACTTGATCATGGAGATCATGGAAGAGCTGGAAGGTTTTTTCCGCGACTGTGGTGGCTTCACTCCGATGCCACAAATCAATGACACAGCTGGTCGACCACCGTACAATACTCGTGTGAGCAAGGGAGACTATGTCAGACAGACCCTACATCAACTACGATACCCGGCTTGTATTCAGGAACTGGCTTTGGCGTGTAGCGAGTTGTTGTACAAGTGGATCTCAGTCAAACTGGCATCGCGTTTGATGGAAGCGGACAAAGAAGAAGTGACAGTGCTGGTTAATATAGCTATGAAATTGTCGAATCTGCTTCGACATCAGGGCAACAACTTTATGAGCGACTTCTTTGGCCATATACGGAAACAAAAGTCCGGCAAACAGGCCATGGAGCATATAAAGCAGAGCTCGGAAGCTCTATCTTAAGGTTTTAGGCTATTATAGTTGAGCTAAAGCTCTTCGTCAATGTTGCCACGTAACAGGCTACATCGAATAATACACGAAATGTGGCAAAAATGTTAAATCGAAGAGCAGAATTAGCCGATTATTGCATATAATAATTTAAAAAAGGCATAAATTCCAAGAATTTTTGCCATTAATCGGAACTTTTCCGTTCTTGTTTGTAAAAAAATGTCAATTGTTGTTATTGTTACTTTATTTTTTTTAAATTTTGTGTCTAAAATATTGAATCATTTTAAATTTCATCCATAAATTCACGTTTCCTTGCTTCAATAAGCAAAGTTCTTTATATTGTAATGGTATTTATGAATATGTTTTTCTTTTTTTAATATACTCACAAATGTAAAAAATCGTTTAAAAACTGTAAAAATATTTACCCAATATTTCTTAAAAACCTTGTTCATTACATGAATGTCCGCACTTTTAACCAATAACGAAAGCCTTAACTAATATTGTTGCGCAATCCGAGAAACGAGTACGTGTTGTATACATTGTTGTTGTAACTAATGAATAAATAAGTAATAACTTCATTTCACCGTCAAATACGACTAAAATACGTTTTGTCACCAGTTTGACTTCAAATTAACCAGTTTAAATTAAGATAGTTCTACATCAGCTGTCCATGCATTGCCTTCCACTTGGAAGTGCTTAAACATTCCCTTTCTTTCGGCGTAAGAGCTGCGCATATACATCTGAAACCAAAGAATATTGTTGACAATATTAACATCGTAAAGAGCAACTTGTGGGCTAATATTAACAGCACAGTAAACAAACAGTTTTGGGCTTACATGACAGTAAAAAGCTCATTATCTCTATCTTTTACATAAAAAAAGACCCTTTAATACCTATTATACTAACAAAAACGACGTACCAATTTATAATCAGCGACGATTGATCGAGAATCCCGGATATTACATGATACATAAAAGTTGAGACCGACTTCATTGTCCGTTTCTCGTCGTTCTTTAACATATTCGGCAATGGCATCACCATCCAAATGGGTTGTAAAGTTATCTAGTGGACGTAATCTTGGCGGATGTCGACCTGATACTTTATCAATCATCAGAGTTTCACAACTGAAATAAGAAAAGGGAAATAAACGCTTTTTGCAGAAAACCCGAATGAGTTTAAAGCCAAAACTATGATAAATACTTTTTTTATGTTTGGCCAAGTAAATTCAATAAAAATAAACATCAAGTGTAGATAATACAATAACAAACCACCTACTTCAATATCCCAGTCGTTAACAATAAATCCTTTGAAATGTGATGAGGTAAAGCATTCCTGAGCCCTTCCAAGTAATATTCACTGGCTATAATAAGTTCTCCACAGAATTTGTAAAACATCTTCGGTGTCACATGCTTCAAACTGACATTGTGGAGCACCAAAGAGTCGACCGCCATGTAATCCCCAAAACTATTTTCCCATTGTTCGATGAAAAAATCGGTCAATGTGAAGTTCTTTAGTACCAAGTCCTTGATTTGCCCATTCTTCATGTAATGTGTCAGCCAATCAAAGTATTCCAATGGTGGAGTGAACAACTTCTTCGCATACCTGATACGTTCATCGTAGATCAAAGGGGCTGTGCACGGTTGACAAATTCGACCATACGTGACAAATTGTTCGTTGTTAACGGTGCCGTCACGATGATAGGAGTGTTCGCATCGATTATGGTAGAATTTAGGGCCTCTGAACTTTTCGATCTTCTCCTTCGCCAAAGAATCAATGTCTCTGGAAAAGTAGACTTTAAAAGTTTACATTTACATTGTTTTTTTTTGATAAATTATATTGTAATAGGTCATTTCATCTTCTTTCTTAACTTTTCATTGTAAATTGACAACGAAAACGCTGTGAAAAAGTCCTAAAAGCAAAAATATACAAATTAAAAAAAAACTTACAATGTAGTAAAGAACTTTTTCACAGATATCTTCCTCCTAGAACAATCGTAGTAAAAGAGCATGGAGAATTCGTTCAATGTGCTCAACTCTAACGTTCGAAACTCTCGCTTGGCCATCATCTTCGGATGATGCTGTACAATCGATCTCCATGTTCTATTCACCAATTGACATCTGTCAAGATCATCTCGTGTTAAAAATTTGAAAATATTTACAAGCGCACTCATCGGAAGATACCATGCGCTCTAAAAATTGAAATTTTGTGTACTTCATGAAAAAACCTTTAACAACATCAATATTACAATACAAAACAAATAAAACTTTAAAAAACGATGTTACTCACCACTTCTTCCCCTTCGGTTGGATCTTCCAAGGGAACCAACGTTCTCGGCGGCACTCTACCTGTCCTATTCTTGGTAATAGAGCTGATAATGTGACTGTTATTCCTTCTACCTTGTCTGGATGTTCCCTAAAAAGCTAACTTGAAAAGGTAAAGACAAACATACCGGAAACATGTCCAACGCCTGATCCGGATCGTCTACATCCAGATTTTCGGATATATCCTCGTATTCGTCGTCTAATCTATCTGAACGATGGCGCACTCTCCTTCTAGGCCAGCCTCTGTCCATTATTGTGCTTTTACCACCAAAATATTACAATGAAAAAGAAGTAAAATAATTTTCCAGAAAAATAGTAATTCTTCGGGACAACTGCTTTTCGGGTACACATGACACAAGATAAATGTTTATTTTTCAAATTATATGGTAATGTTTGTGTAGTAAATGAGTGAAGAATGGACGGGATATAAAATAGCCCAATACACATTATTGTTTTTTTTAAACCACATTTGGAAGTCAGGTAAGACAATATGTGTTCTGGTAAACAACAAGCTCTGAATTGATAGTAAAAGCTTCATTTTATAAGCTAAAATTATCTTCTTTAGCTATATCAGGTATCACGATATCATCAGCAGTCTTTATTCTTGATTTTTTTATAAAAATAAAAGTTTTATAAAGGAGGTTATATTAACCCAAAATGGATTTGCTTAATATTATGTTAGCTATCAACACAAAAACACAAGAGAAAAAGTTAAAATTCTTGAACTTGAGTAAGCCTAATATATATATATAAAATATTATTTTATATTCTATTTGCTCTCTTTTATTCATGAACTTGTTATAAGCAAGGTTTAATTCAATAGTGGGCGATTACGAGGATTAAGGAACTTAGCGGACGGCCTTGATCGCTAAAATGATAGGAAGGAACATCTCGACGGTGTTTCCCGCCCAAAATTTGAATAAAGGTGACAGAGTAGCGCGGAAAAGTTTATCTTTCCCACAACATTTTGGTTTGGTTCGTACGATGTTTGACTGTTTTGGTCATTAGAAATCAAAACTTGTGGTTTTTAGTCTCTATCTTGCTTTAGGTATAAAAAATTCTGTATCTTATTTTAAGTAGACGGAAATTATTTATATTGTTTTAGGTAAAAAACTCTATTTCACAACATTTTAATGCCACTTTTGTTTCAATTTCGATATTTTTGTCAATGATATCCACCTTTGGTTCCATCTGTAGCATGCTATAGCATAGCTAACCCAGATAGAACACGTTTCGGCGACCCTCGATAAACTTTGGAGTGATTATGAATGATAAGTTGCGCAATCGAAGACCGCAGCCGGCTCTCTGATCTCAATGTTGTTTGTTTACAGAGTCGAATTGGTGGTGGGGGGGGCTCTTTTCACCTTATTATCCATTATCACTTGAAGTTCTCGTCGTGCGAGAACAAGGAAATTCCTTATTGTTTCCGCTAATTGTTTGATTCTCTCGAGGCGAAAAAAGGTCATTCAACCAAGTTTTGGAAATTTTTCCAATTATACGTTTGGGGCCTTGGCTCAAGTGTTGGTTATGTATTTGAAAATGAAAGTTGTGTTGGGGTTTGTAATAGAATGTTGACGATGATATTCAAGACAGAAAAATAAAAAGTTAAGTTTAAATTTAAATTTGACATGAAAGGTTAATCATTATTAAATAGCTAATAAGTCCAAATGGGGAAAGGGCCAAGCCATGCTCAAAAAAGAGGGTGGGATGTTTTTTAAGTTTAGCAGGATGTAAATAGAATCAAAAAGAGTGAAAGGTTAATATTATGTTCTTGTGGCATGGTTCAAATAGGTTATTTGACAGTAGTTTAGGTTATCGTAACGTAAGGTAGGATAAGATAAGGGTAGGGTAGGGTGAGGTTTTACAAGGCCGGGTAGTGCATTTTAAAGGAGAATGTTTTAATCTATGGTCGTCCTATATCTCTCATATTGTCTTCATATATCCGATGTATCGTAACGACCTCCGCAACAGGTAACGTAGATTAGTAGCAAACATACGCAGCGCATCTTCCTAATTCTACCTGCAATTTATGGCTTTTGTAATTACGCGATCAGTTGCAAATAAACTTGTATTGTTGTTTTGTTTAATGACGCATTACTACTTTCGATTTATCATTATTTCGCGATTTTCATTATTTTTGGGAAAGCGGCGACCTTGCTGGCTTTGGTGAAAGGGTAAAAATGACTAATAATTTGATAAATTGTTAACGTTTTGATTGTTCCCAACCTAAGGGGTTATGAATAATCTTGGCTCAAATATAATATTGCGTAGAGTAGGGGATAGGGCTTGGGATGGTCTGGTAATTTCTGTAATGTATATTATAGTAGACGATTTTAGCTGTTAAATATTATAATGATGAGAAAACAGTTTTTTAGGTATTTCTTTTTATTTTTTCTAACTTCAAAACAATATTTTTGAATTTGGCGGGTGTTTTTTAATATATTTTTTTTAAAAGATTTTATTTTTTTTTCTTGTTTTTTTTCAAAATATTGACCATGCTTAATCCAATTCCAATTCCCCGGCCAACGGATGCCTCATCGATATAAAATAATTAGATGAGAACGGCCTTGAGGCGTTTATCTCCTCCGGGCCGAAACTTTGAGCCGAACATCCGGCGGCCCAAAATCACTCAGAAAGCGGATTCCGAAACCCATTCTGAGGATTCGCTTTTTTGAGGTCGTTGTCGTGTTTGAAATCTCCTTCGCCTTCTCCCCATGATTCGATTCCAAGGGAAGAAGCCAGCCTCTTTTTGACGTGATTCGATACGAAAATAAAAAAGGCTACTATGCTTCTCAAAGTTAATGTAAGACGAGGGAAGCGAAAGTAAAACCGGCCGATTTCATGTTTCATTTATCTCATAATCGCGTTTTATAGAGCTTATGCTAGGAAGTTGTGTGGGGTGACGGTATTTAATAGTAATACTTTTGGTCTTGCTTTGATACTGTAAAGTTATTGTAGGTACTGTAACGTTTTTGGAGGTACTATAGCGTTTTTGAAGGTATTGTATTTCTGAAGCTGTTGTAACTTTATAACGTTGGAGTTTTAATTACCTTGATTCTGTAGCGTTTTCGGAGGTACTGAAGCGTTCCTGAAGCTACTGTAATTTTCGAAAGTTTTAGGGTTTATAAAAGGATCTTGCTATGTCTCACTAAGCTTATGGTATATTTTTAGGTATTTTGTGATAAAAAATGTTTATCAGTTGAGCTATGTCGGAAAGTTTCAGCTCTAGGGCAGACAAAAGGGAGTAAAAATAAAATTTGTATGCTTTCAAAATTCACTGTTTCTTGAGCTACCGAGTCGTGAGGAGCTGCTCCTCAAGGGTTCAGGTCCTAATCGAAAGCCTGTGTAAGCCAAGCAACCGAAATGAATTTTAAAATTTTAGTTTTTTTGAAATGATATTACTTTACTTATGACAAACCTACATTATACTGTATTTGATTACTGTCATACCTAAAGTAAACTTTATTTTAATAAAAATCTGAGTAAAAATAAAAATCTGAAAAATGTCAACGAAAGACAGGAGTAACCAAGAAGGACTAAATTACTTATGACAGGCATGTGCTTTCAATTCCAAGCTTTTCCGGAAAATAATTGGCAAAGTTTATGGGTTCAACCCTCAGGCACTTTCATAAACAGATTTTAAACCAGTATTTACTGACTTTTCATTTTTTATCATAATACCATGATAAAAGGCCTTTTTCCCGTATTTTACCTTTCAGCTTTACCCTCTTTTCAAAAAATTATTAAAAATTTTAAAAATCTTTAAAATCTTGTATATCACTCCCATAAATTGAAAGCCCTAAAGCAGATTATATTTCTCTCGAATTATATAATAAAAGGTAACTTTGTTCCTCGCGACGTTCAAATTGCTATTGTCAGAATGTGATTACTATTCAAGAAATAAAGGTTTTATTTCATTTTTCGAGCGACAAGGTTGAGCGACATAAAAAGTTTGTAATGTAGGCTTGAGTCAACGTATGGGGGGATGCTACTAGTCATTATGTCTATCAAATGATTCATTTGTTAATGTGTCGTCGGCGTTATATCTCCCTATGTCAACAGTGACAAGTTGGCTTAATTAGCGATATTGGTTTGTGCTAGAGGGGTTTCGATAAAGATTGAGTTGTAATTGGATACAGAAGGCAGATCTTGCATAGATAGTGTATGTATGTATGACTCTTGTGATAAGAAAAATTAAAATACGGGCATTTTTTTGAAAGAAATGGGCAGGGTAGGGTAAAATTTTTATTTTTAACATTTTTGATGCCTAAATATTATTTTTTTATATTTTAAATTAAAATTTTATAAAATTCAAAACGTAAGAAGGTCTGAACTTTCTATATTTTCATATAGGCACCTTTAATACCTATATCTAATTTTGCACCTTTCCAAAACCCAGCAAAAGCAACCCGTCTGCAACATAAATAACCTCCCCTACGTCATTTCCAAATTTTGCCTCATATTGATGTTTTGTTGATATAAAATGTCACCAGTCATGACATTCGAGCGGAACAGGTCATTAATAATGATGAAAGGGGACTGTGTGAAATCGAATCAAATTGGGTGTTTCCGGGCTCTGATTCACTTGATTGTGCTCTTCCATTCCTCCGCTTCCAGGCCGTCTGATTCTCGCGTTTTGGCCCCATATCTTGTTTGTTTTTTTATCTCCAAACCCGCTTACTGAGACGTCTTTTGGCATTGGCTATGTCAACTTTGTTTTCACATCTTGTTACATGGATTAGTGTTGGATTTGAAGCTATTTTTAATTTTTTGGGGTGGGGGAAAGGAAATTTTTAACGTATTCTTCTTTTTTAGATTTTTTTGGTTTTTTCAGTTTATGTGTGTATAAGCTCTAAAGAAGGCAGTAGCCTTTACCCTGGGGAGAGGAGGGAATTTTTTTTTGCAATGGTGGGAGGGAGGGGGGGGAGACAAAATTTTTTTTGCTATGGCTACTTGTGGATTAAAAAAAGTTCGAAAAATGACCAGGAAAGACAAGGTAGAAAGTTCTTATCATAATTATCATCTATCAGGGAAGACTAATATAAAATTATCATTACCTGTCCATTGGCCATGACTAAACAGTTTCAACTTTTACACTTGCAACTTAAAACTTTGTTATTTTAAATTTAAATGCCACTTTTGGTTGTAGATTCACTTTCCGAAAAGAAAGGAAATCTGAATTCCGACGGATTTTATGGCCATTTAAGGGCGAGCTTCGAAGCGAGTTAGGTTATTTTAGTTGAGATACGAAAAAGTGTTATTTAGTAAAGTCTAAATGTCATTGTTTCGAAATTAGTATAGTCTAAAACTAACTGTTTATCTTATTATTTAGACCTACATATCAGTATAGTACGTATTATTAGGTTGGTCAAATAATTCTATGCTAAAGTGAAAGCAAATTTTCGTTAGGGAGCTCAGAATTAATTGAACAACCTAATATACCCCTACTCCCTAAAATCGTATTTTACTCGTTAAAGTTTTACGATTTGACTTGGCTTTTTATAATAAGTTTTTCGCTAAAAAACAAATTACGTACCGAACATAAACAATATTAACATAAATTAAAGGAATTTCGGAAATTCACACAAATTTTAATTTTTTTGTCCTTTTTGTATTATTTTTAGTTCATAAACTGTGTAAAGTATAATACTGTAAAACTGCTTTAGTATGACCCTCAATGGTATGACACCCCTTTTATACTGACACCTTGTAGCACGCCTTTTGTAATTAATAACTCTTATCAAAAAGTACTTGGATAGTGTGACACCTTGGTTATAATGGCACTTTGATCCAGTTCCTTGAGTGTAGGTTGACTGTACTGTCCTTCAACAGTTTCTTTTAGCATCGTATCTTAAATTATTTTTTTCAAAAAAAAATTTTATAAACACTGTCATGTTATCACTAACCCCAAACCCATCCTCTAAGTTTTTGACAAGGTTGATCGAAATTAGCTCCCTGTTCTGCTTAGTGACCGGCGTGCGTCATCGTGCCGATTCTCGATTTATAATCTGCTCTTAAATCTTTTTCTCATCCCGTTTAGAGTTTTGGGCCGCTTACTTTTTGATCAGGAATGTTTTTTGTGGACAACTGACGTTTGGCGGGGCGTCTCGTTGGTTTAGGCTTACCTCCAATTAAAGCAGTTTTACTGGTTGTCAGGGGTTAGTATTCAGAGTTGATATAGAGGGAGTAACTGAGGAGGTAATGACAACTTTTTTGGTTTAAAGATGATTTTTAAAAATTTTTAAATTAAGTAGATATTGATCAAATAAATTTTTACTTTACTCTACCTTTACCCTGCTTTATCTAACCATATCTCTTTATGGTAAGATAAAGCTGGCTACTACTACTTAATCTCATCTTTTCATAGTCTTATTATGTACACCTTGCCATAGGCGTACCTTACTATTTACTTGTTTAAATAATTCTGTGCCCCTTAATACAAAAATTTGCTTTGAGAGGAGGTACAGAATTATTTGAACAATCTAATATAACTTTACTTTACTTTCATCTTTTCATAGCCTTATTATGTACACCGTTACCATAGCCCTATCTTGCCATAACTCTATTTTAATCTCACCTTTTCTATAGCCTTATTATATACACCTTGTCATAACCCTAACTTACTAAATATCTACTTTAATCTCATTATTTCACAGCCTTATTATATACACCTTGCCATAACCAATTTAATCTCACCCTTTCACAGCCTTATTATATACAGAGATCTCTTCGAAATAATAAATATTATGTGAGATTGTTTTTGTAAAACAATTTATTTTTTGGCAACGTGACTGATAACGTTCCGTTCTTTATTTTTATAAATTTCCCACATCAAACAAATAGATTTCCGAGACGTTAAACCTTACCAAACTTATTACTCATTGATTACTTTCTTTTTATAGGTAAATCAGTACGTAGTAATGATAGGACCTGGTGCTTTAGACTTTTTTCTTACCGTGGTCAGTTTTTAGCTAAACCTGTTTATGATAAAACACTGATAAATTCGTGTGCTCTCTAATTTTGTCTGATTTTCGATAACAGTCAGAGAAAAAGAGAGATCATACAATTTTAAGAGACCACACAAATTTTTTTCGTCTTTTTGCGTTATTTTTGGTGTTTTCTCTCTACTTTTTGACCGAACACGTGAAACTAAAGTATAATATTACTCTGTAAACTAATACTGTTCATATCACCTTATATCCCGTTTCTATTCAATTACAAATGACTCGTTTCAGCCAATGTTAACATCGCCACCAGAGTAAATGAGCGGCGGAAGCAGACGGTCGATTAGTTCGGCCGACAATTCCCAAAACCAAAAAACCTCAATTTTAACATTATCGGTGCTGGGACTGAGTGGTACTGATTCACAAAAAGGTGCAGTTGGAGTGGGGAAGTCAGTGTTTTGTAATCGACTGGTCAGACCACATTACAATGACTTTAACACCGAACATGTCAGCTATTTGTCACAGGTATGGGAACACAAATTCAACTTTTGAGGATTTTAATACTAAAAACTTTAGGTTCAAAAAATGTTTTTCACTTTTTTTTTGTGCAGCCTGCGCATTGGTGAAAAGTCTCGGGCGCAAGCTGAAAATAATTAAAGCAAAAAATTGTCAAAATTTTTAAGCTTTTAAGTAAAACCATATTATGTTTAAAATAAGCTTAATTTTAGGCCGATTTCAACTGTTCGTCAGTAATAAACGGCAATCACTGGTTATATTGGGGCGAAGTTGATCTGGACCGAAGTGATTATGCTGGGCCGAGTAATCGAATTCGTGTAATTGAACAAACAACGTTTCTGAATGACGAAACTTTTGAACCTCATCCTTCTCGTATTCCGGATTACTGTAATCGAGCCGTGCGGACCGAGCTGGAATCCAAAGGAAAACTCATGTATATATGTCGGGTAGGATAATATATCGTATTTTTTCGGTGGGTTAGTAAAAAATATTAAAAACTTTTGGTTAGAAATGACTTACATGGTGTTTTATACGATTCCTGATAATTTTTACCTTGTTTTATTTTTTAGTTTTTATCAAAACTTGAGATTTAAATTTTATACACTGCAACGATTTGATCTTAATGTTAAGATTAAAATTTTGAAATCAACGAATAACTCTTTGTTTCAGGATCAATTAGGCCAGGAATCTGATTTTGTGTGCCACGAACTTCAAAATGGCAAAGCAAAAGTTGACGCCTTTGCCATAATGTACGATGTTTCCTATGTTGATGGTCGAATGATGCCGTTTCAGACGGAGAAAGTGACAGAACTTGTTAATTTATGTTTGAAAACAAAGAAGCCGGTGTTTTTATTGGCTTCCAAGTGTGATAAACAAGATCCGAACGGAATGAGCGAGTTCAGAAAGTTGTGTTCGAAGAAGGAATTCGCCAAAACTTCGAACTTTCATTGGGTAAATTCGGAATTTTTTAAACTTTGAGGGCAGTAAAGAGCTTTTCTGCTTATGTTAAGCATAGTTTTTAGTTTATTTTGATTTTATGGTTAAGAAGATTATAGAAGACTTTTAAGAAGTATTTACAACAATAATTTACTTGATTTTATAAAGGCTTCCTAAAATATTTTACGTTTTTGTTGTAATTTTACTGATATTTGACAATTTAGGCAGAAATCAGTGCGTTTGATAATGTTAACGTAGCGGACTTTCTATATTTACTGGCCCAAACAGTTGATAAAGTGAAGAACAAGCTCAATATGTCAATGTTTGTGGATTCAGAACGTCTGAGAACACGTCGATTAACTGCTGTTAGGTAAATTATATTGTTCCAGCTTTAAAGGGCATTAAAAAGACTTGATTATTTTGGTATATAATTTAAATTTTTCTAACAAAATCACGATTAATTAGGTATAAAACATGTTTGAGATGATTTTTGAAGGTTTCCTCGTGCTTTTGAGTATAAAACGGTAAAATTTGAAAAGATGTTTGATGGGTAATCTTTCAAAAGCAATTGGAGAAAAGCAAAGGCTTTGACGTCATCAGCTCTTAATGAGTTGGATAACTGCAGATCCACGGAAACACTTTGCACGCATAATTAAATTTCAATTGCTTTTTTGGATTTAAAAATAAAAGCCAAAAACCAAAAAAAAGAATTTTTTAAATATTTTTTAAAAGATTTATGTTTTTAAATTTAAATTTTAAAAGGTTGGGCAGCAATCAGGGCCGGGCGCGAGGGGGGGGACGGGGGGACGGGGGGGTACAGAAAAAAAAATTTTTTGAAAAAAGTTGAACGTGGTCCCCCCTGCGGATTTTCGGAAAAAAAAATTTCGCAAAAAATCGGCTCACCTGTGCTGATTTTTTTGGACCCCCGCCCCCAGACCAAAAGTCCCCTCCCGGCCCTGGCAGCAATAACAATATACATGAAAAAAAATTATTTTGCTATTTTAATCGTTATTTTATATTATACTTGATTCTACTGCACTTTTAGTGCCGACTTTAACGACCTTCTCCACCAACTAGTGCCTCGTGAAGACTTCCCCTCTCAACAAGGCCAACTGAGTTGGGAGGTTCTTTTAACTGACTTCGGAGTCAACTGTCATCCTGCCTACATTGCGTATGTAGCCGAGTATGGTGCTCGTTCCGCAGCATCACAGTTCGAAGAGCATTGTCGCGTACTGCGGGAGTGGTGGTTGGAACGAGAGCTGAATGAGCGATTACCTGTGCTGCGGGACGTGTTGAGGCGAATGTTCGGAAGGTCATACATGTGCCAAACCAACTGGGAACAGCTGAGGACCGAGTTGGAGGCCCATCCCCACTTCCCCACCTATTTCCAACCGCTGGGCCGAAGTGTTGGTAAGTTTGTTGACTTTTTTTGATTTGATTATTTATGTCTTCTTATTCTTCACTTTCACGGCCTTGCAGCCACACGTTTTGCAAGAGGGATTGGAATTAGGTGTTTATATTGTGATAAAGAACGGTGGAGATATGTGTTTATATTTTGAAAAGATAAGCTGTAGATATTTGTTAATGTTGTGATAAGAAAGAATGGGATTAAGTGTTTATCTTATGACAAGTTTGGAATTTGGTGTTTACTCTAAATGAAAGAAGGCATTTCTTAGGTTTAAGTATTTACTGTTCGGGATATGTTGTTGTTTATAAGGTCGACAATATTTATTGTTTGATAATTTTCAAGAATTTTTGAAAAAAATGCACTTTTAATTGTTAAATCAGCCTTGTTTTTCTTCATTTTTTGAAATTTTTCTATATTACTCAATACCATCGGATAAAATATCACAGGATAAGTAGTATAGGTTAAAGAATGGTGCTCGTAGCCTGTCGCTTTAGAGAAATACCTTCACTTTCTAAAATTTTTGAAATTTTTAGAGCGCTACAAACGTCGTTCCGAAGTAGATGATCGTATTCCAAGCGAGGTTTTGCAGAAGCCTGAAGCTCGAGACTTATTTCACGAATACCAACGTGAACTTTTGGATGAAATTGCACTAGAAAGACAGGCTGACAAATTTCGAAAACTTTTGGAGACGAAAGACGCTGTAACTCCAGGAAGAACGTATTCTGATGCCAAGGTAATGTGTCATGAGATTACCGAGTTTGAGAATGCGTTACCGCCGGAGAATGCACGGTACATCTACGAAGATTATCAGGTAGGGAGAGGTAGTATATGTGTAGGGTGGATAATATAAATAATGATGGGTAATATGAATCTTAATGGATAATATAGATATTGATGACATAATTGACGGAAAAATTTTGTATAATGTCTTTGGAATTCATAAACTTATTTTACTTAAACAATCTTTTAAAAACTTATCAAAAACAATTAAAATTTTAATTTTGAAATTTCAGAAAGATTTGAAGAAAAAAGCTCAATTGGACTTCAACGAGTTATTGTTGGAGAATATCAGCACTTTTGTCGATTTGATTGTGGAATGGAGGACGAAGCAACTTCACGATCCGAATCGGATCAGTTGCTTGAGTGAACGAGAGTTCAACATTATCTGTAGCTCGTTGATTGAAGATAAAAGGTAATTTTAGTTTTTATATATTATGGAGCTTTACTATTTCTTGCTTTATTTTTCTCTACTTTTTACAGCCTTACTCTATATCACTAACTCTACATTGCCCTTATCTGTCTTCAATTATTTTATTATCTTTTAATTTTCTAGTAAAGCTTTATCTTATCCTACTTTGCTTGACTATAAAGAAAGTAAGTATAAAGTTTAATTTGTAGGTATCGCGACATGAGTGGACTAGCCGACAAACGCCGTGAATTGATCTCAAAAATGGCTAACTTTGTGTCCATGCCTCTAACTTGTTTTTGTTTAGCTGGAGACAAGTGTGCCGATGTTATCATCTCTCAAATGGTAGCTGACATTAGGTAAATCTTCTGCTATTTTAAAATGAGTTTTCTGATTTTTTTTTGGAAAAGTTGAACTGGGGAGGATATTGTTTTTTGTGTTACTATTTTTACTTTAGGATGCGCTTACAGTTAGAGGACTACTTTTTTGAACATCATAACTTACCTTATTTCAGATACGACGCCAACGCCTTCTGTTCGATTGAAGCTGATCTCTTTGGTGAATCAGACCTGGTCAACAAGTTCATGTGGGCTTTGAACTCAGTTCTACCAGCTGACAAACTTTATCATCAAAACGATCGTGTCGCCAAACTTAATATTCATCCAGCGAATCGAAGGAGAAGTGTTCAGAACAATCGTGTCAGGACCCCGATATGTTTGATCGATTCTGCCAAAACTTGTCATCAACTTCTGAGTGAATCTGAGGAATTATTCAAGTTCGGGCCAAGTCCATTGTTTGTTCTGATTCCGAATAAAAGTAACAAAGACATATCTGATGGTCTGGAGAGGATGGGTACTCAATTGGCAGATCGATTTCATGGAGTTTACATTGGAGTGAAGGATCTGGAGGATGACATCATGAACAATGACATGAATGGCAGCAGGTTTGAGTGGGTTTTCAATTTTTTATTGGTTTTTAAGGACTGGAATTTAAATCTTTGATTATTTAAATTTGAAAAAATTAAATTTTAAATTTTTTTTTAGTACCACTTTTATATTATTGTCATTTTCAGTACAAACCAACTAGACCAAGTTCTCCACGAGCTCTGCCTCGGCCAAATGGGTACCAACTACACTGATATGAAAGTACGAGTATCCTTCCTATGTGACGACTCTCTATCAATGCAACAAGTCCTAACCCCCCTCCTTGATCAAGTCGTCCAAACCGATGATTCCGGAGGCAGTTTCTGTTTAGATGTGTCATTGTCAAACGAACCTCTGAACGTGAGAGTTGGCTTTCAATGTGGATCGTATCATCATTGGATGTTGTCGAAATGGCAGTTGAACACTTACAATGGTCATATCTTGGTCTACAGTCCGAATAGAATGGCATCGTGGAAGCATGCGGAGACGTCGATTCAACTTCTTCTGGATGCTTCTGCTTATTCAGTGCCATCTCCATCGAATCTGTTGGAGAGGCAGAACATGGCCAGGAGTATTATGTTGATCGCGGTGGATGAACCGAGCAGTTATTTCAAGGATAAGGTAAAATTAAAATTGGTTTTTTAAATTCAAAATATTTTTTGAATTTTGAATAGGTTTTTTAATTTTAAAATAACTTTCGAGCTTTTGATAGTACAAATTAAACGTTTTATTCCATTTTTTAGTTACTTGAGGTCATTTTTGATACTATTCTTATATTTAACATACATTAATTTATCTTATTTTAGGACTCGAGCCATTTGTTAGCTGAAGGAGCACGATTGGCAGAAAAGATCGGTTGTAAATTCATGGTAATCTCATCTTCAATGCCACAAACAGCTCAATTCCAATTCTACAACGACTACTTTTCTCAACTGATTCGGCTGCCGGCATTACCAGATGCTACCTACACTGTGTGTTCTCAGAATCCGGCATTATTTGTTACTAAAAGGTAAGAAACAGGGTTTGGGTAACATCGTTTTGGTTAGAAAAAAGGAAGATTTTTATTTTTTAATAGCTTGTCAATTAAAATGTAGTTATTTTACACTGTTCCTAAGTCGCTTTTAGATGTTTTGAATTGAAAACGGCTTTCTACAGTAATATAATTGAGTTTTTATTACTTCAAAGTCCTCAATAACTCCAACAAAGAACCAAACTTTTTATATTATTCATGTTCCTTCGAACATAATTGCCGGAAATGGATTTGACGGTGGGGTTTGATATGTTGTTCATGGCCTGGATTCACCTCCAGTCTTTGGGAAAGCCTTTGGTTGCGTGGCGTTTCCTTTCCGGTCGAAAAAGAGGCAAAAGGGCAGGGGCCCTGAGGGCTTGGAGACTAGAAACCCCACGGAACAGCTGGGATTCTGCCGGGCGCCGCGCTCCAACCCCCCTCCGAAAACACATTCCCATTTTTGGTTTTATATTCACTGGCATTATATGGCAAATCAAGGCGTTTTTTCTTGTCCATATTATGTCTTCTTGGGGCCGAGGGCCGCGGGCCTTCATAATTCGTATCGTCATGACATTCTTCGTGTCTTATAGTTTGTCATATGGCTAGTTGCGGTATTTTTACCGTTTTCTTGAGTTTGGGCTTTGGAATTTTAATATGCTTTTTAGTAGTTACTTTTAAAAGCACGATACAGGTAGTTGTTCTTTTAAAAAATATAATACAAATAGTGGTTACTTAAAAAAGAATGATACAGTTTGAAATTTTTTAAAATGGCTGAATTTCTTGTCGTTTTTGAAAGTCGAAACCAACGTTTATATGCGACCAGAAGAATATTTTTGGCACTATTATTAGTAGAAATGACTTTTGGCAGGTTTTCTAGCTTCTTCGGTGGTAATACTTGGTCTAGCCTAGTCCAAAACGCTTTAGAAAAGATTTTGGTCCAGCCTGGTCTAACAAGGGAAGTGTCTCACCTCATTCCGGAGAAATGAATGGAGACTAGGCTCATTTGAAAGCCTATTTGAATAAAAATTCAACAAAAAAAATTTAGCTGCCGAATAAGCCCCTGAGGCAAGTTATGACGATTTAAAAATTTGCAGTGCTTTCCTTGGTTTGAGTTTGAAAACGATTAGGAGCGAGAAAGAAAACAAGGGCAACCGATGATTCGGTGGTTCAGTGGTTAGGTGTTGGGTTTAGGGGTAAAAGGGTTCGATCCCTGCCAATTCGTTTTGCTTTAACAGCTTCCAAAAAAATTTTTTTTGTTTTTTATACTATACAACAGTCAACAGGCTAGTTTTAATCATTTGAATACAAAAATTAAGCAATTTGACAAATTATTAAACTTTAAAATTTTTTGAAAATTTTTTATGTTTTGGAAAAAAGTTGAGCAACCTATCACCTGGAATAACGAAACCAACAGCAAAAGTAACTTTATTTTCCCTGCCTTCAGAAAATTTAACAGCTTCGGCGTCATTGTAAGACAGCTGATAATCAGGGAAGTGACGAATGTCATCAGTCTTGAATATGTCAAACCAATCACCATTGGTGCGTCTACTCAATATATTCATATTGGAAAAATTTTCAAAAAATTTTAAAGTTTAATAATTTGTCAAATTGCTTAATTTTTGTATTCAAATGATTAAAACTAGCCTGTTGACTGTTGTATAGTGTAAAAAACAAAAAAAAATTTTTGGAAGCTGTTAAAGCAAAACGAATTGGCAGGAATCGAACCCTTATCCTTTTACCCCTAAACCCAACACCTAACCACCGAATCATCGGTTGCCCTTGTTTTCTTTCTCGCTCCCAATCGTTTTCAAACTCAAACCAAGGAAAGCACTGCAAATTTTTAAACCGTCATAACTTGCCTCAGGGGCTTATTCGGCAGCTAAATTTTTTTTGTTGAATTTGTATTCAAATAGGCTTTCAAATGAGCCTAGTCTCGATTCATATCTCCGGAATGAGGTGAGACACTTCCCTTGTAAGAGGGTAGTCAAAATGGCTATTCACCGTAAGGTAATCACGTTTTCTGCAAAAGACATGGTTGCATTGTCTTAAAAAATAGGTCTAAATAGGTTCACTTGGCCTATTTTACAATTTTTGAACGATTTACCACCGCAGTAAATACTAAATTTACTGTAGTATTAATGTTTATTTTCAAAAATTACGATAGTAATAATGTTCACTTCTGAAAATTACTGTTATTATGCCATCCATTCACACAAATTTTACTTGTTTTCGAATTCTGACTCTTTGGCCATACGTACGACTTTGCGTACGCCTTAAAATAGCTTTTTCTTTGTTACATGTTCAAAAATAGCTTTTTTCAACATACATTGTTAACATTCTCTTTTTTGCTCCCACTCATGTTATACCAAGTTATTACGTGGTTTTTGAGTTTTACGTTCTGTGGTACTTGTCTTTTAGGAAAAACATATTAAAATTTATTTTTACATTTTGACTGAACCGTTAAGTTTTATATTTTTATGCTTAAATTACAGCCAAACATAAATTTTAAGGTTTTAAAAGTCTTGTCGTTTTTTAACGATCAATTCAATACAAATTAAAAACAATACTTTTAGAAATCCTAATAATTTAAAATTCTATTAAGAATTGCGTTCGAAACCTAAAAACTTGTTTTCGGAATGTTTTCAACTTGCGACAATATGGTTAATTACACTTTACGTAATGTCAAAGGATGTGACGCAGATTTGCAAAGAACGGCCCGATACTACAATTACTCCGCACTTTTTTTGTTCAGTTGCGTGCTGTTCAGCACGGAATGCAATATCCGGTCGTGTAGCTGCATGGGGGTGACTTTTGTAATCGGTTTTTTACACTTTTGTACACGAGTTTACGAATGGTTGTATATAAATGTTAAAAAGTGTTTAAAAAATGGAAAAAATTCTAAAAATAGGGTATATTGAATTTGGTTTTTACAACTTTTGAGGTTTTTGGTTAAAAATAACGGTTTTTGCAGCGATTGTAAAGTTTTCCAAGGCAATTCATTAGTTTTTAAAGCCATTTTAAACTTAAAAGTGAGGGTGAAAAGGCTGTAACAGGTGTTCTTTGTACCAATTCTAATAAGGTGTTACCAAAGGTGTGGTGAATAATATACGATGTCTCAACTCATGTGAAAAAAATTCTTTTTTTTTGATTACAAACTTCAAGTTTTGCACTGAGAATATTGAGTTTTTATCGTTCTTCTTTGATGAATCTCTTGATTAATGCTGAATTTTTTAATATAAATCTAGATTTAAGCTTAAGGCTTATATTCAACTCAATTTTAAACTTCTTCCATTCTATTAATGGTAATAGCTTATCCTCCGGCAATTCCTCCAATCTTTAGCATGAAAAAACGACAAATTCTTAATTGGAGCGCGAGTATTATGTGCTGAAAAACAACGGTGCAGACGGTTGTATTGTGGTTGTTTTGAGGGATTAAGGGATCGCGAGACACGTGGGAGGAAATAGGATGCCCTGGGGCATAAAACCCACTATAATGTTCGGTAAAACGAGGCTCAAATTAAAAAAAACGGAACGGCCGAAAGGTTTTGTACAAAGCTTTTTGTAGGTAGTGTTGTGAGGAGATAGTGAGTTGATTTGATTTTGCGGTCAAAAATTGTGTGGAATGGCCTGAAACGAAATGTGAAGACGTAAAAAAGTGTCGTCTTGAATTTGCTTTTGATATCGTTAGCCTTTCTTACAAAAAGATCTCTTACTGATAGACAAAAATATTAAAATTGGTGGCAAGAATACCAATCTTGTAGCCAAACTTTGTAGCCACAACTGATTCTAAAATGTTTTCTGTCACGCTCTAGTTTGTCGGCTTTATTTGTGGCCTGACGCCGAGTATTTACGCAAAAATTACTTGTTTTTATTGTTATGATTGTCTTAAAATGGCACAGACGGTTTCTGTCGCTTTAAATATTGTCATAATAAGAATGTTGGTGTGAAGAGGCTGTATTAGCTTTTGGCTAACGTCTAGTGTACAGGGTGCGACAAAAGTCCCCGGACAAACTTTTTTGTATATATTAAGAAAATTTTTTGATCAAGCATCTCTAGCTAGAGTATTTGAGATTTGGAGCAACTTGTTGTGGAGGGGTTGAGCTTTGGGTTAAATAGTTGGGGAAGCTAGAGGAAGGGTGTTTTTAGTTGTGTTTTACTCGACATCTTATTCTTGCGATTTATCTTCTACTTTTTTATTTCATATCGCTTGTATTAATACAAAAGTTTTGTCGTTTTTGAACTTTCAAAACACAGCAAATTGACGACAAGACTTTTCTGACACTAATATTATAATACCACAAATTAGTCATGATTTCGTCTCAATTAGCACAAAACATGCTTAAAACCCCTTCTCTGATTCCATCTTGACGTGCATCTGTTGTGGCCAAACGTCTCAATTCGCTTAATTCGGTTAGTCACCACCATGCCTCGAGGGCGTTTAATCATAATGCGAAACTAATTACTTATGCCTGATTATTTATTCGCCAAACATTTGTTTTAGAGATTTTTAAATTAAAATTCGGTGTTGTCCCGGGAACGCTGCGCGAAGTGGTTGGGCCGCTTCGCTCCCCAACTGGCATTACTGCGCCCCACTGACCGCCGAAAGTAATTTTCCTGTTTCCGACAAAGCCATTAAATTTTAAAGGCCTTTAATTAGATGTTGATGATTGCATTACAAGGAAACTGTTTTTGGGGTTCTATTTTGGCGAAGGGGTGATAGGATGGTGCACAAGTTTGGGGAATTTCTTTTCATTTTTTGTCGGTAATTGCTGATTTTTATGTACCACAACGTCCTATATTAACTTCTTAAGCTTAAATGGATGTTACTTTGTATGATCAGTCTTCCTGATGGGGCAGGGTGTTTGATCCTGGGATGGTTAATGTAGTTTTTTGTGTTTTAAAAGGCCTCTCATATGGCGCTTTTTAGTTTTTCGGCAAAAATTAACAAATGAAAGTCTTCTTTTCAAACTTTTTTAGTTCCAAAGAAAAAGTCGCTTTTGGGCACGGTAGATCGATTTTAAGGTTTTACCTGTTTTTTGGTGTGGTGGCTTATTTTTAGGCTTAGATCGATGTTTTAATCTCTAAAATATGGTTTCGTTTTTGTGCACTAACCTAACCTTCTATTCCTTCTACTTTATCATATTCTATCTTACTTTACTGTGTTTTGTTTTCTTTTTCTACCGACCATTGATTTTGCATACCTTTTGCCATTTTCCTTTATTTTCCAATTTTTTTCTCGTAAGTTTCGAAAAATTGTTTTCCGTCTCGCGCATTCGGTTCAAACCCTCCGCGAGCAGTCCGGGCCGAGCCCTGTAACTAAATTTGGGACACAAGTGACATTTAAGGCTTCAAGGCGTTGTTCCGGCGTCAGGAGTGCGCAGAGATCCCCGAGAGCCGGGGGCTTTCCCATTTTCAGGCCTGCGGGGCTTAAGGGGCATTTTGTCTTTTTCCCTATCCTGGGGCTTTCTTTCGTCGAAGATCCTTCTTTTTTGTTTGTTGGGTTTTGTGGCCGGATTCTGGGGCTTTGTTGGTGAGGAGCTTGAGCTTTCTTCGGTGAAGATTCGGGGGTTTTCTCTGGTTTTTGAGGAGATACACTTGATTTTTGATGCTTTTTTTATTGTTAACTTGTCTTTTTGGATGAGTTGTGGGAAGAATGATAAGAACGTTGCAAAATTCTTTTAAGGAGACTACATTGAATCTTTTTAAGTCATTTTATGGCCAGTTCATCAATAATTTTGTATCTTTTCATCGCTTTCCACCGGTAATTCTAAGCCTCTACCCTCGCGCAAAACAGGATCGTAGACTTTTATGGAAAAGAATAGGGAAACGAACCCTGAAGGCAGGACGCGGAGCGGGGTGGAGGCGGACGTATTCAGCCCTCCGGCCTCCTCGACCTGTCCCTTTTTTGTGTTTTCGCGCGACTTCGGACAATGACTTGGCCTTTTCCCTTAATTAGATCGTTTTCTCTGCGTCCAATTTGCCCACGGGTTCGTTTTACTGGTGACTTTGTCTATGACATGTGTGGCCTCTAATTATCCACCCCACTCAATAACGAGCCCATGATTTGGGCCCCAAGAAACGGACGGGTAAAGACGCCAATTACGGCTTATACCTTTTCGGGAATTAGCTAATGAGGATTGTTGACGGAACTGCTGTTATAGATTGTCATAAACTGATGGATTTGGGGTCATTTCTTTTCGTAATTATTTTTTTGGCAGGGTAGTTCTTAAGGCATTGGGAGGGTACCTAAAGTTCGGTTTTTTTTTCATTTTTTAATTATTGGTTTATTGTTTATCTATTAAAATATTTATTTTTATTACCCAGTTAAATACTTTTTTGGATTTTTCTTTTCCCGCCAAACACCTATTTCAAAAAAATTTAAAAACAAACATTTAAGCCCGTAATTACCGCAATCCCTGGTTTCAGACAACCCACGTACCTCAATCACTCCACAGTCACCGGATCAGCGTTGACTCTGCTCACGAACTACAGTAGTTCGGGCTCTTCGTCTCTCGTCTCCTCCAACCCATCATCGGCCCAAAATACGACCGCACAGTGTTCGCAGATCCCTTCGCTGAACCACGAATTCACCTCCACCTCACCCACGCCTCCATTGTCGGCACGATCGACGGAATCTCGAGCTCAGCCGACGTCTGAAGAGATGACTAATCGGCTGCGGAGGCCGTTGTCGGCGATCGGAAGTCTGATGAGCGCTTCACAGTCGGCCGAAAATGGCTCACAGTCGTCGCACGACGAACCTGGAGATGTGCTGACGACGGAAGGACTCTCCAAGAATCTCAGGTTTAGTCCGTCAAAGTTTAGAAGGGTAAGGCTTTGAGTATTTCGGGGTGAAAATGCTCCCTTCATCCTCTTCTGGCTAGATTAAAACTTCTCTTAAATTTTGAATTATAATAACTTTTTTACCAAAACTTAACTTACAATAATATAACATAATACACCACCAATCTTCCAGTTATTCCAACGAAACGCCGGCTCCGAATCCTCGGCTTCGACGGACGAAAAGGCGTCGAAGAAGCAACTGCAACGCTCGTCCACTGTGGATGGAGGTAAGCGACAGTTATTTCGGGCGTTTAATCCTTGCGGATTAAGCGTGTACTTTCCCGGTTTGTTTCCCTTATTTTGTCAAGTGTGTGTTGTCAAGTGGTTGTAAATTTAGTTTCCAAACCGGAAGTGGTGCCGGCGTCCGAGTTGAACGGCTTCACGTCCTACATCAAGGTGCCGGACATTAATGCCAACAACGTCGGAGGGGACAGTCCCAAGCTTGGTGTCAGGAATCAGAGTCTTGAGGAAAGAGATCGGAATCACGAAGGAAGGAATCAGAACGTTGAGGTGAAGAATCAGAAGTTTGTAAATGATTTGAATTTTATCGTTAGCAATCAAAGTCGAAGCCTCAAAAATCAACCTTCCGTCAACAATCAGAATTCGAAAAATCAAAATCCACTCCAGAAGAACCAAAACCTCTCCGTCAAAAGTCTGAATCTCACTGTAAAGGACTCGAACGTCGACAATAATCGTCTGACGGTCAACAATTTCGAATTCGACCGAAAACCTCGGAAGCCCCACAAAAGTCATTCTGTCGAGTCGATCGGTGACATTCAGATGACACCGCGCATTGAGCAAGTAGCACAGGACGATGAGAATCAGAAGCCGATCGAGCGAGGACGTCAAAGCCGAATGAAACGCTTCACTCACCGTTGCAAGGAATTGACTACAAAAGCCAGAAGACGCGGCCATTCTATGACTCCACGCATCAGTAAGTGGTGTTGTAACTCTGTAGTATAAGGTTGTTACTATGTGAACAGGTGTAAATGTTGTTATTTAGACTTAGTTTCAGGATCTCCAACCTCATCGGCTCCACATTCGCCTTCTGACCTATCGTACACAAGTGAATGCAAGAATGACGATGATATTCCCTCATTTTTAAGAGTCTGTGTTCAACATATTGAAAGGGTAAGTTGAGTTTACATTGTAAAAGTATACACTGAAATAAAAATGTGATTATTTTGAAGTCACGTATTACTTTTAGGTAACAAAAGTTTCTTTTTTATTTGAAAAATGATTGTTTTGAAGCTGAAAATTACAATTTTTAGCAAAAAAAATTTTATAGCTTAAAAGCAGCGTACATCAGCTAAACCTTTACATTTACAGGTTGGAGGCTTAGACACCGAAGGTCTGTACCGTACATCTGGAAATCAAGCCGAAGCCAACGAACTCGAAGCCCATTTCCGACGTACTGGACAGTTCAAACCCGACGCCGAACTCTCCAGTGCTGTAACAGCTCTCAAGAACTACGTCAACGCCTTTGCCGAGCCTTTGATCCCTACCCGACTTCACGAAGAGATCATCAACATCTTCTCGGACCGTGACGATGTCTACGATTCTCGGCCGTTGGAAACCAAATCTCTGGATCGCCTAAGGCGTTTGTTTGAACGAGAACTGCCTCGAGTCAATGCTCGCACTTTGATGTTCCTCTGTGCCCATCTGTGTCGTGTAGCCGACAATCGTGCTCGGAACCTGATGCCAACTAGTAATTTGGCCCTGATCTGGAGCGCCAGTATTTTCCGACCAGAACTGACGAGTGTCAGCAAATCAGCCTCATTGCTGGCCAGATACCACGTGGCGTGCTATTTCTGCATCAAACATCATCACATCCTGTTCTCTCTTCCTCCATAACCTTATTGATCTCCACGTCTTGTTCACGGTATTCGACTGCCAGACATGTTTCACATGGTCTTTAGGTTCAACAAGATATTAACTTTGATTAGATGATGTTGTTTTTGGGTCAAAAAGGTGTTGTTCCTCAAGAAAAGGATGGGAAACGATATTACTTTTACGAACATATTCTAAAATATGATAGATTTTACCTCAAAACACACTAATTTTATTGTAGAAGGTCTCAAAAGTAGTAAAAATTATATTAAAGTAGGTGAAATCGAGTATAAAGTAGTCAAAAATGAGATTAAAATATTAAAAACAGGTTTCAAAATAGTAAAAAACTATCTACATAGTATGATTTTTATGTTTTTCTCCTAAATCCCAATACTTTTTGATCAAAACGTACCTAAATGTAACACAACATCTATATTATACTTCACCAGCGCTGCTCAGCCCCTTTCCAGGTATTCGATTCAATGGATATAACAACCTTTTTTAATTTATATATTGGATTACGGTGCTTTTGTCTAGTCGGGTCTCTCATTTTTCTATTCCACTGTGCCAAAATTACTCTACAATAATGTGCCGCCGTGCTCGAGGTGACCTAACATGTCATTTTTAAACGAAAAAGAAGCAAACCGTCATAACTTTTGACAAAATAAGTTTAAAGTTGCAAATTAAAGTAGTAAAAGCAAGGTATTATCGGCAAAGAAGGTCCCACATGGCGGCACATTGTCTGTCTTTCTAACTGTTTGTAATATAATGTTAATGAATAAAATGCCTCCGGTTCTAATCGAAATTACAGTCTAAGTCGCACTTTTAAACAGTCTTCTCTTACAGTTATAAAATCTGTATAATAAAGCATAATCTTAATTATTTTCGGCATCTTATCTTTGATTAGTTATATTGAGAAGAAGTTATTATTATATAAAAAGCGAGATTAATAGGAAAAACAAAGTTTTGCTAAAATGTAATTGATATTTTGATAATTTAAACTATTATGATACAAATAATATAAAATATGAAAATAAACATGATGGCGACGTATTTTACAAACATTTTTGACCGGCATGGAATTTTTTAAACCGGAAAATTTTGTGTTCTTCAGGTTTTTGGTCAAAGACGAAGAATTCGGCCAGATTTCGATAAGGATTTCATAGATACATTGAGGTAAGACATTTTTCTTTAGTTTAAAGTATTTTTAGGTAATAAAGAGTTTGGTTAACAAACACCAAAAATTTAAGGAAAAATATTGTGTTTTCATGAAATTTAGGTAATGATATCTTTAAAAATAAATTAGTTATAAAAAAAATAAATGCTTACTTCTTTTCGTAACCGTTTTTAATGTACCTACAAAAAGTTGAATAAAAATTCATAACGAGAAAGAAATGTAGTTTTGAAAAAACCATTTTTAAATAACTATCTAGTGTAATATAGCATTTTTCCTATTTTTTAGATGCCTCCTTCAAAACGAAAGAAATCATGTTTGTTAAACTTAGCCAAAGCTAACCTAGTTAATCCGAATAGAAAGAAAAAGTTACGTTCAGGCAGCTCAACAAGACAGGATCTGAATGTAAAGCCAGATAAGATACAAAGCACCAAACACAGATGAACGCACCGAATCAAGACCAATAATATATTTAGATCCACAACATAGATTACAGGAGTGGAGAAAAAGCCAAAAAGAACTAAAGGAAAAGCGGAAAAACCGGAGTAAATTTGATGTTATACATGATGATACGCAATTACATGGAGAAACGACAACTTCTACATAAGATAGCTCGGTAAAAAAGTGTTAATAAAATTTTTAAAAACGTGGCATTAATTAAATAAGTAAATGACCTTTTAAAAAATCGTTTGTGTTCAAAGATTTCAATATGAAAGTGCAAGTCAATAAGATATCTTTCTATCAATAAAGAAGCAACTCTAAACATAAACTTTGACCTCAATAAAGCTTCTCATCAGATTTTTTGAAATTTGTAAACAATTTTTGAACATTTACGGGCAGTAAACAACAAAAAATGAACGTGAATTCTTTAGCACGCTTTGAAAAATATAAAAACGTATTATTTTAGGTATAAAATTATCCTGGATACTTCAGATTACGGCATATAAAAGTATTATTTTACCCTTTAGAAGATTTTATATTGTTTTACATGTCGAATAATGTAAAGTTTGGCTTATTTTGAATAAGAAAAGCTGTTTGAGAGACCAAACATCTAGCTATCTCTGGCTCTTTGTTGTTGTTTTCTCAGTCTTTCGAAAAAATTTGTTTTTTTCTTGTTTTTGGGAGGAGAAAAGGCAGAAAATGTTCAGAATATTGAGGATGCCAACTTTAAAAATACAGGTTTTATGAATTTTATCAATTTTTAAGGTTGTCTTTGATCTGGCAAGCTATGGTACCTTGATATAGAGTATAATATTGATATATAGGACGTTTTTTGTTCAAAGTCCACAATTTACAATTGCGTTTACAGAGTAAAAAGTTGATATCTGTTTAAAGTAAAATCCTAAAGCTTTTCCAACTTTTTGTACCTTAATTACTGTTTTGAACACCGGTTCTGCGATTAAACTACAGTTTTGTTTGTTCGTACATCGCGGTTTTTTGGGATTTCTGTCCGATTTAGGTATTTAAATACTCTTTTTCAGAAATAAAACACTAGAAGTGCATTACCTACACTGCTAAAATGACTTTGAGATGGGGCATTATTGGATGTGGCTTGATCTCCCATGACTTTGTCAGAGCTTTGAGGTTTGCCAAGGAGAATCATAAGGTATGTTAATGTAATTTTGAGGTAAGACCGGTAGTGGGAAAAATTTTTTTAGGTTTGGTAATTCAAAAAAGGTATTTTCAATTTATTCAGTTTTAAAACGAAGTTAGCTAACTAGTTAGGGGCTATAATAAGTTTATACAACAGCTTGTTTTGTTTTAGGTGGTTGCTGCTGCTGCCAGCTCTTTAGAGAAGTCGCAGAACTTCTTGACAGAAATGAAAATTGATGATGGCAAAGCCTACGGTGATTATGCTGAACTGTGCAAGGATGAGAACGTTGGTAAGCTATTTTTAAACGTATTATGGAAAGTTACAAAAATTCTAATTTTGTCATTTTTAGATATTGTCTACATTGGTCTGCTGAATGATGCTCATATAACGTGGGCATTGAAGGCAATGGAAGCTGGAAAGCATGTGTTAAGCGAGAAGCCTATGGGCTTGAATGAGAAGCAAATCAAGCAAATGATCGACAAATCTCGGGAAACTAAACGGTTTTTGATGGAGGTAAGAGGAAGTGATATTTTAGGTATCATCTTAGAGGAAAGGATATTTTAGGGACTATCACACAGTAAAGATTTATTTTTGTTGTCGTGTTGTTTACTTATATTTGATATAAAATTTACATTTAGGCTAAATTTATTACTTTAAAAGCTACATTTAGGCCGTATGGTCCAGATTCTTTCCTCTCTGGCTGGAAATCAAGAACAAGATCCATGACAAGCATTTAGGCGAACTGAAAGTGGTCGATATCAGTTTCGGTCAAGATTTACCGGAAACTCGAAGAGATACGACTAAGGGCGAAACTCCACTGTACGATATTGGTATATACACGGTAGTTTTGGCTTTATACGCTTTTGATGACGAACGACCAGAAGCGGTACAAGCTTTTGGAGAAGTGAACGACAAAGGGGTGGATCAGTGGGGAAACATTACACTCAAGTTTAGTAAGGGAAGACACGCGATCTTGTACTTTAACGGCAATACAAAGCTGTTGAATCAAGGAACGTTGAGCTTTGAAAAGGGAAATATTACGGTAGGTTTGCTGTATTTAGTAAGTCAGAGTAATTAAACTTTTAAAAAATATGGGTATTGTTTCAAAAACTTTGAAAAGTATAGATTTTGCTACCATAATATTTTCAAAAATTTGAAATATTACCTATTTTGGTACGAAAAACTAATAAATGCAATTCCAGTTCCCACAGTACTTCTGGAGTCCTCTTGAATACCATGAAGTTAGAGGTGAACTAACGCCTACAAAAGGTGAAAAGAAGGTGTGCACTTACGAGTTGCCAGACGATGACAGTAAATACAATTTCATCAACAGTGCTGGTCTTCACTTTGAAGCTGATCATGCTTACAAGCGCATTCAAGAGGGTATGATTTTGGATTTTGTGGAAAAAAGTTATTTTAGGTAAAAGCTTAAAAGGTAACTAAATGTTTTGAACGAAAAAGAGTAAATTTCATAAGTTTTGTTTCAAAAGGCTAAAATAAGACTAAAATATTTTCAAAATGACACAAAGTAAACGTAAAACCTCAAAAATTACGTTTCAAATACATCAAAATGCACTCGGATTAACGTGGATCGTTACCCAATGTTTTAGGTGAGATCGAGAGTGACATCATGAGCCACGCACACTCGCTGAATCTGCACGAAACGCTCTACAGAATCCGCAAGGAGCTGGGCGTCTCCTTCCCACAAGACTAAAGTAGTCTGATGTTTATAAATCAGGACTGACTTTCAGTCCAGTCTGTTATATCTAATATTGGTATAACAGACTGGAAACAGTCTGATATTTATGTAACAAAAGTGATGTAGTTTGTTATTTATGTAACGACAATGATGTAGTTTAATATTTAAGAAATGCGACTGAATCAGTGTGATATTTATATAAACTATTATCAAAATTTGAGCAAAAGACAGTTTATTGTCTAATAAACGATCGTTCTGGTGTTTCAACAATTTAAAAACGAAATCTGACTCATTTTCCCTAAAAACTCTAGCTTTTCCCTTAAAAAACCTGCAGTTGCTAAGCGTTTTCCACTCGTTTTGGGGACAAGACTTTCCCTTGTTTCGACGCCAAAGGTCATCTCAATCCTCGCGACTGTCTGGCCCCTATTTTCGGTGGCCAGATCGGATGCGAGTCGGGTTCAACTCACTTTATATTAATATTTACGCAACGGGTCTTACTCATTTTTCCGGGTTTTTGTTTGCGAACTGTCGAGGATTGAGAACTGAGACTGTTTCTTGACTTTTGAGGTCACAAAGTAGTGTTAGATGTTTTGGAAGACTTGAAAAGAGGTGTTTTTAGGTTTAGTAAGGGTATTTATTACCTAAAAAATCCAAAAAGAAGGTGGATTAGGGAATTTAGGGTTTTAACAAGCTTTGTCGATAAATTATATTGTTTTTCACGTTTAAAACTGGATTTTTTAGGTATAACTTATTATGACAGCCATTTTCGTAAAGTAGAAACTGTACTTTCGAAAAAAATGGGTTTAGAAATTAGAATGAAAGGCGACTGCTCGACCTCCTGGAAGATCGCTTGCTTGCTCCTTTTCTTCCCTTCGGCTTTCTCAATTTCCTGAACTTTTAGATATAGGTCAGTTCGATCGCTTTCATCCCAATTATTAATTTTTTATTGAATTTCAAACAAGTTCAAGAGGTTTTCTGTAAATTAATATTGAGGGTGGATCTCTTTGAAATTATGAATAGTTGTTCAGGTTACTACGAGATTCTGTGGTCCTAACTCCGCAAATTTGCTTCGGAAATGGTCACAGAATTATTTGAACGACCTAATATGTACTTCCAGTTTGATTTACTTTATATTGTTTGTTAAAACATGCAGTGAACTTGAATAAGGAAGTCTTATCATATTTGCGACCCTGTTTCACTAATACTGGGCCATTGTTTATACTTTTGTTTATTTTTTAATTTGTCATAGTTTTTTGTTATCTATGTTGAAGCTAAAGTAACGGCGCCATAAAATCTCTCAAAACTCGATTTTTCTGTAACTCGCGGCATTATTTTTGCATCAACGTTAGAAAGAAGTAACAACAACAAGCTTTGACTGTTGTTCTCGTCTTGTTGGTGCAAAAAGAATGGCCCTTTGAAAATTTCTTGGTACAAAAAGAATGGCGCTTCGTAATTTTTTTGATGCGAAAAGAATGACGCTTTTAATTTTTTTGATTTAAAAATAATGTCGTTTTCTAAAGCTATATATAAAGTCTAGATCAACATGATCATTTTCCTTTGCATTGAACTTTTTATCCATTGTGTCATCGCTGACCAATAAATTATAGAGTTTTTGTTGAGTATTGTAACGTCAAACTGGGCTGATTTTACCTGTTTTGTAAAATATGGGGGTATTTTTTGGGTTTTGTCTAGTTTAAGTTCCGGTTGTCAAAAGGTTCTCTGACTTTGTGGAGTTTACTAATAAATTATTCAGGGGGATTTTCGTTTTAATCATTTAATAATTGTACTTTTCTGCTGAAATACCGTTGCAAATTGACTTGATTATATTAATGTGCATGGTAAACTTAGGAGAGTGAACAACTAACTTTTAAAGAGAACAGACTTTGTTGTTACATAGCATGTTTTATTCAAAAAAACTATTTTTTTGGCCAATTTATAATTTTTTGTAAATTCATTTTTGAATTTTTGGCTTTTGAAAAAGAGAAAATGATATTTTTTACCCGAAAATTATGTTTTTGGTGGTTCAAGTGGGATGTTATGAACTATGATTGGTTTTTGCGTGCTTTCGCAGTATTTTAACCTTGTCTTGCCAACCTAATAACCAATATTCACTTTCAGGAAAAAATGGTCCTCTGATAACGAAATAACGATATCAGAAACATTTTTTGATGGAACCTACAACCTATCAGCGCTTCTGGAATCATTCGATTTGGTAAGATTATATTTGAAAGAGTGTCTGAAAGTTCGTTTTTCTAGACTGGTGCGAAAAGAATGGCGTGGCAGTTTTGTTTTATGATCTAGATCTGTTCTTCATGATCTACGCTTCTTTCTATATGAAATTTTTTCAGGCTTCCCATCTCCTACACTTGGGATGACGTTCCAACAGTACCATCGCAACTTCTGACAGCCGTCTACCTGGCCCCATTCGTCTTTTGCATCAGAATCTTATCAGAAGCCTTTATTGGGTTGGGAATTGGCAAACTACTTGGATACCAACGGAAACCATACTTATCTTCAGCATATCATCACATCACGGGCGGATTCTTAAAATGTAGCAGATCAAAGAAGATTCTGGAGACCTTTTGGAGATTCATATCGTACACGTTCTTGTTCGCATTCGGTGTCTACGCTTTGCACGACAAAAGCTGGTTGTACGATGTTCGACAAGGATTCATATCATATCCAAAACATGAAGTCGACACCATCATCTACTGGTACTACATGATCGAGTGTAGCTTCTACATATCATTGTTGGCCGCCTCGCCCTTCGATGCTCAGCGATCGGATGCCTGGCAAATGTTTGTACATCATCTCATCACCATCGGACTGATTGTATTCAGCTGGACTGTCAATTTTGTTCGAGTTGGTACACTGGTACTGATCTCACATGACGTTAGTGACATATTCTTGGAAGCTTGTAAATTGGTACGGTACACGAAGAAGTATCTGGAGCTGAGTAATGCGTTATTCATTGTCTTCTTTATATCGTAAGTTAATTTTTTTAATGGTTTATGTTGGTTTTGAGATGTGGGTGAGATTAAAAGACTGGTTTATATAATGAATCTTTCATTCATTCATTTTTGGAAAAAAAGTTATATTTATTACCTAAAATATGGGTTTTACTTGAACGTTGTTGTAATTTCTTGGTTGAAAATTCAATTTTGTTTACTTTTTTCAAATTTTAAATAAAGTACTTTTAGCTGGATTATTTCCCGCCTCATCTACTTCCCAGTATTCGTTGTATACACCGGGGTAGCCGAAGGACCAGCTCTAATTCAACCAGATTATCCTGTATGGAACTTTACTGTAAAACCATATGCCCCGAGAGTAATATTGATGTTGCTCATTGGGCTAATGCTGTTACACATCTTCTGGACCGTCCTCATCTTCCGGATAGTGGTAAAAGCGCTGAAAGAAGGCGAAGCATCCGACATTCGATCGGATTCAGAAGAAAGCGACGATGAAGACGATAGCAACGGGAATCGACGGAAAAAACTCAAGAAGACATAAGAATTGATAGTATTTAAATAGTATTGCATAATCATGTAATAAATTGTTGTTATATAGTTTTAGATCGATTCGTGTTGTAAAAAAAGCTTGAAAATATGACATTAATATTGTTTTTCATCGAGTTTGGGCTTTTTAAACTGCTTTCCATATTGTTTTACACTGACTATTTACTCGCACTGCAATATAAAACTAAAATGAGTTTAATATCCGTCTATATCGGTCGTCCGAATATACCTTCTATACCTTTTCGTATGATCTCAATACAAAACTGTAACTAAAATTTAACATAAAACCTCAATTTATTAATTATTTAAAAAAAGACGGAACTAACGACTAGATCTATGTAAAACTGTCGTTCCTTTTCTGTCATGAGATCCACCAGCTCTTGATTCAAGTCTTCAAACCTCAACTGTCGACCCTGTACCGCGACGAAGAGATCTTCATCTAGCTGTGTTCCGTTCTTTTCGAACCCGTTTTGTTGTGTTTCTACATCGTGATTGTTCTCTTCACCCGATACTGAAAGGTACTGATAGTAAATTATCGTCTACTAATACTTTTTCTTTTATAAGGTACAATTAACAAAATAGCTATTGATCATCCCTGTGAAACTCTAAAACAATATTTTTAAAATCTTTTTTTCATTTTTCTTTAAAAATTTCATTGTGCCAATATTAAACATAACATCATTAAACACAGTAGCAAAAAATTAAGAAGAAACCATAATATTAACGTATAACATACCGGAATGATTTATACTTCTAGCTGGACTGCTATTTTCTGTGTGAAGCTCTTTGACGCCTTCGGTGTTATGTAGTAATGTGCCTATGTCTATTGTAGCAGCTTCTCCCAAGAACTGTGCCAATAACGATTCTTCATCCGCATGCTTCTCCTCATGTAATGACGAACCGTTCAGTGCTGACATCGATGGTTCTAAAAATAATCCTTTTAGTAACCAAACCTTTTACTTATTAAATTTATATTCATTTAAATAACAGTTCTCTGCATATATAAACAAAAACTTTAACAAGCTAAAACCATGATAATTTAGAAATAACGTTACCTTCTAAGCCATTAAGAACAGCTTCTTCGTGAGTATTATGCTGTAACCAAGGTACTTTCTCTTTGCTTTCCACTTGAATCTCTTGCCGTTCTCCTATCGATACCATAATGCCATTACCATACAAATCAGAACGAGTCTTCTCGGCATTCGAAAACATACGAGCACCAACCTGAAACATACAGTATAATATGGAATAACTTATAAAACGATATATCGTGCATTATTTAAGCTCATCATCATCACGATAAGTGATAACGAACTGGAATTTTACAAATTACCACAAAAATATAAAACCTTGAATTTAGGTACCAACAAAAAAGTTTGATTCTTACAGAATTTTCATCAACTAATACCTAAAAGTATAAAAAAATAGATAACAACAGAAATTACCTGCAAAGCATTGCCATTTCGTTCCGCTTCTTGTGGTTCGTCTTTCGTTATAATGATTGGAGGTTCCAGAATCTGCCTGGCAAATCTAATACCATCCAACTGTTGTAACATAGAAAATATAGCAGCCATTTCATCGTTAAACTTTGCCAAAGAAGACCGTGTTTCTTCTGAAGGCCCAGCTGTTTCATCAGGCACTACTTGACCATTACATTGCCAACACCTGCAAAGCATGCACTTTTTAGTAAAAAAACTAATAAAAAAAGCAAAACAAAAAATATAAACTTTGGAGTAAACAAGAAGATCATATTCACCTAATAGTAAGCCGTATCTACTCGTTTTCCAATAAAAAACCTAAAATTTAAAGAAAAACCAAATTTAAAATCAAACCAATGCCTACATCAATTCTCCAGTCTCCATATTCATTATCCTTTGCACATCCAACGCATCATAACACCTCTTGCATGTAGAACATACGTAAGAAGCCTTCTGTACATGAGTTTGTTCTCTATGCTCCAACCTTTGCCTCATATGATCTATCTTGTACTTCGTAACGTTCAATATAGCCTTATAGTTAACATGGTAGTAGTTCACTTTACGAGACCTTCCATCTGTCTCTTCTGCTATCGTCCGTTCTTTGAGGAACTTATCTACCTAAATTAAGAAAAAAAATAGCCAAAATTTTGCCTCCGACGTTTTTATAGACCATTCCAGCAAATGTTAACTTTAATCTTACTAAAAAACTAGAAAATGTTAAAATTTAAGATATTGTATCCTTCATAAACATATTTTAACGTTAAGAGAAACAGAAGCGAATTGTTACCTTTAGTGTTACTATAAGCCCTCTCAACGTCTTTGGCTCCAACTTTAAGATGTCACGAAGCCGATCTTCTTTTACACAACCCAACTTCTGCACGTAATCGAGGACAACATAATGTGGCAGAGTGTAGAAAGTTTTGGTTAACAACAAACACAGATTCTTCAAATTCTCCGGAATTTCAGTTATTATCGTCGATCCTTCGCCACCGTCCATTAGGACATATTACCCGTTATTGTAAATTAATTAACTATAACAAAAATAACAATATAATTTAATATTAATAATCAGTACGCATAAGCATAAGACAACAAAAAAAAGTTTTTTCCAAAAATTATTTTTTTTAAAAATAAATATTTCAGCTCCCGCCGCGAAAACCCTGAGCTTTCAGGTGAAAGGCGGTCGCGTATTCTTGACTTTTTTGCATCGATTTTCGCGTCTAAAAATTGTGTCCGAAGCTTTTTCCAAGCCCACAATAATCAAAGTTACAACAAAAATATCGTAATCTTGTTTTAGAGTCTTCAGAACATGTCTTTTGGACAAAAACCAGCGGCCTGGGGTCGACAACCAGGTAAGAGTCTCGTCGGCCCAGCCATTAATAGCTACCTTTATTTTTAACCTTATGTTTTTCTTTCTTAGCGCCACAGAATCAGCAACTGAATCCGAATCTGTTCGCGAATCCGCTTGGTGCTCAATTGGGACAACAGTTCGGTGGCCAAGTGAATCCAATGCAGTTGGGCAACATCAATGCATTAGTGAATCCGGCCGCGTTCGGCGGCAATATCAATAACTTGAACATGATCGCTCAAGCTCGTCAGCTGATGCCTCCACAGCAACAGCCACCACAACAACAACAGGGTCGAGCATCCAGTCCTCAAGGGGCGAAACAGCCGAACCAGCGAACATTTGTCGGTACAGTGACAAAGATGATGGAAACTTATGGATTCATCGACGAGGACGTATTCTTTCAAACTAGGTATATAGAAAAGTAAAAATAAGAGTCTTGTTTAGTGTTATAAGAGGTCCACCACCGAGAATTGGAGATCGTGTCATGGTAGACGCCACCTTCAATCCTTCTATGCCCTTCAAGTGGAATGGGTATCGAGTTCAGTTGATTCAGGACGCTGCTCCTTCTATTCAACCTCCGAGTCGTGAGCATGGGCGTTGGGAAGGTAATGATCGCCCAGCTCGTGAGGAACATCGTTCATCTGATCGTCGTCAAGGCTCTCGTCGGTCACCGGCAAGAAGAGAACGTTCGCCAGTTAGAAGATCACCCCAAGTTCGGAAGGAACGGTCTCCAGCTCTAAAACGAGCTTCTCCAAAGCGAGAGACAGTTAAAAGGGAGAGAGAACGAAGTCCCCGGCCAAGCCGTGAGCCTAAAACTCGAACTCCAGTGCCAAGTAAAGGCAGAGATGCTGATTCTCCGCCACGCAGAAGACAGAGGATTATTCCACGATATCAGTGCTATGTTCCACGGCCATTTATTGACAGGTATTTATAATAGTTTGTTTTAGAAGTCTAGAATTTGTTACCTAATTTATTCGTCACAAGCAAAAAAAATTTAACGATAAAAAAGCTTTGAATATTTAAACAAATTTTAAAAACAATAATATACTGCATTAAAAGAAAGTAAAGATATTTTACAGAAGGTTTTTTGTTAAATGAATATATATTATACAGCATCATGCACCTTTGAAAGACATTAAATTATCTAAAATATACAATAAGAAGATTTTAGTTTTGCTCACTACACGTATCTCCACAAGCGCTACCCAAATCTCTACATCCCGTCCGACTTTGTTCGAGTTGACTTGTCTTGGCCAAAGTCGTTCAATCTTGGAGAACCGATCTCATTCGCTCCAGCCGGAGTGCCATTTAGTATTTTGAGTAAGAGTGTGGACTACCCAGGCGACGACTTGCCTTCTGAACAACCCTCGGATGCCGACTCAAAGTATCTTGTTAAAGTTTTGTTGTTATCACATCCCGGTGCTGCTTTGATTCGACAAAAGACTACGGGGCTATTGGTCGATGGTACTATAGACGAGGCTCAAGAGTGTCAAAACTTCTCAAAGGTTTTACAGTTGTTAGTTGGTAAGGAATTCAGTTTTGTTGTTTTTTTTTGTTTTTAGGTATGAACTGAGTGGTATTGCGTTTTAAAAACAAGTAGTTAATAGAAACAAATACTTGTGTCTACAATATTTACTGTCACTGTTTAGGAATGCGTGGTAAGAGTGAATTCATGGGTATTGGAGGAGCATGGAGTCCTTCTTTAGATGGAGAGGATCCTCTAGATCCTCAGACGTTGATTAACACAGCTGTTCGTACCACAAAGGCTACAACTGGTGTAGATCTGCAGAAGTGTCCAGTATGGTGAGTATAACTGAATTTTTACAAGTTAAAACGGATTTTTGGGTAACAAAGCAAAATTTTTGGGTATAAAGGACTATTAGAGGCATGGTTAACATTTTTTTTAATTGTTTTGCAATGAATTTTGTGACACTAAGGTGTAACATGTTAAAAGTTCAATTTTGTTATTGTAGGAAGAGGTTTTATATTTTGCATGTACTATCTTGTTTAAAATTTATGGTTTCACTAAAAATTTCATTATTTCACCACAATGTTAACCATGCTTTCTAAAAGCCTACTATTAATATACATTTTGTCTTACGAAAATGGTGAAATATGTAACATACGAAGATGATATGTTGGTATACGGTCATGCATTGTCATGATTTTCTCTCTCTTTGTTTTGTTCTCTGCATTCGTTATATCCACTCAGGTATCAAATGGCGCAAATTCATTACAATCGCGGCGATCGTCGGGACCTGGTCACGTTGATGTTGCCTGATGTCAGCTCGACTCCTGACCTCTGTCCCACGTCGGAAGCCTACAAAACCCTGGTGGAGGAGGTGTTGCCGGCCCAACTTCAGACTAAACTCGCTGCTATCGAGGCGGAAGAGTTCAAGCCGAGCGAAGAGCTTGTTAAGAAGCTAGGTATTGGCCAAGAGGAGAAGAAAGAAGAACAACAAGAATCAGAGAAGGCTACAGAGACAGAGAAAGCAGCAGAAGAACCGAATAATGGTGCTGGAGATGCTAATGAGACTACTCAAACTACTGCGGCCGACGATGCTACCAATGGTACCACCGAGCCCACAAATGGTACCACCGAGCCTACTAATGGTACCACTGAGGTGAAGAATGGAACCACAGAAACAGAGGTGCAGTCTTGTTCTCTCCTGAATACTTTTGGGCATTTGTTTGGTGTTTTGTGTGCTTTTTGTGTGACGTTTGTTATTAGTTCGTAACCATGTCTAGGCTAACGATAGGGCTGTGACAAAGCTTATATAAACACATAACTAAAGCTTAAATCATATCGTAGAATAATCTTTATGTTATACGATATAACTAGGTTTTATGCTGTGGTAAAGAAATGTTTTATCACTTGGTGAAACATGTTATCTTACTGTAGGGCTATGTTTTATCGTATAGTAAATAATATTAAGAACTGTTTGATTTGAGCTTTAGATGACATTACTTTTTATATATCTTTACGGGGATTTCTTGTATTATTCTTCAATTATTTTTAGTACTTTTTTCTAATTTTTGGTTTTATAGAAGGCTCCAGAAGCTGAAGAAAAGAATGGCAATGAAGAGAAAGAAGCTGAGAAGACAGACGCATCTCAAGAAAGTGAAGAACTGAAGCCAACTCATTGGTCCGAGTTGATTGTCAAGGCAATGAAAGTAGGTGTAGTTTGATATAGCATATTCATATCATCTGTCAGTTCTTGTATACCTAAACTTGCTAATAATAATAATATTTGATGTATTTCTACATTATTGTATCTAAACCTTATATTTTAGGTCGCAGACTTACGAGAAGAATTAGAGTTGAGAAAGATCGACTCCCGAGGTGTTAAGAACGCGTTAGCTCAACGGCTTCAAGAATCTCTCGATAAAGAAAAGGAGGAAGAAGAAGCTAATGCAAGTCAAGGTGATCTTATCATGACTGATGAAGTGGCCGAAGAAGCAGCTTCAGCTGAACAAAAAGAAGTTGTGGAAGAGGAAAAGAAAGAAACAGTACCAGAAGCAAAGGAAGAAGAGTTGGTTGAAAAGATGGAGACTGAAGAGCCGGTTGTCACTGTATGTTTTTGTTATTATCAGAGTGTAACATTTGTTTAACAGTAATTTCTATGTTTAATTTATGGTTAGGGGTAGGAATGCGGGAGTTGAAAATGTTTTTAGTTTGTAAAAAAAATTTTTTGTTCGAAGAATGTAGTGTTCTCAAGACGCATCTAGCGTCATTTTAAACGCAATGATTCATATTTATAATTCCAGGAAGAGCCAAAAGAAGAAAAGCCAAAGTACGAAAGTGATCCGGCCTACAAGAAGGAATTGGACACATTCGAGAAACAGAAGAAACAAAGAAAGGCAGAACTCGAGAAGCAGTACAGCTTCCCCAAAGAGCCTTCTGTTCTGGTCTACCCAAGCAAAACAGCCAAATCTGGAAAATTTACTTGCAAATTGTCTTCACTCCAAACTGTTCTGGATTACAGACACGATGACAACAAGGAGGCTAGCTTCGAAGTAAGATTTTTTGATAAATTTAATTTTTTGGTTATTTTTGATACAATTTTTACGATTTTTACTTCAAGATATTCTATATTATTAACTTTTTGAAGTTTTTAAAAATTTTGTTTTAGGTATTCGTTTTCGCCGAAGCTCTGAAAGAAGCTATTGACCGCTCAAACGCCTTTGGCGTCTTTTATTACCTTAACTCTATCTTGGACAAGGAAGGTGAAAAGACAAGACGAGATGAAGCTCTAGCCAAACCAGATGAGAAAGAAGTCAAAGCAGAAGAAGAAGAAAATAAGGATGAAAATAAAGAAGAAAAGAAGGAAGTAACAGAAGAAGGGTCGGAAAAAGAAGAGAAAGAGAAAAAGGATTCCAAGAAAGAAGATAAGAAAGATGAAAAGAAAGATGAAAAGAAGGAAGAAAAGAAAGAATCAGTTGACTTGAGAACTCAGTTTAGAGCTCTGGTTAACAATGTCAATGCTTTTCAAGTGTTCTCTCACTTTGATATCAATGGTTGTGGGTAAGGTTTTCGAATTTGTGGGCTTCTAAGTTGAATTAACTACGATTTTAATGGGAAAAAGATTTGAGAATTGATAATTAAAATTTAGACAATAATAATATCTTTTATTAAAAACTTAATTTTAGATACTTAACCGATCGTGACCTGGAAGAAGTCGTAAACTCCATTGGGTTAGACATCTCTCGTAGTTCCATCTCCAAAATTGTAAAGAAGGTTTCGTCCAGAGACCGCTTCAACTACCGTAACATTACCGACAAATGGGTCGACAAAGATGGAAATGCCAAATACATATCAGAACTGGTACCAGATGCACCATCCAGAGAAGAGTTGTACAAAACATATGTAGCTGATGTTAAAGTGTCTGACGCTACGCCAGCTTCAACCTCGACTCCAGATGTCACAGCAACTGGTGTTGTGTTCTACAAGGGGACCGTCTTGAATATTACTCAATCATTAGAGGCCAAGAAGATTGTCGAGGACGAGAGAAGCGAAGCCTTGTTGAAGATTGAACAGTTGGAGGCCAATTTGAGTAGGTTTTGCTATGTTAATATGTTGTAGCTGATTTCACTATTGGTTAAAAATTATTGGGCGCTTTTTTCAAAAATTAGGTAATATCTTGTTAAATGAAACTGTAAATGCGCAAGTTTATATTGTATATTATGATTGTTTTTTATTATTAATTGTTGTTTATAGAAAACGTCAAAGACCAAAGAGACAGGTATGACAAAAAGAGAAAGTACTTGGAAGAAGACGTCGAGAAGTACAAGAAACGATTGCATGATGCTGAGAAATGCTTAAAGGTATGAAAATTTTAAGGTTTTTCTTTTATAGATTGGCTTTACATACTTTTTTTATACTTTTTTTAATGGTTTTTGATAAAAATTATTTCTAGAATTCCCAAGATGACACTGTGCTGATGAAATCCTCTCTTCTGGACGTCAAAAAGCTAGGAGAACGTCTTCAAGGTATCGTTGATAGAGTTCTGCCTCCACCAAAGAAGGAGAAGAAGGAAGAAAAGAAAGAAAAGTCGAAAGAAGAGAAGGATGACAAAGACTCGAAGAAAGACGACAAAGAAGCAACAAAATCAGATGAAAAGTCGGATAACGCCGAGAACAATGAAGAGAACGCTTCTCAGAAAACCGAAGCCACCAACGAAGAAGCTGAAGCCCAAAATCAAAGCCTAGAATCCATGGAGATTTCAGGAGAGTTGGAAGAGAAGAAGGAGGAAGAAACCGCGGCCCAAGATGCATAGATTATCAAACTGATCAACTTTCGTTCGCATTATATTAATAAATTAATGACTTTTTTGTAAATTATCTTCAGTTATGGTTTTTATTAATAAACTTAATATCGTTATAGTGGTTAGAGGGCTAGGATATTATGTTTTTATTGTGTTTTAAAGGATGGATGGGAGATATCCGAGTTAGTGTGCTTACAAAGATGAATGTAAGACAGTTATTGTGTTTTAAGGGTTTGAGTATAATATAGTTATAGTGTTCGAAAGGTGTCTGGGCTGATATAGGTTTTATGGTCAAGATGAGCGTTTTTAGGTATATAAAAGTTAGTTTTTTTGTTAAAAATTGTGGTTTTTATATCTAAATTTGAGGTTTTCTTCTTTAAAAAAAGTTGATGATTATCATATTTTATTTTCTTGGTTACTGTAAACACTCAGAAGTCGAAAATATAGTACGTTGTAGCTGTTGACTAACTCTATAAACGAAACTTTAAGGCCTGTAAAAACTTTGAAGTTGGGTATTGCTTGAAGAGAAAATTAGTTGCCGAACTATAATATAAGCTTATATTTTTTAAAAAGGTTAAGGTAAAATAGAAAAAAAAATTCAATTACAATTTTGTTCAGCATGATCGAAAACGTATGTATGCACATTTTCAAAGCTTTTGGAGCATTATTGGTTTTTTACAAAATTTAAACTGTTTTATGTCTAAAAATGGCGTAAAAATGCAAAAACGGCATTTTAGCCAAAATCGCTTTACCGTGTGTCTTAGAACGGTACTAGCCACCGGTTTATCAAATAAAAACAGGAGGTAAATTTCTAGGACACACGGCCGTTTCAGGATGCTTCACGGTCTCAGAAATCGTCTTTTAACTTCTTACATTTCTCAAATCTTTTGAACCCTTCTTACACCCCTCAAAGCCGCAACTCCATTCCTAATCACTGACCACCTTCACTCCGACCCCCTCCACATGGTGTTTAATATATCAACCGAAGCGAGGCAAACGTTTTATAGTTGGCAAAGCGATTAAGAAGTGATTGATTTGGTTTCATAAAAAATTACTCTCCCCTCTACAGCGGCACACGAACTCTTGGCCAAGTGGATTGTTTCCTCAAGTATAACAATTCGTTTGCCCATCTTCGGCCGCTCTTTTTAACACTTCCCTCGAGGACCTTAAGGGATTGTTTCTTTAAGTACATAGTCATGTTGTCATAGGACAAGAATAGGCATTAGGCTGCGAGGAACGATGACTAACTATGTTTTTGTGCAAATTGGAAAGATTTTAATTCTGTCGCTAGACAAGGGGTAATTGGAAAAGGATTGTAGAATGGGATTTTAGATTTTAAAATAGAATTTTAAAGGTATTAAGTGATGGTAAGAGCGAGGGTATGGGATAAACAATACTATTTTTAGCTGGTTGGAGGAGAGGGGTGAAAAAATTGAAAGTTTTTTGGGAGGGGCAGGTATAACAAATTGTACCCCTCCCAAAGAAACGCCCGGTAAGTGAGTGTGGTAAATTCACTTTCTTTTCAGAACACCCCCAGGCCGGTGCGGTAATTTTGCGTTCAGAGGGGAGGGGGGTCTTTCGGAGGAGTACAATTTTTTAATTACAGTGATAGGACATGCACGGGCTCAAGAAAAGATCATTAAAACTAAGAAATCACACTTTTCCCTCCTCCCCCTCCCCCCTTCTAATTGTTTGATCAACCTTACTTATTACTTTCACTGATATTGCTAGCCAATCCAAAAAATCGGCTAAAAATGTCTAAAATACGTCAATCTAAAACTCAGAACTTGTGACTAACTTATGATGTTCTCCATCTTGCACATACCAAATTAGACGTTGTACTGTTTCCATATAATAATTATCTCGGTTTCGAGAACTGCACGCTATAACTTTCGCCGCTGACGAATCCCCCTCTTCCGAAACTGTTAATTAAGTGTCTCGGGTGTGTTGGTCAACGTTCCCAATGTTTATTTTCAATGTTCTGTTCCAATCGGAATTCTGCTTCACGGCGTTTCGCTTTTTCTTCTATCTCTGTCCCACTGTGCATCCGGATTCGTACTGTTTGGTCGAGGAAAGACAAGTCATCGAAAAGTTTTTTTGAAAGTTTGGGGCTACATTAAGAGCGTTTGAGGCTACATGTTATGACTTTGGAAGGTTGTGACTTAAAAAACGTTTAAAGGAGGGATTCTGGCTACAGGGCAGGGTCTTCGCGGTTGGATTCCTTTTGATTACTTTTGTTTCTTTCATGTTTCCGGTAAGCTCCAAAATTGTAGCAGTTATAAAGTTTTTTATTTAAGGGAGTAGTTATAATTTTTTATTCAAAGCAATAGTCAGGTTGTTTTTACAAGCGTGACGTACCACTTTAAATTGTGGTGTTTTCTTTTTAAAAGTACTTTGATTAAAACCGTTTTTTGAGCTTAAAAGCTATGGTGTATATCTTAAGATAGGAACTTTACCAGAGTTTTTTGTGGTAAATTCTCTATAGTATATCACTTTCTTCTTCAACTTTAATTGCACTTACTTTGTTAGGGGTTTTTGTAGTAGAAAGAGAAGGGGAGATAAGGAAGTGTAAGCAGTAAGAGAAGTATCAAAAATTATTTTGTCTTTGTTTTTTACTGCCCAGTAAATCCAATTTTGCAGCTTTTTTTTAATTCTTTGAATTTTTATACACGCCTTTCTTTTCCCCTACTCTATATCACCTCCTTCACCCAACTTTAATCGCCCTCCTCATTAAGCGTTGTTTACTTACAACCCTTGCCTTATTATTGGTATACAAACCCATAAAACCGTGGTTGTATATCAATATAAGCCCAACAAACCCAACCCAATTCGGTTTAGAACTTTTTAAGAACTTTGAGCCCCTTAGGGCATTGACTAAAGCCCGACCATATTTTATGTGGCCTAATCTGACTTCGAGACCTTTTAATTGGGGGTTTGAAGGCCTCTCCCTCATTAACCACTCAGTCATCTTACACCTGCCCTAATATGACATTTAAAGTCGGGTTTCCTTACACATACGGTGCGCGAGGCGATTTCCACCCTCGCCCCGCCCCCTTTTCTCTGTTTTCATGGCCCTTCCGACTGACCATTTCCAAATCGTTGGGGCCAAGGAAGGGAAGGGGAATGTTGGGGTAGGGTTTTGATGCAAATTTGCATATTATTTTGTGGGAGGGGGGGGATATTTGGAACAAAGATATTTTATGGGTGTGGTTTAGGCTTGTTTTTAAGGTAGGTCTATTGAACTTGAAACTATCAACACATATGCTTAAATTTTGACTAATATGGCTTGAAATAAGAAAGCGGTTTCTCTTTCTTATCACCCCTTTTTATCCAACATCTCCCCCCTTCTTAACATTCTAAATTATCTTCCACCTACCCCCACAAATTGATCCCTAATTGCTTCACCCCTTCCCAAAATCTCTTCCAAGAACCTTTACACATGCTCATGTTGTTGTATATAAACATGTTGTCAAGTGTGTGTATCTTGCCACTTGGCGATCACGGCGGGGCATCGGGATTCAGGGGGGGGTCTCTCCAAGCCTCAAGGACTATTAAAGGTGACTGACGTTAACGATCTCACGCAGCGCCTGACCCCCGACCGGTCGGTCACAACTTATGTTGAGTAATTGGGAAGATATGTATATATTATGTTGTGTATGACCACATAATTAGGATTTTGTGTTTATTTTTGTGTAGTTATATATTGGCATTCTTGGGTATTTTTGGAGTTAAGAATGACTTTTTTTGCCTTTAAATCAATTTTTCGTGATAATTTTCGATTCTTGGACAATTTTTTGAATTAAAAAAAAATTAAAATATTAACTTTAATTTTTTTTTAAATTTCATACCCACTTTTCTTAACTTTTTACTTTTTTCCCTTGTTATTACTTTTTCCTCCCCGCTTCCACCTTGTAAATGCCATTGTTTACCCACCGTCTGAATCGTTTATTTGTAGGACACAGCTTCACGAAAACCAAGGAACGATGACATAACGACAATGCCATGATATTGCACATATTTCTGTTACTTTTCAATCTTGTTTATGAAATAAGAGCCCAAGAGATACCTCAACATCGGCCGACGATTCGAGTACTCAATGGTACCAGTATTGAGTTGGGCTGTGAGCCAGCTGAGATGCTGGTCCGAACTCATATGGCACCGGACTTTGAGAATCCACAGTTAGTGAGGAGGCTGGATTGGTTTCATGATGATTCGCTGGTGGCTAGCTATCAACAGGTCGGTTTTTTTTAGACGGTTGAGGGGGGGGTTGTTTTATATGTTATGGATTTTAGATTTCTTATCCATTTCTGTGGTTTTAAAATTTGGTACAACCAAAAAAAATTAATTTTTAAAATTTTTGAATAACAAATCAACAGAAGGGACCACGTTCACTTTACTAAAAATGAGGTTAAGCTTATCACCTTTTACACATCTCGTCACCTTCTACCCCACTCTTCCCTCAAGATCTTCAACTTTCACCCCACTCCTGCCCACCCACTGTTAAGCCTAACATCTCGGTTTCCACGAGCAATTCCCGGCCAAAAATTCCAAACTTTTAATGGAATCTAATCCTTCCGGCTCTAAATGCGTCTTCATTTGCATATGAAAGCAAACTTTTTTTGCGAGCTGGCGGTGCGTGTCGGCCTGGGAACAAGAATGCTGCAACATTGCACCAAAAAACACATAAGGGGGGGGTCGGGTTTCGTGTCGATCGTCGGAATAATTCATATAGCATTAAGTGTAGGCAAGTGTAGCACGAAGTGTGTAAGAAAAGTGAAGGAATACATTTGGGAGACAAATAGAGGGTTTGCATGATTTGTCTGGAGTTGTTTCTACTTTTAAGTGACCAGAGAAGGTCGAATGCATGCTTAAAGAATATGAAAGTAGCGCAGAACAAGAAGAGAATATTAGGCTATACTGTAATGTAATGGCTTTTACAAAGCATTTTAATGCAAGATTTAAAAAAAAATAATTTCAATGCAAACGATGTTCAACTTATCTTAATTTAGCCCTTCCTCTGTCGTTACATTTTAAAATTTTTCAATTTTCCAAATTTCAAAGACCTATTCAGAAGACATGCTTATCAAAATCCAAAAGCATATTATCTACACTTTCAAATCCAATAAACCCCTCCTTTTTGTGTTGTTGTTGAAATGCGCTTTTATGCTGTTATTTCGAGCTCGTTTTAACACTTTTCTTCCGCACCTGCTTTCGCGCACTACGCTCGTTTAGCCATCTCCCTAAGGGCATTCGGCCCGACGAAATGCGCGTTCAAGGCGGAAAATTGTTGCGGTCATTTGGAGCAAAAAAAAAGAAAATTGCGGTTTAAAGTGGAAAATTATAAAAGATTTTGAGCTCGAAGATAGAGCATAGTAAGGTCAATAACAACATAGTAAAAAACGTTTAAAAAATTTTTGATAATTTCATTTTTGGACAAAAAATGTGATTTTGAGTCGAAGTCCGGCTTTGATATGCATGTCTTTTTAAATTCATAACTATGTGAAAATTGTTACCTAAAATCTGAAACTTGACTTACAGTGGCACGACAGACTGGCCTTTCGTCTTGTTTAGTTTCAGAAGCATAGCTGTTGTTTTGATTATGTTGCTATGCTTTACACTTTCACTTTTACAAAAACTTAGGCAGATTTCCTTTTCCAAACTGATAAGACTGTCATTTCCATCTTTTATATACCTATTCATCTACCAAACGCATCAATATTACTATACTAATCAAGAAAAGAAGATACGCCAAACTCAGAGAATATGTAATAACATACATAGTAAGATATCGTATGTCTATATGTAGTAACATAGTAAGAGACATAAGGAAATACATATGTAAAAACATAGTAAGAGAGACTACATCTATAACATAGTAACAGACACTACAGATAAAGCAACATAGGAAAAGACGCTACACCTAAAACAACATAGTAAGAGACAGTGGACGTGTACATGACATGTCCACAACAAAATGACATACGACCACGAAAAAAAGACTGTTTTAATTGGCAAATAATTATCGACGGCCAAAATTCGCCCCATTCTAATTAATATATCATCCGAGGAGAAAGGGGGGTTTGTGTACATCATCGTATGTTCGGAGCGGAACTGGCAGCAGGCGTGGTATTACTTTACCTAATAAGACGAAACGGGCAAAACATACGTTAGAAATGCAAAAAGTCGCATCAGGAATGGCATATGAAACCAAACAATATTTGGGTGAGGTATAGTGGGTTGGAGGGATGTATTGAGGAGGTATAGACAATAGTTTAACGTAGTGGCGGGAAATTGATCACAGTAGTATGTCGAGACATCCTGACCCAATATCTGCTACAATATACAGTAAAAAACAAGCTTTTAGTAGCTAAAATCAAGAAAAATGAACATACCAAGCATAACTATCAAACCAAGTGAAAATACCTAAAATTTCAATCAAAACCCCTTAAATTATTACCTAAAAACAAAAAACATACCATAATGTGCCACAGTATCAAATGAACTAAAACATCAAATAACTATACCATTTCAGGACGTCGTAACTGACCTAAGTCGCCAGTGGTGGGTCGCTGGTGCCAGATACGAACTGAAGAAACCTTTCTACGACCTCAGGATACATCCTTCGTTGCCAGAAGACTCGGGTATTTACAGATGTCGGCTAGAAACTGATCCACTGTTCGCTGACGATGAAACAGGCATCAACATTCCGGTTTTGGTCATGGGTAAGATCCTTTTTTGTGGTACTTTCATCTAGAAGGGTTAATAATTTTACTTGAAAATTAACTGTAGATAGCTGTTGTTAATTTTGACATATATTTCAACAAGGATTTTAATTTTAACAAAGTTAGTTTCAATAGAAAACTCAATAAAATAAAAAAATTTCAAAATTTTCAAATATTTGTATTTTCAAAAAATCATTAAAAATTAAATTTTAAAACTACAAAAACAAAATTTGGCACACAGAATCCCAATGATCTATACTATGTTCCTGCCAAATATTACATTTATAGCTGTTTTTAAAAGTCATATATCGTCCTTTTCAAGTTTAATCAAAGGTTTTGCAAACTGGCAGATTGCACAGTGCAAAACCTCCTTTACATGTGTCCAAATTTCAAAAATTAAATCTTAGCATGAAAAAAGCTTGATTTTTAATTTCATCTTAGCTAAAAAATTTTATCTTCTTCACTGCCTTCATTACCGTATCTTCTCTTAAATTTCCGGCTTTACCGCGAGCTTGATTAAGTATTCTAATACTTTGTTCTTCATTGTGTCAGACTTCAAACGTTTTAGCGATTAAAATTTAATGTCCGGCGCTTAAAATGGTGGTATCTTCTTCCTCTTCGAACTGCGGTATCCTGTCATGTTTGAGTTGGCCGTATCTTGTATCATGTCTCACATAAACAAAGGGTATCTTTGTTTCTTTTCAAGGGTATTTTTGTCTTCCTTAATAGAGGGTATCTTGTCTCATACGAAACGTTCATATCTCGTATCATGCTTCATCCTGACCAGCGGTATCTTATTTAAACCGGCGGTATCTCATCTGAACTAGTGGTATCTTGTCCCCCTCACTTGTGGCTAGTCATCGGTCAAATGTCCATTTAAGAGGGTGGGGACCGGCTTCATTTGCATCGAACGCGCATAACGAGAGTCTTTTTGGCGGAACGGCCATCTGGCCGCGATTCGTCACAACCATGACATAACTTTACTTTATATCCCCCCTATTTTACCATCCAATCTATCTTCCCCATTTAGAGCGGGGTTATTCGATTAAGTGAACGGAACTTGACGGACAAGCCGTGGGGCCTTTAAAAATAAACAAAAATTTTTAAAACAGTTGAAAACACTTAAAATGTTATGTGACGAACGGCACTTTAGGCTTTTATAGATAGTGCAGATAACAAAGAGCGATTCTTAAACAATATCCGGTATATATTACTGTAAAGTGGCAAGTTATGCTATAATTTTATCAAAAAATTGTCGCAAAACCTAAAATATCTGGCTGCACCGTACAAAAAGTCAATTTTTATAAACTGCACAGTGCAAAAAATCATTTCATTTCAAATTTTACGACCAAAATCTCAACTGTTTTTAATGTACCCTCAACCAGGCTTCGGTCGAATTATTAGGAAACGCAAATTGTTTTAAGAAAACCGCCGCTTTTGTCTCCAAAACCTGAAATTTGAGGTCATAAGCGGCGCTGGGATTAGGAGCCGTTCGGATTAAGCCCAAGAAAACAAAACACACAACCATTAATTTGCATAATAAAGTTAGCACAAGCAACAACAAGTTTAGGGAAAACAGATTTCGTATTCAAATCTAATCAAAAGTAGTGTAATATAAATGAAAATTGAAGTTTGGGTAACACGAGACATTAATCAACATGATAATGAGCTAAAGTTTTAAATTTAGCTAAAACGATATTAAAATATAAATAATTTAGAACAACAAAAGTTACATGACATATTTTACAATAACCAACATAAAAATTTTTTATATAACAATATCAAATGAAATCTTCCAGTACGACCACCAGCACCAGCCAAACCTCAACTAACTGCAAGTACAGAAAACAGTCTGACAATAAGCTGGACTCAGTCAGCTGGAGCTGCTCATCGCCCAGTTATACGTTATTCTGTGTTAGTCAAGTAAGTTTTGCCCATTACAAGCCACAAAACCTATAACGATTTTTTTTTATTTAACAATAAATATTGTGTCATTCTTTAAGTAACCATAGCCAAATGTTCATAGATAATACTATAACATAACCTTTCACTTTCCAGCCGAATGGACGATGAATCCCTGCGCGTAGTAACAACCAAAGATAATCAAACTACAGTCGTCGTTGACAGTCTTCTACCTTACACCAGGTATGGCCTGTCGGTCAGAGCTGAAAATCCGGCTGGTACTAGTGAGTTCGGTCCAGAAAGTGTCTTTAGAACATTGGGAGAAGCACCTAAAGAAGCTCCCATGATCCAAATGCTCAGAAATGGCACAGTCGGCTGTATTGACGTTGTGTGGAGAAGTTCACCGACTGATCACAATGGAAGACCTGTACTTGGGTTTAGGCTTATGGTACATCGGATGGGGTCTGGTGCGATGAGAGAGTGGTATGTAAAGAATCACAGGCAATCGTTGTGTTCGTTGGAGCCGGATTCTGAATATAAATTGAGCATCGAAAGTGACAATGGCTTTGGATATTCTCCTGCTAATACTGTCAACTTTCATACTGAAGATGGAAGTAAGTTGGGTCAATTTACCTACAAAAACTTTTAAAATAGCATATTAAAAGCAAAAATTTAAAGTTAAGGACTAGTTTAACAACAAAAAAAGCAGAAAAGAAGGTTAAAAATTAAAATTACCTAATTGGCCTATTATAACATAAAAAGGAAATTTTAGTCCCAGAAGGCCCTCCAGAATCTGTTGAAGTTCGTCCATTGACTGGCGACACTGTACTAGTCCTGTGGAAAGAACCAGCTGTACCAAACGGTCGTATTTTGTCATATCAGATCTATTTCCAAAACTTAAACTCAAAACTACCAAGCTCCATGGTCAGATTGATGGTAAATCAAGATTCTTCAAAGACTTTCGCTTACAATCTTACTAAACTCGGTGAGTTTGACCTTTCATACCTAAAACTGTAGCAATTAGCTCTAAATGTGATCTAAACCTTGAATTTTAAATTCCTCTAAACCTAAAACAATACAAATTAAAAACAGGCAGGGAAAGCTAATAAATACCTTTTGAAAATTTCAAATGTTTATGAAATGGTTTTCAGATGCTTCTACAACATATCGTGTATCATTAACATCATCGACTTCGAAAGGAGAAAGCGATAAAAGCGCGCCAGTGTCGGTAACAACTGATTATGCATGTAAGTTGAGGTTTTTAATAGTTAATGAATCTAAAACTATGGTTAACATTTGAAAATTGATTCAGATACAAATTAAGTTGAAAATTCAATTATTACCTAAAAATTTGAGGAGAAACCTTTGAAATTTTAAAATCCGCTTTGATAGACATGAGCAACGGGCCGGGCCGGGCCCAATTTTCAAGCCCGGCCCGTTTTTGATTTTGGTCCGGCCCGGCCCGGCCCGATCAGAAAAATTCTAGGCCCGGCTCGTTTTAAAATTTAAAAAATTTTAAAACTTAAAACCTAAACGGAAATTTGGCTTTAAATTGTGTTTTTAGGTCATTTATGGATCCTAGAATCCAATAAAATCGAAAAACATAAACGGGAATTGAAATAAAAAATTTTAAAAAATTAAAAAAATTTTTTTTCGGGCCCGGGCCTAATTTTCAAGCCCGGCCCGCGGGCCGGGCCTAGATTTCAGGCCCGGCACGTTTTCGATTTTGCTCAGGCCCGGCCCGGCCCGTTGCTCATGTCTACGCTTTGAAGTTGTGAGTCAAGTTTTGGTTTGTGGAGCAAATTTTTGTGTCAAGTCTGACTTTTTGGCAGCAAAATTGAAAGAGAAAAGAAATTGAAAAACTGTTTTTTCTGTTGATATTATCAATAATTTTATAGAAAAATATTAATCTTTATTCTAAAATAAGAAAACCTTTATAGTACCAAACCCGCCAATAATCACGAACATTGAGTACAAATGTGGATCAGATGTGAATGTGCACTGGACAAACGAGTCTTGGCCGATCTCGTTTTACAAATTATTTTTGGAAAACAAAGCAAAAATTAAACTCTACAATACGACTGATAATAGGATGGCATTGACTGGGTTGAAAGCCGGAGAAAAATATTCAGTACGACTTACTGCGGTATTGAGCAGTAAATACAGCAACTTGACATTCTTCGAGAGTCCGTTCAGTAAACATCAGGTGTTCACGTTGGACCAAAGTAGGTTTTTGAAAGGGAAAGGGTTGGTAAAATACGAGGCACCGATATACATGCCCTTTAACCTTGTTTTAGTTCTTTATATTACAAAAATTTTAAACGCTCATACCTACATCAATATTTCTATATTCAAAAATATTTTAGCAAAATGCACAGTGCAATCTTCTATCTGCACATCACAAAATCAAAATTGTGAAAAGATTTCAATGGCAGGCTTCGAGCGGAAACAAAAGGGTACTTCAGTATTGTTCATATTGACCATGATCGGATGTTTTGTCATTATCATCGTCATGTCTTCGTTTTTTATGAGACGACGTTGTAATTGGGTAAAGAAGATACTAGAGAAGGCTGATGAAAAAGGTGGTCAAGAAACAATGTCTTTGGTTTATGGTATGTTTGATTTAAAGTGGCATAACTTGTGTTTTTCTGGGTATTGATGTTCCTTAACTTAGAATTGAGATAACTTGTGGAAATTACATAGGTTCTTGTTGTGATGTTGGTGTTAAATTGTAGAGAAATTTTTGCTTTATTTTTATCTTGTTAAAAACTGATTCAAAAGTTCTTAGGTTTTGGCACGGTCTAATTTACTTAGTACACCCGTTATAAATCTCAGGGCGTTTTAACCTTTTTTTAATAAATTTGGTGTTAAAACCTTTGCTGTGGCTCGAAAATCAGCAAATTAAAATATTTTAAAAGCTTTGCTTGCTAACTATCGTGTGCTATATTACAGATACTGAAACTTCAGAAACCTCGGGCTCTACGGCTGTGATTGTGTCACGATTCGAGTCGTATTTTAGCGAAATGGCCAGAAATGAAAACGAAGGATTCAGACGACAGTTTGAGGTAGGTTTTTTGAATTTTTGAAAAATTACTTTACCCTGCCGGCTTTTATAAAAAAGTTGTTTGTCTAGATCTAAGCCTATGTTAATATAAGCTCGTCTTTTGTCCATTCCTCGATTGTTTCAAGCTTTGTGCGCTAGTTAGGGTGGCCATTCCTCGAAACGAGTGGACTTCCGGAATTTGGCAATCGAAAAGTGGCCGGAAGGTCGAGTCAGGGGCTCTAATTCGATAAGATTATGCAAATTGGCGCCGAAAAAGAAAGACATAAAATGGGGCTTTGATGTACTCGAAACGATACTTTCCAGTTTCATTCCCCTGAGGCCAAACACCCGACCCAAATGAAATTGGGCCAAGAAAGTTTGGCACAAGATAAGGGGGTTTCAAGAGCTTTATTGCAACTTTGAACCCAGATCTTATAGTAGGAGATAAGATTGGGGGATGAAGTTGCAATAAAGTGAAGTGGCAAAGTAATAAAAATGTAGTAAAAAGGTTTTCTGGGAGATTCTATGTTATTGAAAAAAGTTCAAAAATGCGAAAAAATTAATGGATTTACTAAAAACACAAAGATACATTTAAAAAAACCTAAAATACCAAGAAATTAGTGGCTCTAGTCCCAAAAGTACACGTTTTAATAAACAAAAAGACTAAGTTAATATTACAGGACATAGAAGCGGATTCAGAAGTCCAATCAGAAGAGAGTATTGAAGAAATCATCAATGCAGACCAACGTCTCAAGAACAGATACAGGAACATTGGAGCTGTGGAGAGGACCAGAATTAAAATAGTCGACTCCAACAGTAATGACGGGTATATCAACGCTAATTACATTGATGTAAGTGTTGTTTGTTATAAAGGGTCATATTTCAAACGGCAAAAATGTATTGAACATGGGAAAAGCAATATTGGTTTATTAGAGGCTAGCTAAAGCGAGGTATCATGCTTAGAATAAACGCCTGTACCAGCTAAAAGCAGGCAAAAAGTTAGGTTCATATAACCTTTGGCTGTTACCTCTCTAACTCCTAAAAATTTCCTTGAGGGGGGCACAGAATTATTTGAACAATCTAATAGTCTTTATTGTTAATATAAAACGAAGTTACTGTAGTTTAAAGTCCCAATATGTCGAGGGGGATTCATTACAGTATATCGCCTTTGGAATATTGTATAATAGCTACTGTGGACTTTTTAGAACAAACAATTTTTTATTGTAGTGTAGAGATATATATAATACTAGATAATATGTATTTTTCAGAGTTGCGATGAAAGAAATGTCTACATAGCCACACAAGCCCCCTTACCTCACACGTTTGATGACTTTTATGGTATGATATGGCAAGAGAAGTGTAATATCATTGTTGTAATCACAAATCTAGTTGAGGATGGAAAAGTAAGTAAATTTTTTTCTAATTTAATTTTTTTAAATCTGAAAATGTATTTAAATTTTAATTTGTAGCGTAAAATATGGCATATAATTCATTGTATTGATATAGAAAATACATTTAGGTAAAAAGTAAATAGAAATAAATAGAAAAAGGTATAAAAAATATACAAATTTTTAATTTTGTGAAATTCCAGAGAAAATGTGATCAATATTGGCCGAACTCATCGAAAACTCCATTGGTTTTCGGTCACCTTACTGTAACATTGACAGCCGAGATGCCGAATGCCAACTTTGTACATAGGATATTAACTTTGAAGTCGAACAAGTGCTTTGTGGTAGGTTTATAACAGATATATTTTACATATAATAAATGTATCTCAAATACAAAGGTATGAAAATGTGCGAAAATCCAAGTCTAACTACATTACTTTCGCTTCCCTCTGTCACTACTACCTTTTCTGAGCTGACAACTGGCCTGTTCTTGCCAAAAAAACCAGTATCTTGCCATATCTTATCCAAATTCATACCTAAAATACTATTTTTCAGCCCGAACGTACCATCCACCAAGTACATCTAACGTCATGGCCAGATCACGGCACGCCAAAGACCGTTTTCCCTCTGTTGTCGTTCTTGAACTACGTGGCTGACATTCAATCGAATGGTCCAATTGTAGTTCATTGTTCAGCTGGAGTTGGGAGGTCAGGGTCCTTCATTCTGATTGACAGTATGAGACGACATCTATTACATTGCGATCATATCAACATATACGCTCACTTGAAGCACATACGACGACAACGACAGAGATTGGTACAGACTTTGGTAGGTTTCTTGAGGTTTTAAAAAGAGTAGGGGTGAGATGCGGTGGGGTCAGGTAGCGTAGGATAGGGTAGGTAGGGCAGAGTAGGTAGGGTAGGGTAAGGCTGGAAGAGGGATGGAGCTCCAGCTTCGGCAATTACAATATTGTAACAACTTTTACTTTCAGGACCAATACGTGTTTTGTCATCGTGTAGTACGTGAGCTGATAAAGCACGGTATAACTCGACAATCCGTCCCCAACTTCTCCAATTACCTCAAGTTTTTATATCATCAGATGTTACCTGATGGTAGGAACCGACTTCAGATGCAGTATGAGGTAATTACAGTAAATTTTGTTATAAAAAAGCATTTTAAAATTATATTACACATGAATACATATGATTTAAATCACTATAACGCGTTTCCTGCTAAAAACCGCTCGGATTTCTTAATATCTATGTTAATATCGGCCCTTACAGGAAGTCTGTAAATGTCCCCACGCCCCACCATGCACCATTCCTCCAGGTTATTGTGTTCTTCCCGGTTACCATCGATCTGACGAGTTTTTGGTCGGTAATTGGAGTCGAGAATGCTCCGACCTGTGGAATTTACTTTTCGACCGGAAATGTCAAACAGTCGTATTGTTCGGGTCGGATGCTGAAGTTGGTGACTTCTTCCGTTCAGTACCACATCGTACCAAAACAGAAGTCACGAGTTCGATGCCATCAACGCAAATCAAGAGGAAGGTGGTGAGTATGGAGCCGGATCCAGTCGAATTGGTGGTCAGGAAACAGAATGATGAACATATCTTGTTGAAGAAGGGCAGTGATGAGGTAGGGAGAGCTACAATAATTTTTTTCGCTTTTTAATGCCTATATTACTATACAGCACCAATATAAACCCACATCTTTCAGCTCTGCGTCCGAATCGTCCGCCTAAAACCAGCCGACCTCGAACTTCATACCTGGACAGAGATGGAGAGGATTCAAGACCAACTAATCGAATGTCATCGATGTCAAATGTTGTTCATTGACCCTTCGAACAGTGCCATGCCCTATGTGGTGTGTGCTTTGCAGAGTGCGGCATGTCAGCTGGAGCAGGAACGATTTGTTGATGTATTACAGTTCCTGTCGGCGTACCGTGAACGACGGTGTGGCTGCTGGATGGCACAAGTGAGTTTATTCTGTGGGCGTATAGGGGGGAAGCACCATATAGTGGGACTATTCAAACCCTAGGTAACACAACATACAATGCACGAAAAATAACTATAACTTGCTCAATATTTACAGAGTAACGTCGAGTACATATACGAAAAGGTTTTGGAGCTGACCACTTTGCACCGAGCTTGATCCGATACGAGTGATAAGATATATTGTATATATTTATGAATAAAGTTTTATTTAACATTGTAACATGAGACCATAATCTTATTGTAGAGTGAGTTAAAGACAAGGGTTATTAACAATATGACATGAATAACATCAAGAAATGTAACGAATCTCATTATGATTAAAAGTAAAATTATTAGACTGTTCACATAATTATGTGACCCAACCCCAAAAATTTGCTTTGAAAGGGGGCACAGAATTATTTGAACAAACTAATATTATGAACAAAAATGAACACATTAATTTTAAAAGTAAAGACAGAAAAATGAAAGATAACAAGTAATATTACATTATGAATACCATGAAATTTAAAATTTGAAAAAAAGTGATTATATTACACATTACAGTATTATAGTTACGGTTTCTTCGTGAAGAATAACGACAAACTTTGAACCCCTTTACTGGCCTTTTGAAGCCGTCTTTGCTTGCTGTTTAACGGTTTGGGCTGAAATCTTTAAATGTTAATTTGTTTTAGGGTTCATAACTTCGTGCATAATATAAAGATTTAAAAAATAAACATAGAAAACCAGAAAAAACATTCAAAACTTACATCAACGGCCACCACCGACTTCCTTTTGACAACCGTTTGAGTTGATATCGTCACTTCTGGCTTCTCTATCTCCAACACCATCTGCAATTCCTTACCCAACGATTCACATATGTAGTCGGTGAAGATGGTAAAACAATAGTATCGACACGCAGCTTCATCTGAAAAAAAAGACTACTACAATTTTCACTTTCTAAATGCAAACCCTTAATTTAAACTTTCAACAAAAAGCTAAATAAAGTCTTAATGTCATAGATGTCACCATACCGTAAAGGGATATAACTCACCATCTCTAACAGCTGCTGGGCCTTCGTCGGAAGCCTTAAATGCCTCAACATAAATGTTGAATCGCTTCATACACCATGAAATCAACTTGTCGTGATCGTAACTGTAATGCTTCCTACCATCGACAACTAAAAATTCATTTATCAAAATTCAATTACCATGGCATAGCAACTTTAAAATACAAAAAAAAACGTATACAGTGAAACCTCTTTAGTACGACTCTCAATAGTGCAGCACCCTCTGTATAACGACAGCTTTCTGACCGCCCTTTGCAAAGAATTCCTATGAAAAATTATCTGTATAGTCAAAAAAGAACCCCTAGTTATAACGGCATTTTAGTCCAGTCCCCTGAGTGTCATATAAACGGAGTAATCGGGCCGGCCCAATTGACAAGTCGAGTGTCATACCAAAGAGGTTTGGCTGTATATAAAATAAGCGTTTTCATTCAGCTTTTCAATTTAAACACCAAAATATATTTAAAACCAATAAACCTTACCTTCAACAGTACAAGCCAAGTCCAAAGCTTTCAGAGCCGACGGTATTTGAGCTACAGCCAACAACTTCCCTTCAAATATATTGTCAATAGATTTAGACATCGGCTTCTGAAAGTAGTCGTAATCTTATAAATATTAAAGAATCTTCAAATAGGTCTGATAGATTAAAAAAATCAAAGTTGTACTACTAAAGGATATTAATCTTTCTAATGGTAAAAGTAAGTTTATGCAACCAAACCTTTGACTGATTGATAAGATTCTTGACCAAACTAATATGTAAAGTCTAAAAAAGTCCTGGTCAACCAAATAGTGAGATTTAAGTATAATCTAACCAAATTAAAGACAAACATAGCTAGCTGTCTTCATACCTTTTCAATCAGTTCCGGAATCAACAAGAAAAATGGATGAATTGGAGCCATGATGAACAGCTCGGTTTCTTTGATCACAGATTCCCCTAAAAGCGTTGACCTTCCATCTAATTTCATCTTTAACACTTCATTAGTTCCATTTTCAGTTATTTCATAAAGTGCCTTCGTTTTTGTCTTTGGGTGTTTCAGGTAATACAGTTTCCGATCTTCATGACCTAAAATAATATCGTTTTTTTATAAAACTTTAACTAGATCATAAGCAAAAAAACATATTTGTTACAAACTATATACGCCACCTATACCTAAATTGTGACATAAATCAAAAAACTTTTTAAATTCTTAAAAGCCAATTAAATCCATGATAACATAAACTACTACAACATACCCGGTTGACCAACAATGAATCGCCTCATATAGTTTGAATCGTCTTCAATCATAAGATCCGGAATGTCCAGACTGGCCTGCGAATCGAAGCTCTCATTTAAATCCACCATTTTGTCTCTAAAAAGTATTCAAATCAAAAAATTGTTCAAAAGACAAAAGCTCGTTTTGTTACACTAAAAGTAGCTTTCTCTCGCTACAGAAAAACTTCGTATTTTAGAAAAAGACTATTCTTTCAAATATCGAATTCAAATAGTTTTAAAAAACGGTTTTCAATTTTAATTTTTGAAAAAGTTTATTCCGCTAATTTTATTTCGGACAAAAAACCGTCTTCTTTTGGCTAGACAATTGCAGGCCGCAGCGACACCTTATACGGAGGGAATGTTTAATTGTTAATATATTAAAATAAAATGTAAGTTTATTAAAACTTTACTGAAAAATATATTTAAAATGTTATAATAAATATTAAATTTAATTTACTTCAAAAAATTTATGCTAAAATACGCTTTAATTTTTGAATTTGTTTTTACCAGCAAAATTGGCAAAAAGAAAAATCTTTGGCATTCCGTTTCAAACTAAAATAATATTTGACAAAACGGACAAAAAACTGTTTTTGTATAAATTAACCGAATAAAAGCGAGTTTATCGCTCTAAAATCTTTCTTTTTCAGGGAATGCCTAGAGATGTGATATCGGCTTCTCAATCCAACTTCAACATGGTATTTGAGAACAGAGAAGCCTCAGTTTTGAAGGGTGAAGGGTTTAAACCGAGAGATTATCAGGTAAAGTACTTTGTTTTTGTTGTTTAACTTTTAGGTAGTGGTATTGATACAAATTAATTGCTTTTTCTAACAGTTACGATTGTCTTTGTTTGATTTTTTGATTATTCGCCTGTTTAAGTCAAGGATACTTGAAACTTATTTTTATGATTTTAGTTAGAACTGCTGGAATATGCGCTTGGTAGTAATTGTATTGTATCATTGGGTACTGGATTTGGAAAGACGTACATTGCAGTTTTGTTGATCAAGGAATATGCAGCTGAACTTCAACGATCTCGAGATGGGAGGAAGAAGAGGGCGTTCTTCGTTGTTAACAATGGTAAGATATTTTGTTGATTTTTAGGACTTTATTTTAAAACTTTAGAAAGTTATTGTAAAAATACAGTTAAAAGGTACTCAAAGTTGTTAAGTATATCTTTTAAATGTCAATTTTAGTTGTACTGGGTCAACAACAAGAAGAACATCTTCGGAATCACTTGAATTTGAATATTATATTAATACATGGCAATACATCTGTAATGCAGCAATATAGAAGTGATATGAACGGGTTTGAAAAGGACTGGGAAGCTAACGAGGTACTTTATTTTATTATAGCTTCTAACTTGATTTTTTTGATAAACCTGAAGTTGTGGAATTGTGTAAAATGTTGCTTTTTGTCTAAAACACTGTAAAAAACGTTGTATTTTTTAGCGAAATATTCGTATAAATAATTTGACGTTTTTTTGTATTTTAGGTATTTGTGATAACAGCTGAACTTTTGAACGAACTACTCAACTCTGCCTACATTAAGATGAAGGACATTGCATTGTTGATCATAGATGAATGTCATCATGTAGTTGGTGAACGGCATCCATATAGAGAGATCATGAAGACTTACGTTAGATCAGAAGGCGAGTTTTGGTCAAAGTTTTATAAAAACGTTGAACATGTTGTTTTTTTATAGTATTATGATAGTAATTAGTATAAATATATTGTTTAGGGGAAAAACCACGGATCATGGGACTGACAGCTAGTGTTATTGATGGTGAAATTCCTTTGACCAAAGTTGAGAACTTTATTAACACAGTAGAAGGCTTACTTTGCAGTAAACTCAAGACAGCTAGTGATGTTGGCAAAGTGAGTTCTTATTTTTTACTAATCTTTGCTTTTAGGCTTGCACAAAAGTCTTACATAAATATGTGTAGTTTCGATACAGACTGGGCCGTCTTTGATAATTTCTTTGAAGCTGGGAGCTCAACTTACTTTAATGTCTCTACTTAAAACTTTTAATTTTAGCTATCTAAATATGGTAGTAGACCACGAGAGCTAATATTTTGCTACAAAGAAGCTTCAGTATCGCCAGAATCTGTCAAGCTATGGTTGGAAAGGTCATTGGAAGCCTCGTTTCAATGTTGGGACAGTCAAGATTACACAGACATTGGGAATTCGGCCAAGGAAGCCTTCGGTCGTACTTTAGATGTACTAAAGCAGCTGGGACCCATTGCTTGTTACAATATCTGTCAAAGTTATTCGAAACAGTTTTCGAATATGTTAAAATTGGAAGGATGGAACCAGGAGAGGATAAGGTACATTAACTATGTCAAGACTACTTTGACTCATTGTATGTGGTTGATGAGCAAGCTGGTAAGTTGTATATCGTTGGTAAATATTACTATTAGTTGTTTTCTGTTGATGTTTTGTGTCATATTCATAGAAATTAGGTACCTTTTTTAAACTCAACTTTTCCAGAAGCGGTTTCCAAAGTCAGAAGCCAATTTGCTTGATGTAACAACTCCAAAAGTGATTCGATTGATTGAAATTCTGTATTCTTTTTATAATACTCAGAAGAACAGTGAAGATGTGAATCAGAAAGACAATTATGCAGTGATTATCTTTGTTCAAGAACGGCACACAGCGGTTTTGCTTACGGTTTGTTAGGTTAAACTTTGAGAGGAGGCTTTTTGATGAGAATTTTTAAAAATTTGTGAAAAATGTTTAAAAAGCAGGTTTAAAGATGATTTTCCTAAATTTTAGACAATTTTCTTTTTTTATTATAAATTATTTAATTTTATATTATTCTCGTTTTAGCAAGCTCTAAAGGCACTATCAAAAGCCTATTCCAAGTACAACTTTATCAAGCCAGACTACGTGATTGGCAGGCAAGGAAATGTCCTCAACAACGATGAAGACGTCAAGATAGCTAACAAACGGCAAGAAACCATAATCAAACGTTTCCGACAAGCCGAACTCAATATCTTGGTGTCAACGAGCGTTTTAGAAGAGGGAATCGATATAAAATCATGTAACTGTGTCATCCGCTTCACTCCACCACAAAAGTTCAAGTCCTACATCCAATCACGAGGTAGAGCAAGAGCCAAGAAAGCTATCTATGCCATTTTGAGTGAAGAAGATGTGGCTTCAGAGCTGAAGACAAGGTTGGATAAGTATTGTGAAGTTGAGAAGCTTCTGATGTCGTACTGGCCGTCTTCTGAAAACGAAATCGATTCGTATCTGTTAGAAACAAATTCGAATGAAGAATATGTGGTAGAGAGTACTGGAGCAAGGGTGACATTGTCATCAGCCGTGGGATTGATCAACCGATATTGTTCAAAGCTGCCGTCAGATATCTTTACAAGATTGGTACCTCAGGTCAATGTTAAATGTATTCCACGTGGGTCATACAATTTCTTTGAGGCTGAGTTGCTGTTACCTATCAATGCACCAGTTAAACACGCCATTAAGTTGACTAAACCGGTTCAGTCATCCAATTTGGCTAAAATGGCAGTGGCTTTGGAGGTGAGAACGACTTAAAATTATTGCTTTTCAAGCTCTTTTGGGGCTTTTTGACTTTTTAATTCAAACTTTAAAACACAGAAAAATCAACAAAAATTTGATGACAAGAGAACTTTTGAGCGAGAAAAAGTAAAATGTATATATTATCATAATTTTAAGTTGTTTTAGGCTTGCAAAGTCCTGCACAATGAAGGCGAACTCACAGACCATCTGTATCCAGCTGGAAAGGATATTATCATTGAAAAGACAAACTCAGCAGATGAATTCCTAAGCGAAGTTCTGGCAGACAATCAGAATCTTGCGATTAGTAATCACAATATCAAGAACCGAAGATTGCACGACAGGAAGGTGTCAAGACAAATCAATGGAGTTTTGGCGACAACAGAGAATGAGGCCTATATCTACATGATTGATATTGACTTGGTGAATCCAATCAGAGACGAGGATAACATCAAAAGGAGGAAGATTATCAACCCCCACGATGACGACTTTGCTTTTGGGTTTTTGTGCACTAGCGAACTGCCACCGGTAGGTATTAGGGATGGTACTATCAAGAATGAGGTGTTTTGAGGTGCTGATGGATAAAATACTTTGACTTAGTATTAGTTAGGATAAAAAATTTTAGTTTTTACTAGCTAAAATAATGTAAAATACGATACCGTCTCTCGTTTTCGTCAATTAAAGTATATCTAAACAACAGAAATTTAAATTTTTTACTATTTTTGAATAAAATTCACTTTTATTTCTCTTCACTTACAGGTAACTCCGTTCCCAGTAGCCATGCGACAAGGAATGACCAAAGTATCATTCGTCAGGACAACCAACAAGAAGAGTTTCAATGCAGAAACCCTGAGGAAGATCTACGAATTTCATCAACATATCTTTGACGACATTTTACGGGTGGTCAAGAATGCGGTCGATTTTAGCCCAGAGTGCTCAGCCTTTCCGCTTTTGGTCGCTCCGATCATCAAACGTAAGGTTTTTGACATTAGAACTGTCTGGTGATAGTAATTGATAGTATTAACGAAAAAACTAGATTTTTTGCTTGGGTTTAGATTTAAATTGATTGTTATGTAGGTACAGAAAATATATTATTTCGTTTAAAAGAAATTGATTTAAAAACAAAATTTAGGTAGTTTAAAGCTAGACCAATATAAACAATGTTTTCAGAACGAGATCGCCTTGGTTATGTTGTTGATTGTGTGATAAACGAGAATCTTTTGTCACAGGAATTCACTAAAGCCATGGTAATGCCAACATTGGAAGAACGACGAAGTATGACTTTTGAAGACGAAAAGTACGAGGATGCTGTAGTGACACCGTGGTATAGAGCAAACGAACATCCATCTTACTATTATGTGGCTAGGGTAAGAAAAAGGTTTTAAGTCAAGTTTTATGGCATTTTTGGATATTTTACATTTATAAAAGTTAAAATTTTGTTCAAAAAGTGATGTTTTAGATTAAAAATGGTATATTAACGTATATATAGCATGACTATGATCACATATTTTAGCTAGCCAGAGGAAACAACCCAAGTTCAAAATTCCCGGATGAAAAGTACCCCAACTTCAACGAGTACTACAAACTAAAGTATAATATCGACATTATTCATCAAGATCAGCCCTTACTCGAAGTGGATCGTGCCTCCGAACGAATGAACCTCATCTTTCCCCGACATGTCAGCTCACGAGCCCGAAAGCAAGCCTACGACCCGACACAACAACAGGTTTTAGTGCCTGAACTCGTGTGTCTTCATCCTCTGAGGGCCAACTACTGGACAATGATCATTGCATTGCCAACTATATTTTACCGGTTAAATCAATTCTTGTTAATCGATGAGTTAAGGGAGAGGATTCTGGAGCAGGCTTTGAAGAAGCCGAAGTTAAGATACGAAGAATACAATTGGAACAAGTACCCATTGGAGTACGACTGCCATTCTATAAACAATGTCAGTCAGTTGAAGAAGAAACAAGACGTCGAAGCGAAATTGGACGATTCTCTGGAGAAGATGGACACAACCAGCGATCACACCTTCTCCATCGGAGTATGGGACCCGAACGATGCTATGGAGTACCAATCGGTCGATCCCAACTTCCTACCGAACGTGGATTCCGGATGTGTGGAGAGAATCAACGAAGAAGTCTCGATCAGTCGTCCCGACGCCGACTTTGACGCTTCTGACGCCGAAGCCGAGGAATACGAAATTTCAACAGATTTCAAAATGAATGCGGACGATCCACAGAATCTGAAGATGTTTACACCGAGAAATGAAGTCATTGAATCCTACGCTGACCTGGGATGGGAGAATGCGGGAGAAATCTGTGGAAACGGGTACCTGTCCATTATTTCAGAACCAAAAACCGGGGTTAAGATCAACATGGAGAATCTAAATCACGATTTGTTGAAGGTGTTAGAGACTCCAGAAAGCAAAGAAGAGACTGAGAAGGACGATAAGAACAAGGTAAGGTTAACTTGAATGGAACCATTAAGGTTTTGGAAAGTTTTTAAAAAGCTAATGATAACGTACAAATTATTTCTGAAACATACCAATATAAATATTATAGTTATAACAAAAAGTACAGAAAGAGCCAGATTTTTGCGATATCTATGAGTTTTAACATACAAGTTTTATTTCAGACCCCAAATGACAAAACAAAGGTAGCCCAGTCGAACTCAACAGAATCCATCCTGAAAGAAGACGATGCCTTATCTCCAGACATGTTCGACGGATTGAAACCGGTGGAAGTTACCCTACGTGAACATATCATCAAAGCCAATCAACCTCGCAAGCTTGACATTGATGACGCTTCGTTGGATCAATATATCAATGGAAATGTGGGTTTCTTTGATTATTTTGACTTAAATTTTAAAAATGTATTGAATGACATCTAGTATCAACATACTACCAAATAATAACTTAATTTTTATATTATAGTGGACATGTCACGCTCCCAAAGTCTCCAAAAATTTCGAATTTGAACGAAACGAGCTTGACTCAAAACCTGAAGGTGTACCACCAGCACTAATGCTCCAAGCCGTCACAACAGGCAGCGCTTCGGATGGAATCAACCTAGAACGACTCGAAACTATCGGAGATTCGTTTCTGAAAATGGCGGTAACAATATTCTTGTTCAATACCTACCCGAAGCATCACGAAGGTCGACTCAGTTTCTCGAGGTCAAAGGAAGTCTCGAATGCCAACTTGTACTTGAAAGGAATTGCCAAAGGTATACCATCGGTTATGGAAACTGCCAAATTCGATCCGAACGTGAGCTGGTTACCTCCATGTTACAGGTGTGAAGGCGGGTTTCAAACAAATGGATGGGTGAAGAATGATGGGAGTGTAAGTTTGTTTAATGTTTGTGGGAGTAAGAAAGTTGTTTTATTGTCTTGCTGTGGTATTAAGTATAGTTTGTTATATAATTTTGTCAAGAAAAGCGTCAATTACATGGATATTGATGCTGTTTTTAGCAGCAAAAAGGCCAGTTTTGAAGGAAAAACAATATTGATAAACTTGGGGGTATTCTTTGATTGTTAATATTATAACTTATTTTGATTTCAGAATGACGATGGTGTTGCTTGGGAGGTCGAAAACGACCAGACCATCAAAGAAGTCGATGGAGTTCAAACCATTGATTTGAAAAAGGTAAACGAATTAATAAAAAGCCATTTTAAAGTTATATCAAAGTATATTTTAACATCTTTATATTGATTACCATCTGTTTCTACTCCGATATTGATAAAATCTTGTGAAACGTTACAACTAAGCACAATCAAATGGAAATTACTTAAAGGACTAGTTCGCCCATTCAAATATCATTGGCATTCTGTCGCAAAAATTCGACGTTCATTTTTTTCGCAACAAACCTGAGCAGGTCGGTCCCAAATTGGAAAATTCATTTCGACACCGACCCACTCACGTTTTTTGAGAAAAATGATTTTGATTGAAATTGCCTGATTTTCGACGCTTTTTGCGACAGAATGCCAATGATATTTGAATGGGCGAACTGGTCCTTTAATTTTGAATTAAAACATGATATTGTTATAGATGAGACCAGCCACGGAAGATGCCATACCCTACAACCCGATGACGCAACAATGTATTAATGACAAAAGTATCGCAGATGCAGTGGAAGCGCTAATTGGAGCACATTTGATCTCTTTGGGACCAAAAGCTGCCCTATTATTCATGGAATGGCTCGGTTTGAAAGTCTTGGTGTCTCCACCAACACCAGAATCTCCATTGCTGAGATACTGTGATTCGGAAGATGATGTAAGGTTTGGGAATGCGTTTGGGGGTTCTTAGTTTCAGTAAGAGTACGTAAAATAGCCAAAAAGTTGATTCTAAGGAGACGTATAGCTATTTGTAGCCTCTTCTATTCTGAACCAAGGATTCCACATTTTATTTGATTAACTTTGAATTTCAGCCCAACTTTTCGAAACGCCAAGTAGTTGAACTCTACAAGAATAACCAATTTGAGAAGATCGAGAAGACCATCAACTACACTTTTGCCAACAAAGCTTTCCTGATTCAAGCCTTCACCCATGCTTCCTACTTCAAAGGGCGAGCTACCGGCTGTTATCAACGACTCGAATTCCTGGGTGACGCTGTCTTGGACTACATGATTACTCGATATCTTTTCGAACATCCTGATAAATTTGCACCGGGCGTGTTGACTGATTTGAGATCAGCTCTGGTCAACAATACCATCTTCGCGTCATTGGCTGTTAAATACGAGTTTCATAAGGTAGGTTTTGGTAGCTTCAGTGTATCAGTGTTGCCGATTTCTCAAAAAATATTGAACATGATCTCCTGTAGATTTATGAATAACTTTTATTTTTATAATATTTTTATTTTAAAATTCTAAAATAAACATTTTAGCTCTTCTTGAACTACTCGTCGTCCCTCGCCCGAAAGATTGAGTCATTTGTCAAGAGTTGTGGCACAAGTTCAATCTTTAACTGTCCTAATTTCAACGACGAGGTAAGAATTTGAAATATTCACTCATTATGCTAACTATACTTTTAAACGCTCTTTATCACTTGATGATTCTTTTAAAAACCGTAATTATTAAAGGAAAAATGGCAATGATAGTTAAAATTTACTTTAGTTATTCAAAGTTACCGAGGACGAAATTGAAGACGGTCAAGAGGAAGAAGTGGAAGTGCCAAAAGCCCTCGGCGATATATTCGAATCACTGGCTGGAGCTGTTTATTTGGTAAGGGAAATGCGAATGTCGTAGATCTATGAGTAAAGACAATATGAAAGTAGATAAAAGCACTTCTGGTAGTTAAAGCTTTCGAGGTTTCTTGGGTAAAAAATTTAAATTTTATTGTTTCAGGATTGCAACCGGAATTTGGATACAGTCTGGAATGTTTACTACAACTTGATGAAAGACCTAATTGATCAATGTTGCCGAGATCCACCACAATCACCGATCAGAGAGCTATTGGAAATGAAGGATATTCACGCCAGGTTCTCGTAAGTGCAATAAAGACTTCCCTGGTCAAAAAGTAATTAGAAGAAGAGATAAGAAGCTTGAGTTTTATGAAACAAATAGTTTTCAAAATTTTAAATACGAAGTGATATCAATTACCTTAAAAAAAGAAAGTGATATCAATCACCTTGTGACACATACAAAAACCTTAATAAAAATTCAAATTTCAGCAAATTGGAGCGAATAATGGAGACCAACAAAGTCAGATGCACAGTAGAAGTTGGGGACAAACTAGTATTCCATGGAATGGGCCGCGGCTACAAGATTGCCAAAGCGACAGCGGCCAAGAAGGCGTTGTTGTACCTGAAGAAGATGAAGGCCCAGAAGGAGGAGAGGAAATGATCTCAGAGTCTTGCTCATTTATTTATTATGATTCTTATTATTATGTGATTATTATTTTATATTGTTATAACTGTTAAATAAATATGGTGCTGAATTTGCAGACCTTGTTATAGTTGGTCACTACTTTTGTGAACTTTTTTTGGTTTTAACAAGTCAGAAGTAGTTGCAAACGAAAAAAAATATCAGAGATTGTTCGTTTTACGGTGAAAATTATAGGTTTTAATCATTGAGCTAATACCGCTCAAAATTTAGGTAATATTCACTGATCGCGGTAGTCTTTTACGGAAACAAATAGCATTTCCTTCACTTTATGGCCATACAACCTATAAATGATATGTGTAAAACAACTTACGGATCTGATTTCTTAATCACAACAACGAACAGACGTAGCTTTCGCAACCGTACGTGATTATGCCGACTTTTGCCGATGGCAAGCCGTGTTTTTTACCGAAAATTTTTCCAAATAAATTAATTTTTCAAAATTTTTTCGGATTTTTATCCGTTTTTTGGATTTTGAGGCCAAAAATGGGAGTCACATTGGCTGCCGTTATTGCCGCCATCATTATCGGCGCCGTAACATGGTTCCGGCGACATGTAAAGCTTCGACAACAGCTCTCCACGATACCTTCACCACGATCCTTTCCTCTTCTTGGCCACATCCCCATCACGAAACCCGACCCAGAAGGATTTTTGGAGCAGCTGATGGGCATGGCGGTTCTCTACCCCAGCAAACCGCGAATGGTGGTGTTCTGGATCGCCTTCCAACCGACGATCATGATATATGAAGCGGCGTTGGCGGAGAAAGTGTTCACGAACCTAAAGAACTTGAACAAGAGTTTCCTCTACGATTTGCTGAAGCCGTGGCTGGGCGAAGGACTCCTGATAAGGTGGGTTTTTTAGGCTCTTGATGAACTTTTGTTGTTATTTTTGAAGTTTAGGTAATATAGTAGATGAAGGCTTTTTGTACCTCACTTTTTAGCAGTAAAATCAAGCTTTGTTACCCAAAACCTGTTATTGGAAAAAAAATTATAGATTCTGTCTCGTTTTTTAGAAACGTATGTAAGCTTGACGTCTTTTATGGAGTTGCCTGTCATTATCTTTTTGAAAAACAAAATTTTGTTTTGGAAAAATGATGTAAAAACTATTGATACTTCTCAAAAACAAAGCTAGAATATACAGTAGAATAGAGTAGTTTTGTTATATTTTTGTTTATTTTCATTGACTTTTTGACCTTTTCAGCAAGTACGATGCATGGAAACCGAGGAGAAAGCTTTTGACGCCAACGTTCCATTATGAGATTCTTCGCAACTTTGTTCATGTTTTCAATTCTCAAGCTCGCATTCTGAATCAACAACTTTACAAACTTATAGAGAAGACGTAAGTTGATGTTTTTATTTGTCTTTGGTGTTTTAGGTAATAAGTTCTTAACTTCGTTCTTGAATTCTTGGCTAAAGCATTGAAATGCGGGTTTAAACGTAGGAACTTGTGTTGTGGTGTTAGTAAGGTATCTGAAATGTTGATTTTTGTGGTTTAGATAATAAAAAATTGAGGTTTAGATATAGGCATTGATGTTACGTTTTAGGTGTAGGCTAAACTGAAAGAAATTTTGGTAATATTAGACCTAAAAATAGGTAGTTAAGATCAAAAACTATTTTTTAATTGTTTTAGGGACGTAATTGACGATGTATATCAACCAGTAAGCTTGTGTGCTTTGGATATTATTTGTGAAACATCGATGGGACAATCAGTGAATGCTCAATTTGAAGCGGATTCAGAATACGTTAAGGCAGTGTTACGAATCAACGAAATCATTCAGAGTCGTCAGAAGAATCCTGTGCTTTATCCTGACTTTATCTTCAACAATCTTCCAATTGGCAAGGAACATAAATGGGCGTTGGATGTTTTACATTCATTTACAAGGAAGGTATGTGTTTATTGTCAGTTTTTATAATTTTTTGATGGAATATGCGATGAGTTTTTTAGAAGTTTTTTGAGATTCTTGTACGTTGTTTGATTTTAAAGTTTGATAAAATTCATTTAAAATTGTAATAACATTGTTTTAGGTAATAACGGAACGTCGAAAGGTCGTAAATTCAGAAGTAACAGCCGTCAATGATCGTTTGGCATTTTTGGATTTGCTATTGGAGATGGAAAACCGTGGTGAAATTGATGAAAAGTCGATTCAGGAAGAGGTAAAGGTGACTTCTTTAAATTTTGAAACTTCCATTTTTAGGTAGACACATTCATGTTCGAAGGCCATGATACTACGGCTACAGCCACGACCTGGGCTCTCCATCTATTTGGCTGTTATCCAGAAGCTCAGGAGAAGATTGTAGAAGAAATCAATCGTGTGGTAGGAGATTGTGAAGAGATCACCCTGGATCACATATCAAAGTTGGAGTATCTGGAGTGTTGTTTGAAGGAGATGCTACGATTATACCCTAGTGTGCCGATGATAGCAAGGAAGTTGGACACGGATCTGGACATAGGAGGACACAAAATTCCAGCTGGAGTGGAGGTTCTGCTGAATATATACCTGATTCATAGAGATCCGAACAATTGGGAGGATCCTGAAGAGTTTAGACCTGAACGGTGGGTTGATTGCTGAAGTTTTTTTTATTTCAAAAAATTTTTAAGATTAAAATTTTTTATTTCAAATTTTTTAAGTTGTCTCTAATTTAATGAGAAATTAAAAAAAAAGTTAATAACATTTATTATGCGACTATTTACAGATTCAAGAGTGGGAAATCGACCAACCGCAACGCCTTCGCGTACGTTCCATTTTCGGCCGGCAGCCGCAACTGCATTGGCCAACGGTTCGCGATGATGGAGGAGAAGATTCTGTTGTGCTGGATCCTGCGCGAGTTCCAGGTGGTATCGATGCGACGCCGCGACCAACAACGCTTCATGGTTGAACTGATCCTGCGGCCCACGGACGGCGTCAAGATTCGGTTGATTCCACGCAAAAAATGATTTTTGTTGTTGTATTAAAGGCTAATTTCTATACCGTTGTCTACGTGTGTTTGTTTGACTATGTAGTGATAAGAGGAGGGGTCTTTGGCTCAGCCCATTTGTTCGCTGCTTGCTTCCATCTGAAGCCGTTTCCGACGTCGGCATTCGGCGTGCGAGGACGGGATCAGAAGGCCCGTGTCGCGGAATCTGGAATCAGGTGGGTTTTGTTTTTGATAACGAATTGGGAAAGTAATTTTAAAAAAAATATTTTAAAATTTAAATATTTGAATAACATTCTTTATATTTCAAATCTGAAAGCTGTTTTGGAAGTTGAAGGTAAGAAAACAGCTAAAAACCATTATTCAAATTTAAAAAGGTCTATAATTTTAAAAAATCTTACCGTGTTATGATTTTAGACACACAGCCGTGAGAAATGCATAGTTGTTTTGAGATTGCGTTTACCTTCATTCCGGCTTGAAATAACTGTATGATTTGGTATCTTTCGTCCATACTCAACGGTCTACCAGGACAGTACGGTCGGCCATACAAATTGGTACCGCGTCCTTTAATATGGCAAGTTAGTATTAGACGTAATAGTTTTGATCAAGTTTTGAATGCAACAATTTTACTAATAATTTAGTTATTATAGTGATTTTAGGTATTCAGATATTATTTTTGATGATCATATGACTTTTATTCTTGTGTGTTGGTTATATTATTCAAGTTTCTAGCTTTATTATCTTTTCTCTATGTTTTAACCAAAAGTCTACTGAGTTTTCAAATGATTTTTTAAGTTGCCGACTGTTTGAATGCCAACCCTTAACGTAACGTATGCTTTTGATTACGTAGGCATATGAATCTTCAAAAGTCATGTCAACGTACCTTTGTCGACATTCCTCTTCCTTCGATTTTTTTGTTTCCCCATCGAAGATTCTTGGTTGGAGGAAGAAGCTTCCGAACAATGTGAAGTCCCCGGTGATAAACTCTCAAACAAATCGATATCAGCGGCGTTTTGGAAAGTGCACGGCGTATTTCGACCCATCACTTCGTTGCCCTGAAATTCTACGTATTTTTTGACCGAAAGAATACGTTTGTGTTTAAAGAAAGGGGAAGTACTATAAAATAGTGCAACGATTAAAACTGCTTGTTTCAAACCAAAAAGGTTTAGTAAAAAATTAAACTCATGTATTTTAGGACAAAGCAGTACTGTGTCTCACCTGTAGCCATGCGTAGAAGTCGCGTTCCAAGTTGGTCGGATTCGTCGTATCAATAATACATCTACATTGGGTCGACTGTGAGGATGATGCTGTAGAAGATGAAGAGGGAGACAAATGCTGTACATCAATGGAGTTCAAGGATGCCGATAAGGTGGAGGTTAGCGTGGGATGCCCGAGCATGATTTGGGTTTGGTCATAGGCTTCGAAACTGTTCTGTAGATGAACGTTCTCTTTGCCCGCGGGCATCTGCTGATAGGTGACTTCCAGACCGTACACATGTGGACTCGAGGCCACAAAGGCGCAGTCCATTCAGATGTTGGGAGCAAACGAAAGTGAAATCAACGCGCGAACGGTCTCTTCCCAAAAAATGCCCGAGGCTGAGGAGAGGGGGTCGGAGGTGGAGGTGACAGATGAGGCTGGCTGGCTGCAGGGATAAGGGGCGGGCCCAGGTGGACCGTTGACGAACAACGCCTCGGGCTAAACGAGGGGGGAATAACAACAACTTCACGTCGATCGGATAGCAAGCCCACACAGCCCGCAGCCCCTCAGGTAGCTGGTGTAGGCTTCGGTGGGCTCAAGGGATGGAGGAAGCGCACGTCGTAGGCTTCAGGCGTCGAAGGTAGCGTATAGGCTTTCCTTCGGTGGGGCTCAGGTGATGAAGAGGGCTGCAGACGATCGGAAGCCCCGCTAACAGCCCCCCCTCTTACGAACCTCCTCGGGGCATATCTTGTTTTCGTCGATGAGATCTTCGCATTCATCAGAAGGCTAGACATCACGGAGAGGGGCGAGGCGCGAAGACGCTCACGTAACTGCGCTACAGCCGGTTATTGCGCAACTAAAATCTCCAAAGCCAATTTGGGGGTAAATAAAAACGATCTTCTTTCCCAACGAGCGGCGAAGGCCTCCTTTCCCTGGAAAACCATCTCCTCCCTAAGAACAGGTCGTTGAAGGAGATGACGATCTTCTCCATCCCCTCGGAAGAAGCAAACAGATTACGCCACTTTCACCTCTTCATCTTGTAAGAGTACAAGTTTTTTTTTCGTTTTCGTCGACAGTAAACATAATTTCTCTTTCGTTCGGAGGGTCGGCAAACTTGCAGAACTTTCACTTTCAGCTTATTAGACGAGCACGGTGACGCAACGACAGGATATTTGGAAATCAGATGATGACATAGATGGTGACAATAAAGTTCAATGACGTGTAGTTAGTCTTGGTGATGTTTAAGAAGAGAATTTGGCAAGAAATGACATACATCTATATATGCTTTGACACACAAATATAATAATATATACACAAATATACATATACCAATCAATATATATTTATATTATATATATATATAATTAATCAAATTTAAAATAATATTTTCAAAAAAGAAATTAAATTAGAAAAGATACAACAAAATCAGTTGATTGAAGATTTATTCAAGACAAAAGCGATGTGATCACGTTTCGAACTTGGGCATCTCGTGGCCTACACCTTTTAGGGTATCGTCATCAGAAGGCGGGCACGGTGGGACTACGGCGTTGTCAAACTGCTCTTCGTCTGCTTCTTTCTGAAACCAAACTTACATTATCATAGGTTTGTAAAGGGTATATTTGTTTTACTTAACTTTAATTCAGGGTTTTACAAAGTAAGATAAAGCAAGCTTCAAAGAACAAGAACTACATCCCTCCCACCTGTCAGTTTCAAATTTAAAAAAATTATATAATATAATCAGATTTATCTCCCCTGACTGGCTAAGTCTTAACAAAAATGACTTTACTTACAACGCTAACTTCCTCAGCCAAGCAGTCCAAGCAATGAAAATCAGCTTTTTCAATAAAAAATCACAAATTTTCAACTTGATTTTTGTTTTAAAAAATCATGGCCAAAACCATAAACTCACGTTGTTTCCATCAGGTGCAGGATCTTCCTTCTCGTCTTGCTTCTTCTCCTTGGCCTGTTTCCCGGATTTTTTGCCGCTTCCCCCAACTTGAGGTTTGGCCGGCTTGATGTCCTTGTCCACCTCCTTCTCCTTGACCTTAACCTCTTTGGGCTTTTTCTCCGGCGGCACAGCGACGGGATACGTCTTGCTCAGTCCTAGTTGATGTTGTTGTAGAACAATACTCGGGCTTTCAGGTTGTTTCCGATTTCGGTACAAGCACATATTAGGCACCCAAAGCGACTGGGTCCTGCCAGCCGCTTCTACTGTGTTCAACTGCAAAAAGTGACAGAAATTTGAATTTTTATGTTTTGGTCAACAAACTGAATTCTATGAATGCATTCTTTTCAAAAAATTTTTTTGAAAATTGTATTTGAGACATGTTCGACCGTATAAAAGACATGTTTACACTTCGCAACAGGCCCAACCCGTTTTCATTTTTCTTTCAGGCCGGCCCGGCCCGGTCAGAAAATTCCTAGGCCCGGCCCGTTTTAAAAAATTTTAAAACTTTTAAAACTTAAAAAAAAACGGAAATTTGGCTTCACATTGTTCTTTCAGATTATTTATGGATCATAGTACCCAATAAAATCACAAAACATCAACGAGGATTGAAATAAAAAATTTTAAAAAATTTTTTGGGCCCAAGCCCATTTTTTAAGCCCGGCCCGTTTCTCACTCCTAGTCTCCCGGGAATAGGCCACACCGCTGAATAGGTCACCTCTGAATAGGTCTCTCCCGGGAATAGGTTGCCTTAAAAAATGAAACATCTTACTGTATCGTTGCTGGCGAATAGGTAACCTCGGCAAATAGGTAACCTCGGCAAATAGGTAACCTCGGCAAATAGGTAACGTCGGCAAATAGGTAACCTCGGAAAATAGGTAACCTCGGCAAATAAGTAACCTCGGAAAATAGGTAACCGAATATTTGGAAAATAGGTAATCCAAAATAAATAGGTAACCAAAAAAAACAGGTAACCTCGGAAAATAGGTAACCGAAAACCCACCAAGTCCAGAATCCACCTCATCCCCTCTAAAACCACCCCCTTACCCATAATTTTAATTTCGGCGGAGGCTTTATGGGACTCGGCGGAGGGTCGGCTGAGCTTTTAGGGGATTCGGCGGAGGGCTAACTGAGAATTTGGAAGGTTCTAGGACACTTACAAAGCCTGAAACGTTAATTTTAAAATTTTCAGTACATTTTACAGTTCAGAATTATTTTGTAAAGTTATTTTGCAATTTGGAAAGTCGCACTAACAAAGCCTAAAACAATGATTTTGAAACTTTCTTAAGATTTAAAAATTTTTTAGGGGGCGGTTTTTAGAGGGTAGGAAGGTGAAATTAGGGGTTAGGGGGTATTTTTTAGAGGGTAGGGAGGCGAAACTGTGGACTAGGGGGTGCTTTAAAGGGCAGGGAGGTGAAATTATGGGACAGGAAGCGGTTTTTGGAGGGGATGAGGTAGATTCTTGGCTTGGTGGGGTTTCGGTTACCTGTTTTCCAAGCTTACCTGTTTTCCGAGGCTATCTATTTTTTTGGTTACTTATTCATTAAAACTCTTTAGCTCGATTATGTTTCACGCTACTATGAACTATAATTATCATAACTCTGAACACAAGTTTTATCTATTAGGCGTAGTATCTTCTTTCTCTTCGCCTTGCTTTTCCTTGGCCTTTTTGTTGGTTTTTTTCTGATTGCACCACTGTAAGGCTTGGCCAGCTTGCTGTGCTTGTTAAACTTTTTCTCTTTGGGTTTGACCTCTTTAAGCGCGATGCTAATGGGTACTTCTTACTCAATTTTAGTTGATGTTGTTGTAGAACAATACTCCGGCTTTCATATTTTTTTTGTTTTGAAACAAGCACTATTAGCGCCTGAATCGATGTAATGACAACTGTTTTTTACTTGATCTTGTGATCAGAATAAATTTGAAAATTGCGACTCCAGCTCCGGCTTTGCTATAAATTTTTAAAATTTTAGCCCCGGAATTTTTGGTAACTCTTGTGATGAATAGTCTAGTCCTCTTTTAAATATAAAATTACTTTTTTTAATTTACATTTTAAAATTTATTTAATGTATTTTCCTTTGGGGGGGGTATCAATAGCCTTTCACTGTTTTATTTAAAAAATTTTAATTTGGGATTTTGATTTTGCTATTGATAATTAAAGAAAGTTATTCCACTTTTTCACTTTTAATCTCGTTGTGGTTTAAAAACATTGTTTTGGATGACAGATGTTGTCGCGGCTTAACTGATAAAACGGGTTTTCCGGCTCTTCCGGATTTCAATCTGATTCCCGTTTATATCAAGTTATCTGAGAGCAAACTACGCAGCGAGCTAACTTGATAAGTAGTTTTTTATACAAAGTATGTTTATGGAATGTCATTGTAGTATTTTTGTGTAAAAATTAAAAACAAACTTACAATTTGAAACAGTTTTGAAGTGCTTAAGGCAATAACTAAGTTTTACCTTTAGGGTATTATCATATCGGTCAAGTTCAAAATTCCGAAAAATATTTTCATAATGTTTATTATTATATTATAACAATTAAAAACTTAATTAACCAGTCATGAGTTAGGCTTCGAATACGTAGCAAGTATTTCTTTCATTTCCGTCCACACAGTAGTTGTTGGTATCGGCAACGAACGAGAAGGCTCCGTTCGAGCACATGACTACGTAGTTACCGTGCAATTTGGCCTTCAATTCAGAGTGAATGGCAATCTTTGAGGCTCCTGGGTTCTCAGTGATGTTCTGAAAGAATAGTTTTTATTAATTGGGTAATGATAAGGTTTTAGTTTGAAACAGAATATGCTTAACTGAAGAAAATATAGAGGTATAGCTTAAAATTTTGTTTCACACTACATTTTATGACTTAAAAAAGCAATAACAATATATTATATTAAGCTTAATCGTTTTAACTAATAAGACTTTTAAAAAGTTAAAACATTAACATCAAGAAGCCAAAAGACACCAAAACTTACGGTGAGGATGATCTTTCTGATTTGTGGGTTGTTGCACAAGTTCTTGTCCTCATCTCCAAAGTGTTTGCTGACCAAGGCAGTGGTAGATCTCTTCTTACGCCCACATCCGCACGATGGGGGTGGGCATGGGAGCGAGATGCGAGGAAGAGGAGGCAAACACAAAGCTGGCAGAGTAATTGGTGGGAGTTGGGGGAGGCATGGGGCCGGTAGACATGGTGGTGGAGGTGGAGGGCATGGTGGTGGGGGTGGAGGACACGAACAGCCGCAACTCTGTTGCCCACCGCAACCGCCGCTACCGAAAAGCAGCGCCGAGGCGGAGGCGGCGAGGCAAAGCGTGAGAAGAGCGCGGATCATTGTTGTTGGCGAACGAAGGCGTTGACGGAATGCTCGCTCCCGTTGATGGTTTTATATGCCGGAGAGGTTGGGGCGGGTCGCTGAGGGTTCTGGATCAGAAGCCTAAGTGGAACAGGGAAGATCCGCCTGCTTCCGATACGGCTTGTCATGTTGCAATCCACTTGAAGATGCGTACAGTAAACATTATACGTAACCCCGCGACAATGGCTACTTAAACTTACAAAAAATATGTAGGTGACAACGAAAAGTTACAGTAAACTGAAACGTATTGTCTTAAGAGCTGCGAATTTTCAAATCACATGAGAAACTGACGACAACGTATGATTTACATTACTGGCTTTTGGGAAATTTTATTGAAGACCAACGACTGTAATGGCATGATGATTTAGCTTTACTTGGCATACGCTTCTTATTAACTCAAGCTTCTTGACACGAGATGACAGTAACAATAGCTTTCTTTACGTTGCTTTATATGGTTAAATTTTCTTTGTTGTAACATAACTTTCCATTATATTATAGTTTTACTTTGACTTATGCATATTTCAATCGTATTTTATTATTCGTTTTTGTATATCTCCATGCCTAATCCTTGTATCTTCAATTTCAATTAGAAAATGAAAACGATTAAGGCTTGTGAAGTTTCTTTTCTTCTGGTTTTCCACCGTCCTTTGAACTTGAAATCGGATGAAACCGGGATTCCGATTTGGCGCCACTACCAGAAACCGGTGTTCTCGAATCAAAAAAGAGTTAATTCTTGGATAAGATCGCGGTTTAAAACATCCCCCGACGCATCTTCCGCCAACCGGTTTTGGCCCATAACGTAATGTATAGCTTATTGCATAACGACAGTTATAATGTGTCACAACGACAGTTATATTATATCATAATTACAGTTTTAATATGTCATAATGACAGTTATGTCTTTATGCCAGTTGCTTTTTAATGACATTTATACCACATTGTTGCTTTTAGAGATATTGTACATGTTAAGGGTCATTAAACGAATGCATCCACCATGACATGATTTTATTGTTTTTTCGGATATTTTTTATTATGTCACAGTAAAAAAAAAGCTCAAACTATTTGACACAGTGACAAAGCCACTCTTACTATTCTCTTAGTCAAAATAAGCTTTTTACCAACATATCATTATCACTAAAAGTTCAAAAAAATTTTTATTAAAGTATTATTCATAAAACACCAATAGAAATGTTACTGAAAAAAAAGTAATTACAACCGAAGAGATAGAAAAACCAGCCAATGATATAAAAAAAGTTTTAAAAAATAATTTTAAAAATTTAACCTTTTATAAAAACTCAAAAATGAAATTTTAAATTCAAAAATATTGTACATTTGCAGCTGCAGAAAAACGAAGCGGTAGAGACTCGTATATGTTCAGAACTAGATGATTGTTTTCGTTTTGGTATACGTTGTTCGTTGAAAGTGATACGAAATTAAGTGACTTAGCGACAGCCGGGTATGGGGCCGGTAGTGTCCATGCCCAATTGCACTTGACTAATGGTTACATTGATGCCTAGATTACCTTGTTCTGCGAATAATTGTGCATGATTCGTGTCGAAGGCGAGGCAATCTGATTGTGATATTGCTGTGTTCACACCTTCGTGGATCGAACGCGGCGTGGCTTCCCATGCCAGACGTCTTCGTCCGGCTGACAGTTCCATTCTGAAAGAGTAAGGTTGATTATACTTAATAAAGAGTTAGTAAATAAGATACATTTTTAAGTTTACTTTAATATATTTTCATGAATTTACCACCCAAACCATCTAACTCAACTTACTTATAAGAAAATCGTTCGGCTTCGGCCTTTGTCCCGATCAATTGTACTACAGCATAAAATATTTGATAGTTCTGTCCGGTTGGATCTTGTTTGTCCTGTTTCTCCAGCACTAACATAAAATACGAATCAAAACATGATTGCATCATAACCCAGTCGACAGCTCCAGGAAGATTAATATCCGTGGCCAAGAAGACGATATCTTCTCCTGAAACATTAAAATTAAATTATAATTGATAAAAGATCCTTTAAACTGTGATATTTTTATAAATATGTTTTTTAAAGTTACTGTACTATTTAGCCTCTCACTACAATTTATATTGTAGTTGGTTAAAACTGTAGCTTTTTTCAAATTTTACTGAGTAAAAACAAAAAATAGACATAAGAAAGGCTCTTCTAAATAACTCCAAAGGCTTTTTGATATTCTGATACAAACAAATTCAACTGTCATTCAAAGAATTTACCTTGTAATGTAGTAATACTCTTGTGCATCTTCATCAAATGTCCCATAACTTCATTCAAACATCCTTGCCACTTGCACGATGCCCCTGGGCATGGACAACAATATGGTCTGAAATCACATTTCTCTTCGTGCTCCACCTTCTGATGATGAAGAAAGTGACTTGAGCAACCAGAAGTGTTGAATTTACATGGGAACATCATCTGACTAGCTATCTTCTCCATCGCCAAGTTACGGATATTTGCTGAAATTGGCATGGTAAGATGATATAATGATTTATTTACTTCTAATATCATTTTAAATGTATTTTTGTAGCTAACGGTTTACAAGTTAACCATAAACTACAACTGTAGCTACAGCAATAACTTTCTCACCCATGCTTCATTGCATGACTTTTTCCCTAAACATTCAAAAAATATATAAAATAACTTACGAACTGGTCCTCGACAAGCCGGACAAGACGCCACCTTCGGTCTACAGTTGCTACACAACAAATGTCCAGAGTTACATTGTAAATATGGTGGTAACATGTACTCCAAGCATACTGGACATTCGAAAGCCGACAAAAGTTCTGTGTTCGAACAGCTTGGAGCTGCAGTGACAATCGCCTCACATGGATGCTGCTTCTGCTGTGGAGCTACTGGATTTGCCGGCATATTGTGCATCATCATGGCTGAAATTGAATAGTTTAGGTAACAAAACCATATTTTATAGTTAAAAAGAAAGAGTGTAAAATATAACGCATTTGTTATTAAAGCATTTTAGGCCACAAATACAATAATTTAAACTACATTGTTAAAATGAGTGAGATAACATTATAACGCTTTGCAACTTGTACAAAATCTCAGAGTTTATTATGAAGTGTCGACAATATAAAAAATACGTAATTTTTCTACTAAATGTTATGTTATCATAAAGAATATTTATTCATTAACTTACACAAACTTCTAATGATTTCTAAGAAAAGTAAAACTAAATTTTCACATCATTTTTAAGTCCAAAATCATACTAGGCGAGTAGAAAAGAAGGGCAAACAAAAATATTTTATTTTTTGAGTTCTCGACAAAACTCGTCATTGCGACTTGTTTTTTAGAAAAACGTAAAAAATTAAAAGTAAATTACATAAATATGGCCAACTTCGGTTAAGAAACTAAAGTTAAAACAGAAATGTAAAATAACCTCTATGTAAACTCTCCAATTTGTCCAAATTTTGTCAAAATTCACAAAAAATACCCCTAAAAACAAAATAAATCAATAAAACTTGACATACCTGCCGTCTGTGATGGCTGGGTGCGATGGGCGCCGGGGATGGTAGCCACGGGGGTGGCAGAGATGGAGCTGTTGGTGTCGGTGTCCGACATCTGACTACTGCTACCTTCCTTTTCAAAGCTCATCGTCGAGAACCTGAAGCGATTTAAAATTGAAAAGTTTGTTTCACGTGGTGCGCGGACTGGCCGGGAGCGAAAGCAGACGAATGGTGAATATAACGCTATAAAGGAGAGGAAAGTAAAGTTTTTGGGAGAGAAAAATACCACTAAAAACGAGGAAATACCACTGGAACATCAGTAAGTCAAGCTTTATTCAAGCTCATCAAACAGATATTGATTTAATTTCGAACCGAATCAACCTCCGAATATCAAAATGAGATCCGAGAGCAAGTGAAGACGTCGTTAAGACAAAGATCGACGGCATCAAGTGCCACACATGTCACAAAATAGAGGTAGAGAGAAGGGGCGCACTCCGACGGCTGGTAAAGTGAAGAGGAAGGTCGCACATAAAGAGAGACAGATGACCCGGCTGGGGCCGGGCCCGATATCGGGCCGCGCCTGATCAAAATTAAGAACGGGCCGGGCCTGAAAGTTAGGCCCGGCCCGCAGGTCGGGCTTGAAAATTGGGCCCGGGCCCAAAAAAAAATTTTAAATTCCCGTTCATGTTTTTTGCTTTTATTGGGTACTACGGTCAATAAATATGGCTGGAGACTTATACTTCAATTTTTTTTTCTCAAAAATATTTTTTTTCTCAGTGAAAACCAAAAATGGCGCAGGAAAATACAAAATTCTGCGCTGTTTTAAAAAGAGAGCACAATAAAACGAGAGACACTAGAGAAAAGACTCTCTCACTTTCAAACGATATTTTTTTCAAATGGCGCAGGATTCTGTATTTTTCTGCACCATTTTTTAATTTTCACAGAGAAAAAAAATATTTTTGAAGAAAAAAATTTAAAGTATAAGTCCCCAGCCATAAATGATCTGGAAAAACAAATTTAAAACCAAATTTCCGTTTAGTCGTTAAGTTTTAAAATTTTTTATAACGGGCCGGGCCTAGAAATTTTCTGATCGGGCCGGGCCGGGCTTGAAAGTTAGGCCCGGCCCGTTTCTCATGTCTAGTTCAGGCAACAGTTTTAAGCCGTCTCCATTATAGAAGCTTATTCAGCTTACAAGGAAAGTACCGAACCTGCAACTCTCAGAATTAGCTCAGAATTTTTCCTTGTAGTACCAATAGCACGCATAAAATCTTAGCTTGCGGTTTTAAGTTTTAAAATCAATATATTCAGTTTTCCGCTAATTTTGCAAGTTTGGCATTGTGTTGCAGAATCACAATTTCAAATTTGCTAATTTTAAAAATCTCAATGAACGAAACTTGAAATCATCAAATAAATCTTTACAAAAAATACAGCATTCACTTACTCAGTTATGTTTAATAAATAGTAATTGTACTTGTTAAATACTATTAACATAAAACATATGAAATTTCAAAAACGTGATGCTGGTATAACAACCCGTATTGCGGTAAATGGTGCTGTGTGTACGAAGGCATGTTTTTTTAAAGCAATTGCAGACTGTCAAGGAACGTACTATAATATTATTATATTATCATCACGAACTGAAATTTGAATAATTGAAACTCGTGCGAAAATTATGACTGATTATGTTTTATATCACTTATGTTAGCTTTAACAGTGACGAGTACGAAAACTTATTGAAATTATAACTCAAAAACTTTATTTTTATAAGTTTTGGATTAAAAAAAAGTTGAATTATTTATGTGTTTTACAATTTTAAGAGTGATATCAAGATTATTTGTGTTTCACACTTTTAAGTGATATCACTGGTCTATCTAGACGTGGTGTACAAAGCTACAGATTATAATTTTTATGATGCATATTATTTAAATAAGCCACTTCAAGGATACAGCCTGAACCCTCATTATAATTACAGAGTAATTGTTCAAAGGTTCAATGTGTGTCCATTTCTTTTCTTCAAAAGTGAGGACGGGCAAAAGCCCTGAGGGCATCGATTTCGACTATTTTAGCTCTTTTTTTATTCCTCGCCATCTTATGACCTCATAGAAAAGATTTTGGCATGAAACCTTTTCGGGCATATTTTTATCAAAATGTTATGTTAAAATGTCATTTTATTTTATGTTTTTAAGAAGATTTAAGTTTTAGGTATTATTTTAAAGTTCCTATTGTTATAACAGCGTCTTAGCTGCTATTTTAAGGATTAAAGTAGCGTTTTGAATAACTTTTAAGACTCGGAGTACAATTTTAAATAATTTTTATAACAAAAGATACCATTTGAGGAGCTTTAAAGGTGAATTGTAATTTAGATTGCTTTTTAAATTTAAAAATGTTGTTTTTGGAATACATTAAGGATGAGAAAAGAGTTCAGAAACAGATGAGAATACCATTTTAGAGGTTCAATTATTTGGCGCAGTCATTCTGGAGATGTACTTGAGATGTGACGAAAGGCATTACAAAACCTTTTGACGTTTCTTTTGTTGTGTACGTCAAGAAGGTTCGAAAAATAGTTTCGATGTTTGTGGCCTGGCCGGGGGGGTTGAGTCAGCGCTCTTTGACACCCGAAAAGTCATTGAAAAACACCGGCTTTTAACTCATCTTTTTTCTTTGAAATTTAAATCAGCCTATCCTTTGGTTTTTACAAACTTTACTCAGTTTAACTCACCATGGCAGAAAGTTACTTAATTTACCTTTTTTATTTAAGTTTTTAGGCTTAGTTTTGCAATTTAAATAATGTTTTTCTTCCTTCTTTTAAACCTTTTTGACGATTCAAACCTCTAAATTCATTCCTCTCAAGCCTCTTTCTCTGCCATTTCCTGATAACATCGCCATCACCTAGATACACAAATTAATGGAAAGACCTTGTTGTAAGCGGGAAAAGCGGACAAAAGCCATTTTCACGTAAAATTTCACCTGGTGGGCTTTAGTGATGTTGTTTAGTGACAGCTGTGGCGAAACGCGTTCATTGACCTTACGTCTTGTTGTGTACGTAAAGTAAGGTGATTCATGTTGTTATTTTGGTCGGGGAGGGGAGGGAAGGTTAGATAAATGAGTGGGTGACAACGGGATGCCCGGAATTTAAATCTTCTTTAAAACGCTCGGAAGGACTGCCTTATCCCTGTTTCACGTTGTAAACGATCTGCACATTGAAGGCGGATTATTTGTTCAGTTTGTTTTGGTGACTTTTTCTAGACAACTATATCGTTATATGAAAAAGTATTCAAATATTCACCAATTGACTATTTGTGAGCTTTTATAAAAACTAATATTATTAATATTTGTGACTATATTTATGCAAATATTACGTTTTTTAAATTGCAATAAAAGTCACAGTGAAAGTCGCTCAATAAACCTTGGTATGCCATTTTACCTTTATGTTATTATAATTTTTAAAGTTCCATTACTAAATTTATATAATCATTGCGTTTAAATTGCTTTACAAGTTTTATATCCGTAATTTTAAAAAAATATAATAACTATTTTGAAGGTAGAGAAATGACGGACGTTGACAAGCACGTTGATGTAGATGCAATTCTCGAAGCTTATGCGTGGAAGACGTTTCGAGATGCCGTTGGCATTAAAAAGTCAGGATTGGACGCTTTTAAACACCTTGAACGAGAAGAAGCTGAGTTTACTATTGTAAGTTAACTTGTTTTGTCATCATAATTTAGGTAACTTTATATCTCATCAATGATATTTAGAAACTGTAAATTTATCGAAAATTGTGATTCTATTCTACTATAAAAGTATCAAAAACATGTTTTTTTAAAGTATTTAAATGATGACATTTCAATACCATTTTCGTCACTTTTAGGACCGCCGACGGCTAGTACTCATCCATGGTGACCCCGACTACAAGTCGATGCAGCTGAGTGGAGCCAAACCTAACACAATATTCAAGTCAGTTTTCACGAACAACACTTCACAACCTCAGGCCTACTCGTTGAAGACGGAAAGGACTAGTGAGAGTATCGTAGGAGTCGTCAGAGAACAAGGATTCATGATTGGTGCTGAGGCTGAACTCACTTTGAAAACACCTTGTAAGTGTCATTTATGATTGAAAGTCTAGATTTCAAAGAAAAACGTTAAAAGCAATTATTTATAAATATTTAAATACAGAAACATATTATTGTAGGTGAAATAGCAGAGCTTAAAACCGGTTTCAAGCACGAAACTCACTTCAACAACCTGAACGAAACAACCAAAAGCGAGATTCTGTCGTGGTCAGTAGACTCAAATATAATGGTACCGCCTGGAGCACAAACTGAAGCTGCCATTGTGATAGAAGAACTTAACTACAATGGTTCATATTCCCTACAATCAACGTTATCAGGAGTTGTAACTATTGTCATCAAACGAGTCAAAGATGGAGCTTTGGTGCTTCCTGTCACTGCCAATATTGCTACTATCTTCCAGGTAAATGTTTTATATTGTTTAGAAAACAATGAACGTTATTATTGTATATAGTTTAAAATTTTAAACTGGTCAAAAAGTTTTTAGAAGTGGTTTTTTGTGCAAATTTCACATAATTTTTGAGTTTTTTACCGATTTTTTTGAGCAAAACTGAAAACTAACAAGTTTTTTGAAAAGCTTATTATAATTTGTTCTTTAGGATTCTATGAACTCTTCCAAGAAGTTCCAACATGTAGCCATCGAAGACCGGAAGGTCAAAATACAATCTAAAGGCCACTGCCACTTCCAGGTAAGCATATCAATGTTGTAAACTGCCAACACTCTGTCATTTTAAAAGAACTGTTACCAGAGCAAATATTAATTTAAGTATCAAACAAATTTCTAGAAAATTTGGCTATGTTACAGTAATCTGTACTTTCAGTTCGCAATGAAACAGTACGTTGAGCTTAAAGAATTGTCAACTCCGCGTGATATGTCCAAAGAATATCAACGAATGAACCTCCAAGGCATTTAAACGCTGTATACAAAAGTCTGATCTCCATTGATGCTGCTATGATACTTCCGTGATGCATTGTCATCAAGATTAATATTATTGAGAAATTTAAATAAATTAGCTTATTTTACTTTGTAATCGCTATTGTTATTAATAAAACACAATATTCAAAATAAGAAAAATTTTTAAATTGTAATAAATTACATTTTTTAACATTAACAACCACTTTTCACAGAATCTGTAAAGAACAACACAAGCGACACCAATAAAGAAAAGGTTGACTCAAATCTTTTCTTCGCGTCAACTCTTACTCTATATAAAATATATTTATATAAATTTGTAAAAACAAAAATCTTGATTCATGAACGGATTTTTGGACCTCTACAGGGTACAATACGAATGCCCGTGTGGTTCATGGTACCCTTTAAGCTATTTATATTATTGTAAGCCATGTAACCACATCAGATGTACGGACTGTGCTTTGGAAGACGTAGACAAGACTTATTGTCCGACTTGTATCGACGACACAGTCATTGACGACAGTCGGTTTGGTAAAGGAACATGTTCAGTTTGTTACACATGTCCTGTTTGCAGTAAGTTTATGTTTTTATTTCAGTATTATAGGTTTAGGTAATAAATTTAACTTCGTGTCGTATAATGTGTCATGAGTACATTAATTTGCTTAAACATATTGAGTAGAACGCAAAGCTTTTAAAAATTGAACTCCATGTTTTAATTGAGTCAAATATAGTGACTTTTTAGTGACTGTGATCGATTTCCTTTCTTATTTTCCCTGTTTTATCTCATTTTAGGTGACAAATTGGTGTTTCGCGCGTTAGTGGAGACCAACCAGCATTATCTTCACTGTAATAGCTGTATGTGGAACACGAATGATGCTCAGTTACCCAGTCAAGCTAGGAAGAACGAATGGCCGTCGTTCCCAAACGCTATGGAAGACAAGCTTCTCAGGGTCCAAGCTCATCTAAAACAACTTTCGACGTTCGAGAAAAACGAAACAGACAAACCGTCAAGGAGATCTATGTCTAACCTTGGTCATGTTGCAAGTGGACGTTACGGTATTTTACAGTTGATGGAGACGAGAAGGAAAAAGATTATGGCACGGCCAGTGTCGATTGAGAACTTGAACACTTCGGATGTTGAAGGTAATATAGGTCCAGGGACGTCGTTTGGGAGGGGGGGGAGGGGGTGTGTTTTTTTTCCGCACTTGTACGCGGAAAAACGAAAAAAAAATTTTGCAAAATCGGTCCACAGGTAGCTTACCTGTGGACGAAAAAATTGTTTTCGACCTCCCACCCTAAGAGAAAATCTGTAGCGATGTCCCTGTATAGGTCTTAACTGTTTTGCTAACACTGACCTTGATTGCTGTTGTGAAACAAAGGATCTTGTATTTTGCTTATGTAACGATTAATATTCAGCAAATTACGGTCAAAAACACATTGAATCTCTAAAATTTCAGAACTTGACCCATCAGTTTATACAGAACAAGTTAGTGAGTACGATGTGCCAAAGTTGGAACAAGTCATTCGTTTGCCGTTTTGCAATCCTAAAGCCATGTATCCTATTCATCTGAAAATGCACGGAAGGATTCATGTACGATGTCCCGAACATGATGTTACCATCTATCGTGGAGAATTCGCCATCTTGAAGACTAAACCTCGACATCATGTAAGGGAAAACACCATTCAGGCTTTAAAATCATGATACTATATTATGATGGTTTCTGAGCAACATAAGAGAACGTACACTAATTATTAAACTCAATTACTAGTTATCGTATTACGAACTTCTTAAATTTTCAGATTCCCTGCTCCGATTTCTGTCCAGAACTAAAGTTTAGCCATGAGACTGATTTTTCGATATCCGACACCTTCTCAGTGTTCATTACAATTATGAATTCTTCCTTTTCCCCAATGAGTGTGAAGATTGAGCCTCAGAAAATAGATGATCCAAATTGCCTAATATGTGACAATGAACCGTTTGAATTCAAAGGAGAATCTGCCATTCAAAACAAAGATACCAGTGGAACAGTAGAATTGTCAAGTGATTTTAAAGCTGATTCGTTCACAGGAGCTGCTTTGGAAGCTGATGATGTTGGGCAAGTCAAATTCTCTGGGGGGGTGGAGACCCAAATTTTTTTTTCGTCGTTTTTTCACCTACAGGTACACCTACCTGTGCATTTTTTTTCGGATCGGCTCAGGGAATCACCCCGAACCAATAGAATTTTAACCTTACGTATTTAATACGTTCCTATGACATCTTCCTTTAAAAATTTTAGTGATAGTGATTTTAGAATTGTTGTTTTCCGTGCCCAACACCGAGTAGGAGTACATTTGAAGTGCAGAGCTCAAGATGGATGTACAGGGCCTGAGGACTGTTACCTACTGCTACAGGTTACATATAAAACTGACAAAGCCGAAAAGCAGTCTACAAACCGCGTTAAATTATACCTTTAACTGCCTTCTAGCTTTTTTAGATCCTTACATTAAGTTTAATGGTCGCTAAATAAATTATTATAATTCTTGATTCATCATGTCATAAGTTTGAGGTTCAGAACCTGAACTATAAGCAAAACCCCACTATTAAACTGAATGTTTATCCTAAATCAACAACTAATCTTCAACAATCGGAAGGGGACCTCCAACCATTTCTTTTCTAATCCGTTGTCGTTCCGCCATCTGCTCCTTCCTGCTTTGAACGACGCTAGATTTGACCATGACAAAGGCTCCAAAGCCAACCAGTATGATAAGCCCGAACGATGCCCAGATTCTGGTGTGATCTTGGTCCATCTTGTGACGATCCACAAACTCCGACCTGTAATTCCACTTTCTGAGCTCTCCAGCAATCTCCTCCTCGTGGAAATAATCTTTCCTGTGCTTTCTCTTTTCTTGTTCTTCTTCAAGTCGACGCTTCAATAGGTCTATTTGTCTAAAACAATAAAAAAAACTTTAGGTGACACTTACGTTACATTTTCCTTGTCCGCATGTGAAGTTGAGGTTCGAGCAAAGCTTCTACATAATTTATATGAGATTCTTGGCGCTGAAAGTAGTTTAGACATCTTTGACCATTTCTCTTCAAAATCTAGATTAATCTGTGAATTTTTTAATGTTAATAATTATTGACAACTGCGCCCTAACCGTAAATAGACTTCTGCAGCTTGCAAGTGTAAACTTATACGCAAATACGCGAAAAGGTTTGTCAAATGATCCAATTTGTGTGTCACTTCAATTAATGTTTAATTCTACAATATTTGTTTACTTCTGGAAATGTGCCACTTTCCAAATTAATCTTTCCATTTCAGATTGTGTAGCCGTCAGGCTTTAATTTTGATCAAATTAATCCTTGGCATTATGTCACAAAGATTCTGAAAAATAAATCGAAGAAAAGTAAAAGTCAAAAGTCTCCATCTGAAGTGATGGACGAAGGTTCCGGTGATGAGCGTCGTCTGTTCGAACATTTTATTGTAGCCGGATTGGCCGACGGTGCTGATGAGTTGACAAAAGTGTCACATGAATGTGGTAACAAAGCTCCAGAGCAGGTGGCTCCGATAATTGACATCACTGTCATATTTCCTAGCCTTGGCGAAACCGTAAGTTAATTTCTTTTGTGTTGTATATTTAGATGCTTTAATTACGACACATATTTGCAAACTTTGGACTGTTTTTGAGGCTTAAACAAAGTTTTATGTAAAAGTAGTCGTTAAAAAGTAGTGAACCAGTTGCTTTTGGTTAGAACGTTTTTGAAAAGATGGTTAGGAACTCGGAATTTTAGGTTGTTTTAATCTATAGCTTAGGTAAACTAATTCCAAATGAGAAATGTTTTTTTTCATTAAATTTGTTTGTTCTTTGAAGTTGTTTTATATCTAAAACGAACCTATTTTTATAATCTCCAGGAGTACTTGCGAAAGTTGAAGCTGTGTGTTCAAATTCGGCCGGTTTTAGAAATTAAATGTTATTTTTATATATTGTAGGTTCCTAAAGGTTACGAATGTATCGAAACAACGCCTTCTGGACATCCAGCTGATCTGAATCATGGGTCATTTCGAACGAATTCAGCTTTTCTGTGTTATCGGCGAGGTTACAATAAGCCGGCTTTGGTTGACATAGGAATCTTGGATGAGAGTAAACACGAAAAAGTAAAATATGACTCAACGATAATTCAACACACTCACTTTGGACATTCGGCTAATGTGAACAACTCTTCGGCCGGATTATTTTTTACTACAAGAAGATCAAGTGAAAATGCACCGCCTCATCAGCTTGTGATTACTCACATATGTGTTATACTCACGTCCAAAGGAGAAGTTCCACCACATACTTACTTCAAGATTGACAAGAACTTGAACAAGGTATGTTTAACTTTGCTGATTTTTGAGTAATGTATAGTTTACTGTGTAAAAAATATTTACATTTGTATTTTGTAAAATATGTTATTTTTCTTGTATATCTGTCTTATAATTATAAAACACAACTTAAAGCTTTAAACTATTCCAGGGTATGGTCGGGTCTGGAGTATATGTTTGTTACAAGAAGGCGCAGTCATCTTCTAAAAGGATATCATACAAGCCGGCCATATTAGATTGTTACCCAAAAGTTGAAGATATTACTAATTCTATTGCTCAGAATGTGTCCATGTTTTGTTTGCCAATGGGAGCGGTGATAGAAAGCTGGGCCAAAGGTTGTAGTGAACCAGAGAAGATGTTCAGTACTTGTGTATTAACTGATGAGGTATGCTTTTGAATTCTTGTTGTTTTTACGTTTAGGTAATTAATTTTTAACTAGGTTCACAAGAGTTGAAGTTGCATAAGGATTGAAGTTTATATTAACTTACATATTAATTTGATCGCGTTTGACTTTAAAGAGGTCTTGATGCACATTTATAACGCTTTAAAGGTTGCGATTCTTTGTTTTCTAAAAATTAATATTGTTTTTAGATGGGAAACAAGTTTTATGGAGCTTCGTTGACATTTTATGAGAAGTACACTAATGAATTGACAGAGACACAATTGGAAAAGTTGGAGTTGAGTTCAATGATACCTGAAGAAGAATCTGTAGAAGGTCAGAATTCTGTTAGTACTGAAGTGAGTTTAAATTTTAGTTAAACGTATTATATTATAAGTGTTCAAGTGATTTTATATGTTAGAGACTGCAATTCTACTTTATCTTTATTTTTCAGGCCAAATATTATAGTAGCAAAGCGATTTGTATTGTATCAAGGTACCCATTCTTCGAAGCCTTTAGAAAATTTTTATTTTTTGTTAATGGTATGTCACGATCAGGATCTTATAAACTGCCGATTGAACGTTATATTAGCCATTTGGTAGGATTTTAAAAAGTTTTATTTAATTTTGTCTTAAAAAATAGTTTTTTTAAATAACAACTACAACATCTATTTTTGAAGTTTAAAAATATGAGAGGAGTATTCGACAAGATTGTTTCCTATCGTAATGTACGTATTTTAGATGCTTGAAGTGCCGTTTCCCTCACCACTAAGACCTCGAGTTCTTGTGCAACTAAACAATGAGTTGGTGCCTTTCGAAAGTCACGATGATAGTCAAGTTCCGCTCTCTGGAGCTACTTTTGTGGAATCTTTACGCTACCTAGGGGTCGAGAGTATTCTCTATGCAATGTTGTTAGCTTTGCTTGAACAAAAAGTGAGTTTTAAGCGAATTTTAACGAAAATTTATATTTTTTATTGTATTATGGATATTAGATGTGTTTTGTTGGTTATAGTCAGTTTGTAACACAACAGTAGGAACTTGAAATTTCGAGTTATTAATGTTTGAATTTACAGATACTAGTCCATTCTCTACGTCCATGGTTGTTAACGTCGGTATCTGAGACTCTGTGTGCAATGATGTTTCCATTTCATTGGCAATGCCCATACATTCCTCAATGTCCGCTGGATTTGGCTGGGGTTCTCCATGCTCCTTTACCTTTTATTGCAGGTGTTCATTCAAGGTAAAGTTGAAAATCTATATATTATTTTATTAGAGGGTTCAAATAATTCTGTGCATTCTAATTACGATAATTTTCTTTGAGAGGGGGCACAGAATTATGTGAACAACCGAATAGATTTTTATTGACAGGGTCAATTTAATTGATTTTGTTTCAGTAACCACTTACTATAGCTCTAAATTTACAGGTATTTCGACCTGTATGAAGACCCACCAGAAGATGTGACATGTTTCGATTTGGACACACAAACTATTAGCAATTCGTATGTTAGAAAGACTGTTAAACTCAATATGTTACCTAAAAAACCATTAAAAAAGTTGAGGCAAGCTTTGGAGAAGCTACTGATAGAACTACAAAACAACGAACAGAAGCTACGAGGAGATTCTGATTACAAAAAGAAGCTGGATCTGAATATCAGGGAAGAGTTCTTGAGGTACGATGAGTTTTGTTAGCTTTCTTTGGTACAATTTTTCATTTTTTAGGTTTTATATTAAGATTTGAGCTTAAAACTGTGTTGCATATTTAATTGTAAATTTTTTAAAAATATAACTTTATTTTAAATTTTATTCAAGGATTTGTTGCTACTTTAAATATTATATTCATCTTATTTTTCAGATTTATGTGCCATTTGATGATAAACTACAACGACTACCTGAAGCCAATTACAACATCGCCAAAGACCGTTAATGCCACGGATATGAGCGTCTTGTTCGATTTGGATGGATTCTTGAAGTCGCGGGACAAGAATTCTTACGACTTCTACAAAAGATTGTCAGAGACACAATGCTTTATCAGGTTTGTGGAGGAACGAAGCTTCATATCGGATAAAAACGTCTACAATGTGTTCTTTGATGACTGTGCTGAAAGGGTTAAGCAACAAGGTATGATATATAAATTTATAATGGCTGAGTCTTGAAGTTTAAGTTCTTTAAAAGATCTACTAAAGACCTCTGACTGGAGCGATTTTGAGTATAAAATTTAGGGTGTTTGTCATTACTTTCGGTATTAATCTAGCTTTTTTATCTTTAGATGTTCAAGTCCCATTACTGGATTACGACTCGTACTTGTCTAATCACACGATAGTTGTACCACCTCCAGAAGTCTTTACGGAATATCGTGACTTTTACACTTATCATGGCTTTCCATCACAATTCAATGAGTTGTTGTTTGAAACTGACACCATTAAAGAGAAGAAAAAGGATTCTGTAACACAAACTTTGGTTAAGGAAACTTCTACTGGAGCTGGTAATTGTTTTATTGATATTTTAATCAACGATAATAATAATAAGGAAGCTTAACAGTTCATCTTAGGTAGAAACTGTAGAATATTATAGTTTTTGATTATCTTATAAATTTAAAATGACGTTTTTTGTTTTAGAAACTCAGCCCTTTGCTTTTTGTCGCTGCAAACAAGAATCAAGGATAACAACAACTGACTTGACGGCTTTGTTAGAACAATCCGAGATCTTTTGGCCAAGATCGTTACTGTTCTTTGCTTACTCGCTATGGTTTCTACAACTACCAGCTTTGGTTTCAGTGTCACGGAACAAATTCAAGATGTTATTATTGGCTGTTAGGGTTAGTTTTTGTTGAAAAGTTTAGGAATTTAAGATAACGCTGTTTGAACTAGGTTTTTTATGTTTAAAAAGGAGTTGTTTTTGTTGTGATAAGTATTATTTTTGAATTTTGGAATAGAAAAATTGGGGTTATTTGAATAAAAAAGTCAGTTAGGGGGCTTGCTTGTGGTAAGATATCTGATATATAATATTTTTTTTGTATTTGGTCGTTATATGCTTTTTTTTAGATATTAAGCCGAATGGAGAAGTGTGGTCTTCACTTTTTCGATCAACTATCATACCGAACTCTGATCCGTCTCTGTGGTGAGTACAAATACCCAGCGTTGGCGGTTGATGTGCTACAGAAAATGAGAAGAATTGGAATCCCACTGAACGCCATTACTTATGGAACCTATCATTGGGCTGTAATGCAAGGTGAATGGCCCTCGGAAGCTCAAATGAAGGCTCACGAAGCATGGCGAAGACTGAGGTTACGACTCGAAGGTGCCGTCAGATTCAACTACTTCGGCAGGAATAGTATCTACGCCTTCAAAAGACATATGGCTCAACAAGATGACACTTCTTCTGTGGCCTCTGGGCATTCACGGAACGAATTGAATGTTGGATCAGCAGTGTCTGGATCACTGTCGAATCAGTCGTTGTCTAGTGCTATCAACTTCTCGGAGAGTGATAAAACGACTAATTCGTCTGTGTTTAACGAAAATGTTGAGGTAGGATTAGTTGGTATTGCAGTATTTTGGGCAGTAAAAATAATGTTTTTTGAGATTTATAACTAAAAAGTTGTTTAGTATTGAAGTAAATATCATGAGTAATATATTGTTTTTATAAAAATTGATATTTTATTACTGAAAATGATAATTTGATAAATTTTATTTTCAGCCTGCAAAAATGCCTGACGAAGACCCTCTGGGTGCTGGGAATGGAGCCTTAAAACGAGATGCAAGTGAAGGAGCTATCAGTGAAATGTTGAGTCCAACACGACAACAATTTATCAAAGAACATTCGGTTTCACCGTTCTCGAAGGAGCTGGATGATCTTGATAGGAAAATGTCACAAGAAAGGAAAAAGTCATTTAAATTGGGTGGTTCGTGGCTGAAAGGATTAACAACTTCTCCTATGATTAACAGATTAATGAAAAGCTCCGGTTCAGGTATTATGTCTTAATTTTTAAGGAAGTAATGGGAGTTTCGGAGGTTTTAGGTAATAGCTTTTGTCTGGTTTCGGGGTAGAGATAATACTATTTGAAGTAAAGTGTTTAAGGGTTTATTTAATATATATTTTGATTTTTTTGGGTTGTTGTCAAAGTATGGAAGTAAAAAATTGAATAAATGTGTTTTTGATTATATTTTTGAAGTTTTACGTAGTGAATTTAGTTTTAAATGTGATCGTTATGTCGAGGATCTTTACAGATGCAACAGAAAAACCAAAGTCTCATAGCATGGGTGGTCATGGAAAGCTGGAATCCTCAAATGGTGCGATGACAATGTCACCAAGCCTTCATTCTCTAGTCAGTCAGTTCAAAAAACAGGCAATAAAAGGTAATTATGCTTTGACTACAATAATATAATTCACAATTTTAGGTATTAAACTATAATTTATTATTTTAGGTACTAAAGTACCATTTATAATAATAATTTACTTTTTTATATCTTTTTAGGATACGACGGTGTAGTGCAACACAGTTCAGTAATGCTCAAAAAGTCAGGCTTAAACTCGCTGATGAGCGACTCAAAACATCACAAGAATCACTACAAGGACGTGTTATCAGCAATGTCGTCGAGTGAAGAGAATCTGGATGCTATCGATCTTGACAACAGAGACCTTCTATATCAACTGGAACGAGGAACAAGTGGTGACATTCTGAGTTTGGACTTTTGGATGAAGGATGCGTTACCTGAAGTTGTGACTAGTTCAAATCAGTTGTGCTCCAATAGTAACAAGGACCCGCTTGGTAGGTTTTTATAGGATTTGGTTAGGTTAGGGGGTCTTGTATAACATATTAGGTTGTTCAAATAATTCTCTGCTCTCTAATCTTGAAAATTTTCTTTGAGAAGGGGCACATAACTATTTAAACAACCTAGTAGTACTAAAATGTTACCAAATTTTGATTTTAGATGTAGTATTGTCATCGGCGTCGAAATGTCCAAGTTGTGAGAATATAATCTACGATGAAGAGTTGATGTATGGGTGGAATTTGGGCTCGGTGAACATGAACTCAACTTGTCCGTTTTGTTCTACCAGCTTCTCGCCTTCATTAAAGGTTGTTGTAGAGAAGAGACCGTTGGAGAAACTGGCAGCAAGTTGGTATATGCCATTTATTTTTAACTTTGTCGGCAGAGAAGGAAAAGAGGACACCGAGGATGAGGAACTTGCTGTAGGTTTAGGACATAAAAATAATTTTTAGTTTTTATTTTTGTTAAAACAAGCTATTAGTTTAATCCTTTGAAATAATATAATTTTTTAATTTTTCAGAACGGTCTAACTCTATCAGTGCCATTCTTATCACCCATCGTATTGCGCAAAGAACTAGAAGCTCTGTTGATGAGCGATTCTCAAGTCTTTTCACGACCTTCACTTCGAGTGTCACATCCTGTCATCTTCTGGAATCAGCTTTATTACTGTAGACGATTGGATCTACCTAGTCATATTTACGCATGGATATCACCCCAAGTGCACATAAGATGCATTTATGATATTCCAGATTTGCACTTGCCTCAGCTGGCTCCAATTTACTTTTCTCGAGATGAGGTGGGTTGTATTCGGATTTTAAAGCTTTAATAATTTTATTTTTCAAAAGTTATTTTTAAAAATGTTTTAAATTTGAAAAGACAAGTTGCTTCAAGGCAAATGCATGGAAATGATACTGTGTATCTGATTAAGGGCTCGTTATTACGTTTTGGTTAGCTCAAAAAGTCAAAACTAATGAATGAACATCATGTTTCGATAATTCGAGCAAAAACGTGCTCGTAAATTGTTTAACCTCCAAAAACTAAAGTAAAATGTAAATGTTCAAAAACTCGTGCAAAAAATATAGACAAATTGTGTTATGTTGACAATGACGCAAGGAATTATTAAGCGGTAACTCAAAAATTGCCAGGTAATGGGCTTTTTTTGAGTTATATTGTTGTGGGTAGAGGAACTTGAAATTTTGAAGCATTTTTGTTACCGTTTCCATGACGACCGCCTCGGACCGTCTTTGCTCTGATATTGCGGCGTCCGACCGGGCAGGGCAATAAGAAGAGTGTGGCTTTGTCTGATTATGACGAAATGTACAAAATAGTTGTTTTTTATTCGTATTAATTTTCAATTATTTGCTCGAAAAGGGCGTTTACTATGTGTTTCGTCGGTTGCAGCCTGCCGGATGGCTGAGAATGTTGAGGTTGGTTGGTGGCGGTAACTAAGAACCCTTTTTATTTTGGGAATATTTTCTGGGAATCGTATTCACATGGAGTAGAATGTATAGAATTGAGTTTACATTTTACATGTGCACGGCCCTGTAAGGTTTCTTCTTGCTTTTCTCTGTAAAGTATCGATTATTCTCGTTATTTAGTCCTTATTTTTATATTATTCTTGCGGGTCTGCAAAACGTGATTATTGTATTTACTCCGCGAATTAATTAACAGTTGTTGTTGTAATTTGATAGCATCGAGTTGTGTCTTACAGTATTTTTCATATTTTGGTTTTTAACTTTGTTATTTATATAGGGTTTTTGTCTAAAAACGATATTATTGTAGTATCTTTATATAAAGCAATATATTCGGTTTTAATTTGAATATGAGAATACTACTCTGTTTCTAACATTTTACTACTTATTATCAGGTCATGGAAGTCGAACAAACGAGGGAGCTCTTCGCTCCACTAATTAAACATCCAGAAATGAAGGACACTCTTTTGGAACGACCTCCCTTCAAGTTTATACATGATATTGTCAAAGAAGTTGTCAAAGCTACCGGTTACCTCATCAACACTTTTAATGCAGATGAGCTGGACTACAAGAAAGTGTCAGCTTCTAAAGTAACAAAAGCCGATTTTTTGAAAAAACTCAAAAGCAACGTCAACAATGACGGCTCATTGGATTCGGTGAATGTGTCCAAAATTATTGCCGGAAAAGAACCAGAATTGACCAACCTTTTACTACAGAAGTTGGCAATCAATGCAGCGGAGTCAAATGTAGCACCGGCTACAAAAGTGACAAAAACAAAGTCAAAGTCAAGTGATAGGGACAAATCAAAAGAAAGGAAAAAGAAGACAGAAGAAGAGGACAAGAAGAAGTCAAAGAAAGACAGGGATCGAGAAGTTGAACGAGAGAAACGACGTCTATCAAAGGCATCAATTATACTGTCAGAAGCTGGTGCTAAAGAGGCTAAACCCAAAAGTCGGTCAAAGTCAAAGGACAGGAAGTCTAAAGATATTAAGACCAAAAAGTCTGACCGGAAAGAAGAAACTAAAATTGATTCTCCAATTATACGAGACGATTCCTCACCTCGGCGTGAATCCAGTGGAGGCACTTCTAAAGGTGAAGATAGCGGAATTGCGGAAGAATCTGAATTACACGATACTGCGCGTCAATCCAGACGCGTATCAGCTTCTTCCAACCGAGATTTGAGTAATGCTGATCCAGTGACAATAAACGAAGTACCAGCAGATCCTGTTCAAATACCCGAGCCTCTAGAAGTACCACCTTCTGAATTCAAAAGGCCAACTACTGCATCAGGACGTCCAGCAACGTCAATGGGTCGGCCAGGTACAGCAGCCGCTCGACCTGCTCCACCAAAAGTCAAAAAGACAAAAGTTGCGGACATTGATCCGGTCTCTGTAAGTCAACAACCAATCGCTTTTGAGAAGTCGGCCGTGATTTCCGAGGAGCCAGCGCAAAAGGAAGAAGATGATGGGTTTTTGATAGACGAAGACGAATCCAGAGATTTGGGTGCTACAGTAGACGGGACAAACATAAGCGATTTAAAAGCGGATTCTCAGGATCACGGTGCACTAATTAACAGGATAATAGAGAACACCAAAGAGCTTGAGAAGGACGGAATGGCTGTAGAAGATATGGAATTTGATTTACATGAACACAAAAAGATGCGTTTGGAAGTAGAAGGAGTTCAACGGTCGCTACAGAGCTCAGCACAGTCTGTGCAGCCATTAACAAGGACGTTGGAGTTTATCTCTGAAGATTTGTCGTTTTTGTTGAGAGAAGTGGAGACAAATCGACAAACAGCCACAGAAGTCAAACGGAATGTAGTGGAATTGAGATCACAAAAGGTGGACGGGATTGGGTCAGGCTATGCCCAATTAAGGAATCTGGATGATGAACTGAAGGATGTCCGTAGCCAAATTACAAAAGTCATGGCTCAGATCCTGGAAAACGAGAAACAGATCAACGAGCTTATGATGAATAATTAATTAGGTTTGAGTTAGTAATAGTTAATATAAAGACATAAAAAAGGTTTGAAAAGAAATAAAAACATTTTTTAAAATGATTTTTGGTTAAAAATAAGGCTTTCAAAGTTGTCTGATTAAAATTTAAAAAAGTTTTATTTTTTATTTCATTAAAAAAAATATTTTCAGGAACCGCCTTTCTCTAAAATACCTCTACAAATGCCGAGAGTGAACCAAAAGATACGCCAACTGATTGTGGACAGTATTCCGAACGAAAAAGGACTGGTCAAGATCCTGCAGTTCATCATTCAACATCACCGTGAAGCGGCCGATGGAGTTGTCAGGTTGAAGCCGCATTTCTCGATCTATCGGTGAGTTTATGATCTTTAATGGGTAATATAAACTAGGTAAGGGAATTGAGGTAGGGAGTGGTTTTTTAAGTTTGAGACTGCTCGGCTTCGCTCGAGAGATTTTCAATGAGTTTCTAGACTTCAATTCTGTCTTATGTAATGTAACAGTACCTAAAGAGAGTGCGAGCAGTTTTGTCTTATAAATTTGCTTCAACTCGAACTGATTAGCTTGATTATATAAAAAAATCTTTTCAGCGATATTCTCTTTGTCGCACTCGATCAGTTCGGCAAAAACGTGGACCGCGAACAGTTCGACCGCGAATTCCAAATCCAAGTGGAACGCCTACCAGCCAGAGTGGTGCAGCTGCTTCAAAAAGGCGACTACTTGCCCCAACTGACCGCCGTCGCTTGTCGCCGCCTATTTCTGCCTTTGGATTTGAACTAAATCCCCGTGACTAATGTGATCTCAGCGTCTCTTCGATTACCTAGCGACATTTTAAACTAACAATTCGGTTGCCTTTTATCATTCTCTTAATGTCACACAATATGGGTTACAAATCATAATCAACGAGTCTTCAGCCGCCTCCAATCTATATATTTTCGTGTCATTTACTAATATTTATTCTATAGTTTTATGAAAATAAATGTATTTATATGAAGGGCGAGGTGGATAAGATGATTGTTGTATTGTATTCATGAAAGTATTTTTTGTTGTAAGTGAATAATTATAAATATTTTAAACTTCAAAAAGGCCGTTTATTTTTATATAATATTACGGTTCAAGGTGGCTTCGGTTCTGGATTAGGCGTTTTTTAAAGCTTCTACTGGAGGTTTAGGTTGAATATTGCTTTGGCTCGGCCGTTATCTTGTTTCTAATGATAATACATAATAAACTCTACAATTTAGGCAAAATGACGAATATAATCAGATCAAAAAGGAAGTCCGAGTATCTTCTACTAGAGCTGGACACTACAAAACGTCGGATCAAAGTGATTCAACCGAAGGTAAGCGACTAAAAAGTGGTACAGTTTCCCTATACAAAGGTTAAAGAATAACTTTTTTTAATCACATTACAATGTTTAATTCAAAAAATTGTTACAATCTCGTTTTATAGACGTCCCATCTCTCGAAAATGGGCTATATCGAGGACAAGAGTCATTTTTTGCTCATTGAGGAAGCCATTTATTTGGTTCAAATTGGTGCCGCAGCTGTTTTGACCCCCAACTCTTCATGCCCTTGCAGTTTGTCACAGCTGATGGCCGCGTTGCCCTTATTCGAAAGCAGTTTGCAGAGGTATTCCGCCTTCTTCTCGCTCTACCGCAACGGATTCACGGTGATAAGGAAGGAGGATGATAAGTACGTTAATTTTTTTTGTTTTTATCTTGCTTTTTTTACTTTTTTTAGTTTTTTGTCACTTTTTCATACTGAAGATTAGACATGAGGAACGTGATGGGCCTGGGTCTACCTAAACTCGGCCCAACCCGTTCTTTATATCTACTGAAGGGGACGTAGGTGTTGCTGGTTTTATTTGTTATAATGCAGACATCAATGCTTTTTAACAGATCACTATGTAGGTATTGATATGTGACGATTGAAAGTTCAAAATATTTACATTTTCATCTAAAAAATGAATCACAGGAAAGCTTAGGGCCCCCAATCATAATATTATAATCGAACACAAAAAAAATTTTATTGTAGCTGTACCTTCTATGAGCTTCGAAAAGATGGTAGCCCAAAAGATGTGTATTATATGGTGTTTGACAGGTAAATATCATTAAACTTACTTTTATAACGTCACTGTTAACAGTAGCAGCTCGGCCTTAAACTTGTAGTATTATCATGACTTTGCTGACTTTAAAAAAAGGTTATTTGTATTAGGTTGTTCAGATAATTATGTGCTCTCTAATCTCGAAGTTTTGCTTTGAGACGAGGCACAGTTTATTTGAAAAACTTAATAGCGCCATAACCTTAAAGTTGTTGTTAATACGTAGTAGTTTGACCTTAAAACAACAACATTAAAAAAATTATGTTATTAGTAGCTGTTGAACCTTAAAACAAGACTGTTTAGCAGTAGCATTCCGGCCGATCGCCCCAGGCATAAGTTCCTCGTTTCGAGTGGTTCGACCGCCACTCCACAGTTTCGATTTGTGACCACCGACCACACCTTCGACCCTCAGGCCGTTTCTGTTCTCCGATAAATCACGTTTGACCTTATTTATTGTACTATAAACATCTTTGTGTTTCCTTTGCCCTCAGAATGTTATTTATAAATCTTTTTTTGTTTTTTAATTTTTTTTTGTTTTGAAAATTTTTAAATTGTGATTTTCGTAAAAAATGTAAAGTTTTGAATCAAATTGCCGTAGTTTACACTAGGCAATAAAAAGAATGGCAAATAGATTCTGTTTATAGGAAACAGTAGTTGATCAGCATTTTCTCGTTAAAGTGGCTTCTTTGCCCGCATTTAATGTTCATTATAAAGGTTGTTTTACCTAAACTATGGCCCTCGAGACTATAGAACGTGCTTATTATGTAATTTACGTTTCTATAGACTGCTTTTTATATAAAAGTAGCCATCACTGAGGCTAGGTGACTATATCTGGAGCTTTCTCGTAATTTTCGACAAAGTTGTTTTGATTTCTATACAGAAAGATTAATATAAACTTCAAAGTTACACCTATTTTTCTATGTAAACACTCAACATCCTACTTTTGCCTTGAACAACATCCCATCAAACGTATAGCCACACCTTGGAAACGGATCGAAAACCCTGGATCTTCGGGTCGTATTTATTGCGCCATAAATGTATTTTAAAAGTTTTATCAATCGGCAGGTGGGATGGGAACATCACGGCGAATGGGCTTTCTGACGAAATTCCACTTTTTGCCACGAAAAGAAGGTCGAACTTTCAGGATCCGTGACGCCGACCGAAAAAAATATTAAAAATTGGGGGCTTGTGTGTTCCACTCCTCCGCCCGACACGGCACTGCCCACTCTTCTGCATGCGATTCCCCAGGTGTGCTGATTTTTCGTGGCCCAATTCAGTTTCACTGTTTTTCGGCCGTTTCCCCCGTGGCGGTGCTACTAGCACCGGCTTGAAACACTATTTTTTGGCATTTTTTGATTAGCTGCCAGCCGTCTTTTTTGATTTTTTGTGATTCTCCACTCTTTTCTTCAGCTGTTTCACTGCTTTTCGGCCGTTAAGCGCTGTTTTTTGACCGTCTCTCACTGTTTCTCGGCTTCCTTTCATTGTTTCTCACCTTTTTTCTTTACTTTTTAGTGCTTTGCACTATCTAAATCAACCCTTTCGCCAATCTTCGTCTTCTCTGCATCTTCAATCACCTCTATTTTCAAATTTCTTTGCTTATCTTCCGGCTTCTGACCGCACTCCTTGCGACCAGCCGGCTCTCGGCTGCCGCCCGCCTAGAGATCAAGCAAAGTGCGGAAAAAACGCTGCGATTTGCGTTTTTTGGGGATATCTTTGTCCTTCTTGAACCTCCGAGATTTTCGTGAGATCCTCGGGGCTAAAACAAGGTCGTCCCTCGGTGTTTCGGCCGTGCTTCCCGCTCTCTGCCCGTCGGCCGAATGTCCGTTTTTCCGATCGCCCCACCCCAAAAAGCGACGAAGAGAGTTTGTCAGTGAAATCGACCGAATTCCACGGCATCCGACGGATCGGCACTAATTCTTCCCCGAGGGCATTGTTGCGTAATCGTTGTGGTTGTTGGTCGTTGAGGCCTTTTTTGGTACTGTGTAGTGGGACGGTGGTGCTGGAAGCGGGCTCTATTTGTTTGCGTGGGAGGTTTGGGGGTTTTTGTTTTATCGAAACAAAACAGTTGCTCCAAATTCCGCTTTTTTTGCACTTTGCGACGATTTTATGACTTCCGGGCCGTCGAGATTGATTGCGCAATTAATAATTTTATAAATTATTTTTTGGACGTTTGTAATTTGCATATTTGCACTTTAAAACAGGCGTTTTTTGGGGTGTTAGATTTGATTTTATTGTTTGTTTCGGGTTTATTTTGAAGTGTTTTGATGAACTATTAGTATCATTGACCTTTTTGTTGTTTTAATTCTCTTTTTAGTATTTTTACAATTATTCATTGCTTTATTAAATCTTTTTATACTATTTTTGCCTGAAAAATTATTTTTTCAGGCAAAAATACCTATTCAAATCCAATTTTTGAAAAAAAATCTACCCCTTTCTTCTATTACCATAGCCTTTTAATCCACAATATTCCCCAATATCACAAAACCAACTTGCAGAACAAATAGCAACCTGTAGCTAGGACCCCCTTATCTTGGCGCGGTGAGCCCGGCCTCACAAAACTTCGTGCACGATGCCAGGCGCTCCCCGCTTCACCCAAAAGCCGTCCATCAAGCAGACCGCCACCGGCGATCTGTTGATGGAATGCCACATCGAGGCGGACCCGGCACCCAACGTTCGCTGGAATCACGCCGGCACACCCATCTCGGCTTCATCGCGAGTCACGCTGACTCTCGAGCAGGAGCAGGGATCGTTTTACCGTGCCACATTGGTCATTCAGGTAAGGCATGGGGAAGATGGAAGAGGTTTGGAGGTTTTTTGGGGAGGGTTGTTGAAGGTGGGGGGTTTTTTGATAAAAAATTGTTGGTAGTATAGAGGTTTCATTGATATTTCCGTTGAAGAATAGGTCTAATTAATTTTTTTGTAAAATACGGTAATTCCATAGCCCGCTGCCTACTACTGTTGTAAATATTCAAAAAAATTTTAATTTTCATTTCAAAAAATTAACAGTAAACTTCTTTGATTTAGGAACCAAACGCAAACGATGGCGGTGCTTACAAATGTACAGCAGCCAATCAACTTGGTGAATCGAATGCAAATATCAACCTTAACTTTGCTGGTAAGAAAATGCTTTTTGGAATTGTCTTTTTTAAGGTCATTTTTAACCTTTCAAAATAATTTCTTAAAATTTTTTTAAAATTTCAAAGAAATTCAACTTGGTCCCTCTTGTGAAACAAACGCAAAAATTGTAATTTAGATGTCAAATTAAGACTAAAGTGACAAAAAAAGCAATAGACAAACCTTTATAAATATATCCACCTTAATTTAATGTAGATTACTCTAAATACTTTCATAAACACAATTCAAATTTCAAAAACCACCAATAATTTTTCAAAATTCCAGGAACAGAAGAACGCGCGGCCACTCCAAGCCAAAAAGGCCCCACCTTCATCGGGAAGCCGCGGATCATTCCCAAGGATGGCGGATCCTTGATTCTCATGGAATGCAAAGTCAAATCCGGCACAAAACCCACAGCCAAATGGTCGAAAGACGGCGTCTCACTGAGTATTGGCGGACTCTACCAAGACGTCTTCACCGACCTGGGCGACGGCACCTATCTGTGCCAATTGGAGATTCGAGTAGGGTTTTTGTTGAAAAAATTATTTAAAATATGTGTTCAAGGGGGAATAAAACAGTTTTTTTTTGTAAAAGCAGAGTTGTTTGGGGACTTTTCAGTAAAAGTACCTTAACATAGTTCACTTCATGCTTCACGTTTTTTAAAAAGTTTACGACAAAATACCTTTATATTAACTTAAATCCATTTCCAGAAACCCACTGCTGGTGAGGCGGGCCAGTACCGGTGCAACATAAAGAATGATCTCGGCGAAACCAACGCCAACCTCTCCCTCAACTTCCAACAAGACGAAGCGACTTCAGAAGGTCGTCGCAGCCCCTCCCAACCCCGAGACGGAAAGAAGACCCCGAAAGAGGGCTCCAGACCTGGTACACCTTCGCGGCGACGAAGGGACCGTTCAGAAACACCATCCAAGAGACACAAGTCCAAGTCCAGAGAAGGATCGCCCAAGAAGTCGGTCCGATCTCGGCCTAGCACCCCTCAACCCGAAGATAACAAAGACACACTACAGCCAGACAGCTCACAGTCCGGCTCCAGAAGATCGTCCAAAGTCGAAGCCATGGAAGTGGATTCGAATGGAAGTAAGGCTACTTTAATGTACAGATATTCAGTTTTGGATACCTTAACTTATAGAGACATCAAGTTTTGGCATGATTTTCACTTTGACTTGTATCGCGATTTAAAAGATGGGATTTCGAAGCATTTTATGCCAAATTCATATCATATTCTAAAAGTTTTTAGGCATTTCTCATTAATTTTCATAAAGATTTTGGTTAAAACTTAGTGTTTATGACCTTGTTTTAGACCAGATAGTGCTTCTTTAGATCTAAAAAATACTTTTTGTATGCCATCTTAAGCGGTTTTACTATTGTAAAATTGATTTTCACACCTAGACTGATAAATCCAAACAAATATTGACCTGTACGTGCCTTTGAGTACTGTAAAACACTTCATTTCTACCATAGTTCATCAAAAAGTTGTTGAAATTCGAAATTTTTGACCTTTTGATGTCCAAAACCAAAAAAGTTCATTGATCCCTCTATTTACAAACTGTTAATTTGGTGAATTATGGTAAAAAACCACCTGCAAACACTCATCAATCTTTTTAGCGACCAAACGAAAGAAGAGCGACGTGGGATTGCCTCCGGCGCCGAAAAAAGACCGCGGCCGAAGCCGATCCAAGAGTCCGGCTGTTCAGAAAAAAGATACAACAACTACAAAGACCGCGGCTTCGAAGCCGACCATCGTACAAGAGCTACAGTCACAGGTAAAAACGGGTTTTATTGTTGAAGCAAGGAATTTTTAAATATTAATCTTGTGGACGAAATGTCAAAAATAATATTGGTTTTTTGAAAATTGAAATTTTTAAATTTTAAAAGATTGTATTGTATACAATAGTTTACGTTCATGAAAATTATGCAGTTTTTTACATACCCACTATTTTTTAAACAATTTTTTACATTACAAACTTACTGACCAGACATTTCCTATCATAAGCCTAATGATTTCCTTAATTCCCGCCCTAAAACAAGACGTCAAGACCTTTTAGTATAATATTATGACTAATGTGTTTTATAAACATTTTCACATGTTCTCTTATAATGACTATAAGGTATATAAAAGCGAACTTTCGGCCGTTTCTCGTTCACGTTGAATTGCGTAGGAAGGGGAAGAAAGTTTTCTTTGGCTGGCAAATGGCCTCGAACAAACTTTTTGCTACTTTTTATGAAAAATGACACTAAATAATTTTAAAACAAACACATGAAAACATAAAAACAACGTATTGCATTACCGAAGAAACGAGGTTTTAAGCCGAAACTAGGCTTAATATTTGAAATGGTCAATTTTGAGCACAAAAATGTCGATTTTCAATAAGATAACAGAAAGTTTGAACACAATAACATCTTTTATAATAAAGATTAAGTCAATTTTTATATAAAAATAAATGCAAATAAAAATAAACTGGATTTCAGGTTGGTCACAATGGTGAAACAGTCCGTTTGGAGACCAGAATCGAGAGTTCGTCGACAACCAAAGTCAGTTGGACAAGAGAAAGCACAACTCTTCACTCAATGTCATCGGAATACAAACAGACCTTCGATGGCAAAGTAGCTGTTCTACAGATCACAAAGTTCTCAGAATCCAAAGCCGGAAGGTACGAATGTATCGCGGTAAACGAAGCCGGTGAAAGCCGAACTTCAACTACCGTGACTTTCGAGAAATCAGGTGGGTACAGTGACTTTGAATGGTTATAAAAATGGTGGTTTTTGAGGAATTGAAAATTTGTCTTGTCTAATATGTTAGAAAGGCATTACTGTTTATGTGTGCCAAAAATAGTCTTGATCTAACGTCAATGGTCTGAGATATAGCTTGTGAAACACTAAATCAAGCCTTTAAAAAAGTATTTTTCTTTAAAAATCAAAACAAGATCCGATTTCAGAAGCCGAACTCCAGCAAGAACAACAAAAGAAAGACGATCTTCAGAAGCGCAAAGACGAGATCAAACGACGTGCTGAAGAGAGGAAACAAGCCGAAGAAAACAAGAAACTAGAAGAGGAAAAGAAGGCAGAAGATGCCAAGAAACGAAAGGAAGACCTTCAGAAGAGGCGAACCACCTTTGCTGACCAAGAAGTTCCCGAGAAGAAGCCTGCCAAGAAGGTAAGAACTTTCTTTACATTTATTATATAAAGGTAGACCTAAATAGAGATTAAAATTTTTAGGTTTTTCTTATAATTGGGGGTGGAAAAACGATATTGTAGTAGGTGGATCAAGACTTTTTATTAAAAATTAAAGCGTTTGAATCTAGAAAAGATAAAGGGTTTTTAAGTTCAAAAGTGAAGGCATATCTTGTTTTGACAGTTTCGGTTTTGTGGGAAACTTATGTAAGCTTAGTCGCAGCTCGGCAATATTTTCGCAGGCTGCAGATTAATTTTAAATCACGAGCTATTGAAATAGAAGGAAATCGAATAAAAATAAAAAAATGTAATGAAAAATAAAATTCTAGTTTTTAAAATTTTTAAAAATTATGAATCTTCAACAATTTTACTTACCTCACTTACACCTATATATGATTCTTGTCGTATTAACCTACCTTACGTTTGCAACTTTCAGAGCGGCAGCGCATCGAGCACAAAGGCAAAAGCTGACGAGGAGGTAAGTCCCAAACCCGACGTACTGTGACTTTTCAAAGTGCATTAGTGATAAGGCGGAAAAAGCGCGAGTCCGCGGTCGATTTTGTACCCGAGTTTACTCAGTATCCGATATCCGCTGATTCCCGAGGCCCGCGGGGAGTGTGTTTTTTGGTTGAAACAATTTATTCTCGGTCAGATGACAATGGAATTGTTTTCGCTTCGAATGATTACTTTGCGGTTGTAATTAACCTTTCAACCGGTCGATATTGGCTTTGAAGCTGGGGGTTTTATGGTGATAGGGTGGATGATATAGTGGTAGAGTAGTGCTGGATGATAGGCAGTTTAGGATAGACAAGACTCGATGACAATGTATTGATTCCGGGTGTGGATTTGCAATTCGCTTGTCTTTTGTCTGGTCCTTGTACTTTTAACTCAACTTTGTATTCGTACGAAAACTACCGATCGATATGTTTTGAGTTGATAGAGTAACAAACGTAGTGTAATGTGATTTACAAAAGTAGTACAAGAGGAGACAAAAGATGTAGTTTAAGACGAGGAACAGTACTTTGTATTCAGCGTCACGTGAGCCTTGAACTTTTTTGCAAATTTTACAAGTTAGAGTTGGGCTGGAATTGTATGCTTTTTTATTTTTAAAGGACGTTTACGCCTTTGCTTTTCATTTTTTTAAATGTTTAGGTATAAATATAATCCTAAATTTACTTTTTCTAGTATTTTTGATGTTTTGAAATGTACTGTTTATACATTTTTGGTGATTGGTATTAACATTTCTACATTATTCGACGTTTACGGGCTTACTCACACTGTAAAACTTGTAGTAATCGTCTAACCCACCATTACAACCTGTAATAACTTTGTATCTGTATAAATTGTCGCTAACAACACGTCAAAACGTCGTCCTCATCCGGTTCCAGCCCTAAAAAACAAGTGAATGGAAGGCCGGCGGCGGTGAGGCGAGTCTCTACCATCGATGAGGCCGGCCCCTCCACCCCCACATCGCCTTCTTCATCTGGCAACAACTCTCGGCGAGGGTCGACCAGATATGAGACCATCGATGGCCATACCTATCTGCCGGATGGGAGGAAGTTGTCCCACATTCATTCGTTCATTTTGAGTAAACTGCCCGGTGGAGGGGCGAAGGAGAAGTTCTTGAGGGAGTTGATCGATTTTGACACTCGACAAGGTGCCGAGAATGGCGCCGCAAGTACTCAGAAGGTCACGCTTAGGAAGACTGGTCCCGGGGTTAGTGCTTTTGGTAACATTTTGGGGTTATGATTGATATATGGGTTTGGATTTTGGAATTTTGATTCCTTTAACCATAAGTGACATAAAAATATTTTGATTTTTGGTTATTATAAAAGGGTGAATGTGGATATTAGAGGTCAGGTACTGCTTTTAAGTACAAGGTTTAAAGAGGCGTGATAGGACAGAGATTATTACAAGGCTTTGTTTTGTTTATAGAAGACTGTAGCTTAGAACTGGCACTTTAAGGCTATTTTTCAAGCTGAAAAGTTGGCTCGGCCCGTGTAGATTGTTTTTTTTCAAAAGTGATTAGTTTAGAGAGGTCAAGTGGCTAAGGTGCTGTTTATTTTATATGGATTTTGTTTTATTATTTTTGAGTTTTTATTATTCTACATTATGTTATACTTCAGCTAATTTTTTGTTAATAATGTTATCTTTTATCTTAACTGTTTTACAATATTTGTTCAGTTATTCACTTTATTTTTAATTATATATTGTATATTAAGGTAACTTCTAGTTGGTTTCTTCTTTTTAAAATACTCTTCTTCTCTCGTAAAACCGTTTCAAACCTGATCACCGTGCTCACTACCCATCTGTTTGTTTGGTGTGAATTTGTTGTTAATGTGGTGTGAAATAGGACCCTCAGGGTGGTGTAGGCGGGTTATTATTTATCTCGTTTTTATGATTGAGGATCACGCGGCCTCTATTCAGACTGTCTTATGGAGAATGACCTGGGAAGGGAGATTCGATTTCATGGAACAATCAACTTTGTTTGTTTTGCCTTTCTAATCACTTGGAGGGGGTAGAAGGAGGTGGGGAAGGAAGTGTAGGGGGCTGAGAGTAGGAGAGGGGACTGGTGATAATATGCTGAATATGTTATGGTACTATTCAGTACTAGCTAATGCTTTAGTACTAGATAATACTTGAGTTTCCAAGGACAACTTGCTTACTTTTGGCGTCTTTTATTAAAATTGATGATAACGTTCACTTTTTGTTGATATTGAGGGGGTTCGATCACCCCAAACCAAAAAACAATGGTTTTTGTCCATCCACCTTCCATACCTCAGCCCCCACTACTAATCGCCCCTAATTGCCCCAGGATTTATGATGGGACTCTGGTCCAACTTCGCGATTGTTTGTAGTTCTTTTTTCTGATGTCAGGGGTTGAGGAGAGGTGTGGTGCTTGACTCGAGGGGCTGCAACAAGCCCCCGCGCAGCACTCATTTTTAAAATCGTTTTTCATTTCATATTCTCCACGGCTCAACACGGCCCGCGGGCCTGACCGTTCCCCTCTCGAATTAATTTATTGACAAACAGCTGCCGGGCTTAACGCGATTCCGCCAACTGTCCTAGCTGATACTTCTTAATTTGTTTTGATTTTGTTTTTTTTTTCATTCCGACTTTTGAGAAAGTTTCTTTAAAGTTGTGTCCTCCCGGCCTTCCATGAATCCCGATGGCATTTAGGTTCGACAAACTGAAAGAGGTGCTCTTTTTTGGTACAGTTTTCAAAATTTCTGGAAATTTAGATTTTTTGAGTTTTTATGAGTACTATTGACTACGGTAGATTAGGGGTTTAGAAGTTTAAAAACTGGTTTTGTTCGATTTTAGCAGTTTTAGCACTAATTTTAGCTTGTTTTTCTACTTTTAGTACTAGTGTTAGCTTGCTTTTTAGTTTTAGTACTACTAGAACAAAAAAGTTTCATAGTACTAACGTTAGTAAATAAGCAATTTCATGATTTGTTAGTAATAGTTTCGACAACTTTTCATGCTTATAGCCATTTTTGGTGCTATTAGTACTGGTTTGGCAAATTTTTAATGATAAAAGGACTAGTTTTTGAGGATTTCTGATAGAACTGGTACAATTTGTGACATTTTTTTGTATTAGCCGTACTAGTTTGGGCTGGTTTTTGTCATCTTAGGACTAACTTTGGCAATTCTCACTTTATCAGTACTCATGTTCTTTCATAACTAGTTTCACTCTCGTAGTATTGTACTAGCTGTTTTCCATGTTACTAGTAATAGTGCCGTTAGTTTTTATAAGTTTGGTACAATGAGAGCGTCCTTTCTAAATTTATGAGATTAATTGTACTTTTGGTTGCTATCAATAGATTTGACATTAGTTTTGAGGCAAATTACCTTGTTTACGACCAGTTTGCGGAAGTTGGATATTGAAGAAGATCATTGGCTATTATTTTTTGATCAAAAAGTTGAACTTCCTGGGCTATAGTATTAAATAATCTGTTAAAAATGAATGGAAAGTTCATCTTGAGGCTTTTCAAAAAATTTTTTCTTGTTCTAGGATGTGCAACTTAATTTATGAGGTTATATTAAGGTAAAGTTAGCTTAAACAATAGTATTAAAGCGAAGAGTTTGATTAATACAGAACTTCTAATACTAAAATTTACATAATTTTAAAATTTATTTTATTTTCTGAGCTTCAAACTCAATATAAACCTAAAATTTCTAAACTCACGACGAAAGCGTTCTTCTATTTCTATCAATCTCAACTTTAGGTTGGCGATGAATTGCCAGAATCAGGCCTCAAGATCAGCGCCGAACGTCGACGAGAACTTTTGAAGTTCTCCGGCGGAAACTCACAAGCTGATGGAGATTCAGAAGACGAGATCACAGAATCCATCTCCGAATTACCGTCTTTCTCGAAAAAGGGCGGCGTTGGGTCGGTGCCTGGAACTCCCACACAGGTTCGACATGTTGGACTAACTATCAACTAACACTTCTTGTGATAAGGGCTAATATCGCATCGACTAAGGTGTCTTGCGAAACGACTAATATTTATGGTTTATACCTATAACAACATGATTTGAATGCAGTCCGGTTTCTTCTGTTAGTATTGGTACTGTTGTGTCGGTAATATGTTTATTAGTATTATTTGTATGTTTCACTGTTGTTTTGTATCATTTCGTTCATGTGCGAACTTGTTATTTTGTTTTATGTTGATTTAGGTATAGCTAACTGAAGGTAGAGCCTTAAAAGCAATTTTAATTGTCAAAAACTAGGTTACTTGGTTCAGTCCGTTGTAATTTAGTGTAATTAGTCCTAGTTTACCATAAAATCAGTTTATTGTCCATGTTAATATCCTGTCCTACTTTCAGAGCTCTCAAGGTGGAGCTCAGAAGGAGCCGTCCACTTCCATGTCCTCAGGGGTAAGTGACAGGTCATGTTTGTGTTAATGTGTTGTTCAGAAGATAAATGGCGACGGAGATGCGCCCAAGAAGAAGGTGGTGAAGAAGCGTGTGGTCAAGAAGAAAGAGCCGGCTCCAGAAAGTTCCGACGCCAAACCGGCTGCCAAAAAGGTTGATTTTTTTGATTTTTTGGGCTGTAAATGTCATTTTTATGTAGTATGAGTATATTTTGTACAAGTATATGTTTGCTGCTGTGACTTTTTACATGTTATAAGCATGATATGAACGAAAATTAGCATATTAGGAATTTGAAATTTTTAATTTTGCACGGTGCAGTGACAAAAGGCTTGTAGAATATAGTGTTATCAATGCTTATTATCTGCCCAAATGTTTAAAGTTAATTTTTCAACCACGATTTACAGGAAAATGGACAGCCTTTCTTACAAGTCGGTCGTAAAGACACGTTGACCGATGACAGGGTTAGTTTTTGTTATCCATCGTTGTTTCACCTCTACCTTATTATGAACTAACTTTATCATTGTCATACACTTTAACATTCAGCCTATCCTTTGTTTGATCCCTTTATACTCTTTGTCTACCTTATCTTACTATGTTTGTTCTTTTCCTATTGTACCTTTTCCCATTTCCCTATTGAAGGCTTTTTATACCTAAAAATGGATTTGTCCTACTGTAAGGTACATTACATTATCCTACTGTAAAAAAGTTACCGTTTATATTACCCTAATGTAAAATACGTTACTTTTTAAATTACCTTAATGTAAAACAAGTTACCCTCACGTCAAGGTTTTGTAAGATTGTACTGTTATGTTTGTACCAGTACTCCCTTTGTACCCTCAGCATCTTTTTGGTAACATTAGAACTAATATTGAGCATTGGCCATAAGTAATGTTTCAGAATGCCAAAGTAGCCCAAGTTGGGAAGAAAACTGATAACAAGGCTGATCCGAGGAAAGGAAGTGCTACTGGGGCCGCAAGGGTACCTTTTACAAGTTTTCTCATCTTTTTATCAGTTTTGTTTATAGTAATATCTTTTGAAAAAGTATTAAAAATGACTTTTTTCCTTTTCTTTTTCTCATCATTTCTCTTCTGTTTTTGTGCTTTCTTTTTCATTTTTTTTATCTTTTCTTCTTTCACCGTCTCTTCATATCATCACTTTTCTCAAACTCGTATTTTAGAACAACTTTTTCAATGTAAAATTTAAATTTCAGAGGAGAAGCAGTGTTGATATGCGACGAGAGTCGTTGGCCGAAGTATTAGACAAGCCCAGCACTCCACTGAAACCGGTCGGCGGAGCTGGAACGCCCGCTAGAATCATCGAAATTCCAGAATCTGTTACTGTTGTTGAAAGTGGGTTCTTTGGTGTTTTTAAAACTTTTTTTATTTAAAATTTTTTTTTAAAAATCAATTTTAAATAAAAAAATTCAAATTTATATTTTTTTAAAATTGAAAAATTTTTGAATCTTCAGATGAAACTGCGATCCTCAAATGTCGCATCGAAGGTAACCCCACCCCCACCGTACTCTGGAAGAAGGGTACCCGTGAGATCCCGAGTGCGGGTCGAACCAAGCATATCACAGATGGAGAACTAGGTCAAGTGTCATTAGTTATTGGCAAATGTAAACCCCCAGACGAGGGCGACTACACTCTCATCGTACGCAACGCCCATGGTGCGGATTCAGTTGACGCTAAACTTCTGGTGACTTCTGAATCCGGCCTCGACTTCAGAGCCATGTTGAAGCGACGTGGTACGAGTGCGTTGGACAAGTCCGAATCCGACGATAAACCGAAATCAGACGCCGAACGACGTCAGTCCATGTTCCCTGGCAAGAAGCCGGAGAAGTGGGAAGAGCCATTGGCCGCCACCTCCAAGTTCCAACAACAAGTTCACAAGATCGCCGAGTTGAAGTGTGTCTACTCTCGACCGAATGCCAAGATTCGGTGGTACAAGGACAACAAGGAGATCTTCTCCGGTGGTTTGAAGTACAGGATTCTGATTGACAAGGCTAATATTACGTTGGTTATTAATAATCCAGATGTTGATGACAGTGGAAAGTATACTTGTGAAGCTAATGGTATCAAGACCAACTCTATGGTTACAGTGGAGGGTGAGTTAGAGAGGTTGTTCGTGGGTTAAAATTGGTTTTAAGGTTAGGTTTAAGAACTGTTCGATAGCCCGAATATGTCTTTTATTAGTTTGTTACCTAAAAGTAAACAAAAATAGCAATTTTTATGAATATTCTCCTTAAAATTTAAAAAGTTCAAAAATCTTTATCGCTTTGCAAATAGTATAAGCTGTATTTCGGAAACATTTGGCGGAGGATGAGGCGTATACGTGGTGAAGATAACATTGTTTGTCTTTTGAAAAGTCCGATTAATCGATCTTTGAGTTGTGACAGGTCTCGGCTATTGTTATATCGGCTTGCACATGCTTTCGTTTAAACATTTCACACATTAGTTCACAAACTTTAGAGTCAGGTTTTGAAAAAAATGGCAGAAGTTGTGAATATAGATCATAATATACAAAAATGTTAAATCAGAGATAAAAAAACTATAAAATGAGAATAAAAATTTGCATAAATTAATCAAAAAAATAATTTTTCAATCAAGATTTTTTAAGTTTAAACCAACCTTAACATAGATAACCACAAATTCTTTCAGAACCCCCGATAAAGTACGTCTTCCTCAACCCCCTGCCCAACACTCAAGAAATCTACCGTACCAAGCAAGCGTCCCTTACCTGTAAGGTGAATAGCGCCCGTGCTCCTCTTGTATGGTACCGCAACGGGCAACCAATCAAAGAAGATGACAAACGCTACAAAGTGGAGAAGGATGCGGTCGGTCGGTTCACGATCACCTTCAAAAAGGTCGAACAAGATGATCAAGGTGAATGGTTGGCCAAGATCAACGACGAAGTCCTATCCAAATGTCAAGTATATGTTGAAGAACCTCGTGAGACCTTTGTGGTACCACTAAAGTCCCAAAGGGCCAACGAGAAGGAGGATGCTGCCTTCGAGTGTGATGTGAACGATAAGGAAGCCATCGTGGAGTGGTGGCACGATGGAGTCAAGATCGTGATTGATGGGAAGAGATTCAAGACAGAACAACACAACAGAAAGCGACGGCTTTTCATCACGGGATGCAGGAATGAAGACCATGGTGAATATAAATGTACTACCAAGGACGACAAGACTATTTGTCAGCTGATTGTGGAAGGTAGGGCTTTGATATGTTTATTTTATCATTCGAAGCATAGTTTCTTTAACTATATTCTCAATCTACTACAATATCTTTCACTTTTCTTTACCTTTAAAATTGTTTGCCTACTGCAATATTTTTACCCTTCTAAACCACAATTTCAGCCCTGAACAAGTTCATCACTCCATTGGTTGATATGGAAGTGATCGAACGTGACGATGTTGAACTTCGTTGTGAAACCAAGGACACAAAAACTCCTGGAATCTGGTCCCGTAACGGTCGTATGATCAGTTCCATGCCCGGAGGAAAATTTGAAACCCAATCTCGATCAGGCCAGCATCTCATGAAGATCTCCAAGATCGAGATGAACGAAGGCGACATCTACGAGATCGACGTCGGAGGAATGAAAGGAGCGTGCCGAGTCACGGTGTTGGAAGCCGAAAAGAAGCCAGTCATCAACTGGAAACAACAAAAGATCGAATGTGAAGCCGGCAAAGAGAAGAAGATCAAGATCCCATTCTCGGTGAAAGGCACTAGACGAGGAGATCCGAAGCCAACTCTGTTGAGAAACGGAAAACCAGTCGATCTGAAGAAGCTGAAAGGTCAAGTTGAAGTTGTTATCAACGGCGACGTCGCTGAAATCATCTTCAAAGACCCGAAACTGGCCGATGCCGGCAAATGGACCTTAGAATTGACCAACTCCGGTGGTTCAGCGATGGCTCCATTCGAACTGGGGGTGAAAGGACCTCCAAAACAGCCTAAGGGACCGTTGGAGACTACCGATGTGACAGCCGAAAGCGCTAAGCTCAAATGGAAGCCGGCTGATGCTGATGAGAACTGTCCAACACGAGGATATGTTGTGGAAGTTCAAGAAGGTCGGTCAGGTCAATGGAAGAAGATCGGTGAGACTAAGGTGACCGAGTTCTTGGCACGAGACCTCAAAGAGCATGGAGAATATAAATTCAGAGTGAAAGCTGTCAATGAAGTTGGTGAATCAGATCCTTTGACTGGAGAGACTATTCTGGCCAAGAATCCTTATAGTAAGTTCATTTTACGAGTTATGATGACTATTTTTTATTGTAAAAGCTTTCAACTGTCATGAAGCTTTATAGCTTACCTATGAAGAAAAAACTCTAAAATGATAAGGTAATCAATGACATTTTCAGATGTCCCTGGAAAACCACGAGCCATGGAAGCGGTTGATATCGCTGCAGACAGCCTCACACTTCAATGGAAGCCTCCAGAGGACGATGGAGGTGCTCCGATCGAGAGCTACATCGTCGAACGAAGAGACAAGTCTGATAAGGACTGGAATGTGATCGGACAAGTCCCAGCTGACGGCGACGGACCTCAACAAATCGTGGATGATAAGGTTGTGGAAGGAAAGGAATACTACTACAGAGTCAAGGCCGTCAACAAAGCCGGTCCTGGTGATCCATGTGATCACGGACGTTCTCACAAAATCAAAGCTAAACCAAGTAGGTTTTTGGATACTCTTATATATTAAATTAAGCTTTACTTCATATCTAAACTGGATATCAACCATAATACATTCACTTCTTTCCAGGCGAACCCAGATTCACCCAAGGCGGCATCAAAGATCTTCGCCTGAAGGTCGGAGAAACCATCAAGTACGAGGTCCCAATTGCCGGAGAGCCTTTGCCAACAGTATCATGGGTTGTTAACGGCAAACCATTGAAGCCTCAAGGCAGAGTGAAGATGACGACAGAGAAAGGAAAGACCATTCTCAAGATCGAGAACGCCGAACGCGGCGATTCTGGCCAATTCACGATACAATTGAAGAATCCAAGTGGAAAATGTGAATCCTCAGCTAAAGTTACAGTAGTCGGCAGACCAAGTGCACCAAAAGGACCGCTTGGTATCACCGACATCAATGCTGAAGGTGCGAACATCTCGTGGAATCCTCCAGACGACGATGGAGGCGAACCCTTGGAGGAATATATTGTGGAAGCTCAGGATGTAGATGAGAAAGGAAAGTTCGTGGTGGTGGGCAAAGTACCCGCTGGTACCACTGAACTCAAAGTGAAAGGCCTCAAGAACAAAGGCAACTACAAGTTCAGAGTGAAGGCCGTGAACAAGGAGGGAGAGTCAGATCCCCTGGCCTCAGACAAACACGTTCAGATCAAGGACCCATGGGACCCTCCAGGCAAACCTGGCCGACCTCATGTCACGGATGTTGACTCAACTCAAGTCAGCTTGGAGTGGGATCCACCACAGAAGGACGGAGGAGCTCCAGTCGACGAATATATTATTGAAGTCAGAGACCCAGTAACTAAAGACTGGACCAAGATCGCTACTTCCAAAGGCCCAGCTGCCACAGTTACTGGTCTGACTGAAGGAAAAGACTATCAGTTCAGAGTTAAGGCTGTTAACAAGGCCGGACCAGGTCAGCCAAGTGAACCATGCGAGAAAGTTAGGACTGAACCCAAGTTTGGTAAGTGTAATATTGAGATAGATTACTATCTTGAATAACATCCATTTTACTAAAACAATGTACTGCTAGAATATAAAAACGTGTTTTATATCTAAAACAATATCATTTTCAGTCCCCGCCTGGCTCAACCACGACGATTTGAGAAGTATTGTCGTAAAAGCAGGCCAAACTGCTCGCTGGACCGTTAAAATTGGCGGCCGACCTGCTCCAGACGTGAAATGGTTCAAGAACGACCAACAACTCGACCTCACCGCCACTCTCCAGATCGATGTGAAGAAGAACGAGAACACTATCCTCTGTATCCCTTCAACGGTACGTGCTGATCGTGGCAAGTACAAGCTCGAGGTCAAAAACTCGCATGGTCAAGACACAGAATCTGCCGATCTGAACGTTCTCGACCGTCCCTCCAAACCTCGAGGACCATTGGAAGTATCGAATGTTGTGGAAGATGGCCTCGACCTATCGTGGAAGCCTCCAGAAGACGACGGTGGCGAGCCAATCGACCACTACGAGGTGGAGAAACTGGACACAGACACTGGCAAGTGGGTACCATGTGCCAAAGTCAAGGACACGAATGCCCAGATCAAGGGTTTGAAGAAGGGGCAACAATATCAGTTCAGAGTGAAGGCTGTCAACAAGGAAGGCGTCTCCGACCCGTTGGTCACTGAGAATGCCACAACAGCCAAGAATCCATACGATGAGCCAGGAAAGTGTGGAGCTCCAGATATTGTAGACTGGAACACCGATCACATGGACTTGGAATGGGACCCTCCAGCTAACGTAAGTGTCTAAAACAAGGTTCGAGCCGAAATTTCTATTTTTCAACAACGTAAAAAGGGCGCAAAATGCACGCGGGTTGCGGCGCCGTTTTATACGAAACGAAATAAAAATAAAAATATTTTTGTAAAATTAGACTGGCGACTTTATGAAAGCTAAAAAACCCTTCAGAAACTTAATTTCGAACAAAAAAATTAAAAAATAACAATTTTATATTATTAACATTTAAAATTATTGATTTCAGGATGGAGGAGCCCCAATCGAGAACTATATTATCGAAAAGAAGGGCAAACACGACCGTGATTGGAAAGAATGCGCCAAAGTTGGCCCAGAAACCAAAGGCACAGTCAATGGACTGAAAGAAGGAGAAGAATATCAATTCAGAGTCAGAGCTGTTAACAAAGCTGGACCTGGAGAACCTTCCGATCCTAGCCGAAAACAGGTCGCCAAGGCTAGAAATTGTAAGTAAAACAGGTTGGAGAGGTCAGAAAATGCAAGAATTTTGTATTTTGTGATAAGCAGGAGTAGTCGGAATATTTTTTCTTTTAATTTTAAGCTTTTATTTTGGATTTATTACCTAAATTTCTAATTATAGTGAGCCCGAAGATCGACCGTTCCGCGATGAAAGAAGTCACGATCAAGGTCGGTCAGAACTTTGAATTCAACGTTCCAGTTCAAGGAGAACCCCCACCGACTTACGTTTGGACCTTCAATGATAAGGAATTGAAAACAGAAGACAAGATCAGAATCGTGAACGAAGACTACAAGACATCGTTCACGCTACGGAACGCCGCCCGCGAACACGATGGTAAATACGTGCTTACCGCGACCAACACGAACGGTACGGACACGAACGGTGTCATCGTTCACGTTCTTGGGAAGCCCACACCTCCAGGAGGTCCATTAGAAGTGACAGATGTTTTCGAAGACAATGTCACGTTAGGATGGAAGCCTCCAGAAGACGACGGTGGAATGCCGATCGATTCTTACGAAGTGGAGAAGATGGATCTGGCTACGGGACGATGGGTACCATGTGGTCGTGTTGATGGTAACCAGACCAGTATCAAGGTCGGAGCTCTTCAGCCCGGCCACCAGTACCAGTTCAGAGTCCGAGCGGTGAATAAGGAGGGAGAGTCCGATCCTTTGACTACCAAAGACCCTACATTGGCTAAGAATCCTTATGATGCTCCAGACAAGATGGACAAACCAGATGTTGTGGATTGGGACAAGGATCATGTTGATCTGGAATGGAAGCCTCCAGCTAACGATGGAGGTGCTCCAGTCGAGGAATATGTCATTGAAAAGGTGGGTCACACTTTGTTTGACTTACTAACTTAATATATTTAACTTCGGTTTCATTGGTACCACCTTACAGTACTTTTTTAAATATTAAGTTGAACCAAAAGTAGAGGGACAAACTAAAACGTGTCCTAATACTTTTGGTTCAACCTAATCTTTTTAAAATGTAAAATGACATAACTTCCAGAAGGACAGTAACGGCAGATGGGTAGAAGCCGAAAGAGTACCAGTTGGTACCACAAAGGCCACAGTTGGAGGTCTGACTCCAGGAGAAGAGTATCAATTCAGAATTGCGGCCAAGAACAAGGGTGGTCTAGGAGAGTTCTCTGATCCATCTAACAGTGTTATTGCCAAGCCTAGGAATCGTAAGTTACTGTAACAATATTTTTATCATAAAATGTAAAAAAAAGATTCTTTCGTCTAAATCAATATCGGAAATTAATAAAAATGAATGTTTTGTCTACTATAACATCAGACCTTTGATTTAGATTTTCTTTATGGCACTGACTTTAATATAACTTTTCAGTAGCCCCACACATTCACCGTGAAGACCTCGAAGACACCGTAGTGAAGGTCGGAGGTCAGGTCAAATTCAATGTCAACATTGATGGTGAACCCGCGCCTTCCGTGACCTGGACCTTCAACGGTAACACCCCAGATGGCGTGGAGATTGACGATGTTGATTACCTATCCAAATTCAACCTTGGCAAGGCTACAAGAAAACAAACTGGATCTTACACAATCACGGCCACCAACATCAATGGCACAGACTCGGTTACAGTAAAGATTACGGTAAAAGGAAAACCATCCAAGCCAAAAGGTCCTATCAAGGTGTCAGATGTGCATGCTGATCATATGAATCTAGCATGGGAACCTCCAGAAGATGACGGTGGAGACCCGATCGACCACTACGAGATCGAGCGCATGGATACCCGTGACGGTATCTGGCTACCGGTCGGAAAGTCTCCAGACACCAACTTTGTGGCCGACGGCCTCAACAAGGGCTCTCACTATCAGTTCAGAGTCAGAGCTGTTAATGCCGAAGGCAAATCAGATCCACTGGAAACTGAACAGGCAATTGAAGCCAAGAATCCATACGAACGGCCAGACAAGCCAGGAACGCCAGAAGCCACCGACTGGGACGTTGATCATGTCGACCTCAAGTGGGAACCACCAGCCAACGATGGTGGAGCCCCAGTCGAAGAGTACCAAATTGAGAAGCGTACCAAGTATGGACGATGGGAACCAGCCATTACAGTACCAGCTGATAAGACCACGGCTACTGTACCAGATCTGACAGCTGGAGAAGAATACGAATTCAGAGTTGTAGCTGTTAACAAGGGAGGACCATCTGATCCATCAGACCCGTCCAAACCTGTTATTACCAAGCCTAGAAATTGTAAGTTTATAGCATAGTAGTTTTTGGGAAATTATTATATTGCTGTAGGTGTAAACAGTAAAATACAAACTAAAATACAGTATATTTGTCCGAAAACAATAATTATTGTAGTACAGAGTATTAATACGTATTTTAGTCAATGTACTGTGATGTTTAGGTAACAAAATGATATAAAACCATTTTAGTGGCCCCCAAGATTGGCCCATTAGAAGACATTACCATCAAGACCGGTCAGATGATCGCCTTTGACACAGAAGTCCAAGGAGAACCACCAGCTACTGTAACATGGTTCTATCCAGACGGCTCCGAAATCAACGCCGGAGGCCGTGTCAAACTAGAAAACACAGAATACCACACCAAACTTCAGATTCGTTCCACAGAACGTTCGAACAGCGGAACATACACAGTTAAGGCCACCAACGAGAACGGTGTCGATACAGTAACCGTCAAGGTTTCCATCGTAGGAAAACCATCAGCTCCAGAAGGCCCACTGAACGTGACCGACATCCACGCGGACCGCGTCACATTGGACTGGAAGCCACCTGCTGACGATGGTGGAATCCCATTGGAAGGCTACAACATCGAGAAGTTCGACACATCGTTGGGCCGCTGGGTACCCGCTGGAAAAGTTGGCCCTGACGAGACCAAGGCTACGGTAGAAGGCTTGATTCCAGGCCATGAATACAAGTTCCGTGTAGCCGCTGTGAACGCTGAAGGCGAATCTGATCCTCTAGAGACGGAGAACAAAATCACGGCCAAGGAACCCTGGGACCCTCCAGGCAAGACTGGCAAACCAGATGTCACGGACTGGGACAAGGATCATGCTGACCTCAAATGGACCCCTCCAACCGAGGACGGTGGCGCTCCAGTCGAGGAATACATCGTGGAGATGAAGGAGAAGTTCTCTCCCAACTGGAAACCCGTTCTTACCGTACCCGCCGACCAGACCACGGCTACTGTAGACGGCTTGAACGAAGGAGATCAGTACGAATTCAGAATCATAGCCAAGAACAAGGCCGGCAAAGGACAGCCATCTGATCCGTCGGACATGATCACGGCCAAGGCCAGGAACGTGCCTCCAGTCATCGACCGCAACTCCATCCAAGAAATCAGAATCCGAGCCGGTCAGACGGCTCATCTGGACATTCCAGTATCAGGAGAACCTCCACCGACCATCGAGTGGGACTTTGAGGGTCGGCCGATCTCCGACGACGACAGAATCAAGGTGAACAACGAGGAAGACAACAAGACCAAGTTCACGATCAAACGTGCTCTCAGAAGCGACACCGGATCCTACAACATTGTAGCCAAGAACGACAGTGGAACTGACCGTGCCGAGGTCAAGGTTACTGTGCTCGACAGACCAGGCGACCCACGAGGTCCATTGAACATCAGTGGAGTTCACAAAAATGGCTGTAACTTGGATTGGAAGCCTCCAGAAGACGACGGTGGAGCCGACATCACTCACTACGTGGTCGAGAAGCAAGATGCCTCGACCGGTCGCTGGACCGTCTGTGGAGAGCCGGCTGACACTAAATTTGAAGTCACCGACCTTACTCCAGGTCATGAGTACAAATTCAGAGTGAAGGCAGTGAATCGGTACGGTGAATCCGACCCCTTGGATGCTCTGAAGCCAATCATTGCCAAAGATCCATTCGACACGGCTGATCGCCCAGGCACTCCAGACATCGTGGACTGGGACAAGGACCACGCCGACCTCCAATGGACCCCACCCCAAGATGACGGTGGTGCTCCAGTCGAGACCTACGTCATTGAGAAGAAGACTGGCAACGGAGACTGGGAATACGCTACAGAAGTCCCGGCTGACAAAACAAATGCTACAGTCGACGGACTGATCGAGGGTAAACAATATCAGTTCAGAGTCAAGGCCGTGAACAAGGCCGGTCAGTCAGCACCATCCGACCCTAGCCGAACTCTGATCGCCAAGTCCAGACGAGTACCACCCAAGATTGATCGGACCATGTTCGCCGACATCAAGATCAAGAAGGACACCAACATTGACTTCAACGTGAACGTCGAAGGCGAACCAGCTCCCAAGATCCAGTGGTTCCACAACGACGTTCTCTTATCGACAGCTGGTCGTGTGAAGATCGACAATTCTCTGGATAACAACACCAAGTTGAAGATCAAAGAACCAGAACGCTTGGAGAGTGGCGTCTACAAGATTGTAGCTACCAATGAATTCGGAAAAGATGAAGCTGAAGTCAACGTCGTGATTCTGGATGTTCCCGGACAACCACGATCGATTAATGCCAACGACGTGACCAAAGATAGTGCTACCTTAACATGGCACGCTCCAACAGACGATGGAGGATCTCCGATTTCACATTACGTGCTGGAGAAGCAGGAGGATGGAGGACGATGGGTTCCAGTAGGTTTTTGAGATATTGTTGTAGAGGTTTGGAATGGTTAAGGTTTCTTTTTAAAAGGTATTGTGTTTATTACCTAAAAAAGGTCTTTATTGATTAAAAAAACTTTATTGTTGCCTACAAACCCTAAACTAATACCACAATCTTCAGTGTGGTGAAACCCCAGACACACAGCTCCGTGTTAACCGCCTCAACGAAGGTCACGAGTACAAGTTCCGAGTGAAGGCGGTCAACAGACAAGGAGAGTCCAAACCGGTCGAAACCGACACTCCAATCATCGCCAAGAACCCATGGACCGAGCCAGGAAAAGTACAAGATGTACAAGTCGTGGACTGGGACAAGGACCACATGGACTTGGAATGGAAGCCACCAATCAACGATGGCGGAGCACCAATCCAAGAGTACATTATCGAGAAGAAGGACAAGTTCGGAGACTGGACTCCATGTGGTACAGTTTCTGGAGACCAAACCAAAGGTACCGCGACTGGATTGGTCGCTGGTCAAGAGTACCAGTTCAGAGTTAAGGCTGTAAACAAGGCTGGACCAGGTGAACCATCCGATCCTACCGATCCTAAGATTGCCAAGCCTAGAAAGTGTAAGTTTTTGAGGATTGTCTTTGTATTTTTTGACCAGTTTAAGCATATAGATAACATCTAAAGATTTATATTGTAATACTTTTATAGCTGGCTACACTAATAATCGAATTTTTCTATACTAATCATTAAAATAAGCTAGTATAATATAAAGATGAAGCATCATATGACTAAAATCACAATTTTAGTGGCTCCAAAGCTAAACATTGCCGGTCTAACCGACTTGAGAGTACGTGCTGGTCAGCCAGTGCACTTGGACATCACCTTTGAAGGAGAACCTCCACCGACCGTAACATGGAAGGCCAATGACAAGGAGATTACCTCATCGAACCGTGTAGAAGTTGTTGTCAAAGATCAGTTCTCGGAAGTCACCATCCCATCTTCACAACGATCCGACACTGGCTCATACTCAATCACAGTGCAAAACGAGTACGGTATTGACACGGCCAAGTGTACGGTAACCGTATTGGACGTGCCAACTCCACCAGAAGGCCCTCTGAAGCCAAGCAACATTCACAAGGAAGGATGCACGTTGTCATGGAAGCCACCAACTGATAACGGAGGCTCTGAGATTGTAGCCTACGTTGTGGAGAAGTTGGACACAAGCAGAGGAACCTGGCAAGAAGTCGGCCAATTCCCTGATTGTGAAGCCAAGGTTACGAAGCTGACTCCGAACAAGAACTACCTATTCAGAGTCAAGGCTGTCAATCTGTTAGGCGAGTCCAAGCCTTTGGAGAGCACTGATGAGATCACTGCCAAGAACCAATTCGGTAAGAAGACTTTAATAATTCGAAAAAAAAACTTGATTATCTTAACTATGACATATTAACACATTTTTGATGCAAAAATGATAAACCTTTACTCTTCTTCTAAATAACCTTATTTTAGACATCCCAGACCCACCATCAGCTCCAGAAATCGTCGATTGGGACGAAGGCCGCATCGACCTGGCTTGGAAACCCCCAGCCAATGACGGTGGAGCTCCAATCAAGCACTACATCGTGGAACGCCGAGAGAAAGGCAATCCCAACTGGATTAACTGTGGTAACACTCCAGGCACGTCACTCTCTGTCACTGGCCTCAAACCAGGAACTGAGTACGAGTTCCGTGTTACTGCCGTCAACGATGCCGGACCTTCCGACCCATCTGATCCATCACGATCTCAAGCAGCTAAAGCCAGGTATCTGAAGCCGAAGATCCTCACGGCCAACAGAAAACAAAAGGTCAGAGCTGGCAACGCCCTAACTCTAGATATCGACTTTGTCGGAGCACCAGAACCGAGTGTAAACTGGCAAGTTCAAGGCCTGGGCAGCTTGGCCCCCGAACTACTGGTCGATATCAAGCTGGGTCACACTTCCATCTTCTTCCCATCGACCAAACGTCAACACAGTGGCAGCTATCAGCTGAACCTAAAGAATGAGGTAGGAGAAGATGAGGGAGTCTTCGAAATCATCATCCAAGATCGACCAAGCCCACCAGAAGGACCATTGGTCGTAGACGATGTGACCAAGAACTCATGCACCTTATCATGGAACCCACCAAAGGATGACGGAGGAGCTGAGATTACTAACTACGTGGTGGAACGTCGTGAAATCCACAGCAACAGCTGGGTACCAGTCTCAGACTTTGTTGTTGGTACTTCTTGTACCGTCGGCAAGCTCCACGAAGGCCACGAGTACGAATTCAGAGTCTCAGCCCAAAATGCCTTAGGCGTTTCGGACCCACTGGTCACAGAAAGCACTACCGTAGCCAAGGATGCCTTTGGCACTCCAGGCAAGCCAGGAAAACCAGAAATAACTGACCACGACGTGGATCACATCGACTTGAAATGGACTCCACCAAGTGATAATGGAGGTAAGCCCATCAGTCACTACGACGTCGAGAGGAAGGATCAGAAGAGTGGACGATGGGTCAAGGTCAACACCGCTCCAGTCCACGGAACCGAATTCTCGGACACCAGGGTCCAGAAGGACCATGGCTACGAGTACAGAATCGTGGCAGTCAACGACGCCGGACCAGGAAAGCCATCAGACCCGTCTGACCTGGCCTTTGCCAAGCCAAAACACCTCGCTCCAGCCTTCGAACTTGACATTGATGGAAAGGAAGTTAGAGTACGTGTGGGAGAGCCACTCGACCTCAACATTCCGTATGTCGGAGCTCCACAGCCAGAGATCACGTGGACAAGAGAAGGTCAGAAGGTCGCTGGAGTCAACACAAGCCCAGAATTCACTCGTCTTTACATTTCTGAGAGCAAACGATCAGACACTGGCCAATTCAAGATCGAAGCCGTCAACGATCAAGGCCGAGCTGAAGCCAGAGTCTTCATCAACGTCGTCGATCGTCCAGGACCTCCAGAAGGCCCAATCACTTACCCAACAACTACTAGAAGATCCATCACATTGGCCTGGAAACAGCCCAAAGACGACGGTGGAGCTGAAATCATCGGCTACAGAATCGAATATCAAGAAGTTGGATCAACCATCTGGGACAAGGTCTCCGACACTACCACACTGCTGTTCCACACCGTCAGGAATCTGGAGAACGGCAAACAATACCGATTCAGAGTATTCGCGGAGAACGTTGTTGGTCTGAGTACGCCGTTAAATGGAGATCCATGCACTGCCAAGGATCCATTCAACCCACCCGGCCCACCATCCACTCCAGAAGTCACTGGCTACGACACCAACATGGTGGCCTTGAAATGGAATCCACCTCGAGATGACGGTGGAGCTCCAGTCCTTGGCTATGTCGTGGAACGCTTCGAGAAGAAGGGCGGAGGCGACTGGGCCCCCGTACCAGGCATGCCAATGGTCAGACTAACATCGTGCAATGTGACTGGCCTAGCCGAAGGAGAGACCTACCAATTCCGTGTCAGAGCTGTGAATGCTGCTGGAGAAGGTGCACCATCAGGAGGATGTGAACCAGTCACCTGCCGACCATTCATGACTCCACCAAACGCCCCAGACCAGCCTCGTGTTATGAAGGTAACCAAGAACACGGTCGGACTCAGCTGGAACCGTCCCATCAACGACGGCGGTGCTCCAATCGAAGGCTACATTGTTGAAGCCAGAAAGGTTGGCGAAGCTGACTGGGGACGACCGAACGGAGACAAGCTGATTCGTGGTACTCAGTTCACGGTCGATGGTCTGACAGAGAAGACCGACTACGAATTCAGAATTGTCGCAGTCAACAAAGCTGGCGAATCAGACCCATCCAAGCCTTCAGACTCCGTCTTTACTCAAGACCAACCAAGCCGACCTCTTCTCGACCTCTCAGGCCTCAAGGATATTACAGTACGTGCTGGTGAGACCATTACCTTCACCATCCCCTACACCGCCGGCAGTGCCAAGCCAACCGTCGACGCCTTTAATGCCGGCAAACCCATCTTCGAAGACGACCGTACCACTATCGAGGTACAGGATGACAAGATCGTGTTCACCACCGTCAACTCCAGAAGGTCCGATGCCGGTCCCTACAAGTTGGTCGTGGAGAACCGGTTTGGCAAGGACTTTGCCAAACTCAAGGTCAACGTTCTCGACGTTCCCGGCAAACCACAAGGGCCGCTGTCCTTCTCGGACATCTCGGGAGAAGCCATCACAATGCATTGGAGCCGACCACTGGACGACGGTGGAGCACCAGTCACCAACTACGTCATCGAGAAGAAGAATCCACGAACTGGAGAGTGGGAGAAGATCGGCACTTCGACCGGTACCAACTTCAGAGCACGCAATCTGGTCAACGGATCCTCGTACGATTTCAGAGTACGTGCTGAGAATCAGTACGGTGTTGGCGAGCCTCTGGATGCTGACAATTCTGTCGTAGCCAAGAATCCATTCGATCCTCCTGGACCACCAGGCCAGCCAGAACCAGTACAAACCTCGGACGAAGCCATTACCTTACAATGGACTAGACCACTCACTGATGGAGGTGCTCCAATCAGTGGCTACGTACTAGAGAAGAGATTGTACGGATCGAATGACAGATTCGAGAAGGTCACATTCGGCAACATCACAGACACTCGCTACCGTGTAACTGGTCTGGTCCCACAAAAGACCTACGAGTTCCGTGTAGCTGCTGTTAATGCAGCTGGCCAAGGGGAATATAGCGAGAACTCTGTACCTATTGTAGCCGCTAAGGCCGCCTCCAAGCCCAACATCAACATGGGAATGTTGGCCAGAGACTTGACTGTCCTAGCTGGCGAACCAGCCAACCTTTTGGTACCATACGCGGCTAGTCCAAGACCAGAAATCAGCTGGACTAGAAACAACATTCCAGTAGATGAGAAGAACAGTAGAATCGTTCTAGAATCCAACGACTACATGACTCAGCTCACCTACAAGAAGTCAGAACGCGGAGATTCCGGCACCTACACCATCAAACTCGAGAACGACGTCGGATCTGACAGTATCGACATCCGCTTCAAGGTGGTCGACCGACCAGCTCCACCAGAAGGACCACTCGAAGCCGATGACATCTCTCCAGACGCCTGTAAACTGATGTGGAAGGAGCCGAAGGACGACGGAGGCTCTCCGATCACCAACTACATCGTGGAGAAGCTACATGTCCGTGGAGGTAACGATAGCTGGGAGAAGGCTTCATCGTTCGTCAGAGACACCAAGTGTCTGGTTACTGATTTGGTCGAGAATGAACGCTACAGATTCCGTGTTCGCGCCGAGAATCAGTACGGTATCTCCGAACCTTTGGAGATGACAGACCCAATCGTAGCCAAGTACCAATTCAACGTACCAAGCCAGCCAGATCCACCAGTGTGTCGCGAAACCGACCGGAACTGGGCCGAAGTCGAGTGGGATCCACCACAATCGAACGGTGGCTCCAAGATTCTGGGCTACAACCTACAATACCGTGACTCACACTCCTACAAATGGGTAACAGCCAACAAGGAGTTGATCACGGACACCCACTTCCGTGCCCACAACCTGAGGGACCTTGGCGAGTACGAATTCAGAGTTATTGCGAAGAATGCAGCCGGCTGGAGCAAGCCCTCCGGACCGTCCGAGAGAATCCAACTCAAGGAACGGCACGGCCCTCCAGGCCCACCAATCCAGGTCCACGCCGAGTCCATTGGCCCCAACTATGTCACGATCACATGGCAAGCCCCAGCAGACAACGGCGGCTCCAAAATCAGCGGCTACGCTGTGGAGAAGCGCGAGTACGGTACCAATGTGTGGGAGATGGTCAACGACTACAACGTTGTCAACCCCGAATTCACCGTCCCCAACCTCAAGGAATACCACGACTACGAATTCCGTACCATCGCCATCAACTCGTACGGTAGAGGCCCACCCTCACTGCCTTCTGCTCCTATAAAGATTCAGGAGTTGGCTGGTTCCAAGCCACAAATTGTTGTGAAGCCGGCTGACACTGCCAGTCCATACAACAAGAGAGCTGTCTTCTCATGCGAAGCCATCGGACGGCCAATACCAACGGCACGGTGGCTGAAGAACGGCCGTGAAGTCCCAGAAGGACCACGCTATCGTACCGAAGTCCAAGACGGCATCTATCGTCTTATCATCAAAGAGGTATGGGACATTGATGCTGGTGATTACACTTGTGAACTCACCAACGTCTTCGGATCAGACACCGCTACAGCCACGCTGAAGGTACAGGCTCCACCAGTCATCGAGAAACAGGTACCAAACGCCGTCTACCCAGAAGGCGACATGGTCAGAATCAAGGTATACTTCAGTGGATCTCCACCCTTCGAACATTCCCTCACCCTCAACGGTAACGACATCAACCTGGACGGTCCCTCGATTAGAATGGTTGATTTCGATGACCACGCTCTTATTACCATACCAGAACTCCACGCCTACGAAACCGGACGCTACGAATACACGGTGAAGAACGAGTCGGGAGAAGACTCGATCGGCTTCTGGATCAACGTCACCGGTCTTCCATCGGCTCCAGAAGGCCCGCTAGTCATCTCTAACGTCGATCAACATCAAGCTACGGTCAGCTGGAAGCCTCCAATCAACGACGGTGGCTCCAGAATCTCCAACTACGTGCTGGAGAAGAAGGACCTGGCTCGTGACGAATGGGTTGTGGTTGCTTCAGCCATCCGAGAATTGAACTTCATCGCCGCAGGGCTCTTCGCCGACCACGAGTACGAGTTCCGAGTATCAGCTTGCAATCACAATGGCCAAGGTCCTCCACTCGTTTGTGACGCTCCAATCATCGCCAGATTACCGTTCGGACCTCCAAGTCAACCCAATGATGCCGCCATTGTTGATGTTGGTTCAGAGTTTGCTGTTCTGTCATGGACAAGATCGGAAAGAGACGGAGGAGGCAGAGTTCGTGGCTACATGATCGAGAAGAAGGAAACTGGAACCGGTAAGTAAAAAATTTGAAAAAGCAGGTAAAAACAATGTTACCTAAAATCTAAATATTGAGTTTTGGAAAAATTTTCACAAAAAATGGCAGTAATAACATTTGTTACCTAAAGTAATATATTTTGAAAAACGACCTATAAAAGCCGTAAAACCTTTCGAAAAAAAACTTAATTTTGAAATTTCAAGCAAGATTTCCTAAAATTTATTAATTTTTCAAAGGCATATCCTTAAAAATTCGCATTGGAATTTTTCGTGTCGGGACCAAACTGACCTTGTGATGTTTTTAGATTTCTGGCAAAAATGTACTCAAGCACCATCACCAAGCACTTCATTGAATGTCAGCAACTTGATTGAAGGCCGTAAATACGACTTCAGAATCTTTGCTGTCAATGACGCCGGAATCTCGGAGCCAGCCATTTTGTAAGTCATGGATAATATCGAAAAATTAAGGTTTTTTCGGGTTTGAGGCGTTTAAAGGGGTTTAATGATCATATTGTTTATTACATTTTATTGCGGTCGTAAATTAAATAGAGGATAAGTCAAGTGAGGCCAAGGTTTTAATGAAAGAATGCAGTCTATAGAACTTTTTGACAATTTAATGTTGGATTTATTTACGATACTGTCTTTACAGGGAAGCTTACGAATTCCGACCATCAGCCGGAGGCAAAGGACCAGAATTTGTATCGCAACTTGTCGATCAGTACGGTGCTGAACGAGGCAATGTCAAGTTCGAATGTGAAGTCGAAGCCGAACCAAAACCTGAAATCCAATGGTTCAAAGGAAGCAAGGAGCTGGTCGACACGTCCAAGTACACCCTCTTGGACAAGGGCAAGACTCAGACCTTGTTGATCAACAACTTGCGACTCGAAGACGAAGATGAATATACCTGCAAGGCCACAAACTCGATGGGCTCCAGAATCACTCGAGGACAACTGAAATTAAGCTCGAAGCCTCGATTATTCGTACCACCCAAATACCATTTGGGAGTGGAGACGGAGAGTGGCAACAACTTGGAACTTGTCATTCCATACAAGGCTTATCCCAAGCCGACTGCCACTTGGGTCAAGGATAACAACACCAAACTGGAGAATGGTGGAAAGTACTCGATTACTGTGGATGAGAGGTAGGAAATGGGTGCAGAATTCTAGGAAAATGAATTTTAATTTGTATTTTAGTACCGAAAGCTTTAAAATTTTAAAAATTAGAGCTCTTCGTAATGTAAAGTAACATAAAAAACTTTTACAAAGTAAAAATTCAAAAAAATTGAAATTAAAATTAAAATTCTTTTCAGAAACGTTGTGTTGACGGTAAAGAACGCCGATCGATCGGACGCTGGTGACTATCAGGTATCTCTTCACAATCCAGTAGGAACAGACCGTGGAGAAGTCAAGGTGACTGTAGCTGACAAACCAGAAGCCCCACGATTCCCAGCTATCGAAAATGTCTTGGACGAAGCCGTCATCCTCTCATGGAAGCCGCCACTTCTTGACGGAGGAGCACTCGTTACAAGGTAGGGTTGGGTTATGATTAACATTATGATATAGTAGTTCTTCTTATGTTTTTGCATGTTTTTTGGTAAAGATAGGGGTTTTTTATATTAGGCTTTGTGGAGTAGGTATAGAGGTACATTATGTTTAGTTTGACATCAAAAAGTTCAAGGTTAAACCGCTAATTTTAATAAAAATAGCAAGAATAGAGTATAAGTGGTCATGGATAATATATTCTTTTAGATATTTCGTGGAAAAACGTGAAGGAGGAAGTGGAAACTGGACGGAATGTGCTCATTCTCGATTCACCTACCTTACTATCGAAGGTCTTCGCCCTCAACATAGCTATGAATTCAGAATCAAAGCCGAAAACAAGTACGGTATCAGTGAGCCATGCGAGCCCACCTCGTCTGTCGAGATCCCAACCTCACGAACTCGACGAAAGAACTACGATTGTAAGTAAAATACGTTAATCTGTTTGGAGAATTTTTATTTGGTTATATTAGGTTGTTCAAATAATTCTGAGCCTTTCTCACTGCAAATGTTTGGGGTTAGGGAGCACAAAATTATTTGAACAACATGATAGCTATATTACAGTAGACTATAACATACTTTTAGTGGATGACACGGGCAAACTCATCCGAGGCCAAGGCCGAATGCAACAGAACTATGACAAATACGGTAGGTTCGAGTGGATTACTGTATTTTTGTTAGGTTTTTGACTGTTTTTTAGTTTCGAAATGATAGAAGTTTGAATTTTTTGAAATTGTTTTGATGCTATAGTTACTACAGTATAGTATCACGAAGCTATAGTATAATATCACTGTGAATGTCCTTCTTTACTGTCACGCACAAGCACGAGTTATTTGTGAATATAATCAATTAATATGTCAGTAAAATCTAACATCTATGTTTTGTTAAGTATATATTACGGTAGAGAACAGTAATGATACGGTAGTGCACAGTAACCGCTACAATTGCTTAATTATTAGGTTGTTCAAATAATTATGAGCTCTCTCTCAAAACAATTTTTTTTGGGTTTGGGGCACAGAATTATTTGAACAATCTATTATATACATTTTGTTAATTTAGTGTTGATTGTTTACATTCCGTCAGCTTACTATTGATTATTTGAATTTCGTTAACTCACTATTGATTTTTCGAATTTTTGATGGAAATGTTGCATTTTATATAGGAAAATAGTTTTAAAAAAAATTTTTGAATTATTTGTGGCACTTTGTTTAACCACAATTGAGTTTTGGACTCAGTATTGTAACATATATTACTGTAGCCTACTTGTGTGTTTATTAGTATATAAAACAAGTTTTTTTGTATAACATGTCTCTCTGCCATTCACAGTCGTCCGTCCTTCTCACTGTAGTTTTGTTTATGTTTTTTGACTATTTTTGAGTTTATACCTATATGAATTTAGTTGGTTCGGTCCTCCCATCCGCGTCGAGCACGTCACGCTCCACGTTCGGCGCGTCGTTCCTCGCGCCGCCCTCGTCGTTCGATTTGGCACGGAAACGCAGCTCACCCAACATACCATCCTTCTTTTCCCGATACTAATCAGCACCACTTTCTTTCTCTGCCTTCTGTTTTGAAGTTTTGAGCCTTTTCTCGAGACTTTCGGACCTTTCTTCAAGTTTTTTTTTGAAAATCCTGCCAATTTTCGGAGAAAAATTTGAAATCTTATCAAATTTTACATTTTGTTTTTTGAAATTTTGTATAGATTTTTGGAAATTCCGCCAAATTTTTAAAAATCAATTTAAAAAAACCGCCAATTTTTGAATTTCAAAAAACCCGCCAATTTTGAAAATCTGTCATTTTTTAATTTTGAAAATCCCGCCAATTTTCGAAATTTCATTTTTAAAAACCAGTTTGATTAGAATCCTTCTAAAGGATCACCAACTTTCGAAAGTACCACCTTGTACCACGTTTTTGATGATTAGACTAAGCTTTAGTTGCCCTAAACTCATTTTTTTGCCATTTTATGTACACACATGGCCTAGAGACCCGGTCACTGCTACTATTATATTGTTCAGGGCGTGGGAAAGGGCGTGGTGATATTTTTTTGATTTTTTAAAATTTTTTTAAAATTGAAAAAGTAATATTTTCTGTGATAAATGGTACTGTTGTGGTAGTATTGTGATAAAACTGGTATAGCACGATACTAATTGGGCCCACAACAAGAATTTTGCAATTTTTGAAAGAATTCTATACCATCTTTAGCTTAAATCTTAAAAATTAGTGATAAAAGTACAAAAACTTATTTACCACGCCCGCACCCACGCCCTCTCCCAGCAGGTTCTTTTTGTTTGTTGTCTCTATTTCCAAAGTTTTGTTTCCGACTTTTACCAAAATAAACGTAAAACTATTTAAAATCGAAGCGAATTGAGTACGTTACTAATCACGGCACGGTGCTCTGTCGTTCCGAGTCGACAAAGCCATTTCCACGGCCTTATTTCTTTCTGTGTGTGCTTCTGAATGTTAATATCGAGTAGAACGTGTCCGTTTACAGTGTTCGACATCTGGAAGGGCGAAGCCCCGGAGGGGGTGAGGCTTCAGAATCACTCCGTCTACGATGACTACGACGTGCTGGAGGAGATTGGAACGTGAGTGATGTTTGAAAAGGGGGAGAATTGATTTTAAAAAAGGTAGATTAGGTAGTTCAGCGATGGATGACATTTTAAATTGATACATGGTATTGTTTTGGCAATTTTTTTAGGGCGGGGTAGTTTTTTTGAAAAAAAATGAATTGGCTGTGGAGTTCAAAAATTTTATTAAATTTTGAATTTAGTATAAATTAAGCTTCCTTTTAGCGGCGCCTTTGGTGTTGTACATAGATGCGTGGAGAAAGCGACCGGTCGCACGTTTGCGGCCAAGTTTGTGCGCACGGTGAACGAGAATGAGCGAAGCACGGTGAGGAAAGAGATCGAGACGATGTCCGAGTTGAGACATCCATCTCTGATCAATCTACATGCTGCTTATCAGGACGAGCATGATACTGTCATGATTTACGAGTTGTAGGTTTACTGGCTTTAAAATTTTTTGAAATTTTAAAATTTTTTTTTGATTTTTTTAAATTTTTTGAAATTTAAATTTTTTTTTGCTTTTTTGAAATTTAAAAAAAAATTTATTAACAATAAATTGTTCAAATAATACTGTGCTCTTATCAAAGCAACTTTTTGGAGGGGGAACAGAATTTTTTGAACAATTACAAAATTTTGAAAATTCTAACTTAAACCTTTCTGATGGATAACATGCCACCTTACCATTTCAGTCTATCCGGCGGAGAACTGTTCGAAAAGGTCTGTGACGAAAAGAATCGCACTACAGAAGCCGAAGCCATTGATTATATAAAACAGATCTGTGTAGCGCTAGAGCACATGCACAACATGCATTATGTGCATTTGGATCTGAAACCGGAAAATATTATGTTTGTGACACGACAAAGCAATGTTCTCAAGTTGATCGACTTCGGATTGACCAGTCGATTACATCCTGACAAACCGGTCAAAGTCACTACGGGTAAGGGTATATGTGTTTAGTAACAGTGGTACTATACGGGTAAGGATACTCTACTATCAGGGGTATTATGGGATATTCTATCTATGTTGAAGATACTGCACGGTATTCTTCCTATATTGATGATAATGCAGGGTATTCTTCTTCTCTTGAAGATACTGTAGAGTATTTTCTCTTAAAATTACAGTATCCTCTTCTAGGTACGGCCGAATTCGCAGCTCCAGAAATCTGTATAGGAAAGCCGGTCAGCTTTACAACTGACATGTGGAGTGTCGGAGTACTAACCTACATCCTCCTAAGCGGCCTATCACCCTTTTGTGGTGCCAACGACCAAGAAACGTTGAGGAACGTCAAGAACGGTGACTGGGATATGCAAGATCCGGTCTTTGACTACGTCTCTTCTGAAGCCAAAGACTTCATCTCGAGGCTTCTGATCATGAATCCGAATGACAGACTGAGTGTGCACGATGCTCTACAGCATCCTTGGCTTCAGAAGACTGGTACGGCGAATGGTGACATTAAAGTGCCGAGTGAGAGGAGACGTACTATTCAGAACACGGTCAATAATCGATATGTAAGTTGGGTTTTGGGGGGTTTTGAAGGTATAGGCTATGTTTTGATAAGGCATAAATTATTTATTAGGTTGTTCAAATAATTCTGTGCTCTCAACTTTGACAATTTGCTTCTTTGACAATTTGCTTTGAGTGGGGCTCAGCATTATTTGAACAACCTAATATTACAAGTTCAAGTTCATAGTAAGTACTTTATACTACTATGTTGTATAAAAACTAATGAGCTAATGAACTCTTATACTAGCTATAATACATAGCTCTTTTTTTACACTGTTTAATGTAAAGCGTATATTGTACGTATGAGCCATCGGCCAACTCTTTGACTTCCTCACATCTACATTAACCATCCACACACAATACTCCTTAAAGACCCTCGTTAACATTGTTTACCATTACAGGACGCGTATCCGGACCCCAACCCTTCAATCGGCCGCGTCGCCAACTTCAGCTCATTAAAAGCAAATCGGCCGCAGGAGTTCAAGATCCTGGACACGGCTTTTGAAACCGAAAAAGCACCGCCCCGCTTCATTCTCACACCGTACAGTGCTACGCTCACCGAAGGCGACACCACAACGTTCTACGCGAGAGTATGGTCAGATACGATACCTATTGTCAACTGGTACAAGGGTACGGTAGAGTTGGAGCAGAGTGCACGATTCATGAAGAGATATAATGGCAATGAGTATGCTTTGACAGTGACCAATGTTAAGGTAGAGGATCGTGGGGATTACAAGGTCAAGGCTCACAACAACTTTGGGTCCGTGGAGAGCGGGTTCCATATTACTGTACATGCTTCTTTGAGTAAGTGATTGGTGTTTTATATTGATCTTTAGTAAAAATTAATATGAGTCTGACTAGAATGTTTACTTTATGTTAGACCACCTCAATTTGACGTTAAAGTACCTCAACCTTCATTACCTCATCTAACTTATTGTCTTTCAGGCTCTCGACCTCCGCTCTTCCCCGAATCATCTTCACGCCGCCGCCAACCGGCGCCAGAAGTGGCGGAATTCAAGGAGAAGCCGGCCTCTCCATTCTTCACATTCCCCCTGAGGCCACGCCTGATCCAGAAGAATCACGGCTGCAAACTCATATGTACAGTAACCGGCACGCCCATGCCCAAAGTCGAGTGGACAAAGGACGGCAGATCCCTGAACTTTGACCGAGTTCAGGTCACGTTCAAGAGTGGAGTGTGCACGCTGGAGATCTTCAACGCCAAGCCAGAGGACGCCGGTGCCTACGAGTGCCGTGCCGTGAACGATCACGGCGAAGAGGTTACTGTATGCGAGTTGACGGTACAAGCACGGAACGCTGGCTTATCGGCACAAGGGTCGAAGCTGATCGTGCCGAGTTTGGAGGTAGAACGATCGCGGTCGTCCACGGATCTTGCCAGGAAATACAGAATCACACCGTCGTTATCGACCAGTCGAGTAAACATGCTCAACATTTACAGTGGACCCAAGAGGACCTAAGGCTGATTGATATTGAAGAGGACCTAAGGCTTATGGACGGAAGAGGAGTTAAAGCTTATTGATATTGTTAACAGAAGTTTCATTTACTTATACAGAAGTATAATATCTTGTCGTATATTGTTGATAAAGGCAGCTCATGGTTAAGGTGCTTGAACAAGCTTAACGTATATTGTATTATAGTAGATTCAAGTGGAAGATTGTTTTATTTTGGGACAAAATAAAGTTATATATTGAGTTTGGTTATTTTTTCAATTAAATTTATATTGTTTTAGATACCAATAAACATTTTTTCAAATAATTTTAGAAATTTGGTCTACTCATACACTACAACTGCCGTATAAAACTCTACAGTACACCTACCGTATAAAACAAGTAAAAAAACTTTTTTTTCTTCAAAAAACTTGATAATCTTTTAATTAAAGCAATTAAAAACTAATTTTCTACTGTTTAAGCGTCTAAATGAAGAGCAGTAAACTTGATGTTATACTTGAGAATGGATTCGCTTCCTCAGGGGAAAAGCTTAATTAGTAGCCGTAACTTTGAATCTTCTTAATTATTATTACATATACTTGATTGAGGAGGGTTTTTTGCTGTTTTTTAACACTTTTTTCTGATTTACTTGATTAATTTTTGGCATTTTAGTAAAAATTTGGAGAAAAATGGCAAATTTAGGTGTAATTTGATCGTCTTTATAGTTTTAGGCTTATATTTTAGTTTTTTATTCTGGAAATTATGTGTTTTAATTGTAAAAGAGTGTGTTCTATAATAACAAGTTTTTTCAAAAACCAAGCTTGCTTTTTAAATATTCACCATTCCCCAGTATCATCTACTACAATATAATCGCTTCCCCAAACATCTCTTGCCCTAACGAACTCTCTGCGCTCTCTTATTAGTAGCCATTCGTGTCGTCTCGAAAACAGCCGATTTTTGAGTAGGTCGGAGTGGGCGTGGCTTCCTCTCTCCATCTTCCCAACCACCCCCCCCACTCGCCACTTTTGATTGCCTGCGGGGTGCCAATAGTCGGATTGGAATATATTAAATGTTGGTGATCAGCACAATACCGTACTAAATGTTTTGTCATGTGGAAAGGGGTTTTGCTACTACTGACTCAATTATGTTGTGCTAAACGAATCCCCGACATCTACTGGAACTCGTCCAGTCCAATGTAGGTTTTTGAGAGGGTGGGGGTTTCAGGGGATTTTTGGGTTTTTTGTGGTTTTTATTATTACCTGAGACTAGATTTTTATTTACTTGAACAGTTTTTACTATGAAATAGATTTAAAAAAGGTGAATTATGAGAAAAAAATCGCCAAAATCAGTCAAAAAATTCGATTTTTTATCAATTTTTAAACTAATTTTACACTTTTCAAGGATTTTTAAATTTACTGATAATTTAGAGCCTTTTTATCAATTTTTTGTTTCGGGTTTTACTGTTAACAATATAATAAAAGTAAAAAGTAACGTGGAAGAAAGTAAGTTATGAGACGAGAAAGCTGAAAAAACTAACTTTTTCTCGGTTTAAACGGTCCTCCTTTCTAAACTGTTTTGTGATAAAAATCGTTGGAAACTTAAAATTTTATACCTGAATGAGGAGGAGAATTCGTATTTTACAATTTACTATCTTTTAAAACTTTTTAAAATTGATTTTTTTTTAATTTTTGTGCTTTGTTAAGGTGTTGTAAGCTTCTAAAAGAGGTTATGCTTGGCTTAAAACTTATTTTTATTAAGGCAAAAGTGATGCCATTTTATTTTACAGTTGTGATATTGTACTGAAGATCTTATTTTTATGTTTAGAAAGTTTAAAACTTCGTAAAATTTAAAAATTTTTCAGTTTTACCTCTTTTTAAACTTGAAATTTTCTCAAATTTGTTTTAATTTTTCTTGATTGAATATCATTTTAATTCGTTTTTCTCAATCCAAATTCCAAATTCCGATCCCAGCTGACTCTCGAACCCTTCCCTATCATCTTAACACCGAAGCAGCTTCTTTTCTCTACCAAAAAATCACTTTCCTTTAGTGATTTAGGGAACGTGGAGGTCATCGAGTTGTTTTTCACGTCAAACACTTTCGATCGGTCAAGATTAACCTGCTTTTCTCTTTTTTGTTCCATATTCCGTTTTAAGTGCACCGCCAAATCCCGACAGCGACAAGCTGTGATCTATCTGGTTCGCAACTGTAAAATTGATTGTCAGCTCTTTAAGGGGTCTGAAGTTCAAGTCTTTGCCTTTTAAGGTTGCGTTGGAGCGGTACAGGAAGGTGAGGGTGCGTTAGAGTTTTAGAGGAAAGTGAGGGTGGAAAGCGGAATGTGAGGGCAACATTATGACACTGAAAATATTTAAACAGTCAATTAAAAATTGAGTTCAAAAAGCAGAATTTTAAAAATTTAGGCTTCAAGTAGGTAGTTCTCAATAGCGTTTTAGTCTAGGCTCTAAAAATTGGCTGGTTTAAGTCAACTTCTATATTTTAATAAAAAGAAAAAGCGATTTGTTGTTGATAAGCTATTTGAATTTGGCTTTTAAAAGCATTAAAACGCTTTTTGATTTGGCCAAAGACTACGTATTTGAATATTGAATCATATTTATATTCAATTCTTATCAGTTAAGTAAAAATTTAAAAAAATTTAAATATGGGGTTGTTTGTTCACATAATTTTTTACCCCCTCCTCAAGAAAATTTTTGAGGGTCAAGGGCACAGAATTATTTAAACAACCTAATAATAAAAAATTTAATGAAACTTTTCCAAATTGACTTTAAGATTGACTCGATGGCTCTTACTTAAAAGCTTATAAAGAACGGCATTTTAAGTTCTACGTCGCTGTTTTCAAGGCTAATTTACTTGAATTTTAAAGCTATTTGAAAACTTTGGAAGTCGCTAAAAAGCCTTTGTTAACGTTGTCAGAAAGTGGCTTCGAAGTTACCCTAAACAATTTTGAAATCCACTTAAGGGTTTGGATTTTATGGCATTTTTTGAAATTGTTTTTATAATGGTGAGCTATAGGTTGATTATGATTGGCAAGCTTTGAGATAAGGCTGTTTTTGGTCGTTGCGATAGCATTTTGTTAATTTTTATATCGATGATGCTGTGTTAAGTTTAGGCTCTGCCAAGCAAGTTTGAGGTTTAGGTTTCTTTAGATAAGTTTAGGCTTTTTCAAATAGGCTTAGGTTACTTTTTTCATTTTATGAGGTTGCTCAATTAATTCTGAGCCCTCTAGCCTTAAAATTTTGTTTTGAAAAAGGCACAGAATTAAAATTTTTTGTACCACCCAATAGTACAACCTTTTGCGACAACTTTGTTCTCAAGCCGAATACTAAGCTGAGTATTATTATTAGGATTCTCATTTCTTGACTTTATATTGTATTCTGGATGCTTAGATTTGTTTTAGTACAACTTTTTGTCATACTTTTATAATAGAAACCAATTTTTCGTCATAATATTATATTAGAAACCTTGTAGTATCCTTCCAAACTCCCTTCTCTTCTCTCGATGCCTTGGGCTTCAATTACGAGGCGCTAAACACTTTGTTCTAATAACAATCTTCACCATTGCGCAACGCTCATAAAGCGGTCGAATTACCCACAAAACTCACTAATGAAGCCTGCGGCTGACAACCGGACCGTTACCGAGTAATTAGCTCTCGATCATCTAAGACTGCTTAATAAACCAGAACGCAAACAAATTAGTATTTTCATTGGGATTAAAAAACAATGCAATTTGTTTGCGACAAGGATCAAACTCGACCGATCATTTCGTTGCGTCTCTTCCGGCTACTAATATAATATCACCTTAGGTTATTGTATAGCATAAAAATTAAAGGCACAGAGTAATTTTAATTGAAAAAAGGCTAGAGAATACGGAATTTGAAGAGGGTTAGGAAGTTAGTTTGTCTTTTTAGATTGTTCAGATAACTCTGTGCCCTAATCCCAAAAACTTGATTGAAAGGGGGGCTCAGAATTATTTGAACAAGCAAATAAAAATAAGGAAAAAAGCTTGTTTTTTAAATAAAATTATAAAAAAATTAAATTTCAATTAAAAATCATTTTAAAAAAGCAACTTATAGGTCAAAAATGAAGGAGAAAACTATAGTTTAGGTTTCAGAACATTAAAAAAATAAAAAATGTATCTAAAAGTAACAAAATACACAAAAAGATACATAAACAAAAAGGAATAATAAGCTAACAAGGAAAGTAACCAACCTGCTGCACTCAGAACCAGCTCAAACTTTTTATATGAATCCTTTGCACCGTCAATAGTATCTAAAAAAATTGTAGCTAGCGCTTTTGAGTTTAAAAATGTAAAAACATTTGGATTTTTTGCCAATTTGGCAAATTTGTCATTGTGTTTCAAGCACTGTGTTGACTTTTCAAATAAGCTACGCATACAAATTTGAAAATATAAGCCTATTTAAAAGTTTTCTACTAGTATATCAAAGAAAAATAGTTTAAATTATAAAAAATGGCAGTTGTAAACTTGAAACACAATGCCAATTTGGCGGGAAATTCAAAACGAAATTTTTAATCTTGGTAGAGCTAGGCAAGTTGGGCACTTTCTTTGTTAATAGTAATTTTAATATTTTTGAAACTTTTTAATATATATTTTGAGCTTTTTCAGTTTTGACATCAGCAACACGGACCACGTAAACACAGTGCATCTGCTGGACCGAGTGACAATTATTTGCCCGCATCCAGCATCGCCCGATCACTACGAGTATTCCAAATTATATGTGGTGAGTTTGGCCCAGCTGGCCTTAATTAAGTGCCGACATTCGAGGTTTCTCTCTACTAACTCTGCGGTAATAACATAGAAAATTTTGTTCAAATTTTATATTTAGTATGATACAATAAGTTTTGAAAAATGACATTTAGAGTACAATTTTTTAAAATGACAACATTTTTTGTAAAATACGATATTTGAGAAATTTGAATATAAAGTTCTAGTTACTAAATGATAGGAAAAAATATGTCGTTGTCTGTAGTAAAAACCTCATTTTTTGACCAAAATATGACGAATTTTATAAATATGACATTTTAAACAAGTCTATGACCATTTCTTCAAAGATCTTGCCATTTTATAGCAAACCCAATCTTTTATGTCCACTTTATGCCATTTCATTCCACAATCTCGTCTTCTGCATCTTTAGCTAACAAATAGCACTAGCAATCTGTAAGCCCATGTAGCACGCCAGTAATTAGATTCTGTTTGAGAATCCGGAAGCGAGGCTTGATTCCTCGTTGCGTGCCTTCACAATCTCGCTTATCCCATTCTCGAGTTTTATTCATTTCAGCTCTCTCGAGAACGAAGAGAATAATCCCTAAAAGGGAAGGGGAATCCTTTCGATTTTAAAACCAGCTCAAGGCATTTAAAATTTTAAAAAACTATAGAAAAAATAGTATTTGATCTAACACGTCTTACCTTAAGCTCAAACTAGTCCTAACACAAAGTTCTATCCCAGAGCCCTAGCCCAGAGCCTTAGCCTTGCCCTACCTTTTGCTTTACTCTACCCTTTACCTTATCCCGTTCTTCACCTTACTTTACATATATTACCTTATTATAACAGTAAAGTTGTTTTTTAGTGTCATAAAGTAATTTCTGAGCAAAAACCAAGTTATGCTATGATGACTTTTATGTCTTCACCATAACATATCAGAAGTTATACATTTCCTGTTTACGACACTTTTAATTAATTCGATTATTACTAAAGCTACAAAGAGTAATTCAGCTGTAAACCTAATCCTTTATTTTTATGGGAAACGGACATAAAAAAATATTAGAATTGTTAGTTGTTACCTATTTATATACGTAACTTAAAGTTGTAAGCTTTAAAAAAATTTCTTTATAAATATGATAGAAAATGTGTATAGAAAAAACATGTAGTTCCGAGTTTTAACTTTAAAAAAAAAGATTCTCAAAACACTTACAGATTTACAACCACAAGACAGCTATCATTAACCTTGTTTCCTGAACTTTATGTTGTTCTAACCTTCCTTTTAAGCTTCTATCAATGGAGTTTGTATAGTTATAAAGCTGTTATTAACCTCCTTTCTATTTTTCTTTATTTTGTTGTTTTCTTTATTGGTTCATGGTTAGAGAGAGTATCAGAAACGCTAGCTTTAGATTTAAAAAAAAAACGTTTTGTTAAGAAAGTTCTTGCGTTAGTAAACTTAAAATTCATGGCTTTCCTCTTCTATTAAATGTTCAATAAATTCTGCGCCCCTAACTCTAAAAACTTACTTTGAGAGGTGGCTCAGATTTATTTGAACAACCTGATATAAATAGATTCTGCCATAATATAATATTATTTTAACATTTTCCCCTCTTCTAGGTAAGTCGAAACGAGTACGATGTGTGTGAGCTCCGTAATCCTCGCCTCCTCGGCTCCTGCGCCACTCCAGACCAGCAGTCCAGCATTTCCGTGGTGTTCCGCGACTTTTCCCCCATTCCGGGGGCGTTGGAATTCCAGTCCGGGCACAGCTACTACGTGATAGGTAGGCGATTCCCTTTGATCTCGTTTGATGTATATCTGCAGCGACATCCGACGGCTCCAGCGAAGGCATCAATCGCACGGTGGGGGGGCCTCTGCTCCACCAAGAATATGAAGCTCAAGTTTGACGTGCAGGAGCCAGGTGAGTGATGTCCACGTCAATTGATCGCTTTACGGTCGTATTGTGATGGAATTGGGGGGATTTAGTGTGTTTGAATGGAATTTAAAAAGCGGTCAAAAAGTTTAGAGAAAAATGGTTTTTGTGTTTCGGTCAAGAATTACATAGAAAACGCATAAAAAGTAGTAAAAAATCAAAAAAGACAGACTTTTTTTGATCTTTTTGTCATAAAATGCTATTTTCTATAAACTTTTTGACCGCAAAATTTACAGGAGAAAAGATTTCTTTATATTCCTTGACCGCTAGATCAACTAAATCGCAATATTTCCGTAAAATACGCATAATAAACCCATCGTTATATAATGACCTTATAATTGCCATTTCAGATGTGTCCCCAAAGAATACGGAGCCATTAACTCGGGCACGCGACCTCAGCCTGAACGGGCCTTTCAGGTAAGGATAATAGCTACAATAATATGTGGTCAAGGGTATTATTGTAGGCATATTTGGTTCAAGGATATTGTTGTAGGTATAGCTGGTTTAGGTTAACTAAAATGTTGATTGTAACTAAATTATAATTACTGAAATTGAAAAACTAAAGGAATATTAACCTTTCAAACCTAGAAACAAAATTATACTACAATATCCATTCAATAAACGTTGTTATACCACAATATATCCCTCTATATACCTAAAATTTCAGCGAAACCACGCCGATGCCCTTCAAAACCTCGTCGATCAGCTACGTGATCCACACTGTCGAGCCGGAGACGATAGCATCGATGCACACCAGCTCCACCACCTCTCTGACGTCCTCTCCGCTGGCCATAGTCCTTTTACTGCTTGGTATTACCGGTTTACTGTGATTACTCGTGCTTTCAACAAACTTCTATTTATATTCACGAATCTCAATGTAAATAAAACTTTATTCAGAGATCACATGAAGCGACAAGGAATGACATTGTAATAGGTATAACACTCGGTGGTACAGTTGGTACAAGTTATTAATATATTATAGTAAGTTTAGGTGACGAAATAGGTGGTATAATACAGTTTAAGGGGGTAGAATTGTAAAATAATAGTTAAGTGAGTATAGACTAGAGTAAAATAAAGGTTTTAGTACACTTTTAGTGGTACAATAAGTGAGTTTGACTAAACTACATCAATATAAAGTGACAGAAATAATAAAAATTGCGGTAATATAGGTATTGCATAGTTAAAAAGATCAATATAAGTGAGATCAATCAGCTAAAATAAGTGGAATAGTACTAGTAAGGCTGTAGAACACCCTCGAGACCCATAACATATCAGAGATCACCGCAAAGACTTTCGTTCCAACATGTTTGGCTGACATGTTTTCTAGACGTTCAAAAAATACGTCAGCTATGACAGGAAAATATAAATTTAGAGATTTTTAATTAATATTGTTATGCTAGAGATTTTAGGTAATAAAAATAAAAATTTGGCCAATACTCAAGATAATAACAGTTTGGCAGCCTGCGCCCTGTAGAAACGCAACCTGCAGAGTTCAACAATACAGCATCAAGCTGAATTATTGAAAACTTAGTAAAGAAAAGACAAAAATAAGATTATATAGTTAATATAAAAGATCTTTAGAGTTATTTAAAGTTGAAAACTGTTACCTAAAACAATATTGAATATTTAAATAGTTTTGTAAGTGAATTTGAGTAATATAGGTATACAAATACGGTTAGCTATCTACAAATGGCACGATAAAAGTCTGCTGTACAATATTACCTAGAGACAGTAAGGTAGTCCTGATGAGCGTAGTCCCCATTCGTTAATGGTATGCTTTCCCCATTCTCTTGAGACCTCATCTTCTGAAGAACCAAGGTCTCGGAAGATACGTTGAAGCTGGTGTCTGATGGCAGAACTACACGTTCGGTCGAGATGTTGACAACACATGCCAGCACGTCATATTCTGGTTGTAGAATGCCATTCTTGAACAGGTACTCCGACACCAGACTGCCTCCAATACAGCAGGATAGAGATAGGAGCATAGATAAGGTCTTGAAGGGAAAGTACTGAGCTCCATCACTGTACATTGGGTACTCGATCATGGCTGGGATGTGGAGTAGAGGTTCTCCGCCAGATAGTCGCATTATCATTCCGACTAAAATAACCTTACATAGCGAGTTAAATTTTAAGCAAAACCTTGTTTTAGCCAAACTTAGGTCTAATTGTAAAGAAATCGTCATATCTCTGCTAGAACTTAAAACAAGCTAACATAATATACCTTGTTCAAATCCTCAGGATCACTTTTTTAATCTCCATATAACAATAATTAATAAAACTACCTCAATTTCCGATATAAACCCGCTGAATGACCCATACCTACCTGTATATCCCAATAAACAACCATAAGTGTTGCTTCTGTGGAAGTAAACTACACAAAGTAACTGCGGGAATAGTATCACATATACAAGATCAGCACAAAGATACCATAATGCGTAGATACTTTGAATTGTAAGCGCCATGATGGTAGCCATGATACCAACCATCGCTATACCAAATCTCATTACTCCAATAACTTCCTTCTCTGAGGCCTGTAATTGATCTTCAAGGTAATTGTAGGTCAAAAAGTTTATAGAAAGACCAAAAATAGTATTTTAACCTTCCCATAAACTAAATTCGAATAGCTTTTCTATCAAAATCAACACCAAAATGAGCAATATTATTTTACACTACCAAGAAAACAAACTCCAATTATATTACACTCAATTCCCAACTTACATGAGGTCGAATACTTAGCTTCCAGATGTTATGCGACAACATCGAAGCTGCGGAAAGCACTGATGAGTCGGCTGAGCTCATGACAGCGGCCGAGACAGCTCCAAGTCCAATGAAAGTGACCCACTTTGGAGTTAGGTACTGGAACACCAATGGCACCACCATACTCGTGAATTCAGACGGAATTGACTCGGTTTTAGTGCCGTTCTTCCATGGCTCATAGTCAGTCAAACGCCAATCCGTATTCTTGGCTATGGCACCGATTAAAGCCGGGGGGATGGCCATAACGATACAGCCTACGCCTGCCACAAACGATAGGTTTTGAGCTCCATTTGAGGTTTTTGAGGACAAAACTCGTTGAAAGTAGACCTAAATTGAGATTTTAATAGCAGAATTTGTATGCAAAAAATTTCAATGTATCCATATTATAAGTTACAGTACGCAAATGTTGACTTTTCTACCATATAATCATAAAAAATCAACAAAAACATAAGAGAATTTCAATATTCTTTAGGAAAAATAAGATTCTCTCAGCCCTTTGACCTTTTTGAACGAACTGAACCTTTATAAATACCTTTGAGCTGAATTTACACCCCCTGCCTCAACCTACCTGCCAAGGAATGCCTCCGAATATCAACAACAACATGTTGTCCCACCATAATGAGCAAGTGGCTAGATCGTTGCAGGTTTCCCCCAGCCACGCAATCGCATTGTGTGAAAGATCAGTCGTTTTGTCTTGTAGTAAGGCTGCTGGTATACACACCCACTGAAAGTTTATTAATAAGTTATGGGAAAGTGCCTTTTGTTCTTTCTTCAAGTTTATATTAAGCATAGCTGTCATAATATGATTGTAGAGACTATATACTTTTGGAAAAGAGTTTTTGACATCATTATGCTATACAAATTCAAATTTAAAAATACTTTTATTTTTGTAAACAAAAGTACTTAATCTCTACCCAAACTTACCATACCCTACGTATTGTACTCTACTCGACCATCCTACCGTACCCTACAATACTTTACTCTACCCTACCCTATCCTATCCGTTACCCCGTTATATCCTATATAGTACTCAATACCCTCTGTTTAATGTACTCCAACGTATACACCCTACTCAACTATTCAATACCTTACCCTACCTATTCAGTCCTACCCTACCATACATAGTACTAAATAACTCCTGTTAATCAATGTTATTGTAACACTTCAAATTTTAACACGATTACTTTGTAAAACAAATCATTGACCTACAAAGGAAGTTCCAAACCGCAAAACAAACGTCAGAAGTTGTTTTAAAAACAAAAAACAACATTATTTACCACTAAAAGGATCCTTTACCTTATATTACCATTCCAAAAAGTGTAAGCCTAAACAAAAAACAGCACCAAATGTACTGTACCAGCAAACATCATACTCAATATTTCAAAACTATATCATACTTTACCAATACAACATCACACTTCACCTAAAACCTTCCAAAAAATAAAAATTCAACTTACCAGCCCAATAAAGATACAAAACAGCTGTACAACATCAGTATAGGCTACTGCGTATAGTCCGCCAGAGAATGTGTAGGCTACAGCTACAAAGGCTGATATAACGACAGAGATGTTCATGTCCCAATCCAAAATGACCGACAATGTGGCTCCCAATGCTGATAAGATGGCAGCGCTCCAGAAGACTTCACCCAGGAGCGCAGGTATGAACATTAAACCACCTACTCGTTGACCGTACTTGATCTGAAGGTATAGTACTTTATCAGAGTAAAAATGTAAACCTTTATATCATATAAGTATAAAATTTAGTATTAAGCACTAGACCTATCGTGCACATTATAAAAGTTGGATTTACATTAAATCTACGTATTAAATTTTACGTACTATTTTGTACATGATAGTACCTATACTTTACCTCCTTGTAAGTACTATGATGTCATGACACTACCTCTATTTTACTATAATACATCGTAGGTACTATCTTGTACACGATAATACCCCTATTGTCCTACACTGCCCGTACTAGGTTGTCCATCAGCTCAGTAAAAGCACAAAGCTCAGCCAATATTTGCACTTACTTGAAAAGGATCCAACATTGTAATATAGCCTTCTTCTCTCATCCGTCGAGCAAACAGAATACCGCCCATGATCAGACTGAGAGCGTAGCCGAATGGCGCTTGACATCCCAACACTCCAGATGTGTACATGGCTTCGGCCGTGCCGTTTATATACGCTCCACCGACCCATGTTGCTAAAATTTTAAGTTATAGTGGGTATCTAATAGGGAAATTTTTTCCCTCCCTCCCCTTCCAGACCAGTTCCATCCACTCTTCAAACAAGAAAAGTACCCAACCTACCCCACTCAAAATAAGATCAAAGATTTTCTACTAGTATATCGAAGAAAAATAACTAAAAATCAAAAAATGACAAAGTTATAATCTTGAAACACAATGCCAATTTGGTGGAAAATTCAAAACGTAATTTTTTGATCTCGATTTTCTCGAGATTGATTGGAAAACGCGATTTAGTACTGTTCTGAAGATATTATGTTTACATTATCTTTCAATACAAAAACTTTAAATTCAATGAGAGGGCAGGACTTTGCTAGTTAGTAATTTTTAAATTAAAAAGAGTTTTGAAACTTTACGAATATAATTCAAAAGAAAACCTTTTTTATAATCAACAAACTATAGCAATCATAATATAAGGGACGAGCTAAATACATAGGATGGAAAGTATCAGACAAAAAATGCGATTTCTTGTCTGATATTTTCGTCTCTCATTTTCCCGCTATCTTTTTTTTCCTCTCGTTGCCGACGGCAGTTAGAGAAAAAAAAGATCGTTGAAGAAAATATATCAGACAAGGAATGCATTTTTTGTCTGATACTTTCCATCCGATGTATTTAGCTCGTCCCTTATATAACGCCTCAAATATTTTTTTTGCTTTTTTATTATGTTTATGTTCGTGCATTTCTAGAAAACATATTTGTCAAAAGTGTATAGTAAAGTGTACGCATTGACAAAGTAAAAATGTAAATCAAATTTTAAGTTCCGCAAAGAGTCTAAAGCTGGCTTTTATCCAGAATTTATAAAAAACACTTTTTATTAGTTTCACATAAATTTTAGAAAAAATGGCATAAATTTCAAAAAGTTGACAAATATCCTTTCAAAAAATTTTGTAAATTTCAAAAAAAAATTTTTTAAAGCCCATAAAATTTTTTAAAGTTGTAAAATGACCTTGATATTATCCTGCATATTTGCTTATTTTTAGTTTTAATGTTTTTTTCGACCAAAATACTAAATTCGTTGTACTAATAGGTTGTTAAAATAATTGTGTGCCTCCTCTCAAAGCAAATTTTCTGAATTAGAAAACTCAGAATTATTTAAACAAACTAATATTTGTTGAGCTACACATCATTGATATGGATATCGTGTGAAAAAAGAATGTCTAATATTGGTGTTCCAAAGAAAAGTCTGTTCAGTGTACTCAATGAGCTCTCATTTGGCTCATCGTACTCTTCGTACTATGTAAGTCAATACTTTGTGTAATAAATTGGCAAACAGCGATCATTTGTAACATAAATTTATGTTTTTTATGTAAAATACGTCACAAATGACATAAGAATAACAATTATCAGTAAAAATCATACCTAATCATCGAAAAAAGCACAAAACGCAGTTTTAAAATTTAAAATTTTTCGATCTTAAATGTCCTTCATATGATAATGTAATTTTAACTATAATTTCAAATTCCCTTAACGCATATTTTTAAAATTTCACTTTACGTCCGCACCATGCTATATATGATGTATTATGCACCATTGTGCCCTTCATGTCATAAATCTTGGCCATTTCATGCCATAACAAGCAACAGATTGGCCCTTTACAAGCTCATAAACCTTATGATGACCGAAAATACTGTTATTTCAGTCGGATTTCGAAGAAATAATGGCAGAAATGCACGGAATTCGTATGAATACGTCGTAACTGCCGTTTTTTACCTATAGGAAGGTGAAAAAAGTAAAATTGTGTTTATTTTGACTCTGTTTGTGTTGGCTTATATTAGCCATACCTTGGGTTATATTGTTTAATTTTTCAGACAAGTAACATGAATTTTTATATAGGTAATATCACTACTGCCTATCACAATATTCTTTTAAGCCAACCTATTGTTCCAACTAAAATTTTACATTATCTCCCCCTTTCCATGTTTTTTGAACCCCCCTTTTCAAATTTTTACCTTCACCCACTACGTAAGCGTGCCAAAGTATTGTTTTTTTATTGTTTTACTCCATTGTTTTACCTACCCGTCATGGTGAAGATGCCCACCAGCGTGCCAATGTTCCGCCCTGCTAGAAACACCTCTTCCGTTTGTTGGCCATCTTCTGTCTTTTGCGAATCGGTCTTGCGGCCCGCCCAAATGCCCACTGCCAGGATCAGCAGGTAGAACACGATGATAGCTACTATACCCAAGTAGTCGGCCATCCTTAAAGTAAATTTTACAGACTTAAAAATTAAATTTTATAGGTTTACATTTAGAATTTAGGTAAAACAAATAAGAAACAAAAATAAAGAAAGTAAAGGCAAAAGTAAATATTTTTTAAAGTAAACATGTTAGATAGTATGACATTGTAACATATGACATCAAAGTTAAAGGCAAGTATAACACATTTAATAAAGCAATAGCTTTTTGATTATTTATATTAGGTTGTTCAAATAATGCTGTGCCAATTTTCAAAAAATATTTTCAAATTTAGGGGCACAGAATTATCTGAACAACCAAATAATAAACAAGACAACTGAATTCAGTCTAAAAGGAGTGGTGAAGCACAAAAAAGTTTCAAAAAATTTTTTTTTTATTTTTTGTTATAATCAGTATGAGTTCATGTCATCAATACAACGTTGTTTAAAGGATTTCATAAATTAACATAAGAAATTAAATTTAATATATGAATAAAGGTCTATCACAAAATCCTTTCCAAAACAAAGCTCAACGTAGCCAACATCCAAGAAAACTAAAAACAACACAAGTACCTAGCTAACCCTCCCTCTAATTAAAAAATCAGCCTCCACCACCTCCGCCATGATCATTTTCACCAGAATTGCAAAGATTACAAAAGATTCAAAAACTTTTTTTTCAAAAAATGTCAGGTCTCAAGGATATAGGATGATAGAACATGTACTCTACGAGATGTACAAACAAACAAATTCTCGTCATCAAAAAATGCCAAAAAAAAGCTGGTAAGTTGACGTTGTAAAGACAAACGGTAGAATAGATAAGATATGGTGTTAGAAACCAAGACATAGTGTTAGAAGACAAAAAATATTGATGTAGATCTTTTACATCAATATTTGTGATGATCCTTTGCTTAAGACATACAAATATAGGCAAAAACAGTATTTACATTCTACTAGGTTGTTCATATAATTCTGTGTCCCATAACCCTGAAAAGTTGCCTTGAGGAGAAGCACAGAATTACTTGAACAACCTAGTATTAAAAACACCTCTTAATCAAGAAAAACTCTTCACTAAATCCCTTTTAATTCAAAAATAAACCTTGCCCTACACAATAACAACATAAAAATAGAAAACGGCATTAAAAATCCTTAAACTTTCTAGAAAACCCTCTTTAATACAAAATCCATCTTTTTTAACACAAAACATCCACCTCCAGACATACTACAATATTACCATTCAAATTCATCCAAAACGGAAGCAAATAAAGTGTAGTGTAATTTGAATACCAACAATACGCGTAATTTTCGAATAAACATCATCTGGACCTTTTTAAAAAGCAAAATATTAAGTAAAGACGATGATGACAATAGGGAAAGAATGACCCACCTAAGACAATATAAAATTTCTACAAACTTTTATACTGAATGTACTAGAAAATGCGTTTAAATCGTTGTAACGAAGCTTAAAGACAATATTTACATTAAATTTAAGCTTTTTTAAAACTAAAAAATCACATCTTAAAAATTTTAAAACAAAAAAATGTGACAAAGTTGATAACCGACGTCATGTTGAAGCGCGCCTCATCCCCTCCGGAGATACGGTGAAACAAAGAGGTCAGACTAGCCGGCTGGCCGAGAAGCCGGCTTCAACACAATAGCACCAATCTGGCTACCGGTCATGCGAAGATACGAAGGGGAAAAATGAGCTGTTGAAAGAAGAGAAAGTAGGACAACCATATTCGTCAAACGAACCCTTAAGGCGCCCCAAATTGGCATCGTTCCGTCTGCTAAAGAACATAATTCCCGTGATTAAAAAGGTTGAAGCCCGGAGGGCAAGGGAATCGGGCAAAAGTTAGTCTTGGAACCAGAGAATCGGTATTTTAAGTAGTAAAGTTGTGTTAAAAAAATACATGAGTATGACAAAAAACGTCATATAAAGGTTATGATCAAAGCAGTAGGACAAGGTAAAATAAAATACGCCCTTTCTCAAACTTTTTTCGAAATTTTTCATAAAAATAAGCCTTTTCCATCCTTTTCAAATCTTGTAAAAAAAGTCCAAGCCAACCCCACCCCTTCTCAAAAATAGTTCAATAGTCCACCCCTTCCTTCTCTTGATAAAAATGACCTGCCCGAAACTGACCGTATAGACAAAATGAAATTTTTAAACAAAGAGAAGAAGACTAAACAACAATATATTTGATCCTGTACCCCTTCATGACATCCCTTTGCGTCAGTCGCTCACGTTCCTTCCAACACCCTATAAACCCCCACCTACACTTTTAATCAAGCAAAAACGTCACCCAAACCTAGTAAATTAAAATTCAAAATAAGAAAAAGTTACACTTTGAGTTCATAAAGTAAAAACTCTCACTTAGAGTTTATGAAGTAAAGTAAAGGGAGCACGGGGCGCCGGGATTTCGACGGAACAATAGGCTTTACCGTTCGCAAAGTCTGCCGAGCAACCGGGTTCCGAACCCAAGCCAAAAAGACGTCCAGAAGCCGCCGAGGACAAAAGCCGTGACGCGTCTTCAGCCTTCTGATGTAGACAAGAACATCCGGAGGCGGACGCCATCGATTTCGCTCAGCTACGGTGCGAAGGAAACGAAGTTAAGTGAAAGGGGAATGTGGCGGACGGCTACAACAAGATCAGGGGTCGGGTACGCTGACATCCCGGGCCCAATACTCTCCTCGGCCTTTACTTTTCCGCTTTCTCCCATTGACATCGATCCCACGGGGTTTCTCACGCAGCACCCCAAACCCAACAAGTCCCTCCCCCTTCCCGCTTCAACTCCCCATTGCTTCCGGTCTCATCGGATATGTTGTGATTTGGCAAAAACATAAAATAATAGAGCCATTATCATCCCCGCACATCGTGTCTTACCCGCATCATTGGTCCAACTTTTTTATTGGCATATTGTTTGTGTACACATCATCGTGGCTTCATCTACATTATCCTCGTTTTCACATCATTATTGGAGTAATTTTGTGGTACGGTGCAAGATAGTATCGTTAGTTACTTTAGTCAAAGAATTGAAAAATGATGACTAAATTAAACAAGTCAAAAAGTGAATGGAATATACAGCTTGCCTATATTTATATCATCATTCTTCATTTTTCACCCAAGCTATTCAATTGCAAAGCCTTTCTTTATTAATTCCTCGGCACTGTAACTCCATAACCCTTTCTTTATACTATCATACGGCTTTCAGCTTAAATTCAGCTTTTTATCGCACAAATTTGGTCAAAACCTTCGTAGAATTGTCTTACTTTCGTTTTTGTAACAATACCATCGCTTTTCTTTGATGTTTCTCTTTACTTTTAGACCAAACAGACGTAATAGAACAAAAACCTTGTGGCCAGAAACCCCAGCTTTGATTTTGCAGCCAGACTAAACCGATATCCATTCTTCTTGTCTGCACATCATCGTCGCATTCTCGAGGAACGTGCGAGTCGAACGTTCATGTTTCCCAAAAAAACTTTTTTCCAATTCGGGAGCACGCAATTCCACTTTTTAAAAACAGGAAAATGATACAAAATCCAGTACGAAGAGAACATACAAAAAACAATTGTCAAAACTCTTTTCGAACAACAGATTTGAAATTATAACGATACATCGAAAAAGAGAAATTCAGGACATTTATAACAAAGACATTATTTGTTGTGATAAAGCAACTCCAAACGCCCCTATAAAGTTTGAAAAAAGCTGTAGAAATTTGTCGCATAAGTAATAGAATATAATTTTATAACACCACTGCATTACCGCCAAAGATCGGCTTCAAAAATTCAAAACGACCAAAGACAAACATAAAATATTGAAAAACAACAGAATAACACATTTCTACTATAATATTCTACGACAAACTCCTTCATATCAACCTAACAGCTGATGTACAACAAAATCTGAGCAACTTCAAACAGATTAGCTCGTAATTTCAACCTTTAAACCTAAAATAATACCGAAAAAACCTTACCATTCTAACCCAATATCCTTGATGTCATTGTTAATAGTTTTCGCCTCATTATGCCGTTCTTTGGCCGTTGTAACCTAACATTGCAATTGGATCTCCAAATTAGGGTAATTGAAAAACAAAAAAGTTCGCACCTCAACGAAATGTCAAAACAGACTCTTGCTTTGACACTTCGCTTACATTGATCTTTATTTATAAAATGCGTCATTGCTTCACTCTCTTTTGGAAAAAATAGACTAATTTATACAGAATAAATTTGCGTTTTTACATTGTTTATTGGTTTTTTAAAACATGTGAAACTAATTTCACCTGAACTTTTGAAATAATAATTAAGTCGCGTTGACATCTTTTTTGTACGAACGTGGAAATAAAAATATTTCAATAAAATTAATGTTATCAGATGGACGGAAACAGGAATATTCACTGAATGTCTTTGATTCATTTTATGTAATCTACGTTGTTTTTTCTAATATTTTTTTGAATTTGAAAAAGAGAGTGGAAAGCCTTAGGCGTTGCGAGGGATTGCCACGTAAAATCGGGTTCGTTTCCATTGTTTCGAACTGTTTTCCAAACGCAAAATGGCCTTCAAAGAAGGATCTCTCGCTCACCAATATTTTATTATTATAGCTGCTGTTTCGTCCTATTGGTGAGTACTTTATGGGGTTTTTGTGGATATAGGCATGTTATAGTAGTTGAAGTTAGGTTTTGATAAATAACGGGTGTTATTACGTTTTGTGGATAAAATTTGGTAAAGTTATAAAGTTTTAAATAGTTTAAAGCTTTTTAAAGATTCTGAATATTTTAATTGGTGAATTTTGTAACTTATGATTGATTTTGATAAAGAAATCAGCTTTGATTTAAATTTTGGTCAATATTTTAATAATAAACCAAAGTTTTTGATTATTCGAATGTCTTTATGTTAATTTTGCTTTGTTTTCAGGGCATGTTCGATAGGATTGGTCTTTCTAAACAAGTACTTACTGAGCAGTCCATCGCTAAAGGTATGTTATTCATCTTTCAAGATCTATTTTCTTTTTTTTAATTTTTAGTTGAATGCTCCACTTTTCGTGACATGGTACCAGAGTTTAACGACAGTAGTATTATGCTACGCTTGTTCTTGGTTGTCGAGGACGTTTCCTAAGCTCATAACTTTTCCTTCCATGACATTTGATCAGAAACTGAGCAGAGATGTTCTTCCTTTGTCGTTTATCTTTGTTGGCATGATCACTTTCAACAATTTATGTTTGAAGAACGTTGGAGTTTCTTTCTATTATGTTGGCAGATCGTTGACTACAGTTTTCAACGTTCTTTGTTCTTATCTGATTCTAGGACAATCGACTTCTATTAAGGCAATGGGATGTTGTGGTATAATCATTGGCGGATTCTTGTTGGGAGTCAATCAGGAGGATGCTGCTGGTAAGTGGATTGTTTTCAGTCTATTTATCTCATTTCTTGAATATTATCTGAAGCACGCATCAATATTATAAAAAATTATTTTCTTACGATAATATTATTTTAGGGTATAAACTTTATAACAAAAAACTAAAATTACATATTACAGGTTCACTCTCAATATCAGGAGTGGTATATGGAGTCCTAGCGTCCTTATTTGTGGCTTTGAATGCTATTTACACAAAGAAGACCTTGAAGAATGTTGGAGATTCGATCTGGAGACTAACAATGTATAACAACTTGAATGCTTTCTTCATTTTCTTGCCATTAATGTTGTTCAGTGGTGAATTGGGAATAGTACCATACTTTGAGTACATTGGAACGTTCTACTTCTGGGCTATGATGTCTTTATCTGGTGTGTTTGGATTTGTTATGGGATATGTCACTGGATGGCAAATTCAGGTAAGTTTTCTTGGTTTTTTGTAAATTTTAAAGTTAGGAAATGTTGTTTAACTATGGTGGGATAAAAAAAACATTATTTTGTTTTAAAAACGTATAAATTAACGGAATTAAACAGCTGTTTTGTGCCTGGACTTCAGGCATTACTTAACGTTATTATATTAACTATAATGTGTTTATTCTGAAGTTCAACAAGTTTTCGTTTGTTATTATTATAGGTAACCTCTGCGCTGACTCACAACATTTCTGGAACAGCTAAAGCCGCGGCCCAAACCGTAATGGCCGTGATAATATGGATGGAAGTAAAGTCAGGCTTATGGTGGCTGTCTAATATTGTGGTATTGGCAGGCTCTGGAGCCTATACTTATGTACAGAAGAAGGATTTGGATAAAAACTTCAAAGAACGACTCGAATCTGACAAAGTGTCACTTTTGTCTCGCGAAGAACGGCGACAAAACCAGCAAGTTTAAGGTGGGCAGCTCTGGATGGCTCTTGTCTTTGAGAATTGTTTGAAATTACCTTTCTGATAAGGCTTTGTTATTTAAAATTGTCTTAAGTTAGCGATTTGGTATTTGTGGTCTTTAACATCATGTATCTTAGCTGGTTTTGTCAAAAACTATTTGAAGCTGTCTTTTTTTTATATTAACCGAGATTCAAAAGTTAATTTTTATGCCTTCGCTAGTCTAGTGTCGCCAAAATGTGTTTAACATACTAATTATTTATAGTTTTTAGCTAAAATTGTGTGTTTTTACGGTTTTAGTTACTGTCTGCGTTTGATATTGTTAATACTTGTTGAAATATAATCAAGAACAAATATTTTGTTGTACAATAATATAATCATAATATTTTGGTCGGATATGTTTTACTTTTTGGGTTACGGAGGTATTATAGGGTTGAAAAGTCGTTTGTAAAGTTTTCTGTATTTAAAAGTTGTTGAAAAATCTAAAAACTGACGAGGTTTGAAGTTTTTGCTGTTAGAAAATTATTTAAACTATTCCCAAGGTCACCGTATAATCATGAAAATTTCAGAAGTTATACAACTTTTATCTGTCTTCAACAGTTGAAACATGTTTTTTTTTAATTCTGCCCCAACAATAGTAATACCCGTTTTATTTGAGCAAGCATAACAATTAGTAATATAATTCCAAACTCAACCACTGTCTGAGACAGTCGAGTGCAAAACTTTCTTTCCAGCTACGGGCATGTAAGCGACCATGTTGACGAACTTGACCGCCCTACTACCCGGTTTTTCTTCCAGGTAATGGAAGTTATCGAAATGAATGAACGGTAGCCATCGTAGCAGATAGCGTACGCCTTCGTTGATCCTCCGGTTCTGCCAATAGTAAATGAAGGGGTTGACAATCGAATGAAACATGGCTATGGTATGAGCAGCCCACCAGATGTAGAGAATGTAGGGGTGGGAGGTGATGGTGGGGTCATAGGTTACCCATATGTTCATAAGAAGGTTTTGGGGTAGCCAACATCCAGCGTACAATGCACTTACTAATAGCACCATGGGGATCAGCTGAAAAAAATTTTTTATTATTTTTACCGTACTGTACTGGACTAATTAGGCATAAAAAATTTAAGTTTCGGCTATTGTAGTACGTTATTGTATAATATTCTATAAGATATGGTAAGGATAGACTAATTTGTATTCAATTGTATAGAGTAAAATACGCTGTATAATTGTTGTCTTTAAAGTTTGGACAGGTTTTGCTACTTTTTAAAATTTTTAAAATATTTTTTGTTATTTTAAGATAGAGTGACATGTCAATGCCATGACAGTCAATAACGTAGTAGATGGTATAAAAATAGTATTATTGACAACTACAGTGAACGTAAATAGGTGGTATTGACCAATGTATAACTAAAAATTGGCAGACTTTACTTAATGTCAAAAACAAATTTTTCTGAACCGTTAGGTCAATATTCTACAGTTGTAACCTTATTCGTAGCTTTATATTACAGTAATTTCAAAAATTTATGTTATAGCTTGATTAAGAAAGATACTCTAGTAAATCATATTGTACTATGACAAAAATCAAAAATCCTATTGTTTTTGTGACATTTTATCTCTTCTCCTGACGCAAAAATGTTACTTGTAAAAAGCAATCACACTGATTGTAAAGATGGTCATAATATGTACGTAGAAAAATAACTTACAATATCTGTAATGAATAACAATTTTTATTTGTAAGCTTATGAATAACGTAATCAATGGTAAAAGATACTGTTTTGAAGCAAATAATCTAGTTTTTTGACTGAAATTTGTGAGAATTACAAGATTTTAGAGAATCTTGAACTTTAAGGCTAGAGATCAAGGTCTGAACTTATTGCTCTTGCACTAGCACTAACTTTTTTGTGAACCTATAACTTGTTGTAAAATACGAAAAGTAGCTTAATTGGTTAAATAAATTTTTATGGCTTTTTGTATTGTTATAGCATAGCTTTGAAAAACCTATAACACTTCAGAAAACTTTTTCTGAATCTTCTTAAGATATGAAAAATATCCGGATGCCCTTAAAAGACTCTTTTAATTTTATAAATTGTGACATAAAAGCAACTATAATACGTAGTTATTGACAACAATATGTGCCCTTTTGTATTCAAGAAATTTACCAAAATATGAAGAACAACAAAGTATGCACTATAGTAAATATCAAGTATGAGCTTCGACACAGATATTATATATATTGCAGTCTAGGGAGAGGAAGAAACTAGTGAAGTCTATCTATGCATGCCTGTGACAGTATATACGGTAGATGAAGATATAAATGGCAGACTAAAAAACTTCTTAAAGGATTTGTGATATAGATAATGATGATGGTAAAATAGGAAACTTTTCCTTCAAAAATTTTAAAATTTAAAAAAAAATTAAATTTCGAAAAAAATTGAAATCTTTACAAATCTGCCACAAAATCTACAGTACCCACCTTTTTAACCGAGTCATGCCGTCCCTGTACCACGTATCGCGTACTTTGTGTCCGATCAGCCCCAGGCACTTTGCTGTTCCACATTCGGAGCCCAATGAACGTGTACGTGATTACCAAAACAAACAATGGTAGACAATATTGTAGAGCGAAAAGGGCTGATGTGTAGCTGTGCACGATTTGATCTACATCCCCTAAGGGACTGAGGAGTTCCCACTTCTCTTGACACGTCTCCACGCCGGCGGGCGTTGGCTCGGTCTGAAAATACGTGGAAATAGAGAAGGTTCTGAGCGGGTTTTGGATATTATGAGGAGATTTTAAGCACTATATTTCATGTTTTAGTTAATACTTTAGGTGTTATGCTTAAACTTTCAGAGTCACAGCAAAACCAAGGCTAGCCCAAAAGATCGGTTTGGGTCCCAGTAGCTGTTAAAGACTTAAAACTAAATTTTACACTGTTTAAAACCTCAAAACACATTTTCAAACCAATTGCTAGCGTTTACAATACACAATATACGTTTTACGATCTTGTATTATACTTGAAGTTTAAGCGTGTTAAAGTCTCTGTCGTGCCTTCTTGATGTCGTGAACATTGAATCCTCGGCAGTATTTTTACAGCTTAACCCTCACAAAATCCGTAGCAATTTAATGAAATAATATATTAACCATGGGCTTGCATCTTGTGATTTTTCAATATTTATAAAAACATCAGTCATACATAAACAGTAAGAATTAATTGAACTACCTAATAAAACTATGTATACAAATTATGAAGTCAATGAAGCGGTACACAGCTTTACAGTAGCTAATTCCGCATTTTCTACATCATAATACGTAGATACAAAGACATGAAAAACAAACCGAATTAATAACTGCCTACGTACTTAACTTATACTATAGTGCTCTTTATATTAAAGTTTATGCAAATCAAAAATGCGTTTTAAAGATCATCTATATCTAGTGTCTAATAAAAGACTTGTCGCTTTTTGACAGAAAAAATTGACGCCAAGGCTTTTCTCCACACTCATATAACTATATTTATACTTTTGGCTGTACGCTTTGAAAACTTTGTAGTACTACAGATTGGACAATTATATTGTATAAAACGTAATGAGCTATATCTGATAGCTGAAATATGGTTCATTAGCTCATTACTTTCTATTCAACCTAATAGTATAAATTCCATACCATGCACTTAAAGTTGTAATAACAGATTGTTCAAATAATTCTGTGCCTTTTCTCAAAGTAAAACTTCGAAGTCAAGGACACAGGAATATTTACATCCATGATACATTGACTTACAGAACTTCAATAATCATGTTCTACGTTCATAACCACAAAAATAACATTTTTTGTTTTTTTTTAAATTTTGCACTTCAAAATGAACGAAAAACAAACCCGTACCTGATTGACAATCAACAAGGGTAGTGCCATAACTAATGAGAAGGCCCAAGTCCCCAGGATGAGAAGGAACGCTCGACGTCTCGTTAATCGCAGCCATGGTGACATCACAAACATTATGGCCATGAATCGGTCGAAGCTGTAAACAAAGTTTTTGTAAATTTTGACACAATTTAAGTTTTGTAATTTTTTTAAAAATTAAAAATTTTTTTTCTGTTTTTTTTTAAAGTTTGCTTTGAATTTTGTGCTCAAGGCCTAAATTATGTTATCATACTTAAAATCATTTGAAATATAACTAAAACTCTGCTTATTAGCTAATCCTTTTGACATTTTACAGAATTTCAACATTTGATGCCAGGCTTCAATTTAAAACTTTTTTTTCAATTTTTAGATAAAAAACAGCTTTTGCAACTTTCAAGTGTTCCTATTCTCAAATTGTCACATTTTTTGTCCAAACAGACAAAAAGGATGCATTATAATTTATTGTTGGATAATCTGGCTAATTCTTTTATCTGTTGTAAAGTAACATCATTGTAAATATGCTTTTGACACAAAAAAAACAAAAAATTGTCAAGTGTTGCCTAAAAAAGATGAAAAATAGACGGAATTTGCAAAGAATAACTCGAGAAAGCAAAACCGTAAATTTTTAAAACTTTGGGAATGTATACATCTTTTTACGCTTTACACAACCTATCTACTAAAATTTTCCTATAAAGCCATCTTTTTACATTATCAACAAAAAAACTCACCTTATGACCACAAGTGTCCATGAACTCAAAAACACTGCCCCAGCTTGCAAAAAGTTAAAAATTTTGCACAAAAAAGCACCAAATACCCATCGTTGATCCTCGAAAATAATAACATGCCAATATGACAACGGCATGCAGAAGATACTAATCATAAGGTCAGCTATGGCCAAGTTCATGATCAACATGTTGGTGGCGGTGTGTAGTCGGCGAAAGTAGACGATTACTGCGACAATTAAAGAGTTGCCAATGAAAGCCAGTATGGAGAGTGTTGTGTACAGTACGACGGCTGTGACTTTGCATGATGGACACAGATACTGTAGCTCGAATACTTCTTCCGTCTCATTCATGAGCCAATACTGAATTAATAGATAAGGTAAAGAAAAACTGATATTATGTAAAATATGCCGTTTATAAATTTAAAAAAAATTGTTAAAGGACCAGTTCGCCCATTCAAATATCATTGGCATTCTGTCGCAAAAAGCGTCAAAAATCAGGCAATTTCAATCAAAATCATTTTTCTCAAAAAACCGTGTGTGGGTCGGTGTCGAAATGAATTTTCCAAGTTGGGACCGACCTGCTCAGGTTTTTTGCGAAAAAATGAACGTCGAATTTTTTGCGACAGAATGTCAATGATATTTGAATGGGCGAACTGGTACTTTAAAGCGCGGTCGAAATTAAAGCCAAAACAACATATCATTTAGGTCAAAAACTGAACAGAACTTTAAAAAATTCCTTAATTTATGGCTAAAAGCTTAACAAACACTAATATTCTAAAATTTTTACGTACAAATAACAATTTCTACTGTTGACAACCAACAAAATTGTAAAAACGTTCCAAAAAGCCAACACGTGTAAGATAAAAGCGATTAAATCAGCATCACCAGGGTCTTAAAGGCGAGTATTAAGAAGCATAACAATTGGATTGGTAAATAAAGTGTGTGTGTTATTCTCAAAAACTTTAAATCTCCTTCAAAAATATTGTTTTGTGTATTGAATTTAAAAAATAGTATTGAAGTTTTATAAGCTTTGGCAGGAAATTAATATTTTACAATTTTTTTAGAGAAAAAAAGTAATTTTTGAGGGTAAAAGGGGCGTTTTTTTAAAAAAAAGTCACATCTACTTTGTTTTATAATTTTAATTTGTACAATTTGATATGTAATATTAACATAAAATAAGCTTTGTTCGTGCCCAATTTCAGCTTTGTATCTTTTATAACCAATGACTTATGAATCTTCAAAGAATATTTTTTAAATGAAACAGCAAAATTTAAAAAATTCAAAAAAAGTTAAATTTGAACTTTAAATTAAAATAAATAGTGTCCTAAAATCTTAAAACCTCCTAAAGTAAACTTAAAAGAATTCGAAAACCCATAACCTGCTGCAGATCAGGCCTTTGACTAATCGTATGACAAGAAAAGGTAATAACCGTCCCAACATTAAACGTCAAACAATGGGCCAAATGTTTGGGCCAAGGAAGAAAGTGAAAAGAAAACGAAAAGCATCGTACTGAAGAAACTTTTGACAATTTGTCAAATCCCAAAATGTATGAAATCCGCGAGCAAAAAGTAAGGAAAACCGCTCGAAATAAAGGATTGGCTCTATAATGACACCTCTTTATATATAGACATAGGTTGAAGCGCATATCGTTTTAGTTTTGGCTAAAATTGGGTAAAGCAAATGTTCTGGAATAAAATTTTTTTTTAATTTTTTAAAAGAAGAAACTGAAAAATAAAAAAAAATTAAATTTAAAAAATTTCATATTTTCAAAATTCGAAAGATAAATGATAAAAGTAATCAAAAAACAATTCTTTCAATTCAACCATTAACCACAACACGGTCTAGCCATAACACTACAGCAATAACACTGTAAGACACCGATCGAGCCAGTAGCTACTCAGCTATGTGTACTCAACCTCTAATAGCCGCCATTAAGCTCGAGCAAAAACAAACGTGAAGTAATTAGGGATGTAGAGAGCGGTGTAATCATCGTATTCAAATATATTTATGGCAGATGATGTCCTGCTCTTTAGGCCGAAGGCGGATTAAGCCACTTTTTCAAACTGTAAGCAATGCATTCGGCTAATTGCCTTAGGGGACGAACGTTCGGCCCATCGGAATTAACATTGACCTTGAGTCGGATGAAATGCGAGGAACCCGCAGTTTGATGACATAACACGTCGTTTGTTACGTGATGTTTTGAATCCGGACAATGTACTATGTCATTTGGCTTTTGTGTCAGTTGATTTGGTAAAAAAAGTACTTTGCAGATAATAAAAAATGGCATTTTCAAGACTAAAGCACTAGTACTGGACTAAAAAAAGAAAACTAGCCTAACTATGTTCTACCTTAAGTTTTCTACACCTAATATTAAAATAAAATAAAATTTTACTTTTGCACGAAAATAGTATTGAAGATAACATAACACGTTTTTCAATTAACTTTAGATAACACAAAAGTATTTACATAGAGTTATTTGACATTAAATAAATTTGCATTATCATGCTGATTTTTGGACTTGTACTTAGACGAAGTTAAGTACGATTCTGGACTGCAAAAGGTACTGCAAATACTATAGTAAACTGCAAAAAGTGTTTTAATTGCCATGGTAAACTGCAGAGGGTGCTGTACAAATTTATTAATACAAAACTAATTTCATTTGACTGGTACATCAAAAAACATGCTTTGAAATGTGCATCATCAAACTGTAGACAAAAAGAATAATATATGTAATACATATACGAAATACAAAAAAGAAAAAAACCTTCATTTTGAAAAAAAAATGAAATTATTACCTTTTCTCCGTCTTTTATAAAAGCCAAACCTATTATACAGTCTAACCCTAATCCAGTCCTACCAAAATCCAGTCCAGCCCTATGAAAATCTAGTCCAGCCCAAATCCAGTTTAATCCTAATCCAGCCCTACCAAAATTCAGTCAAGCTCAAATCCAGTCCAGCACAAATCCAGTCCAACCCTAATCCAGCCCTACCCATAAGTAGCCCATCCCGAATCCAACCTAACCCAAATCCAGCCCTACTCAAATACTGTTCTCACAAACAATGGTAAAGTCATATATAGTAGTTACAAACTCTTCAAATTAAAACAACCTCAACAGCATATCCAAAAAACCCCCACCAAAAAAAAACACAGACAAAACCAACTTTTAGAACAGCTTCGTATTATACTAACCCTAAATGGCATCCACGAAGCGCATCAAGTGTTTTGTTTTTGTGCACCGAGAAGTGTTTGTACAATTATTCAAATGAAACTAATTCGAATTCAATACTGGATTTGGAGTGTAATGTCATGTTGCAAAACGAGTGTCATAAAAGGAATGGCATTTTTTTCATTACAGTGTTGCTTGTCTTATAAAGATAGAGAGATGTTTATAGTAAGTTCGGACTTTATGCACTTTTTCGATAAGATCTTGTACTATATGCGGAAGATTTTGTGGTACACTGAAAGTTTTTTAGCTAACAATTTTAAAGATATCTTTTACTAAATTTCAAGATATTTTTAATAACTTTGTGGTTACCCCATAGTATAATAGAAAATTGAACAAATAATTGAATTTTTAAAATCTGAGGGCTCCTATCTCGCTAGCGCATTTAGCAATTTTGAAAAAATATTTCCCGCTAACATTTTACATTGTTTCAACCTACTATATAGGTCTTGTTTTATAAGCCAAGAGGTATATGGTGCATCTCTCTAATTAGTTTTAAAAAATATCCCCGCTTGTTATTGTACTAACCCTTCCAAGCCCCAAAACTCTCCCAAAACCGCACGATTCTCGAATCGAATCAAATTTAGATTATAAGATATACCAATAATGTATATGTCATAAAAGGCCAATAAAACGAAACAAACATTACATCACCCGATTATTCAGGGTTGACTGTTCTTCTGTTTACCGTAGGCCATCGGAATTGACACAACCGTAACGAATTCAAGTTTTGGTTAAAAAAACAAAAAATGTTTTCGGCTTACTTAATGTTACTGCTCGACAAGAGTCAGATATAAGAATGTAGCAAGGATTCTAAATCCTTTAAAAATGAACTTTGGTCAAGATGGTTCACAAGCAGGCTGACTATGAGGTAAAAAATAGCAGAAGTAATGACATTAGAGGTAAAAATCTTCTAAATAACAATTTTTAAAAACTAAAAACAACAAAATTCAAAAAAAATCTCATGTTATGTCATGATATCACTTGTTTTCAACCAAAATCTCTAAGCATTCATTTTTTCGAAGATTTAAACCCCATCTTGTTTTTGTTTAGATTAGTATCACGCTACTCAACGCCTGTTTTCTACAATTCAAAAAACTTTTTTCAGTAATTTATGTTTCTCATTTGTTTTTTCAATTGCTTTTGGTCTAAAAATAAGACATTGAACTAAAAAACGTTAAAAATTCAGCACCACTAAGTATAAATTAAATAAGTATAAGCGTCAAAAAAAGTTTTGGCGTTTTTTGACGTGCAAAGCAGCAGACTTTGGCGGCAAACCTTTTAATACCTTCTAAATAGTATGTTTTTCAATTTTTCCGTCAAAAAAAATTTTAGTGTGTCATCTTAAAACTGACGTTTGTCTAGAACAACTTTGTTTAAAGTAGCACATTATATATCCAAGACCCGATTTATCCTCTTATTTCATAACATCAAAAAAATCTAAAAAAACCAGCCTGCTGAACATTCCAAATCACATCTATCCTCCCCTGTTAAACTCTCAAAATTCCCTATATTCCCCCTCCCCTCTTACTCCTTTTCCTATTAAACACCCAAAACCCATAACTTTAAAACTACCGAACCCCATAGATCAAGGCTCAAAAACGAATGGCCAAAACAATGGGCCGCACTTAATAAATCATCGCACAAACTTGAAGAAACTGGGAACACAGGGATGCATGTGACGATGATGACAGGCGCCGGAAGAGAGACACCCTCCGGGCTTATGTCTTTTTAGAGGCTCTCATCAATCAGTGTTTCCGGCCCAGTGGATTCACAACGTTGAGACAAATACACCCTTCCTTAATGAACTTGAAAAGACGGCCGAAAGTCTTGGATGAATGTAGCCCAAGGTCATGTTTAATTCATTCCCAAGTTGGCAGAGTTTGGACAAAAGATTACGGGGAATTAGGGTAATGCGAACACAATTAACGAGATTTATGTTACTCACGGCATGCCAAGAATGCTACTACCGTAAAAGGGTGGTATGTCATGGTATGGTTGTTTCAGTGGTAAAATAAGTAGCTTTTCAGTAGAATAATTTCACAGTAAAAGCCTGGTGGATGATTTTAGTGTGAAAGGATAAAGAAACAAGAATGTTAGAAAAAGAAGTAAGGTAAAAGTAAAAAAATTCTTTGAGAAAGGTATGAGTAGGAGTTGATCCATAGATTTTCTTGTAGACTGGGTAATTTTCCTTTCGTAAACTAAGATTTTAAGTGATGACTTAAATCTTTATCGTCTATAAAACCGAAAAACGCTTAAATTAACTATTTTTAACAGTTGCCATTTATCACCATCCTATATAAAAAGTTTAACTACATATCCCCCTCCGCACCCCTCCCAAATTAGAAACTTTACTGCTTATCAGTCCCCAACAAACACTCGAAATACACAAATTAGAAAAGTTTAAATGCGAATTGAGTACGTAAAATGAAACTCTCCACCGACAAAATAGCCGACCAATTTAAAGGATGGGTTATTCGGCCGAGTGCAGCAAATTTCAAATTAAATTGGTAAAGCCCTCAAGGGTCCTTTTCATGCCAACCCCTTCCGCATCTTATCACTTGAAACAGCCAATCCTAATCCAATAGTACGGCTCACTTAAATACTCGAAAAGTTTTCCATTAAAACCGTTCGGTTCAGCGGCGAACGAGGCGACGACAATTCGGCCAAATCGTGACGACAATAGGCCTAGTAATGTAATAGTAACATCTGTGTCTATAAAGAATTTATAACTACCATTTTCGTGCTATATTGGCTAAAAAGTGCTAAAAAAATAGTAATATTGCCTATAATAACCTATCCAACAATCAGTTGACCAAATTCAGGTAGCAAAACATAGATCTAACAAAACAACTAGCTAAAAGGACTCCTCGAGGTACAAATTGTTGTTTAAACACAGTAATTAAAAGTACTTTGTAAAAGATATAAAGTACACAAAATTTACAAGTACTTCCCCTCAAATTGCAGATTCCGAGAACGTTTTAAGACGGTATTTTTATTGGTCAACAAAACGACGAAAAATAAGCAAAGTAACAACCAACAAAGTTAACAAAGAAAACAAGTAAACAATGAAAAAGTGGATTTGAGTAACAAGTATTAGTCGAAGATTATTTATTCTTCCTCGGCCTTCTTCTTCTTCTTGGCTCTATATTCGGCCACCACCACGGCGTGATCACGTTCGTACGGTTCTAGGGTACACTGTTCACGTGGGGCAAAGTGTTCCTTTCTAAGTTTGTCGATTTCTCCAGCAAATACAGCTTCTGGTTCGGCGGTGGAGTCAATACAGTTGGCCTTGATGGAGATAACACAATGGCCTCCGTTTCTTAAGAATTTGTGAGCGTTCAAAGCGACGATTCTAGCTTGATCTGGCTGAGCAACGTCGGAGAAGATGACATCAACAATACCAACGATCATAGAGTACTTCTGTGGGAGACGAGCATCATCGACAATTGGAACAATGTTGGGTCGCTTTTTGGCAACACCCAAGAGATCACGTCCAGATCTGTGTGAGAATTCAACGGCGTAGACGATACCTTCCTAAAAAATCAATATTTGATAAACATAACATGCTTTTTGCGTATAAAAAATAATATCACAAAAGATTCATTGGGATAATTATGTATATAAATTGCAAGATAAATACATAAAACAACACTATATTAACATAATAAACTTACAGGTCCAACCAAGTCCGAAACGTGAGAAACAGTGGTTCCAGAAGCAGCTCCCAAATATAATACACGAGCTCCAGGTTTGATGTGAATGTTTTCAGTACCAGCAAGAATGGCAGCTCCCAACTTTGATCTGAATGGATTCCAGGCACGGTATTCTACTTGTTCTCCATCTGATCCTGGCACTGAGACTCTCTTCTCACCGTACACAGACTCTCCTGGGCAGAAGTTCTTGGTGGCCAGAGTATCTTCCTTTCCTCTCAACAAGAACACACCTAAACGATTAAAATAAGATAACAGAAAAGTCATATAAAACACTGTTGTATTTGTAGACTATTAATATAGATGGTGTAGAAAATCACAAAGATTATGTAAAATGCTACTTGACATAAAAGAATCATATCTAAAACAAAAATTTCAAAAAAAAATATCTGCATACCTTCAAATCTGTGGGGTTCAACAACAACTTGTTTGCCTCCTCTCATTCCACCGCCAGCTCCACCACGACCACCTCGTGGGGCTCCACGTCCTCTTCCTCCTGGAGATTTGCCTCTGAATCCACCGCCTCCACCACGGCCACCGCTGAAGCTTCTATCTCCGCCACCTCCACGGCCGCCTCCAAATCCGCCACGGCTGCCTCCGAATCCACCGCCGCCACCTCGTCCACCGCCAAATCCTCCACGGCTACCGCCACGACCTCCACCAAAGCCTCCGCGGCCACCACCGCCTCGGCCACCGCTGAATCCGCCTAAAAGAAATATATTAACATTAGTAGCACGTCAAACGTATATGACATTAATCATACATATAATTATTACAATTGTGTACAAAATCAATAAAAGCATACGATTTTAGGTAAGAAAGATCTAAAACTTACCACCGCCTCGTCCTCCAAAGTCGCGTCCCATATTGAAGTAGTTTAGTTAAGGCTAAAAGACCTAAAACAATATATTTAGATCAAATTGTCGAAAACATAAAATACGATGTAATTAACGCAATTTTTACTACTAAATCTTTACCTTTCCCACAAAGCCAAAGAGTATATACTTTTTATGAAATCAGTTTTAAAAACTTCAAAAATAATTAAAAATTGATTTTTTCAATAAATCAACATTCAATTTTCGTATTATGTCAACATACGACGCTTATAACCGATACGACAAAACCAGAAAAGGTAAGAAAAATGCAAAGCGTCTCCTATTTTTTAAAAGTAGAACGAAATGCCAAGGAATTCGGACCGTAGACAGGCGCAACAATTAATCGTGGTGGGACTAAGGTAGAAGGTTAACGTTGTAGTTACTGTAAAAGATATTACTCCTAATCACTGAAATAACCTAGTAATATGGGTTTTCTATGTTTAAAATATAAAAAAATAATTTTTTTACTACAATATTGTCAAATAAAATAAAAATGCAGCTAACATAACAATGGGTTCTACAGAACACTATGTGTCACAACAGATTAGTAAATCCAAAAACAGCTAAAAATCTTGTGAAAATCATATAATGTCGGCTTTTGAAGCAAGTTGCTTTGTGCAATTGTTTATACTTTTTTAGACGTGTGTAATACCGTTACATGCAAATTAGTTACTGTAGTGACATTTCAAACATCACATCAAAGCTCGTTAATTTTGAATTTTGTCATTTAATGTACAAACGTGTGCTTAGGAGATTTCGACACTAAAGATTAGAATTTTGATATGTAGATTGCCGGTTTTAATTTTGTGATTAGTGTTGTCATGGTAACGTATCTTACCATCCCTGATATAAATACTACACTAGTATTATCAAAAGTTCTTAGTTCCTTCAATATGGGGGTTTTATAAAGTAAAATACGTATATTAGATTGAATGTTTTTTTATTTTTTTTACTTATAGTACATATTGAATTAAATATAATAGTTTACCACTAGGTTACGGTATAATCGGTAGTGTGTGTCCGAGTCATTTAATCATTTCAAAGTAAAAATGTATTATTTATTGATTACTTCACTTACAGATGGCCAGTTTTGCTCGATTTGCAGGAAGAAACATGGAGAATGCGCCTCGTTCTGCTCGACCCTACTTCCCCAGCAGCTTATGTGGAGATGTCGAGTCGATGATGATTGATATGGTGCTAACTGAGATTCAGAATCAAATTGAGAGGATTGAAGATGAACAAGTAAGTTAAAGTTTACTCGATTTTTCAACAATTGACCATAAGTTAATATGTGTAACTAAAAAAGTTGTTATAAAACAACGTGTTTAACATAATCATTAAATTAACCATCTTCACCCTGCGAATATTCGAATTATTTTTTTCCTTAAACTAATGTCAGACTTTATAATATGCACTATTTTCACGAGGTTGAAGTTATAAGGGTTTAAAGGGTGTAAAACGGCCTATTTTAGGAACGTAAACGTCAAGAAGCCCTGAAAGAAAGTCAATCCCCTGATTATACCTGGCTTATGGACTGGAAACTGAAAAATAAAAAAGTATTGAATTTTAGGGTAAGTTGTTTAATAATTTTTTGAAATGAAAGTTTTTAAAAAGTCTGAATTTTTTAAAAACGTTTTTTCAGGAATGTTCAGCAGTCGAACTTCTCTGTCAAAAGATCCAGCCAGCCGAATGGAGTCTTCTTATCCGTACCTTCCGAACCAAAGCCCGTTACGTAGATTCTCGTGACGGTGTGATTGACATCTTTAGACATAGTGTTGAAGAGATTATCGGGCAACGTGGTGGGAACACGTCGGTGCTAAATGTTGATGAACATGATGAGGTGAGTGTGACATAAATGAAGTACAGTGGAACTCCTGTATAACGAATCGCAAGGGGATTGAAAATTTGTTCGTTATACAGGAGTTCCACTGTATTGAAAGATTCCAGAAATGGTCGACGAGTGGGGAACAGCCGAGGAGTTTGTCGGTGGCCGAGCTTTCAGTGCCTCACGAATCGCTCAGAAGCTTCAGCGAAATGGGAAACGTCGTTTGACACTTCAGCTGGGCGAGACTGTACATTACACACGGTTTTACTGATCATAATGATCAGTAAAACCTTGTCTGATGTCGCTATTTGTAGCTATTACCATGGTCGTCTGATAACATTTAGCAATATCCCTGACTACAACAATATAATTGATATCTAAAATTACTGATTTTCTTAACTTACCTATCACTTTTTTCAACAAATCATTCTTTAAATTGACAAAACCAACACAAATGGCAATAATATACAACTGGTACTTTATTAACATAAGCATCTCTATTAATAGCTACGAATATACTTAATAAACCCGGTAGACGTGTTTCGATAAAAAAACTTGATACAACTTTGGATAGAAAATCTTACAACTTTCGCTAAAAAAAGAGGTGTTACAATTAACTTACTTTAGACTAATCTACTTACAATAAGGCACTTTAAAGCGATATATGTGTACAATCAATGAATGTTTAGAAGATCCATTAGTTCTTTCGCAATTTAAAAATTGTTACAATACTTTAGCCCCACCTTAAAATATATAAGCCCTTATTTTACAAAAAAAATTGTTTTTGTAGCAAAAATGCGAAACAATTACTGGATCCACCCAACATTCATATGTTATGTCCAGAGTTATTTCATGTGTATGGCTATGTCAGTCGTGATCACGAGTTGGTCTCCGTTGTGTCCGTAGCACCATAACTCGTCTTCTCGGGCGTTTCATTCTCTTTTTCGGGCGGTGGTGCTGGTTGAGCAGGCGGCATTTCCAAAACTATTGGATCACCTGACCGTTGAGGTTGTGTTACGATGGGTTCTGAGGTATTCGGAGTCCCCATTCCTGGACCATACTCGTACTAAATTCATAATAACAAACGCGAACTGTTAACTTACGTCTTCTGGAGTTTGAGGACGGAATTTTCCACAACAGAAATTACTGAAAATAAGATGATTAGGTATTCATTTACAAATAGTTGAACTAAGAAAATAATAGTAAAAACATCTTTACTATCTCAATACATACCAGAAACAACAACAGAAGCAACAACAACATCCGCAGCCGCAAGTTAATATCGCTATCCCGAGAACAAGCCATTTCATCCACGGATTCAACGCATATCTCATCGTATCTTCACCAACTTGTTCCAGTAATTTGAGGCCCATATCTCCATACTGATCGTATACTTTTCGCTTCGACGGGTTCGACAATATAGCGTTTGCATGGTTTATTTCTTTAAACTAAAATCATAATACTCTGAGTAACAAAAACTTACTTAATTCAAAGTGTTTGGAAAGTTACAACACTTTTACATTATTTTTTACATCTTACATAGTATAAAATAAACGTAAAACCTAATTACTTCCAACAAAATATTAAAATCGTTTTGAAAAAATAAAATTCCCTTTCTTTTCTTAAATTATAAGTAAGATATATTGCCCTTTTCAAACATAAAGACTTACTTTCTCTGTTTTTTCTGGATCTCCATCTAAGTTCTTATCTGGATGATACCTTAGCGCCAATTTTCTATAAGCCTTTTTAATATCGTCATCTGTGGCATCCTTCTGAATACCTAAGACTTCGTATAAATCTCTCGACTTGGCTAATCTGAAAATGAACGCAAATTATATAAATTTATACAACGGACATCAAAATTTAATATTTTTAAAAGAACATTAAAAAAGAATTGCATAAAATATGACCCAAGCTTGAAAATTAATACCTAACAACAGTTCAAAATGTAAAACTAAACCGATTTTAAATTGAAACTTTCAAAAAACCTCTGAAATCCTACACAAATTCAAATAAACAGTGCCCATAGCGCTTCAATCAAAAGTGACATCATTAAACTAAATTTTAAAAAAAAAACCAAATCAACTCACGGTTCATTTGCGGCAGCGTCAGGCATTTATCCCTGCCCTAAAATAGACTCGATATTAATATAGAAACAAGTCGGAAATCTGAATATTAATAGAAACAACTATCAAAAATCAGTGAGGAGAGGGGAAAAAAGTTTCCTCGTAATCCGACCAGAAAAAATAAACGCCAAACTAAAAATATAATCGCTTCGAACAATATTAATCAATTCCGACAAGTAGAAAACATTATATTACAGATTTATTGGAGTAAACAAATCAGTCCGAATTTTGTATGTCAAAGCATTCCTGCGCATTCTTAAAAAACAACAGCTCCGCAATCAGGCGTTCGCCCTTCATCTCCCAGTGTTTGAAGAAGTGTTTGATCAGAAAGTAGCCGAACTGGTAAATTTCAAAATGCCTGTGCGTTTTCCACTGTTCTTTGGGGGTGGTTTTGAATTCGTGGTAAACGTCGAGAAAGATGTTGAATAGGGATGCCTGAATAATTAAAAATTGTTAAAAAATAGGATAAAATACGTTCCCCATCAAAATAATTTTAATTTTTTTATATTCGAAAAAGCAGTAAACTTTTATAAACTATAAAATGCATTTTCAACCTTTCTATCGCAATAAACTAAAAGGTTGTCCTAAAAATTAAAAACCTCAAAAAAATATAATAACATACCATGTATAGACGAGCATGACTGTCCAAATCAAAAGATATCCTATGCAGCATCTTCAGACATGCTTTGTTTAATTCGTCTGAATTCGTTTCATACCTTCGTAATAGGAAAATGTACCTAAAACATAAAACTTACAAAAAACTGCATAAAACAGCCGCAAAAACAAGATTTATCAATAGTAACAAGGTTAATTTACCCCAAAAAGCTTTTATGGTTCTTTTTTGACCAAACTATAACCACATTCAGTTTTCTACTTACTTTTTGACCCTCTAGATAAAGTATTTTACAATTTTAAATAAGTTTACATACCCCATTTTTTTAAAACACTTTTTCGACCTTATTAACCTTATTTAAACACCATAAACCATGTTAACAATAAAAAAGCCACCTCCCGCCTTACCATTGTATTATATCGCGTTTTGCAAAGTTGGCCACATAGTCGTTAAATTGAAAAACAATTTGGGCGAATTCGAATTCTTCTGAATCATTATCTACGCCCTTTTCCTTTTCTTCTTCGTCGTCGCTCACCGAAGGTCCGACGTTTTCTTCCTCCTGCTTATCGTCGTAGATTTTTGCTCTCTCGTCGTAATACTTTTTAGCTTCGTCTCGCAAATCGACTGTAAATATTTCGTTGACCATTTCCATTAGCTCTTCTGGGGTGGATGAAATGCTACCAAAGGCACTGTCGGGCCATAGATCTCGAGATGCATTGAAAAGACCAACAGCATCTAGAAGACGTCGATCTCGCAGAGCTTCTTGGACTTGGCACAACGCAAAAATCCTATAAAGATTGATTTAAAACATCGAAAACGGCCTTTAATATTTGTTACCCAAGATTTCTGAGCTAATTTAACAAAAATAGGTAATAAGAACAATTGAAATTTCATTGCTTAAACGAAAACTTCGTTCTCCATTTAAGAAATTGTCTTACTGATGAGTTTCATCGTCCACTTTAAGCGCAGTATCAATTGGAATCAGTCCCTCTGTTGGCTCAATCTCCCCTTTAACACATTCCAGTAACTCATCTTTGAATCCATCCCATATTTCCCTTAATTCTTCTTCTGGTAGCTGAACATATTCAAACTTTTTTCCTCTTCTTTCTTCTTCTTTTTCTTTGCCTTCTTTGGTTTTCGTTTCTTTTTCTTCTTTTCCACCGTATCCAAATGACCTTGTTTGTAACGTTTCTCCATGACAGCCAAGAAGAAGTGGGTTCCCAGTACCATGTCAGTCAACAACTTGGTTGTCATGGTTTGAGCCTATAAATGACATGTAATCACTACCTATAAAACCTAAAAAAATATGAAAGCCACTTCCTTTATATAGTTTTTCCCTTGTCCTTTGACGTGCTTAAAATACTTTACCATTAAAAAAATTATATTTTAACACAAGAAAAACGCTTAAATATGCAAACCTACATGTAAAGCCGCCAAACAGTGATAGCAAAACTCTCGATATTCTTCTTGATCATACACATAATTACAAACTTCATCGTACGATGCTTTTTCCTTTTCGTCTGTAGACTTTGATATCGTATACAACCTAAAAGGTGAACAATAAAAATAGGATACACAACTTACATATGACATACTTCCTTGAACGTTCCTACTGAATATTGCAGCCTCAACGTCAATAACTTCGCATTCGCTTTGTCCGTTTTAAAGCTGTCCAAATAATTGTCCGATTGCGATATGATGTGATTGAAGAAGTTTTTAGACAAAACGAATGATACCTAAAAATAAAATAAGACGTATACTATAGCAAATTGTCTTAACCATAACCTTAAGTTTATATTTATATCAGACTTAAATTTTTAAATAATATTTAAAGATATAAAACTTCTTTACCTAAAATATATTATAAAGAGCATTTTGTCTGACTTTCAAATTAAAAACAAACCTTTTCTAATGGTAAACGAGACAGTCGAATAAATTCGATTACAAAGGAAGCAAGTGAAAAGTAATTGACATCATTGTAGATCATTAACCCTTGTCTGTTACTAGAGAACGCCTAAAATTAATCATGTAAAACATCATAAAGTGTGATGATTCATTGTACAACACTTTTAACAGTTTTTCAATATAAGATCATCAGTTTACCGTAGTCAAAACATCAATCTAAAGTATAAACTCTAATACGTACTGAATTCTGTAAAACTTACTGAATCTCTTGTCGAAGCCATCAACTTATCAAATACAGTATTAATCATACTGACACAAAAGTCTCTGACCTTCTGAGCTAATCCTCTTTCGACAATTCTGTTTTCTTTGAATACAGACTCTACCAAGTTTCTAACACATTGTCTTTTTGGTGCCCCTTTCGAATGTTTTCGACGTTTTATAAGCTCCAATGGGTCCCCAGCTAAAGGTCTGAAAGCAAAATAAATTTTAAAAAAATATTTTTCAAAATTATTTTTTAATTACAAATTAAAAATTGCAAAATCACATATAATAGACAACAATTTTCATCAAGCACTTACTTCTGAACCAATAAATCATTATTTTTGTTCAAAGCAGCGTTTTTAACCACATAGTTGCTTCCCAATTGCCTAATATGCGAATGTCGTCTAAAGAATTTGAATCATCATATACATCTTTAAAATCGAAAAACAAAGCAAAAAATGTATAGAAATTAACAAATGATTTAACATTATATCAGCTTTAAACAAAAACTCCAAACAACCTTAAATTACCTTTTCAAAGCCAATCTATTGACCTGAAGATCAATCTTAGCCTTCAATTCCTCATCTTTTTCTAACCGAGTACTCTCATCTTCCTCAATCACAGCAATGCTCTCACACGGCTACAAACACAAGATATTAGTCACAATGCATACTTACGAAACTACGGAACAACAATGAAATGATAGCCAGAATGTGAACCAGAAGCTCCCTTTCCATTTTGTTTCGAGTCACAGTAAACAGTGTCTCACCAATTCCTGAGCTTAAAAAAGCATCAACCATGTTCCTCTTAGACTTGACATTCACAAATGATATCTGAAGATTTTTAATCATAGACGGGTAAAAAGTTATGAAAATCTTAAAAACTTCTACCTAAACAAATTAAAACAAAAATTTAAAAACTACCTCAGTACATTTTGGTCCTTCCATGCCAATCGAAAAAACACACCTGATCAACATTATTATTCTATCAACAACAATTTTGTCCGTTTCTCGACGTTCCAATGCATCCTAAAACATATAAAGAATTCGTTTATAAAAACAACATAAAAATACTTAAGCAAACTTTTGTACCCAAAACCAAATGTTATATTTCCACACATAAACAAATAAATTATGATATTAATTCATCACTTACCACATTATAATAAGCCTTGATCTTATTGTTAAACTTCTCAAACAACTTTCTAAAACAAAAAGCATTAATATTAGCAACAAGTAGTTCATCTAGCGTGCTGTATGTCAACTTGTCTTCATCAGTTTCCGGTAATCGGAACTGAAACACAGCTAATGCTGGTTGAACCAGATTCAAGGCTAATCTAAAAGTCCAAAAATAAATGAAAACTCCTAAAATTGATCTAAAAAGTAAAACAATAGAAAACAGTAACAAAATTGTAAATAACAAGTTAACATTGTTCCATGTTCGACGCCCATCTAAAACAATATAAAACAAGATAAACTAACCTCAAAACTAATGAAAAGTCTTCGTCATTAATGTCCGAACTAGCCATCAACGGCACCAAGTCGTTCTTCAACAAATTTTGAGCTAAACATTGTCTTCGAGCCGAATGTTCTTCCGTATCTCCATGCAAAAACCTAATCAGATCGTGAATACCCGCTAAAATTAAAGTATATGTCCGTTGAAATAATACTTTTTAGTAAAAAAAAGCAAAATCAACTTTAACTTACCAAGACAATCAGGTTCTGGTTGATATACACCGTGTTCCAAGTACCCAAGAGAGTTTATTGTAGCCGAAACTACTGTTTCAGACATTTTTATTTTATATGTTAGTAATTATTTACATCAAAAATATTATGTACTACTAAATTTTTAACAAAAAGTTAAATTTTGAAAAATCTGACAATATTTTATAGTTATTTTTATTTTTTTTGCAAATTTTTGTGAAAATAAATAAATTAAGACAATGCCATTCCGCCAACTGAGAAACAGGCGCTTTCGTGGCAGGACCCAAATAAATGTAGGAAATTTTTTCGTGTTCCGTCGGATCAAGATTCTTGTTCTTTTATATCGCACTTTCTTTTGTTATATAATTGTAAATATATAAATTTTTGCTTTATATGATAAGCTAGATTTGTAACTGGTTAGAAACAATTGATTTTGGGGTTTTTAAAGTTGATTCAGGCTTGTTTTCTCTTATGTTATTTTAGTTACAATTTTATATTAAGAATATGCTTTATCAGAAAGTTTTAAGCTTGACTTTATACTGCTTATAATGAAAGTCTAACGGCGAGTTTTTTTGTCATGCACTATCTTTTTGATTATTATATTTTTACTTATATAATTTTGTTGTTAATTTCAGGTTTCGGCATGTTGCGTCAGGGTTTGAACTTGGCTGCGGCCAGCGGAACTCTTTACCAGTCGGAAAGAGGTTTTGCTACCTTGAAGGATATTTCTATTCGTCTGAAGTCTGTCAAGAACATCCAAAAGATCACCAAGTCCATGAAGATGGTTGCCGCTGCTAAATACGCTAAAGCCGAGCGTGATTTGAAGGGAGCCCGTTCTTATGGTCAGGGTGCTCAAGCTTTCTTCGACAACTTGGATTTGGCGAAGGAAGAAGAAGGAGCTGCTGCCAAGTCCGGACAAAAGAAGGTCTTTGTTTTGGTCACTTCTGACAGAGGTCTGTGCGGTGCTGTTCACACTTCTATCATCAAGGTATGTTGTTTTTTAGTGAACGATTTTATGTTTAGACACAAGCAAATGGCTTTGACGATATTATGAAGCGTGACATCTATGTTGTGTTAATTTAATTCACACATTCAAGTTAAAAATTATTTTATTTTTATTTTTAATAAAACTAACTTTGATTATTTAGGAAGCGAAGAACATCTTTGCTAATAAGCCAGCTGATGCCGAGTACAAGATCGTAGCTATTGGAGACAAGTCCAAGGCTGGTCTTCAACGTCTTTATGGAAGTTCTTTCCTTTTCTCTGGTAACGAAATCGGCAGAGCTCCACCAACCTTCGAGGATGCTTCTATTGCTGCCAACGCCATCTTGAACTCTGGCTACGAGTTTAACGATGGAGCTATCATCTATAACTTCTTCAAAACTGTTGTTTCATATGAGACTAAGGTTCTGCCTTTAGTGCCAATTGAGACTATCAGAGCCAACGAGAACTTGAATGTCTACGATTCAGTAGATGATGATGTTCTCCAAAGCTACATCGAATACTCGTTGGCGCAGTTGATCTACTACGCTATGAAGGAGAGTGCTACTAGCGAACAGGCCAGCAGAATGACTGCTATGGATGGTGCTAGCAAGAACGCCGGTAAGTACTATAACATAAAGCTTTTTACTTTATAAGACATTTTACAAAGTTGATTATTTTGCATTGTTAGTTTAAAATATTATTATGATTTTTTTCAGGTGAGATGATTGACAAATTGACTCTGCAATTCAACAGAACACGTCAAGCTGTAATCACCAGAGAGTTGATCGAAATTATTTCTGGTGCCGCCGCCGTCTAAAAGCACTAATCATTAGTTGATATTGTTCATTAGATACATTAAATTGAGGATTATATAGAGCTGGTTGTTTTTTTTGCTTGTGTTTTGGGTTTGATCCAATTTCGATTTTATATATAAAGGAAACATGAGTTTTGTTTTGATGTTGGTCTACTGTGTTCTTTTATATGAAAACAGAAAATACGAGCGTTGGTGAAGCTGGTATATTGAAATTTTCAGGTTTTTGGTGTATTTTGTAAGCATCTGCCATATCTATTATTTTTGTGTGAGTTAGGAGTTTAAAATATTGTTCTACAGATGGACAGCGATGAGGGAGTTAAGCAAGAAATTGCCAAAATGGAGGAGGCGGCCAAGATCTTGATGGGCGAGAACTCACCTCTGGAGCAAAGACGTGAAGCTGAAGCTTACTTTGTTCAATTGAGAGAGGCTAATCTCGATCCTAATTTGTGTAGGATTATATTGGGTATGTCACAATATATGCAAAAAAGTGATGGAATTCTTAAATTTGTTATACTTTAAAAAATATAAATTTTTTTAAATGTTTATCATCTGCAACGCTTGCAGAAACAACTCGGGAACCCGTTGTCATGTTTCAAATAGCTCAGTGTTTATGTGCGTCGTTAGTTAAAAGCTTTATTACTACCAGTAAAGAGGATCTACTTCACATCTGTAAATACATGTTGGAAATGCCATTGAATATGAATCAGTAAGTTACAATTATACTTATTATTTTGTGTTTAGATTGCCCGGTTATGTTGTTGCTGAAGTACTTAAGGTATCAGCTACCCTAATTAAGCGAGGCATAATTGCACCTGATTCATGGGACGTTGAGTTTGTGGTCGAGTACATCAACAAACTCTTAGAAAGCACTGATGAGAATCTGGTAAGGTTTTATAGCTTTTTTAAAAATATATTTCTGATTTTTCTTATCGTTACTGTTATTAACATTAAGTCCGCTATAAGTATTCTGTTTCAGCAAGCTCTTGGATTGAGAGTTGTAGAAGCGATATCTCTGGAGTTTTCAACAATGTGGAGAGCATCTACTAACATGGGTTTTGATTGTCATCACAAAGCGAAAAGGAAATTTGAAGTAAGTCGTGGTACCCAAAATGTTTGTAATATGGTTGATGGTTTTATTAGCTATTAAAGGTGATTTTTAATGTTTTTTAGGAAAGTCTTTTGAAACGATTTATGCAGATGTCTCTAACTTCATTGTCACGTATTCTGTCCAATGATTCGGTTAACGAACGAGTTTGCGACCGCTTTCTCAAAGTCGCTGCTATCGTACTGCAATGGAACTTCACCACCAGTATTAAAACAGCCTTCTTGAAAGTCAATTTGTATGCAATGAACACGGCGGTGGCGTTGAGACCACCGCCATCTTGGGCTGATCTCTTTACAAACGAGGAACTTCTGCCATTCTTTTTCGGACTTCATCAGAAAGTGCGACACAATTCTCAATTGGCTGACAATTCTTTGTCATGTTTGACTCAATTGGCTTCCATAATGGGAAGTGTTCTGGACAGCAGGGTCAAGGTTAGGGTGCCTGGTGTTCCACAGCCTCATGATCTATATGTTCAACGATATTGCCATCACTTATGTGAAACGTTTGAAAAGTGAGTAGATTTATGAGAATTTGTCTCTTGTTTTGGATACAACGTTTTTCACATTATTATATATATGAATGTTTAACAATTTTGACGTAATTTAGCTGTTTCCCCTACGAAGTTTTGTCATTCACCACAGCGTTACACCGTATCTTCAGTCATCATCCTATGCCTATTTTCAAACGCTTTCCACACGACCTAATGACTAAGTTTATCAAATTTATTGTGCATTGGTGTGGACAGCTGGCTGATCCGGCTATGATGGAGGTACTTGCATTTTTTCCTATTTTAACTCATAAAAAATCTATTCAACTTGTAAAATTACATTTTACAGAAAAAGGACGAAGAGAGCGTTCTAGTTGAATCATACGCTCATTGTCTAACGTGTTGGGGCATTCTGCTACGATCAAGTCCAACTTTCCCAACAGAAGCTCAGAAACTTATTGAGAAGGAAAATGAGAATGTAATTGAATCGTTTTTGAAAGCCGTACTAGCACCGCCGTTTGGTTCTAGAGGTATAACTGAAGATGAAGAACGTGGGGATGAAATGGAAGATGATGACATGGATGACACCCAATTTTACAGTCCAATCTTGGGCAATGTCGGGGCTTTTTGTCGTCTTTCTATCGACAAGTTTGCCGAGTTTATCACAAGGTAAAAAACTGATATTGGAAGGGTTTCTGGATGAATACCATTATATTATATTGAAAATATCATGAAGTACTGTTTCTGAATGAAATTTCTTAATTTCTTACAATTTCAGCGTTTTCCATCAACGAATTCAACAGCGAAACGTGGTGGCAGCCGGCCAGATCTCAGAAAATGACAGAATCCTCTGGTTGGAGGATATTCATTGGATATTACTGATCATTGGTAGGCGTATTCTTTTTTTCATATTTTTGATATGTAGGCTCATTCTTCCATGACTCGGACCGAGAAGTGTACACTTACCTCAACAAAGGCTATTTGGCAAAGAAGTTTCAACTTCTGGATGTGCCAACGTTCCTGATCCAATGTGCTTCATCTGACGAGTTCCAAAGTCCTGATAATGCTGATCCAGTTACTGTGTAAGTTTATTTTTATGGTTATAACCAGTGCTTCTTTCGGACCATGTCTTTCATAAGATTTTTTGCTTTTTAAAATATTGTATCCTATTGTTTTATGGTTTTAGAATAGTTGGCCTGGTATGCCACTGGTTCGGAATTGCCTTCCGTGCTTTGGATGCTGAAGGTGAGAATAGTCGGATTGTCAGCGCCGAAGTATATCGAACAACTTTTCTCACTTTCTCAACTGTTATCAACTACTTGACAAACCTAAACGACGAAACTCCATCACAATTCTTTGATGATGCTCCACCAACCCCGTGCCCGATGCCCATACTCCCATCTAATGGGGAATTCTCGATGCAACTCATTGAGTTTGTCATCAAGCAAATCTTCACAGCCTTCAAAATTTTCCCATCGGAAAGAAAGTAGGTGATAAGCTTTTATAAGTTGTAATGTTAACGTTACACACTTCCCTAAAGTTATATTTTGGTATATTTACTTTTATCTGGGCTTCTCCCCCGGCTTTTGGTAACATAAAGTTTTGAATTTAGGTTGTGTAATGCTGCCGTAAGTCTACTTCTTCAAGAATCCGTAAAAAGGGCTGAATTCATAGCCAAAAGTCCGTTGTTATACCAATTGATCTCTTCGATAACATTGGAACGATTACCAGCACGACGAACCTTCATGACTTGCCTGGTGACAATTGGATCCAATGTTAACTCAACTGCCGAAAGAGAACAGATGCACAACATGGTAAGTACTTTATTAAATAGTAGAATGGTATATTATTTTACTTATTTATTTGTTTATTGAACTGAATCGACTTTGTCATCTACTTTGATATTTCATTATGTGTTTACAGATTCTGAAACCGATGGCAGACCGATTCATGGAGGCATCTCAACAATATTTTGCTGGTGATCGTGTTGTCGTTTCCCATATGGTAGACCTCCTCGAATGTTTTAGCGGTGTTGCTAGGGCAGCTCAAATCGAATCCGGATCTATCTTATACGGTAATTGAACTTAAATGGTTTTATTTTACATCAAAGATGAAACTAATACCGATGCCATTTTGGAAGTCATCTTAAATCTTCAGAAGCTACGGTTTCTAATCTAATTTTACATTTCCAGAATACTTGTTACCAATTCTCAGAGTCTCAAGCAACGTTATTAAGATTGCGGTCGATTCCCAATCATTGGTCGAAGCGATATTGGACGTGTTCCACAAAGTAGCCACTACGGTGTTCGTGTTTATGGATCTGAAGACCAACGATACTGCGGAAGAAAACTCCTTCATTATGTTACTAATGGAACTTCTAGATAACTACAAGGAAAGTCAACTTCGACGATTCAGCAGTGCCAGAGCTTTTGCTGATCTAGAACAAGAAGAGCAAATCGCTGACTTGGTGATTCTCCTAAAGACCATTTCCAATACTATCTCGAAGCCTTACATCATGTGCGGGATACCTTCTGACATGTCGGACCCCCTGTCTACTCCATTGTGTGAGAAGAGTAAGTTGCGTTTAATAAAATGTTACAGTTAGCGATTCCTAATATTATTTAGGTCTTTTTTGTTGTATATATTACTATAATTCTAATTTTCAGCGCTAAACTTCATATTACCACTAATGGCAGAGGAATGCCTTCAACTACCGTCATTTAGTGCGGCATTCTTCCGTCTACTTCAACATGTTACCGAATGTTGTCCGATGGTTTTCCTACAACTGGGCGACGAGAATATCAATAAGTTATTCTTGTGTTTCGTATGGGCCCTAAGTGGTGCAGCATCAACAGAACCAACAAGACTAACCCTGGAATGCATATCTATGGTCACAAAAATGCTGTCAAACAGTACCGACACGGCGAATGGACCTTTTTCTTTGAGAATGTTCAATGATCTCTGCGCGGTAGGCATTTCTTGTAAAGTATTGTTCAGTTCACATTAATGTAGATTTAAATTTTTCTTTTGGGGTTTTTGAAAGTTGAATATTAATGCTTTGCTATTTTAGAAAACTTTCGAAATGGCCGTACATTCAACGGGCGAGGTCGAACTTCATGTATGTGCAATAAAAGCGGCCTATGGTTTCATAGCTTTAAATAAAGTAAGTTCTTGCTTTAAAAAACAGGTAATGGTTAAAAATGGGCCTGAGTACAAAGGCTTTCAAAAGCCACGACTAGTCTTCAGTCTCAGTTTTTAATTAAAATGTACCCACAATCTTAAACTTCCAGAACTTCTTCATGGAATACGTAAACTCCGTGGTATCACGACCAGAAAACGTCGCAAAACAAGAGATTGCAGTGAACGCATTCATGGCCCTGATCCCACAAGCAACTGAAAACCTGAATTCTCGAATAGAATACAAAGCCTTCAGCGATCGCTTCGAAAAGTTCTTGGAAGTCTCGGACAACTTTATCATCTAAAGTTTCCTACTTAATCATTCAGTTTCCACGCTCAAATAATAACCAATAATTTATTCTCACACGTTTTGCCGGTTACTTGTATAGTTTTGAAATGTTCAGTTCTTAATCTTGTTCATCTCTTCCAATAATCGGGTAACTTTCTCCTTCGTATCTTCGGGACTAGTTACAGTATGCCCAATCGTCCGACTGTCTTCGAATATTTCATAATCATTTCCGCCCTTAAATTTTTTTTATATGTACTGATTTTGTTTAACTGAATATTTAGCAAATTTGAAAAATATAAACTTTTGAATATTAAAAAAATGACCACCCAAACATTCTAATTAATATAGCTATTCAATCGAATTAATGCAAAGTTTTACAGTGAAAACCTGAATTAAAAAATTAAAATGAGCACTTACTGGGCTAGTTCTGTCTCCGAAGAAGTGAATCTCATTGTAATCCTTCTCCAAATACTGTAAACAAAAGGTCTTGTCCCACCCGTTAGGAAACACATCGATACTGATTTGGCCACCAATCGAAAAGGTCAAACCGTCGCCTTTAAATTGTTCTTTCAAGGCTTCGACAAAAGCTGATCGAATGCCATGTTCCTTGTCGTATTCGAAGAAGTCATCTCGTTCTTCTTGGCTACAGTTTCTCCCAATTGGCGAGATGTTAATCATACCCTAAACATCAAAACAATATAAAAATGAAACTTACTTTTCGATATTCGATGAAAGTACCGCGTTTCACGGGAATCTTGAGCTTGGCTATGTATTCGAGCGAAAAGTTGATGATTTCTTGCAGTTTTTCTTCTCCCAGAGTGTCTTTTATCGACTAAAACAAGTTCATATAATAAATAAATTGGAATAAGAAAAATCAAAAATATTACCATTGATGGAATAGCTTCATCTTTATGGAACCCTACTAATCCATTTTCGGTGAAGATGTATGTGAACTGCTCCTTTAACTGGTCCAGGTCGTTTCCAAGTTGTTCAACAACCTTCTTCATATCTGATCCTCCAACAACGCCAATATCAACGGTCTTACTCAAGCCTACCATGAAGTTCTTCATGTCTGGTGTGATGTTCTAAACATACAGTATCTTTTACTATAAAACACTACACCTTTTTCAAAAACATCTTCTATTTAGTTCAGAAGTTCAAAAAATACAATAAGAAAACAATAGCCGTATCTAAAATACAAAAAAAAACTTGCTTGTCTAGATTTGGTTAAAGTACCATCAACATCGAACAACAAGATCGGGGCCATGCTTTCTATCCAAACTAAAAGAATAAGCGTCGGACAAAGCAAAAAGGCTTATGCACACGTCACACTGAATCTGTGAATAGCTCCACGATCAAAGTTTTTGATCTTATCCGCCATATGAGAACGCCCCATATTAATCAACGTCGGTTAACCCATATTACGAAAGTTTTAGGTACATTTGTTTTTCTTGTACTTTTATAGCAAACCTCGTTTAGTAAACACTTAGTTATTACTCAAAATAACGTTTTTTTTATACAAAAAACAGTAAATAGTATACAAGTGGATAACATATAATTGCAAATTCTATCTACTTTTTGACAGAATTACTTTAAAAACCGTTATTATTGCTTCAAAATACACGACACTTTAAAGACAAAGCCAAAATTCTTCCCATTTTTATACCTCTCGTTTGAATAAATAATCAATCGCTACTACAGCAACACACGGTAATCATACAACATATATGTACATAATATTTATTGTTTTAACTTCAAAGCACGCGCCCTTTCGGACAAATGTTTTAACGACATGGCATCGTCGACGGAACCTTCCAATTTGACATGCCCATTTAAATACGCGGACCAGGGACTCATATCACCGTTGATGAGATCATTAAGCACTTTTATGGAAAGACTGAACGTGACATTCGGATTAAAATCTTGATTCGGATTAGTCGACACGCTGCCTGTGCCCTCGCTCAGATTCAGATCGGCCGTCTCCACGTAACCACCACAGTCGCAATGAATGCGGTAGCGTTTGCCGACTTTTGAGACCAAAATACTGTCACAGCACAGTGAGATCTTGTTGATAATTTCGTTAAAAACAGTATGTTTAGCACTGGGACCAGCTTGAGGAATGTTTATTGTAGTAGCGTTGGGTTGAGCAGCGTTTTTAGTCGCCATTCCAAGAATATCGTGCCCCAAAGCTTCTTTCATTACTTCGCCAATCATCCCGAACATGTGTTTACCGGCATCACTCTTCATGATTTGAGTAAAGGTGTTAAAGGTATTGTTATCGCCTGGTTTTACAACCTTGGCATTCAAAACTTTAACATCTGTCAAAGTAATACCAGTATCATTGACAAACTCCTTCAAATCGCCATTAACTTGTTCCATAATCCTGTCTAGACTTCGAGGATGAGTAATGTCGGCTACTGTACTTTTCGTGATTTTGTTATGTAATGTTGTTTGAGCGACTTCTTTGACAACCTGAAGGTTATTTTGTTTTAGCTTTTAAGTTGTTTTTTGTTACGCTTAACCATGGTTTTAATTTGCAAACTAAATACATTTGTGTTTGACATTCAGATGTTGTTATCAGCAAAATTTGATAAACACTATTGTGAAACAAAAATAAAATTTCTAAAAATAAATCCCTATGGTATTAAAGTATGATTTTAACTAAACTTTATGTTTTTACACAAGTTCTTTACACAAGATAGTCATTAAAAACCCAAAACACGTGTGTTAAGCATAAACCATAGAGTTTTGTACGTTAAAATCATAAAATACTCACGTCATCTTTATCTTTGATGGTACAAACCAACGCAAACGGATTCGTGACCTGATAACATACAACAACCTTAACAGAAACAATTCCCTTATCAGCCGTAATAACACTCAGCTCGGGCAGTTCAACATTCTTCGGTCGCACGTCAATGCGATGCACCTTATCAATGAAGGGAAGCACCAGAATACTGCCACTTTCGTGCACTTTGTGCGTTCGGCCCAGCCGAAGTACCACCAAAGTCTCATAGGACGCAACGAACTGAAGTTACACAATTAGAAAAAAGTCATTCGTATTTTACTTTGAAATAACATTACTTATATTTATTAACTTTCTTATGAAACCTTTAAAACTTGAAATAATAACAAAAACAGCATAATTAATTCATTAACTCACTTTCAAGCAGAATATCAACGAAAACGGCAAAGTGACGGCCAAAAGTACAGCAGACAGGCAAACAAAAACCTTGTATAATATCGCATCAGCGACCGAAGAGCGAGCGTGAACCTCATCCGTGGGCGGTTGCTGTTTAAGGTTAGAAAAGTCCTCATCTAAACAAATATTTAAATTATTCGAAACGCTTACGTATTGACAAATACTGATTGCTCAAGTCGAAGTCGGTGTTGTAGGTGAAGTTGGATTTGTAAAAGTTTTCGTTTATCGTAGAGCGAAGCGTCTCTTCCTTCCCGTCAAATCCGAAAAACTCCAAGATCGCCGTCGTGTTAAACATGACCTTTTAATTCTGTCTGATCAAGAATAGCTGTCGGCGGGTCGAAAAAATAGTTGTCTCAATAATGGTAGAATAGAATAAGAAAAAAGGTTGATCTAGATGCTTAAAGAAAGCATAATTTGAATATTTTAGTATAACCACGTAGATTTAGTCAATAGTTTTAGTCTAGTGAATAAAGGATATATCAATTTAGCACTAAAGTTAACTTTTTCGATATTGTAGTTTAATGATTAATTCAAAATGTCTTTGTTGGACAAAAACCTGAAGATCTATAATATTTAGCTCCACTAAAAAAGGTGCATTAGATTCTAGTCTAACTTGACTTCAAGAATAGTCGATATTCCTCAAATTTTTTTGTTTATAACCCGCCAGCATAGAAAATATAAATTAGCGCACCATTCTGCATAATATAGCTCAACTAGCCGAATTTCCTATGTATTATTGTCCAAAGTAATTTCCAAAAAAGCCCAAAATATTCTTCAAAATTTCTGGCAAAAAAGAAAAAAGAAATTCGGAAAACAAACGAATTAGCTTCGGTTTTCGTGCCAGGATAAAGTCCTTTCTTATGTGAGGGAAAATAAATTAATATCCCGCATTTTTTGCATAACAAAAATCTGTTTAGCTTGGGTTTAGGCAGTGCGATATGGTTTTCAACGAGGTGGGAAATTTAGTTTTTAGTCTAGTTCAGATGTTTTACTTTGGTGATAAAGACATGACGCGGGGGTGTGAATGTTTAAAGTAAATTTTAAAGCGCTGTAAGTTTGTCGTATCTTCGCTAAAATTTCGACAACTTTTGGTTTCAACGAATATTGTTGTTTTGTTTAAATTGGATGATTTTCCTCCAAGTTGTTTGGCAGACATGAAACCGAAATAAAGGAAAAAGTGAAATGACTTTCAGTAAGATTTTCACTGAGAATCGCTTGAATTCCCAACTCGGCGTGCCCTTGTTATGCCTTTTCGTAGCTACAGGTTTGTAAATCGTTTTTATAACCCTACCAGCCTCTTATCAGTTTATTATTTTTTCGAAAACTCTGTGGTCCACAAATTAATCGTTCCGTGGCGAACGGGAAAATGACGCACAATTGTTATTTGTTGTTATAATATTGTGCGGATCGCTTGTAGTAGTGGGGGGTTTATCAAATATTATTAAATATTGATCAAATTCCTAGCAGAGGGGGGAACGTGACTGATTTCTCTCTTATTTTGCGCGAAGAATGGAAGAAAAGGGAGTTGATTGAGTTGTGACTGACGGAGGGGTTCTGGTTTCTCGCTGAATTTCCACTTTTGCCGGTTCGTCGCCTTTCCTTCAACCAATAATTTTTTGAAGCGATCGTATTTTCACTTATTCGGGATGATGGGACCATTTGTGTTTCGATAAATGAGGTGCAAATGGTCTATTGTCGGGGGTGAGGTCTATGTTTTACAGGAAGAATATTACTTCAAAGTGACTTCTGTTTATTATGAGAATGATGAGACACTATTAATGTTAGTATAAATATTTTTTTACAAGCATGACGTTTTAAAAAATATATTAGTCAGCGGTTACACTCCAAAAAAATCGCATCTTCTGGTCGTATTAGTACGTGAAAATCAGTCATTTTTTGAAAAAAATGACAATTCAGTCTATCGGATATCTTTTTCAAGTTTCATTTTGATGTCCCTGATACAAATTTTATCAAAAAGTCGGTTCCATACGAAATCAGACAGTGTGAACGGTGCTTCATACCTAATTCAGTGTTTGCGCAGCCAGTTTTTGTCTATTTATTCCGTCGCTTTGCGATTGTGGACATGGGGTAAAGTAGAGAAATCGATCATTATTTTTGCTAGTGACATGAAACAATGGAGTTAGTGCAATAGACGGGAGTGGTTTTATTTTTTTTTTTGTAATACGAAAGGTTGAGTATTTTGAAGAAGGGGTGTTCAGCGCGGGCTTTATGGTTTTATGGTGATATATGACAAATTTTAAAGCAATGTATACCAGAATAACCTTTGTTGTAGTATAATACAATTGTGTTTCTTATTATAACAATGTTAAATTCGTCATAATTTTGTATACAAAAGAGACATAAAGTGTGCGAACATACGATGTAAATTTTATTGCTTCTGTTTATGATTCAAGGGTTTTTTGCACTTTTACAACAGAACTTGAACGTTTATCTTGTACATGTTGGGAGGTCTTTTGCACTCTCCTGTTTAGTGCACTTTTATGTTTCAATTTCCTTCATTGACTTCTCTATTAATCCTGTACGACTTGAACTTCTAAGTGTGTTTTTTAATGCAGATATTCCGTTTTGATACTCTTTGATTTCCGTTCTTTTGGCTTGACTTTTATTATTGATTTGCACTAGTAAGCCCACACTGACGTTTTATTTATAACGTACTTGTAAGGCTTCTTCTGCATTTTCGAACGTTTCTCAGTGCACTTTAATGTTTTTGTAATCTACACGGAAAACGAACACCTGTCGCAGTACGTAGTGTGTTTCAAAACTGGGGAGAGCACGCTTTTCCGAGCGGATTAACGTTTTAAAAGGTGGCGCGGTTAAAAGACTATTTTTTGAGATTGATGGGCAGAGGAATGGGGGGGGTTGCGAAGGCTGGTGTGAAGTGTATTTGATATGATGATAAGTGAATTGTGGAGTTTTGCGATGGATTGTCATCGGAGATCCGGACTGAAGCGGAAATAACTTTTTGTCGCATCGGGAGGGTCTTGTCCATTTTTTCTTAATTATTTAAGGTGTATAACATACAATTGTTTTGTTTCGGGAGCACATTAGATGAGGTTTGCTTAAGGGGGGTGGTTACAGGGTTTATTGTATATTTTTGGTAATTTACAATAGTTAGTTTGGAAAAAGAGTTGTACGTGAGGTAAAATACGTGTTAGATGTTAGGTATTTAGTTTAAGTTTACTAAACTGACTAGCTGGAAATATAAACAAAATTTAATTCAAAGAAAGTCAACATTAATTATTTTAATGACAAATCTAATGATAATCATTACACGTTAAATAATGAACATTAATGTTAATATGAGCTGATTTTGCGCCATTAATTTTAGGTTTTAATTTCCAATTATTGTAAGATAACTTAAAATCTACATCACTTACTATGTTATCAATATTAATATTATTATAGGATAAAGACATACGGTTTTATGATTTCAAGATCAAAAGAACTAGGACTCAAGACGGCTCGGAATATAGCTCTAAAGCTTAGTATTACTCGTTGTTAGTCCAATCATAAAAATGATTAGGGTTTAATATTACACATTGTAATCTCAATGTTATTGTAGCCTCAATATCAATGTTATTGTAGCCTCTATCTCAATGTTATTGTAAAGCCCATGTATCAATACTAATCCTAACTGGATTAATTTACACTTTTCCCACTACAAATTCATTAGTTTTCAAGGCGCACACTTACTAACCAAACTCCCCACAAACCCATGTTATTGTTGTGGGGACCGTATCCCACACAGCCACATGCACTTTCCCCATTATTATTATGAGTTTCGTTGATAGAAAAACAGCTCTGCCTCGCGGAAACACCGAGCGACGGACAGCCGAGCAAGCCGAAAGTCTTCCATGATGTTTCTCTTGATTTTTGTGGCTGGTCTGAACGCAAAAGCGAAAAGGAGAAGAAGACGAACAGCCCGCAGTCAGTCAGCCCAGTCCAGAGCCCCAGGTTTGCCCTTCCGCTGATCGCTTTTCGGGTCTAATGGGACGCTGCTGAAGAAGAAAGGGAAGAGGGGTGTTTCGTTCGTTTTCGAAGCGTTTGGAGGGGGAATATTGAGGGTTTTTTTTATAATTTTGTGTTTTACGTACAACTGTTCACATCCCCAATGTGATCGTGTTTTTCTTACCATGTTTTTGCTCGAACTCGCCTTTACCGCGATTTGGTTAGAAGTTTATCAATTTTTTTGAGTCATCATATCCCTGGCAATTTTTGGAGTTACTGTATTTTGCACGTTTCTTTAATTTACTGTATTTTAAATCAATAATACATTAAAAGGTTTAAAACTGGTTGTGATTTATATATTTAGCTTTGTTTACTTTGATTGGCTTGAAAATTTCTCGGAAAATATAAAAAATTCCAAGGAGACCCAGTTTTTAGTGGTGATTTTTATCATAACTTCCTTCGAATGATAGTTTGAGCCTAGGAAATTTATATATTATTACATTGTTTCCTTTGTCAGCTAAAAAATTTAAAAAGTTTTGAAATATACTTGTTTTGTAAAGTTACAGTCACTTTACCGTAACCCTACTTTATCTAAAAAAATGATAATTTCTCCGAAAAAGTTATGGTATATGCTTTGTAAACATAAAATTTTTATGTGTTCTAAACTTTTGTTAAGAAGTTTCGTTTTGTAATAAAGAAACAAGGTGTTATAGCCTCAAAAGTCTGGTTGTTTCGAGAAGGGTTCGAACTTTTTTGGTTTTTCGACATTTTTAAATCGAAATATTTTCTTCAGGAGGTGTGATAAAGTTATAAAATTTCAATATACTATTTTGTATGTTTAACAATAATAAAAAAGAATAAGTTTTTTTTAATTTTGGTTTTTCTCGAAAAAAACATGTTTACGGTAGAATTACTGTATCTTTGAAACTGTTGTGAATTTTAAATTTTCCTCTAATGGTATAGTTGACAAAAAGAACAATTTAAAATGAGTTACGTTTTCAAGCATACTCCTATGTCCTAAAGGTTTTTACAATAAAAATTGTTTGCCAAATATTTTTTCAAAAAAATAAAAAGCCCGTTTGAATAAAATCTGAATAGTTGGCTATTTTTGACACGTAAATCCGCGATAACTTTATTATTACTCATACATATTACCCACCTTACTACAATATTATTTCCACAACGTCTTCTCTGTTATTTTCCAAACAGTCTGTGTGTTTTTTTCGTTTCGTCGCGGCTGATGTTGTCGCTGAAGTCATGCCATTCTCTTTTTGTTTCTTTTATTTTCTTTATTTCGGGTTGACGAGAAAAGTTTTCGGGAGTATTTTTGCGGTCGTTGATGAGCTTTCTTCATTCGTGTCTGCTCGACGTGATCCCGGACGGCTTATTGTTTTAATCAAGATTGTTATTGTTGCTAATCAAGTTGTTGTACAGGGAGATAGATGAGAAGCCATCTCAGTCCGAATGCCGATCGAACACACCAACAGCAGAAACGCACCATCCTCGGCAAGCTTCACAATGACGAGAACACCGGCACGCAGCGGTCGTTCATGCTTAAACTCACAGACGAATGCAATCAGGCGCTGGGCAAGGCCATCGAGTTGAACTGGCCGGTGCGGGTCATCTCAACAAAGACGGTAAGGGGTTTATTCTTTATGTTTTTTAGGCTTGGATGTTGTTTTTGCCAAGTTGTTTATTTTTTCAATCTCATGAAATAAAAACAGTTTTTTGAAGCTTTGGTTAGGAAAAAACTTGTAAAATATATTATACTTGACCCTTTGTAGCTTTCAGCCCTTGTTTTGGCACTTTCTTCAGCTTTTTACTATAATTATTGATCATTATCTTCTTCAGGGTGTTATCATGGAAGTCGGAACTAGTTCCTCCTCCGTAACCAAATTCAACTGTAGCCAGCAAGCGTTAAATGGAAGCCTGGACGCCGTATGTCAAGATGCCACCACCTCGTTCCACAATGTCTCATCGATCAAAACCAAACTTGTAGTTAATGCCACCGACAAGACTTTCGCCGAAACGCGAGAAAAGGCGGCGAAATTGGTCGAACTCGAAGCCAAGAAAAAGACCAAAGAGACAGACTTGGGGTGAGTAATATCAGGCAATGATAATTTGTTTCGGTGTTTAGGAAGAACTCGATGAACAACAGGAAACGGCCGCTGAATACGGTTCCATTAAGCAACAAAGCCAACTTGTTTGCTAAAGTAAGTTTTAAATTTGGTTTTTGGCTGATTTTGTTTTTCTGGTTTGTTATGATGGACTTGGTGTTTGATCACTGAGAGTTCCGCTTGGGAATGTTGTGACCGTTCGAAAAAAGTGTGATAGAATCATAAGGGTTTACGTTTTGTAGAGGGCTGTCAAGAGATGTTTGATCTACCACATTTAGGTAATAAATAAAAATAAAATTTGCATTTTTTGTTATTTTTTTATTTGTTTTAAGCATGGTATGAGCGGAATACTAAGTTTTAGGTATGAAATAAAACACGAAAATTATTTTAGGTATCAGTTTGGTAGGTTTTGGTTTTTAGTTATCAAATTTGGACAAATTTTAGAAAAAAATTAGTGATCTTAAAATTTGCATAATGGGACAGATATTTAAATTTAGATAACAATTATTAACTTTTTATTTACAGCCCAACCCTTCGGCTTCAAAACGGACCTCCCCTCCTGTCCCACCGACTGGTAAGTAAAAAAAACGAAATAATTAAATTTGAAATTATTTTAAAACCAGAAACCAATTTTCAAACAAGAGAATGGCAAACCAAATTTGCATAATTTTTGCACTTTCGGTTTGCCTTCTATATAAATAGCCGACAAAAACTAAGTTTGGGATCAGTCTTGTTATGATATGAGCTTGCTTCAGGTTCGAAAGCCCAGCGTCCTATTGTTAATCCGAAGGTGTCTTCAGCTGTTACAGGACTCGTGCAGAACAAGGCCGAGCTACTAAAGCGTACCATCAGGGAGCGGGTGATTCATTTGTGTGCCGGAGGCAAGTACCGCAGCGAGGAAGAAGTCCTGGATCGTCTCAAGTTTGAGGGTGTCGCCAAAAAGGACAGCTTGGAGAAGGCGTTGGCCGAGGCCAAGGTAGTTTTCGCCGAAGTGAGTCCTAGTTTTGGTGTTCGGTAGCTGATGTTAACGGTTTTTGGGTTTGTAGAGGGGTGTTGATTGTTTTGGAGAGGTTTTGAGCTAAGATTTGAATTTTTGGGAGTTTTGAACGTATTTTTAAGGTTTTTGTGGGATGCCTTTAGTGTTTTAGAGGATTTTCTAGGTGAAATATGGATTTTTGAGGTTATTGGAAGTTATTTTAAAGTTTATGGGTTTTAGAAGATGAAATTTGTTAATTTTTGCTATTTTTAAGGTTTAAAATCGTATTTATGGGTTTATATAGACGTTCGAAGTCCAATTTAATTTTTATTATTAATTTTAAACTTCCAGGTCGCAACTCACGAGCAGGACGCGGTGAGTGTGAAACCGGAGTTGTACAACGAGATCGACATCAAATGGCCAGGGTTTGTGTCGTCGGAAAAGGCGCGGGCTCGTCGTTTAATATCCACCCAATCTCATAATGCATCCATGTCGGTGGCCCCATCACGGAAGAGTGGCGTGGCCCCGGTCCTGGCTCCAAGTGGTCCTCATGGGTCCGGGTCTAGTGCAAAATCTCAATCATCCTCAACCCCAGTGAATTGTAAGTTTTTGATTTTTGTTTTGGTTTTAGAGCGAAATGTGAAGCGAAATTTGAATTTTTCTGTTTTATTATCTAAAATATTACTTGTTGAATTTTTTTAATCCTAATATTTTAGCATCCGAATCTCAAAGCCTTCGAAAAACTCCGCCAGTTGTATCTCCGCCAGAACCCATGCCCCAGCTCGATGAGAAGTCGAGAAAACGTGTAGCTAGTCCAGTCGTACCTCCTCAATTCCCAAAACAACCCAAACGTGATTCGCCTGAACTTACCGTAACCAGTTCCGCCTCATCTACAGTATCTCCCGGTGATGAAATCCTACCGAAACGCCTGGTCCAAGTCCCAGACTTTTGCAAAACCAACGGACCTCCCCAAGGACCATTGAACTCGATGGTACAATGTCCGACGGACTGGGAGAAGGTGTTCCCAATGGTACAGGATGCAGATACATGTGTTCGGTACCATGAGTTGTTTGAGGTTGGTGTTTCTTTTTTTTGTATTTTTTTATTGATTTTTGTTACAGTTTATAGTAGCTATAAAGGTTATTTTTACATTTTTTTTTGTTAAATATAGGGTAAACTAGAACTTTTTCATGGTTCGGCTTTGGTATTTTATGATATAACTTTGTAATTGTATATCTTTCAGTCAGAGTACCCGGTGTACCGGAAATGCTACGAAAAGCTGGCCAAGGTTTCGATGGAGTTTAACGATCTGAAGCGACTGTTTGACCGAGCTGCCTTGAACTCTAGTGAGCAAAAGGATGTAAGTTTCTTATTATTTTTTTTATTTTTAGTTGATTACAATATATGATTCAAAAACTGCGCAGAATTTTTTGGTTTCAACCATTTTCAAAATGAATTTTTGTTTAAAATTTTTGGGAATTCCACTCGTTTTGGAACTAGTTATAATTCGTGTTCTTTTAAATTATGCACCTTAAACAGACGATGGTGTTTAATTATTTGCAAAGAAAATGAATTCCAACCAAGGATAAGACGTTTGATCATGTGAAAGATCAAAAATGATCTTTATATAATTAAAATTGGAAAGATATTAATCAAAAGCAGGGCTTGAACTTGATTAAAATCATTTTTTAAATATTCTTCTAAACCTTCTTTTATTGCTTAAAATTCAATATTGATCATAGTATGTAATTTAAAAAAATATTTATCAAATTGTTAGTTTATTGCCATTCATTTTCAGCTTCTCCGCCGAATCTACGACCGCTACCACGAGTACCAATCGGACGAGGACTTTTACGGCTGCCGAACCAAGCATGCTAGCCTTCACCGCAAACTGGCCGTCCTGAAACGACGTATAATGGAATGGGATCAGCGAATGCTCAACGGGCATGGACTTTCGGGATTTGACCCTGCCCGCGACGACGTCCGACATCGTCGCTCCCTCTCAAGTGGCAACTCAGCCAGCTCCACCACCTCCATGGACAGCTCCGGCAGTGGTCCACATGGCTATGATGAATATTAACATTGTTTTAGTTTGTCTAATACTCATCTGTCTCTTTTTTTGTTTGGTTGCGGCCATAAAGTGCTAGTGTACACATTGTTGTTCTTTCTGGTCATTTTTATTCACCATCTTGCCTTAGTCGACGATGCTTGCTTTCGGGTCATTTCTTTCCCAGTTTTGTTGATTTAGTTGTATATTACATTTCCTTCTTTTGGCTTTTATAACAGGCCAATTTGGCATTATTTTGTGATTTTTGAGCCATTTTGGTTGATATTTTGCTAATTTGGCTTACATTAAGGTCTAACTTGTTAACAAGAGCTTGTTTTTTAATCTCAAAGATGTAAATTTTGGTTCTTGTTGATAAGTTGGACTCTAATCTGTATTTTTAGCTAGTTTGTAAATGTAGATTGTATTTTTGTTTGTTATACATACTGTTCTCTCTCTCTCCTGTCCCTTCTTAACACGCTAATTACACTTAGATCATTCAGGAATAGATATTAGGCTAATTTAGTGGCTAAAACATTATGGTATAGTGCTCTGCAGGTACCTTTTCCATGATAGTATAGTACCTAATGGGTAATTGTTTATGGTATAGCGCCTTATAGGTGGTTTGGGCCGGCTGGTGGTATTGAACTTGATGTTAAAGTGATTTCTAGTCGTATTTGATTTTCTAGTCGAATTTCAAACTATATATATAGTACTATGTTGATTTTAAAAGTAGTACTGTTTGAGTTCAAGCACCACCAGATCGGCCCAAACTCGTCTCTCACTCTTCGGTAACATTTAAGCATACGGGTAATTAAACTTCTGAGCGAGGCTGCAAAAATGACCGCTACAAACTCTCCGGGTATCCTCCGATGGTACACCTTGGTACCATCCCCATACCGACATTGTTGACTTCCCTTTATATCCATCCAGCACTAGATCATTTACCTTATTGTATATGCAAAAACATTTCCAAAACATAAAAATGATACGAGTACTTCCTTATTCTTCTGTTGGTTATTATCACATTCATTTACATTGTCATCCTCTTCACACCATAGGGAATTTAAAATATATTGACATTTAAAATGTTACAAACGGGCCGCCACCGATTCACCCCAGTGATCGGACATTACAATAAACATATTTTTCATGATTCGGCGATTGATTCATTGTTTTAGTTGGGGTCGTTTCGAACGGCTTTTGCTATTTTTGATTTGATTAAAGTGTACCATTTATGTGTTATAGTATGCATTGTATTATAGTATAGTTATGTCTTATGATAGTTTAGTTATTGTTGTGCTGAGGATTACGTGGCACTGGTTATTGTTACATTAAGAATGATATATGATTTTCAATTAGTTATACATTTATTTTGGCAAAAAAGACAGTGTTTTCTTTAATATAAAATATTAGGTTGCTCAAATTATTCTGATTACTTTATGTTAAGATGGATACTAATTCAAACAAGAGAAATGTCATATCACAAGGTAAATTTTACACATGGTACTACTGGCAAGATATATTTAGTAAAACAATGCAAAAGACAATACAGTAAAAAATGGCTAATATAGCACGTCATCTTGTACTCAAAACATACCAAATAGTTTTATATTTATGTGGCTATACACTGCGGCCTACTCTTGAGCGCTATATCCACCACCACCGGGAGTTTTTAGCACGAAGATGTCCTAGAGAACGCAAAGTTAACTCTTACATTAAAACATTTAAATATAATTCTCCATTATACAAAATAACCAAAATTTGTTCTTTTAACACGTACTATGTATGGAAAATTTAAAATTTCCTTTTTTACATAATATTATGTTGCTTTCCAAAATATATTTTAATATTTCGCAAATCTCATTAATTCCCAATTCTCGTAAAAAAAGCATAATATAGTAAACAGGCACTAATAATGTACCACCTAAACCCAATTGTAAAATAAAGCTTACCCCGGTCTCAACAGTGATGCTGTTCTTGCCGCCCAGATTAACCGTTCTTCCGTTTGTTTTGACTATGGTGTTGCTTCCCCGTTCTCCATCCTCGCCTCCGTTTAATCCTAAACTCGTATGTGATATGGGATTATGTTTTAACGTTACTATGTATTGTCAATACTGCATATTAAAACGTTATGACAAATAACGTGACAATAATATTCTAGAATAAAATTGTCCCAAACATAGGTATAAAAGTTATAGGTAAAAACTTAAATTGCTATTCTTGAAAGTTCTTGACCAAAAACACTACTATAACAAATAACAATAACATACCATACGGTGCGAATACTCGTCGTTCTGTTAACACTGACAACTGTAGTGACCTTCTGAACTGTAACAGCCGGTTGACGCCATTTCCACCCACAAATTTGCCTTTTCCACCTGAATTCTGACGAACACTGAACTCGCGTAGCACTATTGGGTACCTAAACAAGTGCATTTTAGAATAGACACTGCTTTTTGTAAATTTTAAGACGGCAATTTAGCTTTGTTTAGTAATTTTAAATTCCTTTTAATATTCAAACAGTAATTTTACTTCGAAATTTAAAATTTCATGAATTTTAAAGCACCATCTTTAAGGCTTTCACCTTTATCATTTGATCAATTTATGAAATCTGATGTTAGTCAGGTGGGATTTTAATTACATTTCCATACCTTGACTCCAAAATTTCTGGATCCGTAATCCTGGTATTAGTCATGTGGGAGTGAATCGCGGACCGACCATTGTATCCTGGCCCAGCCCCCGCTCCACCCGCGACCGTCTCGTAATATCCACCCATGTTGTCGTCACCAAATGTTATGTTGTTCATACAACCTATAATAATGTTCATGAGTGATGTGATACTGCTACAAAAAATAATGTTTAAGCCATTCGAATGACGTTTTCTATTATCGATTCTTACATAGGTATAGAGTATAGTATAAGACATATTCTAAAATATTAACAACCATAATTCTGCTTACCTTGTGAAGCAGCACAAGCTTTGAAAGCCTTAAATATAACATCACAGAGCCTTTGTGAAGTCAATACATTACCACCAACGACGGCAGCCTCCTCGCTTGGACTAATAATGGTGCCATTTGGTACTTCGATCTAAATTTCCAACATGTTGTAGCCCATCGTTAGTTTCTTTACACTTATTTTACTATACTTTACCACAAAAACATTGATTATAAAATATAACTTTAAGTATACTTTAAAGACACTACTCCGTAAAGCATACTTGATAACCAATATTAACATACCTTAATAGGCTCTAAACAGCCCTGATTCAAAGGAATGTCCTTTCCAATCAAACACCTCAAACAGTAGATAACGGCAGCCATTCTGACAGCCGGTGGAGTATTGCATGAGGAATATACTTCAAGTCCAGTACCGTCAAAGTTGAAGACTGCGTCACCCTATAATATATTAACTAAAACATCTTAAAGTAGGCTTAAAAACGTTTTACATTAATATTATCAACCACAAAAAAAGGATTGTCATTGAAACCATCCTTTTCAAAAATAAATATAAAAGCAACAATCTACACCATAACACCAAAAACCTACAGTTTTTTCATTGATATGTACATTAAGTGCAATTTTAGTGCCATCATCCATGTAATCGGCAGCTTGCAACGTAGCTGATCCATTCTCCTTCAAACTTCGTTCAGCTGTGTCGATCAGTAACGCTCTGACAGCCGTTTCAGCATTGCTCTTGATGTGATCCATGTAAGCCTTGACTATGTCCAAGGTGTAGCTTTCTACAAGCTCGTTTAGTAGGTAAATGCCCTAAAAGTTAATAATATATTATCTTAAGTAGCACTATCAGGTAACAGCACAAAAAACAAATTAAAGATACCTTCTGATTAGCAGCGATCTGAGCATTCAAATCAGCGATGTTATCCCTTAAATTCCTAGATCCAGAACATCCTGGCACCTTGACCGGCTCCATGAAGGCTTCTTTCAATTCTTTTTCTTTAAATTCTCCTTTGTCAACGATCTTAAAACTGACAAAAGTTGCTCCCTCTTGGCTCAAACTAGTCGAATGAGGCGGCATTGAGCCTGGCACTAAACCTCCAATGTCTGAATGATGTCCACGGTTGGCTACGAAGAAGTCTGGTGTCTTGGAATCGCCGTAGAATATCTTAAATGACCATAGTTACAAACTTGAATATTTCACTCATTTAAAAACCTAAAACAACCTCCCTCAGCATTACAATACCCAGAACTAATTACCGGTGTAATAACAGTAAGGTCAGGAAGGTGTGATCCTCCAGCAGAAGGATGATTACACAAGATAACATCATTTCTGTGTATATTGTCCTTCAAGTTTTGAATTTGAAACTTGACTGTCGCTTGCATTCCACCAAGATGTACTGGTATGTGAGGAGCATTAGCTATTAGTCCACCATCAGAGCAAAATAAGGCACATGAGAAGTCGAGACGCTCCTTAAAGTTGGAAAATAATATAATACAGTACATATAGCCCATAAAATTGATAAAGCTTACAAGTAGATGCACAAAGATAAAGTCCCTTATCTCAACGAGAACTACGAATCTCTATACCACCATACCTACCTTAATATTAGTCGAAATAGCAGCTCTCCTCAACACAGTACCCATTTGTTCAGCGATAGACATAAATCGATGACTGAAGATAGACAGCTGAATAGGATCCACTTCCGTTCCAAGTTTATTATCGTTTCCTCCATGAATATCAATCTCAATATCTCCTTTCTCACTAACCTTGGCCGTACAGTTGGGTTCTACCAATACAGTACAGTTTGGATCAATAATAATAGCAGGGCCTTTGATAACATCATTAGGAATCAAATTTTGCATCAAGTAGACATCAGTATCTAGATCTCCTTCTTTGAACGAACACTTCACTTGCTTGTCTTTTTGTAAAAAGTCATTTCTAGTGTTGACCGTGCTAGACTTGACTAGATTACGTTGTCCAACTGATCGGACTCGTACATCTTCTACAATAATCGGCCGATCTGTAATCACAAATCCGAACTCGCTCTTGTATCTTTGTTCAAAGGTGCTGGTAAAGGCGTTGATAATATTAGTCGGGTTGTCTTTTCTAAAATTTTAGGTATTAAAACTTTATTCTAAAACATTACCGTGGTTTTTAGGCAAAAAAGCAGTGTAAGACCTTCTTCTAAATTCTATCCTTAAAGCTAAAACTCAAAAACTAGAAAGATATAAACTTACCTAGACACAACCAGAACGCAGTCAGTCCTATCGTATCGCATGTGCAATATCTTTTCAAATTTAATTTCATCCTCTTTAAATCCTTGTTCTTTAAGTTGATCACCTCCAGTTTGCTCCAACTTTTTCAGCTTTTGTTGCAATTCACTCAGCGTATCTGTAAAAGTACAACTTCTAATGTAACATATAATATATAAGTGAATACATCAGAAATAAGATCTGAAAAATATGCTGAGAATCAGAAAGCATCAAACAGCCAAAACCCTAAAAATTCCAATTTCAACATTACCATTAATATTGTTATATCCAAAAACTTACCTTCACTCAAAGGCTGTAAGAAGGCTTCCTGTGATTCCACAACTGCATCAGCCAACGCTAATCCATACGCTGATAAAATGCCTGCATATTTGTGAACTTTGACCCGTTTCATACCTAAAATTACACACTCAATATCCAGAAATAGCCAAATCAAGACACACATTCATCCCCACGCACACACAACTCTAGTTAGTAGTACATACCCAAGGCCCTGGCAATAGCACAAGCGTGCTGAGCTCCAGCACCTCCAAAGCAAGCTAATGTATGATTGGCAGTGTCGTATCCTCTGCTCTGAAAACACAATTTTAAACCAAAATGTATTAAAATTGAAAACTTCTAGCTGCCTTTTACTAATATTTTTTTTCAAATCTCTTTGAAATTGATAACAAGATTCAAAAAAGATTATGTTATGTCTAAATTAACGCAAAAGTAGACTAAAGCTCTTATTTTACCTCTGTCAACGTCCTGATCGGCCGGCACATAGCTTCATTGGCAACTTGAATAAATCCTAGTGCAACATCAACTACGCCTAATTCTTTCGTGTTGTTCTCCTTGTTATGGGCGTTAATTTGCTTACACAAGTCTTCAAAGGCTTTTACTGAAGCTTCTCTGAAAAATTGTCATCGTTTATAGTTTTTGACAGCTTAAAAAGCCTTATATAATACCTAAAACTCAGAAGTGCAGCATAAAATGTCAGGCTTATGTTAATCTTTTTAGAAATAAGGTAAAGTCCAGTATCCTATTATACAGATATAATGTAAAACGTACTTATCCAACGGTTGATCCTCATTCGGCCCAAATATTTTAGGGAAATACTCTGGCAATATTCTCCCTAATACCAAATTCGCGTCAGTTACCGTAAGATACCCATTCTTCCGATAACAAACTGGACCAGGTGTACTTCCAGCCGACTCTGGGCCAACTACAAACAGTCCATTCTGAAAGAACAATCTCGACCCTCCACCAGCAGCTACAGTGTTCACTTCGAGTTGAGGTGCTTGAATTGTGATGCCAGCGGTCACCGACTCCAATGTGTGAGTAAAGTTGCCATCGTATCTTGACACGTCCGTCGATGTTCCACCCATATCAAAACCCACAATAGGCTGTTTGAGGTCTTTGTCAAAGGCAGTGTAAGATACGCCAACAACTCCACCAGCTGGGCCAGATAATATAGCTCGAGAGCCGATGAATCTATAATCAACATCATCATTAAACTATATGTACTTTATTTACCGTTTTATTTAAGTTATAGTACATTAGTAAAGAATTACACCGCTTTTGCAGGCTCTCATGTTAACCTACCTTTCAACGGGACATAAACCTCCATCAGATTGCATAAACTCCAAACTAACCCCATTCAAATTATCTTCGAAGCCGCTTCTAAAACCATCAATGTACTTTTGGATGATTGGAGTCAAATACGCATCAGCGCAAACTAAAATTCAAAAGTTAATACCTATAAAAGCGTTCACAACTGATCTTATAGACAACTCGGCCAATATGATACTTAATCTCAATCAGTTGGTAAAGCAAAATAATGTAAATATAATCCTTCTAAAATCAATTAAAAGGTTAAACGCATAATATTACCCGTATATCCTCTTGAAACAGCCTTAATCATTGGAATCACAGCACTTGACATCGAAATATTGATGAATCCCATGTCTTTGGCCAATTTGGCGACCTGTTCTTCATGATCAGGAAATCTGAAGCAATAATATTTCATGTATTGCCTCAATCTGTCCAATTATAGCTTTTTAAAATAAAAAAACTTACATATAAGAGTGTAAAAACAAGATAGCAAGCGATTTGAATCCCTTGTCCAAGACTTCTTGCAACTGCTGCTTGATCTCGGCTTCATCAATGCTTTTCTCCACAATAACTGGTTTCCCACTCTCGGTAACAATCTTTTCTCCATCAACCTTTAGCTCACAATCATCTAGATCGAGAATAACTCTTTCCGAGACTTCAACCACTTCACCGTAAATTGTTTCAGGTACCTCAATGTTCAGATCAAAGATTTTCGGCCGTTGTTGATTTCCAATGAATAGTAAGTCCTAAAAAAATTAAATTAGTTGCTAATCTTGTATATGAGCTCGTAAATTGTAAGACAAGTTGATAATCTCAATATTCTCGACAAAATTTTGTTTTCCGATTGTAAGTTGACGAAATGTAAAATGTTGCTTTTCGTTTTTTGGCTAGAAATGTTTCGTAAAGTTGCTCAACTGATAATTGACAATAGTAAACAAGATTAAAGATCATCTGTTACGATTATTTTGTAAGTTTTGTGAAATTTGTTCCTTTACCTTATAGCCTTTGGTGATCAACAACGCTGTGGGCTCGCCTTTTCGCTCCAGAAGTGCGTTTGTGGCCACAGTTGTCCCCATTCGAATCCATGAGATGTGTTCTGCAAAGCAAAATGATTAGCAGATGTTGTTTCTCACAAAAGAACGTATGAAAGCTTAAATTTCCTGTTTTATAAACAGTGAAGTTAAGTTACTATAAAGTAAGTTATTCATGAAAAATTAAATTTTAATCCCTAAAAATGTTGTTTTTCTTACCTGTTGGGATTTTCTCTCCTCGTGCCACATTCTTTCCAGTATATTGGTTGAGGATTCGTCTAATGGCTTCAGTTGGGGCGTCTTGATAGTTGTTAAAGTCCTCTGACAACAACTTAAACGTCTTGTTTTCTCCGTCCGGATAAACAACAAAAACATCGGTAAACGTTCCTCCTCTGTCAATTCCAAATCCTAGGCCTTTTTCCATTTTCTATGCTCAATTTGGCTTCAGAAAATCACAAAGTACGTCGATATATTAATACAACTGATCGTTTATTTCAAACGTTTATTTAGAGTCAACTCCGGCTAGATTAATATCAATGTTGTTTAATCAGTTTGTAAACAAGAATAACTTTGATAACGTCCCTTTCGCTTTCTCGTGATTTCGAGTGGACAGAGAAAAAAATTTGTGGAAGTGCACGTAGTTTGTGATCGTTTTTGTGATTTGCTTCGAATTTTGATATCGGCCTGCTTTCTTCGGTCATTTCTCGGTCATTTTGATAGGAATTTTGAGTTTGTTAGCTGTATAAATTATCAGAAGTGTTCTATTAATCTTATTTTAAGTTGTTTGAGTTTAACTTTTCGGTTTATGATAATTATTTTCGCATTCTTTTATAATAATGGCTAAATTTTTTAGGAGAGCTGAATTTATGCTTAAAGTTATCATAACTTCATTTAAAGTTTACATAGAAACATGAAATTTTGTGAGATTTTAGAATGTTTATTTTGCGAATTAACAATATAAAAATATTTCTTAATTTGTCATAAACTTTAGAGTTACAGTACTCCAACCATAACCCTATCTGAACCTTTTTACTTTTCGAAATTTTTTAAAAAGTAATTTGAAATGAGGTCAAAATGCTTTATTAGTCAAAGTGAATGAACCGAAATAAAATTAAGAATTCCAAAAATAATCGGACAGGTTTTTATCAACAAAATAGGCCAAGACGACAAGATACACCGTTTTTGCCAGAGGCTCGAATCGAGTGAAAGCAAGAAAGCGTGACAATATTACAATAATATTATTATGACAAGCAATTGGTCCACCATTTTATTAAAAATTCTTATTAAGAATTTATAGATACAATATGTTCTTATAGGAGTATACTGTATTTCAGTAAGAAAATACAGTATACCCTCACTTATAAGAATTGAAATATTAATTATTACAAAAACAGAGTGACACCTCTTGTTTGACTAAAAAGACAGCTAAAATACGAAAAATATTAAAATATAAAGTAAAGAAGTGCCAAATGCACAAATAGGACCAAATAAAAGTTGTACCAATACTGGGGGTTGATTAAGTTAACTATGACTAGACTGGATGGAATTGGCGCGGGGGAAATGGCTAAGGTTGGGTAGGACATGGAAGCACCGGTAATCAGCGAGGCTCGAAGAGATTAAAGACATGTAGCACCAAGAATGTACAATAAGCACCATTGGTTCAATAAGTACAACATCTAGTACCGTTATGTTGTACCGACTGTAGTACCATTGATGGTTGTACAGTGACAAAAAATGTTTATAATGCTAAATAGCACCATAGTTTTACATAGTAGCACCATAGTTAAAAATGTACAAGCATCGCCGCAGTCCATAGTGTACAATTAGTACCAATGTGAATTGTACAAATAGTACTGCAGCTGAAACTGTACAAATAGCACCAGAAACGGTAATTGTGAAGCTGTTCTTGAAGTGATTATGAAGCGGTTTATAGGCCCAATTCTCGGTTTTCCACTTTGACTTCGGGCTGTCTGTAGGGTTTACAGTACGAGTATCTATGGTTCATATGCTGCGAGTAGCTGCCACTGTGGCTGAATCGTTTCAGGCATTTGTCACACTAAAAAAGGTTTAATTAGTCTTTGTCCTTTGGATTAAAATGGGTTTTTTAGTAAATTTTTACGTTTTTTCGAGTGTTTTGGATAAAAAGTAGGTTACGGTAAAATTACTGTAACTTTTAAACGAGAGGGAGTTTTGAGAGGTTTCTTTTTGCATTTGATGTCAAAATGAATGTAATTCATTGTGACCAATTTTTAGATTTATATCTAGCTTGTTAAGGATGTTATGGTTAGAAATGGCAGGCATTTCATCCCAAAATTTTGCTTTTAATTTTTTTATCAAATTTTAAAGAATTTTCGAAATTTTTGCCAATTTAAATTAATTTTTCAAGTTTTCCAAGCTTTTCCGAAATCTTTGACCTCATTTGCTTAGTATTCAAAGAAGCATAAGGTACTTAAACGTCTTGCCAAAGTAAAGGTCACCAAATCCCCCGAGCTAATACCATTTGTAGGGCTTTGGCGGCGCGGATCTTCGGGAGGATACCGAGGTCCTGAATAAATTACGGGAACCTGGGGAAGGGTTGACTCTCCTTATGGACACATAACTAATTAGAGGCTGGCATGTGAGAAGATTAATGGCCGAGCGTCCTCCGGTTTTAAGGCCAGGTCATCAATGTCTGGCGGTTTTATCATAGGAACAGTGGATATTGTTCAGAAAGCTTATGATTTTAGTGCACAATAGCATGAAGATGTTAGTTTTAAAAGGATAATGATTTTTCCGGTCAAAAAGTTTTCAGAATTGTGTTATAATAACTTATAATGAACTTTTAGTCAACTATAATAATATAAAACTTACTTGGAAAGGTTTCTCTCCAGTATGCAGCCTTAAGTGTTCGGCCTTGTGATGCTTGTGTTTGAACGCCTTAGGGCACATATCGCACTTGTAGGGACGTTGACCGGAGTGTTCGTAAGCGTGACGTTTGGCTGAGCTTTGTTTGCTGAAGGTCTTGTCGCATTGGTCGCAGGTGTAGATGCCTTCGCTGTCCAACTTGACGTTGGCCTTGGTGGAAGCGTTGGATGGAGATTGGGAGGTTCTTCCAGCGTCGTTTTGCTGTAAAATTCATAATATTAGTCTACTATAATATTTTAAATTGTTTATAATAACGTTTTTTTTAACACTTTTTATAACAATAATGATCTAAAAAAGTTGAAAAATTGTTATTTTGGGATAAGAGCCAGTACAAGAAACCATTGTATACGGATGATAACAACAAAAGAAGTCTCATAAACATCCCAAAGCTCTAAACAAGTCCTTAACTTACCTCAAGAACGGTTTGCCAATCGCTGAAGCCATTTCCAAGCAAAGAATACTGGGAAAGGAACAACGAAGCTGATGGCCAGATTCCTGAGCCTTCTGATTTGATGCTCGGTGTTTCACTGGACACAGTTTCAGCACAAGTGACTTCAGTGCCATTTGGAGAAGCAGATGAAATGTTGTCGATGTTGTAGAGGCCATTGGCTTTCTGCAACTTCTCCGTGATGGATTCGCATTCTTTCTTCACAAAGTTCCACAAGCCCTCAGGGCTTTGTTCGGCCGAACTCAACGGGCTTTGGGAACGGATGCTGAGATCAAGCGGGGTGTCTGAGGTTACTTCGGTCATCTGCAAGGTTTATTTTTTAGTTTTACCTTTGTTTTTAGGTATGTTTGGTATAAGGTGGTTCTTGATAAGAAAACAGGTATTATCAGTAGCTCATTACTTTTTGGACAACTTAATGTTTTATTTTCGAGAATTTTAGGTAGCAAAATTATATTAATAGGTAAGATAATGATGACTTTTTCTATTTTTCCAACTTTCACTAAAACAACAACCTTTTTCCCCTTTGCCCACCTCAATAGCTACTTTACAACATTTTTCACTGTAAAAACAATTTTTATGCTAATTCAGAGATTCCAGATTGTAATTTTTAATGTGCAAACTAGACTCTGCGGACAGAATATGCAAATTAAATTATATTAGATTTATGTGGTACACAGTTGGATTCCATTACGACAGCATAAACAGAAGCAGGTGCGAGTAATTTGTAAAAAGTGTTTTTATTGGATATGGGGAGGGGGGATTACCTGGCGCTTATTTATGTAAATTAAATTAGCTATCAAATCGGTTTTTTTAAATTTTCTTAGGGTGTTGATATTGATTATTCAATATCTTAGTCATGACCCAATATCCAACTATTCAATAGATTGTAAAAGTCTTTACCTGATCCTCGTCCTTTACTTTCACTTCACTGGAGGCAGTTTTCAGCGCATTTCGAGACAATCTTTCGGAAATTGCTGACAGCCGGCTGGCTTTTGATGACATGGAACTGTTTGGCCAAAGCTGCAAAAGATTTTTATAATTAGACTGTGAAGACTTTTTTCAAGTTATTTATACCATGTCTACTGTGAGACCTTATCTATATTGCTCTAGATGAGGCCTCACCATCCTTTTAAACTTTTTTTGATTCAGAGGACGGTAAAGCTTTTTTCGAAATTTTTTTATTTGAATACAGACGGTAGGTGTTTTGAATTTCAAAGAGAATCTTTTGTAGGCTTCGGAAGTGCTTCAGGACCACCTAGTCAAATGAATGGGCCAAAAAGTTGGGCGGATAGACAAAAGTTTCCGTAAACGAACGACAAATGTATCCCACGGTACCTACAGTTTTTCGAATTTTAATTTGATTTTAAACAAATTTTGATTTGAAATTTTTCAAAAGTCACCATAATAAGGATAAAAGTTTTAATTCTTTCAATTTTAAAATCAAAAAATCCATTTTTACACTTTTAAATTTAAAAAAAAATTAAAAAGGCTTACCTTCATAGCCTTATCATCAACCTTGTTGCCATTAGATTCGATTTCATCCGAACTGATGGATTCCATTGGTTCTTCTGAAGCCGATCGGATTTCAGAAGCCGAGGATTCACTGCCACCGTTCGTGGCGTCTTCTTCCATCTTTTCACACTTATCACCCACTGATTTGAACAAGGCCAGCAGGGTTTCTGTGGCACTGTTGGACTTGATGTTTTCTGACTGAAAAGTGAAGTTTATGGTATGTTATAGTAGGCCAACAGAAGATATTGTTCAGAAAGATTTCAAAGAAACAACAACAAAAAAAGTTTAAGAAAATTTTAGGTAACAAAATTAAAAAACATTCTGATCTCATCAAAAAACCGACCTTATCAGCGATTTGTTGAGCGAACGTATTCATGGCATCCACCTTCTTGTTCTCCTCACTCTCCTTCCCTTCTTTCGCATTCATTGCGGCCAATGAAGCGGCTGACTGCAGTAGCGCAGCGTACGGATTCACCGATGGCTGAATCCCGAACGGCATCATCGGGTAGCCGCGATACGAACATAACATGCGGTAAAAGTTGATTTGGTCGGACAGCGAGTTCATCACACTTGGAGGCTGACCTTTCTGCACTTGTTGTTGTTGTTGATGCTGAAGAGTGCACTTCTTGCTGCTCATGTGGGACGAGTAGGAGCCTGAGTGGGAGAAGCGTTTCATACAGAACTTGCACTGAAATGATGATGACTTTAGTGGGGTTAATGGTGGAGTAATTTGTTGAAATTGAGGTTTTGTGATGAAGAACATGGTAAAGGGCATGATAATATAAGGTGCATTGATATTATAGTGGTTTGTGTGATACTACAGAGAAAAGAAGCTTATTTAGATTAATTTTATGTAATAAAACTTTTTTTTAAATTTTAAAAACTTTAGAAATTGAAAGTGTTTTTCCAATTCCACTGATTATGACACGACAACCACGTCGCCAACGGTGCTACGGTAAATTAGAAAAAGGTCATCAGCCGAGTGCCTCATCATTACGCGGAGTAAAGATCGGCGGACCGGTAATTGGACCCTCAAGGGACCCAAAAACGAATCTCCGGTAGCGAAGAAAGTGCGGGATAATGGCCTTAATCATGGGCCCCATTCCACTCGCACAAGCTCATCAAGACCCGCCTGGGGCATTCGACCTGCTTCCATGTTCAGATGCACGTGCGCAAAAGGGGGGCCCTCTTCAACAAATAGGATTTAATGCGTTAATTAGATAGAGAAGGGAGGGGGGGGCTATTCTGCCAGAGGGGACATGTCCCTCCGACTATTGTCTAAAAGGTGTGCTATACGGTATTCGCGGAGGAGGAGGGGGGGGCTGAAGTACGGTATTTTTTTTGAAAAGGGTCAAAGGTGAGAGGGGCGGAGGGAGGGGGAAGGTAAAAATGTAAAACAAATTACCATAGAATGTGGATACTGTAAACTTTTTGAATCGCCCTACAGTAACTAAAGCCTTCATTGGACACAGGTAACCAAGGAAACCAAAAATGCCCGATTTACCGTACTCAGTAGCCTAATCTCACTGTTTTACGGTACTTTGTAGTTACCTTGACAACACCAATCCCCACTCTTTACATAAGACACCCAATTTGCCCTCCAATGGCCGCCTTTTCGGCCAAAAGCAAAGGTAAAAACGATTGACCAGAGCTTGAGACTCCAAGGTAAGGCCCTTTATTGGCCATTCGAACCTTCTACCTGCTCTCTTTTTCCCTTCTCGCCTTTCCCCAATCTTAACCGTAAGCATGAAAAAGCCCCCCCCTCTCCAGCCTCCAAGGTGAACACGAAGAAGCGCCGTCGGACCAATTTAAGGAGAGAACGGCCGAAAGAAAGGGCCGTGGAGCACCTTCGAGCTGATTAAAGGCGCACCGCAAAAAGTGTATGGCCAGGTCCGCGGACCTTATTTTAGGCACGGCTCCTCCTCCCCCCCCTTCTTCGTTTTGGCGAACGACCCCCCTCACTTCAACTTGTCGTCGCTGAGCGGAAATTAAGTTGCAGGTGGTGCGAGAGGAGCGATAGGGAAGGGGGGACGCAAAGTTTATGAAGCCACAAAACCGTTGGGATTGTTTATGTCCTAACAACTCCAACCTTGGGTTGGGGATGGTTGGGCTTGGTCGAAAGGTGTATGAATTTTGCACTTTTGTGAAAATTTCAAAATTTTATGAAAATTGAATTGAAAATTTGTTCTTTCCTTATTTTTCTATGAAAATGTTACCTAAAATTCAAAATTCCCCAGCCTTTTCCTTCTAATTTTTGCCCTGCCCATGGCCCACCTTAGGCTTTAAAGACCGTTTCAAAGTTCTCCAAAGCCATGCCAACTCAAACCTTAAAATTTGCCCTAAAATAAACCTGTGTCGCCTTCGGATCTGCACACTTATTAGATTACATGCGCAAGCGTCTTCTCGCCTTAATTTCGATTTCTTCCGCCAGATTGACTTTGCCAATTCGAAAAACAACATTTTTTGATTGGACCTAATCCCGCGATATTTCAAGAGACGATCAATTAAGGGTATTAACACTCTCTGTACTAGTCCAAGGAGGAAAATGAGATATGGTGGGTTTAGTTTGGGGTGGTTGAGTTGACAAGAATTTTGAATGGGGAAGAATTAAAACAGTTGTGAAGATTAGGTAAATAAGATTCACCTAGGGCTTTTAGTACTAATTTTAGAAATTTCAAGCATTTTTTTTATTTAAAATAAAAAAAATCATTAAAAAATCTACAGGGCGGACCAAGCAAAAAATTTTCATTTTTTCAAAAAATTTTTTAAATCCTCCCCCTCACCCCCCTCCCTCAGAAAAACCCCAATTTCCTAAGCCACTTCATAACACCAAATTGACAATCCACCCCTCCATTCATTACAAAAGTGTCAAGCCCACACTAATCCCGACCACACTTGACCAGTCGCACTTACCTGAAATGGTTTCTCGCCGGTGTGGATTCGGTTGTGTTCTTGAAGATGGTGCCGGTATTTGAACGATTTGGGGCATTGAGAGCATTTGAATTTGCGTTCCGGCTGGGCTTGGACCGGTTGGGTGAGCACGGGTTCCAGCATCTCCGTCTTGAGGCTCGAAATCACCTCTTCAAAACTCATCGTGCTGAAAGTGATTTTAGGTAATAAGTGGTGGTTTTGAAAATGTTGGGTTTTAAATGTTATACACGGTTACAAAGCGGGGGGGGTATATGGGTAAAACACATAAAAATGGCATAATTTTGAAGGGTTTTTAGATGTATAATGAAAAAATTATTCTTTGCAATGAAAAAACCATCAAAAATCTACAACAATATAAAAGAATAACACTATAAAATTAAATTTTCTTGACTTCTAGATAAAAACATCATAATAACATCACAAAACTGTTAAAAAAACGCAAAAACAAGACAAAATTCAAATTTTCCAAAAAACCAAATCAGGAAAACAAAACTTGGCCCGATTAGAACAGTGATTACTCTCTTACCTAACGCACACTTTTAAAACGGATTCCGGAAAAGGCCACGTAAGGACTGGGTGGTCCCTGAATCAACTTCCTACTGATCGTCAGCGAAAGTGGCCGTAATAAGACTTTTGTGGCGATAATAAGACCTTTCGTGGCCGTCGTTAAACTGTTGTCCCCGTAGTAAGAATGTTATAGGAAAAGTAGAACTGTGATGGACAGCAAGACATGGCTGTAATAAGACTCCGGTAGTCCTAATAAGACTTTTGTGGCGATAGTAAGATCTCCGTGGCCGAAGTTAAACTGTGGTAGCAATAGTAAGACAGTGATGATCATAGTAATACTCCGGTGGCCGTAATAACTCCTATTGTCTCGTAGCAAAACTGATGTTTGTAAGAGACTGTTTGGCCTAATAAGACTGTTATTGAAGCCAATTTTGGGCCCGACCTGGAAAGTACCGGTCGAAAGGAGATTGTGGGGCGTCGTATTGCAAAAGAAAGTGACAGATCGCATTTCCGGAGATAAAAATATTATTGAAGGTGGCCAATAAACAAAGCTGGCCCGATTTCCGCGACAAAAAAGTGAGAAACCGTAAAAGATGGACGGGCAGTGCAACTTGGCCATAAGGAAAAAATGAGGGGGGGGGGGGGAGGGTTTATATGGGTATAAAGAATAGGTGGATTAAAATAATGAAAATGCAGCTTCAAAATTACAAAAAAAAACTTTTTTTTAATCAAAAAACTTTTTTAAAAAAATTTCAACTACCTTATCATAAAGAAATGACCACAATATACTAAAAGGTACCAAAAAGTCACTCCTTTATCATACCTCACAATGATAAAAGTATAACCTCAAATTGCAACTTCAACCCCAAGTGAAGCCAATAAAGCAACTTGGCCATAAAAGTAGGAGAATGAAAGAGAGAAAGGGACTCGACGGGGGGGGCGTGGAAATCTGCATGAAGGTCGTCCTGGAGCCAATGAAAGGTGTGCGGGAAGGGGAGGGGAGCGAGCAAATGGAAATAGTGTGCCAGGTGTGTCGTATCCACCTTTCGTTCGTACGGTAACCTCGAGGGCGGGTCTTGCTGGTTTGATGGTGAGACATTGGACTTGAAATTAACTTTTTTAATGAAAATTAAGAAAAAAAAAGAATTTTATATTGTTTTAGGTAATAAAAAAATTTGAAACGGAGTAGTTTTCAATTTTTTAAATTTTTTACTAACTTTTTCCTTAAAAAATAGTATATTAACCATGTCTTATAAACAAAACATTACCCACAGAACACCGCCCTCAATATAAAAATATAAAAAACTACCGCATTTTATAAATTCACCGGCAAAACCGCATTTATCGTGAAAACAAGCCGATGGAGGCATATAAAAGCCGCATCTGCCCCGTTTCAAATCTCTTTAGGACATAATTTCAGAAAGACAAAAGACGTGCGCGACACGCTCCGAATTAACCGAATATTGAACCGCCAGACACTTTTAGCATTTTTTCGTAAAAGGGTCAATAAATTTTGAGAAATTAAAAATTTTTATAAGTGGTTAAAATATAGAAATATTGAAAGTTACGCAAAAAGTGGTGTTCTAAATACTTTTTGACCGCTTTTGTAAAAAATTTCTCGAACAAAACTTAATAAATCACTTTACTTCATATTTTATCAAGTTTCTATCTACTTTTTGACCAAAACAGTAAGATATGTAATGTGAACTTATCATATAGAATTGACCATCCAAAGCTTGGCTTTTAGTCAACCATACTAAAAACCTTTGGCCAAAAGAACCACCCATCCCAACGATAACCCCATACCCAATTCAACTTCCATAGATTGGACCATGGCGAAGATAGATTAGACCATGGAGAACGTATATGCGGAAAGGTTAAGCCGAAATGCATGAGGAAAGAGGCGCCATCCTTAAGGGACGTCTTCCTTCACGGCACCCGGTGTAGCTGGCCCTCGCCGAAGAACAGAAAGCACCTTTTAAATGGAAGAGGCGCGCTCTCCTGCCCAAAAAAGCGAATCAGAAGTTAGAGGTGCGGTGCTGGCCGTGTGTACGATTGTAAACACAACATATTGCCGCAGACATGACGGACGAATGACAGCGGGGCCGAGGGAAGGTGGCGGTGGGGGCTCGGCTCTCATTAAAATAACCTCCAGAAGCGGCCCGGGGCCTTATTCGGTGGATGGCACCTATTCGGGGAGGTGAGTACGGAAGAGGGGAAGGCAAAGTTCTCACAAGAAGCTTTCTCACTGCCCCCCCCGCCCTCGTTGTTAAACCAGCGAGGTCGAGATGATATAGCGAAAGACACAATTACCACACAGGAAAGGGAGAAGGTGCGGCGGCCAGAAGTCGACCGGATTGATTAGCCAAGGGCTGAGGATGGGCATGGGCCGCGCTGACTCATAGGTGGAGCGTATTGCGCAATGCGGCAATTGGGTCTGAGATCGGGACAAAAGATTACATTATGTTTTGGGTCGTTCATATAATGGAAAAGTTTTTCATAACCTACTATAATATAACTGTTATTACATAAATATCTATAAACTACTATAATATAATCTATTATAGAAATATAAATAAAGCCTTTTATCCCCAAGCACCACCGACTAGCTTAGCCACAGCCTATAACATCCAAACCCCCTGTAAAATGTAAAGAAGGTATAAAGGTAAGCCCAGTCCAATACAATTCCCAATCGATCAACGAGCTTAATTTAGGCAGCAAAATTAAGCCCGAAAAAGGATCCCTCTTCCTGTGACAGGTAAATATGGGACAACGGAAATGAGATCGCGGATTGACGAATTACTGCGTCGGATGACATCTCCTGACCTGTCATGGCCAGATTGTCACCATTTGGGCCAAAACATACGCAATTGTAAAATACAAAGTCTTGGGGAAACAAGCGAGTTTTAGGTAATATTTTTAGTATATTAAGGTGCAGTTTGTTGGTAAAAATTAAAATTTTTCTTAAGTTTAAAAAGTATGGCAAACTGGATTTAAAAACCTTTTTTTTAGCATGGCAAAGTAAAAATTAGAAAAATATCATAATATAAATATGTTAAGAAAGTCTTGTTGTCAATTTGTATTCAGTTACACGTTAAAAAACGACAAGACTTTCTTGGCCCTCTAAAAAAACCAAAAAAGTTTAAAAATTATCATAGTTGACCTTCTAACAAAATTATCAAAGCCCTGATAACCTCAAACCCTTATAAAAACCCATCCCCTGATAACCTCAGAACCATCCACTTTTTGCAGAAACAACCGTTCCCGGGGGCCGGATCCGCAAACTTGATGAAATCGAAAGTCGGCACCAGCTACGGGGGGAGGGGCGCGTGAACAGGTCCGGGTACTTTTTTCTCACCGGCGCTTCTCGAGAATCACGGAAGCGGCAGGGAGTTTTTGCGCACCGATCCCCCCACCACCCCGAGATCTGCCCCTAAAGACAAAAGCGGGACGCCTTCTTCTGAATCTGCCTTCCTCTGAATCCGAAAAACCTGCGCGACAAATCTGGGTCTTCGCCGTCGCGCGTTCCTTGAAAGGAACAGGAATGGCAAATGGGCTTGATAAGTAATAACATAGGGTTGAGAAATATGGTCATGACGACATTTTTTTGGAATTTTGAAAGCTATGAATAAAAATTGAAAAAATTTGAAAATTCAAACTTTTAAAATTTTTGTTAAATAACAAAATTACAAAATTGTTTGCTGACTAAGAGCTTTGAACTACAACAAAATTTAAATTTAAAATTTTTAAAATGCAAAAATTTCAAAAAAAATGAAAAATAGGCTTTAAAACGTCAAGTCCAAAAACCACCCCCCAAAACAAGTAAGAACTCAAAAAACCTCCCTGAATCCAAAACTAATTCAAAAGCCACCCCTTAACGCCAAAAACAACCCCCAAACGCATAAATCCCAGAAAAAGAGATAGTTGTAAACAAAATGCCAAACAGGTTATCAGCACCGAACGCTACTGTAAGCCGAGAAGTGCCACTTTCCCTTTCTCTCCTGACTTTTGACGCTTCCGAAGTAAAAGGGAAAGCGACTTAATGAGATCCGAGAGCGAGATTCCAACGCCAACTACTACAACAACCGGGATCTCCAGCTAACTTTTGACCCCCCAGATAAAACATGCCGCAGGCGATTCAGGGAGAAAGTGAAACCGTGGAGTGGTTACCTGCTGCGCCGCTTAACTAGAAATTGGGTCCGGCGCCGCGCCTCACCTGGAATGGTGCCGGAACTGGAAGTTGACCGCCCCCACCCCCTTCTGGTTAATCAGCAGACAATCTTGCTTTTACTTTTGAACTTTGTAAAATTTAAGTTTAGGGGGGGGTGGGGTCAAGGCGGGATATAAATAAAAGTTCAGATAATCAAAATAAAAAAAAGTATTAACAAGTAAAAAAGTATTGTCGTTTTTAAACGTAGAAAGCGTAACACATTGACGACAAAACTTTTTTACCTTTTAGTATAGTACAAAAAACGTTGTATAAAGTAAAAAATCCTTGACTAAAATAAGAAAAACAAATATTTTTTAAATTCTAGGTAAAATACAGTACAGTTTTCGAGCAGATTTATATATAATACTATGTGCTCAAAAAGTTTTGGCAGTTCAAAAAAAGTAAAAAAATTTAGAAAATTTGAACAACTTTGCCTGTTTATATT